AATTTGACAGAATGGAAAACAGGGTCTAATTTAAGTATAAGGAGAAAAATTGGATTTTTTTATTTTGCACCTGAGGAGTTACAAGTGTTCAAAATCACCGAAAATCCTGGAAAGTTCAATATTCAAGGTAACATTTTTCATATTTCTACACCATAATATTAAAAAGTCAACTCATGATATGAAAGTACTTTGAAAGTACTTAATATTAAGTAGTAATAAATTTTTAAATATTTACAAACTTTCTAGAAAAATATAATAAAAATATGGTGAATTTTGGCATTTGACAGATAAGATTAAAAATCAATTTTCATCTAATATTTTGGACTTTTTTACATAGCAATCAATTTATATAAGTAAATTGGACTATTGTGATTAAATTTCAATCAAAACATTTATACTATCTAAATTATTTTTGTGTTTTTTTATTAAATTTTCAGAGCTGTCAAAATAACCTTTTTTCCCTGCACCTCCACTTAAAAATTAAAATTCGAAAGCAAATACGAATAATTTTATAAAAAATTTGCCAAAAATGGATTGTGCTGATATTAAAAATCATTTTTACAAAATATTATGTTTTTCTGAAAATAGGCCGCAACGACTTTAGGTGAAATATAATGGAATGACCCTTCTTATATTTCGAAAAAATTAATTATTTAAAGAAATTTTTATAAAATTCTTATGAAGAATTCCATTATTTTCAAAAATAATAAAATTTCTCAAACAAAAATTTAATTCTTTTTAAACATTTTAATAAAATTTTTTGCAATAATTCAATTATTTTAAATAAATAATATAAATTTTTCAGGAATTCAAATATTTTTGAAAATTTTAATAAAATTCTTTGCAACTATTCAATTATTTACATAAATAACAAAATTCATTACTGGATTTCAATTATTTTTAATAAAATTTTATAGTAATTGATAAAAAAATTGTAATTATTGTTAAAAATTTAATTTCAATTCCCCGAGAAAATCAATTACTTAAAAAAAATGTTTTTTTAAATTCTTTGGAAGAATTCAATTATTTTCGTAAATAACAATATTCATTACAAGAATTGAATTATTTTTAAAAACTTTTCACTATTCAATGATTTTCAATATCTACTATTTTTATAAAATTTCCAAACAAAATTCAAGTATTTAAAAATTTTGTTGTAAAAATCTTCGTAAGAGTTCCATTTTTTTGAGAATAATAAAAATTTCTCAGGAATTCAATTATTTTTAAAATTTTTTTGTAAAATTGTTAACAACTATTGAATTATTTTCATAAATAATAAAAATCATCTAAGAATTTCAATTATTTTTAATACAATTTTAATCGAATTCTTCGAGAAATGTAATTATTCTTAAAAATTTTATTAAAATTCGTCATCAATTTAAAAATTTGTTGGTAAAAGTCTTTATGAGAATTAAATTTTAAGAAACATTCAATAATTCAATAAATTATTTATTTTTGTTTTCAAATAATTGAATTCTAACAAAAATTAATTTCAGTTAAAATTTTAGATAATAATAATTGAATATTAAAAGCCGTATAGCGTGTATGTTTATAATTAATTGAATTTTTTTTAATTGAAGTTTTTATTTTCGAATATATATTTAATTTAAGAATTTACTAATAATTGAGATTTCGTAAAAGTGATTTAAAGATGAATTTTAGTTAAAAATTGTTGAAAATGGTGGATTCCACGTCAGTTCAACACACTTATTTTCATGACTTGTTGGGATTTGGCTGTAATTTTGTAAATGCATTACTTTTATAGTGATAAACAACTCCACCAAATATTTTTTCAAAATTTTGAAAATTACCAAAAATATGGCATTTTCAAAATTTTTGTCTTCTTTTTTTGAAAGTGCTATAACTTTGGTTCTAATTAACCGATTTTGGATTTTAAAAAAAGGATTTCTTTGGTTTTAAGTATATTTTAAGTTAAAATTAAAATAAAAAAAAAAATTAAAAAAATTTTTTTTTTTGAAATTTTGAAAAATTAAAAATCCGTTTTTGAAAAAACATCATCTTCGATTTTTTTCAAAATTTTACAAAATGTTAGGGCAAATGTGCTTTACATGTCCTGTAAGTTTTATCTTGGGATCTCAAAGGGATTCGGAGTAAAAAAATAAAACGTAACCACAAATTACGAACATATGGGGCAAAATTCCTCACCTGCCCAGGTAAAAAAATGAATTTTCTCTAAACTTTGCTAAAATGTTACTTTTATTAGTAGAAGTGTAAATATTAATTTTTTTTAAATTTGATAAAATATTTTTTGAGTTATGGAGTTTCAAAATTTTGATTTTTTTGAAAATATATTTTTTTCGATTTAATATATTTATATGTAAAATTAATCAAATTTAAAGTATGAATAGTGGTTTTTAAAGGGGTTTTCACGGGCTATAAGCTGGTGATGAAAAAAAAGTTGTTTTCTGTCAATTTGACCTTGAAATTCAAGGTCAAATTCTTAATTTCAATATACAGTAGAACCCGGTTAATACGATCCCGTTTAATACGATTTCCCGCTTAAGACGCTCATTTATGGTGGTCCCTTCAATTAAAGACATACTTTTTATATCCCACCTAATACTTTTTCCCGCATAAGACGCATTCTTAGTGCGGTCCCTACAGAATCGTATTAACCAAGTTCTACTGTATCTCAAAATCGGTGTTTTTTATTTTTTTCTAACCTATCCCAATCGAAAGCTTACCTTTTTTCATATATGAGCCATTTAAAACTCAGAGTGGGACCATGGATCTTTTTGAAGAAATTAATTATAAATCATCATTTTCTATGTAAAATAATGATAAATTATTATTTTCCTCAAAAATTCCTTTAGTCCCACTCTGATTCTTACATATGGCTCATAGAAAAAGGTCACCAGCTTATAGCCCGTGAAAACCCCTTTAAAAACCACTATTCATACTTTAAATTTGATTAATTTTACTTATAAATATATTAAATCAAAAAAAATATTTTTTCAAAAAAATCAAAATTTTGAAACTCCATAACTCAAAAAATATTTTATCAAATTAAAAAAAAATTAATATTTACACTTCTACTAATAATAGTAACATTTTAGCAAAGTTTAGAGAAAATTTATTTTTTGACCTGGGCAGTTGAGGAATTTTGCCCCATATGTTCGTAATTTGTGGTTACGTTTTATTTTTTTACTCCGAATCCCTTTGAGATCCCAAGATAAAATTTACAGGACATGTAAAGCACATTTGCCCTAACATTTAGTAAAATTTTGAAAAAAATCAAAGATGATGTTTTTTCAAAAACGGATTTTTAATTTTTCAAAATTTCAAAAAAAAATTTTGTTTGAATTTTTTTTTCTTATTTTAATTTTAACTTAAAATATACTTAAAACCAAAGAAATCCTTTTTTTAAAATCCAAAATCGGTTAATTAGAACCAAAGTTATAGCACTTTCAAAAAAAGAAGACAAAAATTTTGAAAATGCCATATTTTTGTTAATTTTTAAAATTTTGAAAAAATATTTGGTGGAGTTGTTTATCACTATAAAAGTAATGAATTTACAAAATTACAGCCAAATCCCAACAAGTCATAAAAATAAGTGTGTTGAACTGACGTGGAATCCACCAAATAATAATTTATAGTTATGAAAAATTTAATTTATAATTTTAAATAAAATGTTCTCTTATTTGACTCGGACTGCTGATATATTTTTTTTTTCGTAATTTTTCATTTTTGGCCCGTAAAGTACATATTTTTAAATACTGTGTCACTGGTTCGAGCCCTGATAATTTGTTTAAAAATGTTCATTTTATATTCATAATTTATAACGTTGGTGTGACGTTTACAATAATTTAGAAGAAAAAATAATTTTCTATTCAAACTTTTGTCTTAATAAAACTTTTACAATGTTTCTTGAACAAAAAGTTAAAAAAGGAAAATTTGGTAAACGTAAAATATTGTTTTCTGAGTGAAAAACAGTTTTTTTTTTCTTCAAATCGTTGATGACAAACGTTGTGAATACTTCTCCCACGTCATTTATAAGTGTTATCAAATAAAATTTAAGCAGTGTATTTTTTATTATATGTCGATTCTTAAAAACCTGGAAAAAAATTTTAGAAGGCCTGGAAATCCTGGAAATGTCAGGGAAATTTTTTTCGGATTAGTTGTAGACACCCTGATTAAATCCGATTGTATACCCAAAAGAATATTTGGTTTAGCCAAAAACATTTGCACACAGAGGCCAAGTAAATGTTATTAATATTTCGTAGCATTGGATCTTAATGTGCTCTATTCGCGCAAGGGGAATATTAAGGCTGGCGTAAATTCAATGTCATTACTAACAACTGACTCCTACGGCTAGCAATAGGCTGAAGGTGTAATTATTTGGTAAACCACGGCGCTACCAACACCTTCAGTTAACTCTTACGACATGCTCGGAATCACGGGTGGCCTATTCTGAACCCTAGACCGCTACGGGGCGCGCCTTACTGGACATCAAGATTTACAGCAGATATTTTGCGGAAGAAATTTAATTGAAAATCCTTGTATAACTTTATGTACAAGATCACACACTGTATATCATTTTGTAAGTCAAGTTTTTCTATTTTCGAAGGTAAACGATTTCTAGTATATATATATACGCTTTCTGCTTCATTGTATACCATTTCTGGTCGCAGCCTAAAACAAATCTTTTTGTTTGATGAATAAGTACAAGTTAAGCACACAAACAAGAAAATGTTGATATTAAGAGTCAGTTTCACCAATACTGATTAAATCCTCAATCAACCAATCATGAGTTATTAAGTTCAATGAGACTCACGATTGATTGTGGATTTAATCATTAACTTTTAATTGATTTTGGTGGAATTAGCCCTAAATGTTGGATTGAATTTGGAGAAATTTAGAAAATTTGCAAAATGCAATTGATTTCTAAATTTAAACTTACAAGTGACTTTTTGAGAATAGATAGGTCACCGATCAACGTGACAGGTCGGTTATTTCGTTTTTTATTCTCGTGGTTGTGTTTATAACAGCGTTTCCACATGCAGACGAAATTGGAATGTCAATGCGACCATCGAATCCCTACCATCCCATCTATCCAATATATTGCCCTCTATGACGTCATGAAAGGGAGTGTACTTGGTAGATGGGATAATAGTGGTACGACGATCGCAACGACCAACGACTCTGCGACTGCACATACATGTGGAACCGCTGTCAGCTCCGATGTAAATTCGTGTAATTCAGAAAGATATCGAGTTTACTGTTATGCTCATGAGAAAGGTATCCGCTTATTTTACATAATACTTATTAAAGGGCTGATTCCATTTCATTCTTATTCAAAGTTATGCGAAATATAATTCTTATTTCAAATTTCAGAAATGTCGCATATTCTTATTCAATTTTCCCCAAAATTGTATATAGGTATACCTACCCGGTAAGAAGAGATTAATCAAAACGAATTAAAATGATTCTACAAAATTTCGAAAACAATATTCGTTTGGATTAAAATAGGCTTCGCACTCATCTACTAAAACCTACTATTTACGACTTTTTTTACGTTATGTTACTATTTGGGTACTTTTTTTAATTTTCCAGCCACTAAAAGCTACTATTTTTGTTTTTTTAGAATTACTACTATTTTAAATTCGCTAATTCTAGAAATCAAAAACCTATTCGAAAAAATTATAATCAAATACTTTAAAACGATTCAATTATTCTTAATATCTAGTATTTTCATAAAATTTCTCAAAAGAATTCAATTATTTAAAAAATATTGATTAAACTCATCCAGAATTTAATTAATTTTCATAAATAATAAAATTTCCACAGGAATTCAATTAATTTAGAGCATTTTCAAAAAAATTTCGAAAAATTCAATTGCTTAACAAAACTTTTATACAATTCTTTACAATAATTCAATTCCTTTCGCACTAATAATAACACTTTTCAATGAAATTTTAATAACATTTAAAATAATTTTTGTTAAATTCTAAGCAAGAATCCAATTATTTTCATAAATAATAAAACTCATCGAAAAATTTCAATTATTTTTAATACTATTTTAAATTAATTAATCGAAAAATTCAATTATTTTCACAATTTAAGTTTTTCACAAGAATTCAATTATTTAAAATAAAATTTTCATAATATTTATTATATTTCGAAAAAATTAATTATTTAAAACAATGTTTATAAAATTCTTATAAAGATTTAACTATTTTCAAAAAAACACAAAATTTTGCATAGAAGTTCAATTATTTTTGAAAATTTTAATAATATTTTTCGCAATAATTCAATTATTTTCAGAAATAATAAAATTCATCGCAGGATTTCAATAATTTTTACTACAATTTTACAGAAATTGCTAAAAAAAATATAATTATTCTTGAAAATTTAATATCAGTTCATCGAAAAAATAAATTATTTTAATAAAAAAATCTTTTTTTAAAATTCTTTGCAAGAATTCAATTATTTACAAAAATATTAACTTTTTTCACAGGAATTTAATTATTTTCAAATATTTCAATAAAATTGTTCTAAGGAAATCAATAATTCGAAAGAAAATCAATACAGATTTTAATCAAATTCTTCTCAAGAATTCAATTATTAACATTTTAATAATTCTTCGAAAGAAAAAGAATTCAATTATGTCGATAAATAACAAAATTATTCCCGAAAATTCAATTACTTTGAGGCATTTTAGTAAACTTCTTTGCAAAATTTAATTATTTTTACACATAGATAACAATATTAGTACTAAACATATTCATCATAATAATTCAATTATTTTTAAAAGTAATAAATTTCTTCTTGAAAATCCAATAATTTAAAAAAATTCTAACAAAATCGTTCGCAAGAATTAAATTATTTTCGTAAATAATAATAAGAAGTTTACTAAAATGCCTCAAAGCTTTTTTAAATAATAAAATGCTTTTCAGGAATTCAATTATTTTTGAAAATTTAAATAAAATTCTTCTCTTTCTTTCCTTTAATTCTTTATTTCAAAAATAATAAAATTCATCGCAGAATTTCAATTATTTTTAATATAAGTTAACAGGAATTGCTCAAAAAATGTAATTATTCTTAAAAATTAAATTTCAATTACTCAAAAAAATAAATAATTATTTAAAAAATGTTTTTTTTAAATTCTTTAGAAGAATTTAATTATTTATAAAAATATGAAAATTTTTTACAGGAATTCAATTATTTTTAAATATTTTAATTCAATTTTTTTTAAATAATTCAATTATTCTTTTAGATTATAATAGAATTCTTCCCAAGAATTCAATTATTCTTATGGATTTTAATAAAATTCTTCTCAAGATTTCAATTATTTACATAAATATTTCTTCAAAAGAATTCAATTATATCGATTTATAACAAAATTATTCCCGAAAATTCAATTATTTTGAGACATTTAATAAAATGCTTTGCAAAATTCAATTATTTTCATAAATAACAATATTCATCACAAGAATTCAATTATTATTAAAAGGAATAAATCCCTTCTTAAAAATTCAATTATTTTTAAAAATTTGAAGAAAATCGTTCACAAGAATTCAATTATTTTAATTGAATTCTTTGTAAAGGTTAATTATTTTTAAAATCATTTCGCAATATAATGCTTTTGAATATTTACAATTTTCATAAAATTTCCAAACAGAATTCAATTACCTATTTAAAAAATTGTTTGCAAAAATTTTCATAAAAATTCAATTCTCTTCATGAATAATAAAAATTTCTCAGGAATTCAATTATTTAAATTAGAATTTGCATAAAATTAGTCGAAAAAAATCAATTATTTAAAAATTTTTATAAAATCCTTGACAAGAATTAAAATATTTTTATAAATTCTTTTAAATAATAATAATAATTCTTTTATAAATTCTTATTTAAATTCTTTCATGATGAATAATAAAATTCGTTGCAGGAATTGAATTTATTAGCAGGATAAGAAAGAAGTAAATATTTTTGATGAAAATTAGGAAAAAGTGAGAAAAATAAAAGATATGGAATGTAATTTTTGTCAGTTTTGTTAAGTGCCTAAAAATAGTTTTTTTTTTGTCGTCAAGTTTAATTTTTTGATAGATACTTTTTTACTACTTCTTTTTAGTTTTAAAGCTACTTTTTGCTACTTTCTTAAAATTAATTATCGACTGCGATCGAATGTCTGTTAAAATTACTATAAATTTTGAAGTCATTTTAAAGCGCTTTAATTTATTTTTATTACAAAGAATAATTAATGTTTCAACATATTAGTTTGGATTAAAAAGGTTAAAAAATGAGCGATATTTGTAAATATTTCAATTTTTTCAATTCAACTCCTTCTTACAGGGTATGTCTTATCAAAGATAAGAGTGTAAAAGACATTCAAATTTTTGCGTGAAATGTAAAATTCCTATTCAGAATTAAAAACTCCTGAGAAGCTTTCCATGTGGGAATGGAAAAGAATATGTAATTCTAAAGAAAATTGCAAGAATGCAAATTAAGTTTGTAATCTGGTGAACATTATGCAAAACCCAAAATGCATATACTTTGCAAAATTTTTCTGTTTTTAACACACCCTATTGAGAAAAATATAATCTTCTAAGAACACTAGAAACTTTATAAAGAAAATGTTTAAAATTGAACTGAAAAAAACGAATATTATTTAAAATATGCCGTGTATTACAGAAAAAAATCGAGTCATAAAAAAACTCCTCTCTAAAAATGATACTTATATATAGGAGGAAACTCAAATCGAACATGAAAAAAGTATCGAAATAAAAACATTAGCATTGAAAATGTTAAATATAAATAGAAGGGCGAACTCAAGTGCTAGGTTTTCTTATCTAAATAGTAACAGAAAATGCATGTTATGACGTGGAATATAAATAAAGAGGCGCATGATTATTCCCCAAAGGTCTTTTTACTCAAACGCATTTGACTTGAATTGATTTGCCAAAATTATAAAACCACTGCCAAGTTGTACATTTTTATAATTTTGGTGTTCATTTCATGAACACTTTGCTTCCTCATAGAAATAATAATAATTGAAATATAAGAATTAATTTTTATAAAAGAGTTAAAAATCATTAAATCTTGGTCCCAAAAATATGTTTTTATATATTCTATAAGATGGTTGTAATAGTTTAATAATTACACATAAGTTAATAAACAAGAATGTTGAAAAAATGATATTTTCCACAATTCTTGATTTTTCAAATACCAATAATTTGATAATTTCTGACCGAATCAGGTTCAAAAATATATCAATCGAAGCGTTTTTTAATGCTCTAGAAGTTGGTAACGATACTTTTAAAGTTAAGAATTTTTTGTGTCTTTATTTTTAACACATTGACTTGGAGGATTGCGTTAATTAACTTTCCATCTTATATAATACACTATAATTAAAAAAGCATATTTTATTTATATTCCACGTCAACATGCGTTTACTCTGTTATTATTTAGATAAGAAAAATCAACACTTGATGAATACGCCCTTCAATTACTATTCTGCATTTTCAATGCTTTTTTTATATTGATACCTAGTTATAAATAGTGTTCGACTCGAGCTTTCTCCTAAGTGTCAGTTTTTTTCTAAGAGTTTCTTTTCTATGAACTCAATTTTCTTTATCTCCTTATGATACTTTTGTATCTACAAGTGGATATTCTTTTTAAGGGGACAGGGCATAGTATAATTTCCATACTCTCCTCTTTTTCATACTCACTTGCTACTCACTCATCGAATCTTTGTATATTTTTCTAGTTTCTACAATAATTTGCTTTAAACATCTATTAATTTCATTTTGAATTTTGTTTTTCATCTAGTTCTACTGATTATTAATTTCATGTGAGTTTGAGGGCTTAAATTGCGGCAACATCTCATTTCTTAATAGACTCAGCAGAGAAACATATTTATTATTTATGTAATTATATTACTTCATTGTTATGATTACACTGTAAGATTTACTACAACAACTGGTTACATGGGGGTTTTCGGAGTCGCTAATTACGAATTTTAATTAATTAATTTTTGAATAAAAAACAATAATTTTTAATAATAACAGATTTCGCACTCGATAATTAACTTTAAAAAAGTAGCAAAATAGTAACTTTCGAACTAAAAAAAATAGTAAAAAGTAGCTATCAAAAAATTAAACTTGATGAACAAAAAAACTCGTTTTAGACACTTCATAAAACTAACAAAAATTTCAATCCATATTTTTTATTTACCTCACTTTATCCTAATTTTCATCAAAAATATTTACTTCTTTCTTATCCTGCTAATAAATTAAATTCCTGCAAAAGAATTTTATTGATCATGAAAAAATTTAAATATTTATAAAAATAATTTAATTCTTGCGAAGAAATTTATGAAAATTTCCAAATAATTAATTTCTTTCGACTAATTTTATGCAAATTCTAATTTAAATAATTGAATTCCTGAAAAATTTTTATTATTCATGAAAAGAATTGAATTTTTATGAAAATTTTTGCAAACAATTTTTTAAATAGGTAATTGAATTCTGTTTGGAAATTTTATGAAACTAGTAGATATTCAAAATCATTGAATTGCGAAAAGTTTTTAAAAATAATTAAATTATACAAAAAATTTAATTTTTTGACAATAATTGAATGTCTGTGCGGTATTTTATTAAATTTTTTTCTAAATAATTGAATTCCAAAAAAGCATTTTATTATTTATTTAAATAATTGAATTCTTGAGAACGACTTTATTAGAATGTTTTAAATAATTGAATTTTCAAGAAAAAATTTATTACTTTTAAAAATAATTGAATTTCTGTAATGAATATTGTTATTTATGAAAATAATTGAATTTTGCAAAGAATTTTATTAAAATGCCTCACAATAATTGAATTTTCGGGAATGATTTTGTTATTTATTGACATGATTGAATTCTTTTGAAGAATTATTTATGAAAATAATTGAATTATTGGGAAGAATTTTATTAAAATCTAAAAGAATAATTGAATTATTTGAAAAAAATATAATTAAAATTGTATTTAAAATAATTGATTTTTTTCGAAAAATTTTATTAAAATATTTGAAAATAATTGAATTCCTGTGAAAAATTCTGATATTTTTGTAAATAATTAAATTCTTCCAAAGAATTTGAAAAAAACTTTCTTTAAATAATTGATTTTTTCAACAAATAATTGAAATTAAATTTTTAATAATAATAACATTTTTTGAGCAATTCCTGTAAAATTGTATGAAAAATAATTGAAATCCTGCGATGAATTTTATATTACTTATGAAAATAATTGAATAGTTGCTAAGAATTTTATTAAAATTTTCAAAAATAATTGAATTTCTGTGAAAAATTTTGTTATTTTTGAAAATAATTGAATTCTTTATAAGAATTTTATAAACATTGTTTTAAAATTTAATTTTTTCGAAGAACTTAATGAAAATTGTATTTTAAATAATGAGTTCTTGTAAAAATTGTAATATTTATGGAAATAATTGAATTCGAGCGAAGAATTTTATTAAAATTTTAGAAAATCATTCAATTCTTTATAGGAAATTTTATGAAAATAGTAAATATTAAAATAATTAAATTTCGAAAAATTTTTGAAAATAATTAAATAATTGAATGTCTGTGTGGTATTTTATTAAATCTTTTTGAAAATAATTGAATTTCTAAAAAGCATTTTATTATTTATCAAAATAATTGAATTCTTGAGAAGAATTTTATTAAAATTGAAAAGAATAATTGAGTTATTTCAAAAAAATGTAAATTGTATTTAATATATTGATTTCTTTCGAACAATTTTATTAAAATATTTGAAAATAATCGAATTCCTGTGAATAATTCTAATATTTTTGTAAATAATGGAATTCTTCCAAAGAATTTAAAAAAAACATTATTTTAATTAATTGATTTTTTCGAGAAATTGAAATTAAATTTTTCAGAATAATTACATTTCTTGAGCAATTCCTGTAAAATTGTATGAAAAATAATTGAAATCCTGCGATGAATTTTATTACTTATGAAAATAATTGAATATTTATACTAAAAATTTTATTAAAATTTTCAAAAATAATTGAATTTCTGAGAAGAGTTTTCTTATTTATGAAAATAATTGAATTATTGCGAAAAATGTTATTAAAATGTTTAAAATTAATTGAATTTCTGTAAAAAATGTTGTTATTTTTGAAAATAATTAAATTCTTCATAAGAATTTTTTAAACATTGTTTTAAATAATTAATTTTTTCGAAACAAAATAAATATTATGAAAATTTTATTTTAAATAATTAAATTTTTGTGGAATACTTTATTTGTGAAAATAATTGAATTTTTCGATTAATTAATTTAAAATAGTATTAATAATAATTGTTAAATTGAACGAACTTACCTTGTGAAGTTTGATTTAAATTGTATTTCGCGCCTCCTCCGAATAGATCAACTTGTAGTTTCCCTAATTTATACCATTTTTGTCACATTTTTAAAGTAATTAAAATTAAAAATTTGAAGATCACACAGCTCCTTCACGCCTATATTCCGGTTCGTTGTGAATTTTTCATTATTTTAAAGCATTGCCATAATTATTAAATTTTGGGTTATTTTTTCTTAGAAAATAATAAAGGGTGTATTGTATCATTTAGGATGGGTTTGATCTATTCGGAGGAGGCGCTCATACAATTTTAATCGAACTTCACAAGGTAAGTTCGTTCAATTTAACAATTGTATTTCGCGCCTCCTCCGAATAGATCAACTTGTAGTTGTTTAAAGTAAATTATGGCAGAGTTCCATTTTTTAATATTTTATTTTAATAAGAATATTACAACATTTATTAAGACTTATTGTAATTATAATTTTTATAATAATTAATATGTAATTTAATTAAGAACTTTAATTTCTCAAAATAGCATTAGCAAACTGACGATTGTCGGCAGTAATTTTTCTGTCGTAAAATCTAGCGAAAGTGTTGGAGTTCTCAGTCCAACCTGCAGTTTTCCTGATAGTATCAAGATCTACGCCTAATCTTTTAGCTGCAGAAGTTGCAGCATGACGTGTGCTGTGAGAAGAAAAAATTTCTGTATCTATTCCGCAAGTTTGTAAAACTTGCTTTACCCAACGACTTAACGTTTGTGAAGTTACTCGTTCGTAAGGTTTTCGATGTGAGATAAAGAGAATTTTTTCAGATTTACGTAAATTTTTCGTCTTTTTTAGGTAACAAATAATTGCCGACGCTACGCAAATATTTTGTTCCGAATAGAAGGGTAGGATTAGCAAAGGTTGAGTTTTGTTTTTAATTGATGTTTTAATGCGATCAGGGATTTTTATTTCGATAGAGTCATTTTTAATCTTAATATTGTCGATATTTATTAAAGAAAAAGTTTGAATTCTATGACCCGTTACTAGAGCAAGAAGTGTTATGATTTTCTTGGAAAGATCTTCTAAATTTAATTTTGTATTTTCAGATTGAGATCGATAATGGTCAAGTACTAATTTTGGATCCCACGTGGAATCATAACGTGGTTTTGATGGTCTTAAACCAGACACACCTTTGAAAAAACGTTTGATCAGGGGATCATTTGCTATTGGAGAATCAACTATCAAGGAGATGGCTGATCTTGTGGAGTTGATTGAACTTCGAGATAGACCCTTGTCGTATTCTGTGGTTAAAAAAGATATTACTTTTGCGATAGAGGGATTGAATGTGTCAACTGACTCTTTTTTACAAAATGTCCACCATTTTTTCAAGGCTGTGTCGTAAGTTTTGAGAGAAGCTGAACTTAAAGATCCAATCATGATATTTATTGACTCTTCTGGAGATCCGTGTCTTAACATGGCCTCCCTGATAATTTCGCGGATACCAGGATAAGGCTCTTCCAGAGAGGGTGATGACTCCTGTCACAAGAAATTAAAAGATTTTTATCAGGATTTAAAGTAATTACTTCAGAAATTATCATAGATTGAAATAGTGGGTACCATGGCTGAGTTGGCCTATCAGGTACAACCATAATTCCCTCTGCTCGATCTGATTTTATTTTTCTAAGAGTTTTTAAAATTATACTGAAGGGAGGAAAAGCATAAAATTGAAATTGGCTCCAGTTCAAAGTGAAAGCATCCACTGCCTCAGATCCAGGGTCTTTAAACCAAGAAAGTAACGAGTGCATTTTTTGTTTGTACGGCTTGCAAACAGATCTATTTTCGGCTTTCCGAAGGTTTCAATTATTAATTTAAAAGCTGACTTGCATAACTCGAATTCTGTTTCTGGTTCTAACTTTCTGGATTCAGTGTCTGCTTCAAAATTGTCCTTTGAACTAATGTAAGAAGCGAATATCCAAATATTACGCCTCTCACACCATTGCCAAATTTCTCTCGTGATTTGATTCAGGTTTTTTGATCTTATACTTCCCATTTTATTAATAAAAGATATAGCTGTCGTGTTATCTATTCTAAGTAGAATATCACAATCATGAAAGTTTTTTGGAAAACATTGGAGTCCAAAAAATGCTGCCTTTAATTCAAGGAAATTGATGGAATTTTTTCGTTCATCAGTAGACCAGAAACCATTTACTTTTTCATGATTGCATACCGCTCCCCAACCTGATAGCGAGGAGTCAGAAAAAATTTCCAAGACAAAATTGACCGCTTTTATGGAATTGTAACTTGATTCAATATGCGATTTCCACCATTGAATATCAGTCATGATAGGTTCTACAATCATAAAAGCATCGTAATTCCTGGAATTTTTTTCTAGAGCTAAAAATTTTTGTCTTTCAAAATTTTAAGTGTAAACCCAACTATATTTAACTGCAGGACAAGAAGCTACAAGTACACCAATAAATTTAGCGAAATCTCTGATTGGACATTTAATATTTTTACTATACGTATTTAATAGACTTTGAATTTTTGTACGTTTGTCAGCGGGAAGTCTTAGAGTCATTGAACGGGAATTATAAATAAAACCCAAAAATAAACGCTCTTGGTTAGGATCGGGTTGGCTTTTCTTATCATTGATTAAAAAACCTAAATCTTCTAAGGTTTTCTTAGTTTTAATAAGATTCTTGGTACAATTTTCATAAGTGTCCCCAAAAAGAAGAAAATCGTTCAAGTATATAACTGAAAGAAATCCTTGTTTTCTTAGAGAATAAACAACAGGTTTCATAAGTTTTGTAAAGACCTGAGGGGCTGTACATAGTCCGAAGGGTAAGCAAGTAAATTCAAATAGCTCTCCATTAAATTCAAATCGTAAAAATTTTCTGTCAGATTCTTTAATGGACACTAAGTTAAATGCATCTTGTAAATCAAGCGTAGACATATAAAAGTTTCGCTCCATAAGATTTATAGCAGTTCTATAATCTTCAAGTTTAAAATGTACGGTTAATATAAACTTATTTAATTTTTTAAGATTCAAAATAAATCTATAGGATCCATCAGGTTTTGGAACCAGAAAATAGCTTGATAAAAATTGACCCTCTGAAGGAGAGCATTTTTTAAGTACACCTTTATTTTTTAATATAAGGATTGATTCTGACATTTGTTTCATTTCTGTATCTGACCGATTTGAATTATGTGGAAAGACTGATTGATGGGGTGTTTTAATAAACGGAATTTTATAACCTTTTATGTAAGAAAGAATTACTGGATCTGAGGTTAGAGCCGCCCAGTTATCATAATAATTGCTCAATCTGCCAGCTATGTTACTTACAGAATTTTCTAATTCTTTTTCGGATAATCTTTCCTGTACGATGTCTTGTTCCATGACGTCTGGGTTCGATAAGACTTGGGATGTCCAGCTTGAGTTTTCCTTTGCCCGTTCTGCGGTGCTGGGTATGTTCTCTGACGACTGCGAGGAGCGAACGGGCTTTTCCAGTTTTTTGTCTGTTGACGATGTAATCTTGGTGGTCGAAGGGCTTTTGTTGAAGACTCCATTAATTTTGCAGACTTCAATGTCTCCACTACATTTTTACCGAATAAAAATTCGTCTGTCGATGTTGATTTTAATGGTTCTTTCAAAGTTTCGTCAACATTAGCAATAATTAAATTTTTTCGAATAACAGATTCGTTGAATTGTAAATCGACAAGTAAGCGGCTGGCATCACTCAGAGTTTCGATGAGAGGAATTTCTTCTGCGTTTTCCCTTTTTATAACTAAAGACATACATTTTGCTATGGCTGAAATGCAGACCAAAATTTTTTCTTGCTTGCTCACGATCCTTTTGTCTCTTAATAGAGATGAAGGTTTTTCCTTAAAGGCCAGTTTAACTTCCTCATTTAGTTTTGGAGGATCGAGCATGGTACAATTACCAGGAGGTGGATATTTGACTGTCAGAGTTTTTATTTCTTCTGTAGGTAATCCTAATTTGATTATATCAGACCAGCGATCGACAAAATCGTTGTGAAGATCTGGTGCACATGTTCTGCCCGTTTGTCGTTTTCCTATTACATTTATTATTTTTTCGGAAAGAGCACTTGCGTGGGAGATTTCCTTAGATGTCGAGCATGATGGTTCATCTAATATATTCTTTTTGGATGTTCTAGGGGAATCGATTTGTTCAAAATCCGAAAAAGAAGCGTTCTCGCTTAAATCGGAGTCAAAACTTTTTTCAGAGGATGAGAAGTCAATTCGTCTTGATTTTTTCTTCCGATCATTTGATTGTTTCCCTATTGGACTTGTATCCCGCGACGAAATGGAAGATTCTTCATCTGACGTTGAATCACTGCGTTTTCGATTAATTTGTTTTTTATACTTCTTCTCGAACTCTTCTAACTTTTTTAAACGTTTTAAAATATCACTTGAATCTGGGGATTTATCCTTCTTTTTACCCATTTTAGAAAATGGATGTGACTAGTTGGCACAAAACAAGAGAATGAAAAATTCACAACGAACCGGAATATAGGCGTGAAGGAGCTGTGTGATCTTCAAATTTTTAATTTTAATTACTTTAAAAATGTGACAAAAATGGTATAAATTAGGGAAACTACAAGTTGATCTATTCGGAGGAGGCGCGAAATACAATTGAAATTGTTCGATGAGTTTCATTATTTATAAAAATAATTGACTTCATGCTTAGAATTTTGTCAAAAATTTTTATAAAAAATTGAATTTCCATGAAAAATGTTATTTATTTAAGTGAAAGTAATTGAATTATTGTGAAGAATTGTATAAAAATTTGGTTAAACAATTGATTTTTTCGAAATTTTTTCGAAAATGCTATTCTAAATTAATTGAATGCCTTTGGAAATTTATTTATAAAAATAATTGAATTTTGGATGAATTTTATTTATCAATTTTTTTGTAAATAATTGAATTGTTTTCCGAAATTTTATGAGGATACTAGATATTGAAAATAATTGAATTTTGAATATTTTTTGAAAATAATTGAATTGTTTTAAAAAATTTGATTGTAATTTTTGAGAATAATTTTTTGATTTCTAGTATTGATGAATTTAAACACCATGATATTTGCGATGATATATTTACGATCCCAGTTGCCGTCCTATTTACAATCCTTTTTTCAATAGGCAGTGTGATTCTGACTTGAGGGTAATATACATATTTAAAAACGTCAATTGTTCAAGAAGAGGGATCGAGACAATCTTCAGACGTAGAAGTTCCTCTTGACTCTAGAGAGGAAGTATTCATTGATATAAATATTGGCAAATATACAAGTGTTCAAGTGCCTATTGGGAAAAGAGAGAGAAGAGAGTGCATGAAGCAGAGAAGCCTATAAAGTGAAAAAGATTTAGCAATTATTTTTTTTTGTTATTGTCTGTAAAAATGTAGATTATATAAACCATTACTTTACCAGTAGTATTTAACAATACTTTTTTATTAATTTACATAAACGTTTATGAATATATCTCTTAAAAAGTATATTCATAAAAAAAAAAAATTTCAAAAATTATGTTAGAAGCATTAATATATTTAACTTCGATATTCCAAATAAGGAATATTTAATAAGATAAGATCTGAGACAAGAATTCTTTTGTAGTATTTAATTCAGAACAGGAATTATATTTCACGGAGACTTGAATAATACTTTTATTACACAGATTCTTCAGTACAATATTACAGGCTACTTGTATTTCACCAGAATCCGAAGAATACAACATTTGGAGAGATTTTGTTTGTTTTCTACTCACATTTCTTAAACGATCATCTCGTTATATGGCAAATCATATCATACACAATTTCTCTAATGTCTAATATCAGGGTTGTGTCTAAAAATTTTTAAAAATAATAAATATTAAAAAGAAGTAATTCTTCTTAAACTTCTTTTTATTTGCCTTGTAAACTTTGAAATCATTACGAATTTTAAAACAAAAACTTAAATTTTGTTTATTGGACTTTACATTTTACATTATTATTATTATTTATAAATTATGTAACAAATACGTCTTAAATTAAATAAAAATAAATCTTAAATATTAATAAAATAAATTAAATATTAAATATTAAATATTAAATTAAATATTTAATTAAATATTAATCTTAAATATTTAAATTTTTCATTTTATAAATAGTTTTGATTTAAAAATTCTGAAAAAGATCTAGTTCTTAAAAAATTTTTATTTAAATTTTTTTTAAATTAGTTGATTTTTTAAATATAATATTTAATTAAAAAATTTTCGATTAATCAAAATTTCGTAAAATGGAATTTCTAAAAATTTTAATTTTCAATTTTCAACAATTTTAACAATTTTTCAAATCTGACAATTTTGAATTCATAACAATTATTATTTATCAGAACTACCTATTTTAGGTGAACTTTCTTTTTTACCTTTAATAATTGAATTCTCAAAGAATTTTTTTTAAAACTATTAAAAATAATTGATTTATAGAATAATTTTTGTTAAACATTCTAGAAAATAATTGAATTTCAAGCTGTGTGCAAATTTTATTTTTTGAATATCTTATTTTAATGACAATTAACTATTTAATAGTATTTGGTACTTTCCTTAGATTTCAGCCACTAAAAGCTACTATTTCTGTTTTTTTTTTAGAATTTCCACTACTAATTCGCTAATACTAGAAATCAAAGACTATTCTCAAAAATTATAATTAAATTCTTGAAAACGATTCAATTATTTTCAAAAAATATTCGAAATTAAATTATTTTCAATATCTATAGTATTTTCATGGAATTTCGCAAAACAATTCAATTATTAAAAAAAAAAAAATTGATAAAATTCATCAAAAATTTAATTATTTTCATAAATAATAAAATTTACACAGGAATTCAATTACATAATTTAGAATATCAGTTTCAAAAAAATTTCAAAAAAATCAATTATTTAACAAAATTTTTATACAATTCTTCACAATAATTCAATTGCTTTCACTAATAATTAACATTTTTCATGGAAATACAATTTTTAAAATTTTTTTTATAAAATTCTTATGAAGAATTCAATTTTTTAAAAAAAACATTTTTCATAAAAATTAAATTCTTTTTAAACATTTCAAAAAAAAATTTCGCAATAATTCAATTATTTTCATAAATAATTAAATTCTCCTAAAGAATTCAATTATTTTTAAAAGTAATGAATTTCTGTTTAAAAATTCAATTATTTAAAAAATTCCAATAAAATCGTTCACAAGAATGTAATTATTTTGAAAAATAATAAAATGCTTTTTCGGAATTCAATTATTTAAAAAAAAATTTAATAAAATACCACACAGACATTCAATTATTCTCAATAATTTTAATAGAATTCTTTGTAAAATTTAATTATTTTTAAAAACTTTTTTACAATTCAATGTTTTATAATATTGACTATTTTCATAAAATTTCCAAACAGAATTCAATTGTTTAAAAAATGTTTTGTTAAAAGCTGCGTAAGAATTCAATTCTTTTCATGAATAATAACAATTTTTCATGAATTCAATTATTTAAATTAGAATTTGCATAAAAAATTAGTCGAAAGAAATCGATTATTTAAAAATTTTCATAAAATTCTTCGCAAGAATTAAATTATTTTTATAAATATTGAAATTCTTTGATAAATAATAAAATTCGTTGCAGGATTTGAATTTATTAGGAGGATAAGAAAGAAGTAGGGGAGAGTCTCCAGTTGTGAGACACCTCCAGTTGTGAGACAGTCAATTTTTTTTAACATGCAATATTAAAAATCCGATTGGTTTATATAAAAACATTTCTTTTTACATGAGCCAACTTTTTCGTGTACGCCGAAGCGGATATATTAACTGTTTTTGTTAATTACCAACACTGTGTGTGACAATCGACTAAAAAGCGTTTTTTCAATAAATGCAAAGTACTTTTTTTCCAAGTTAATTAATTGGAAAAGGTAAATGTAATGCATTTTCTTTTAGTGTTTTCCTTATATTTTGTTATGCAATATTGCATTGTTCCAATCGACGGTTGAAAATGATTTAATTTTCCTTTTTCAAAATAGCGCCAATTTCTGGGTGTGAGACACAGCATATCACCAGTTGTGAGACGGTGTCAACACCCATCTGGGCAGCATAAAAAATACGACTTTGCAGGGATACTATTTAAATGTTGTTTTGATTTTTTTTTCTAGTATTTTTGGGCATGTCAAGTGGAAAAAAGTTAATTGATTCAGAAGAAATCAATTTTAATGCTCTTGTTGAAGCTATTAAATTGTGTTTATTTGATATTCATATTTTGGCGAATAAATATTATTATTTAGTATATAATAATATATATTATTAATATATTTAATTATTTCTACTAAACATAACGTTTTATGTCAAACTTATTAAATTTTAGCAATTTTTAATGAGTGTCTCACAACTGGAGACATTTTTTTTTTTTGAAAAAAGCGATGTGCTCGGAAAATGTATCGTAAAATTTTTTGAGTTCATCGAAACACTATACTTTCTTTTAATAAAAGTTGCGTATTTCTGTTACCTTTCGAACGGTGTATTTTATTTACAATTTCGTTTACCTGTTTACAATTTACGGGTCAAAAATGAAACCCGTCTCACAACTGGAGACTCTCCCCTAAATATTTTTGATGAAAATTAGGAAAAAGTGAGGAAAATAAAAAATATGGAATATAACTTTTTTCAGTTTTGTGAAGTGTCTAAAACGAATTTTTTTGGTCGTCAAGTTTAATTTTTCGATAGCCACTTTTTTACTACTTTTTTTTAATTTGAAAGCTACTTTTTTTAAAATTGATTATCGAGTGCAAAGTCTGAGTATATAAAGTCATTAAAAATTTAAATAGTTTTTTACGAATGAATAATAGAAATAATCAATGTTCATAATGATGAAAATAAGTTCCCAGTTAAAAAGGAATTACCGAGTAAACAGTTTGGATGATTGAGCAAGCCATCTGCTCAATTGTCCAAACAACATAATTGGACAATTAGACTGGTTTGCTCAATCATCCAAACCGCAGGCTCAATAATTTTTTTTTTTTTACTTAAGTGAAAATTCTGCTATACATATAACTTTGGAAATTAGTCGTAAGAGCACTCACCTGAGTACTATTTTTTGTACAAATGTCAGCAATGTCAAAAACTTATTTTTTTGGGTTTTATTACTTGAAAAATGTTACGTCATATAAAATGTAGTGTAGAATAATAAAGATATGTTTGATATTTACCTGTACACCAAAAAGTTGAAGCATGGTCGTTAAAACGAGCGCCTGCATGGAGATAAACATGTAATGACACTTAGAGGGTGAAAGGTCCCTGAGTGTTCGATTTTTCGTTTATTCACTGAATATTTACTTGAAGAAGAAACAACTACACACTTAGGGAAAAAAATTGTGAAGTTATTTCTTCTTCAAGTAAATATTCAATTGTTCTAAAATGCGTATGTTTTTAAAATTTTATTATCGTAAAAAAATGATTCAAAAATGTCATTTTTAATGATTTGTCTATAATTTGTTTTAACATTATAAAAATCGAAATAAGTTGCATTTTATACAAAAAATGTGGTATTTTGTTGCAATATTTGCAAGAAAAAATTTAAAAAAAAAAAAAAAATTATTATTATTATTATTATTGTTATTATTAATTAATTAAAATTTAAAATTAAATCCAATTCAATCATTATCTTGGGTTTAATAAATTGGTTTAAACTAAATTTATATCAAATCATTGTACATTTATTTGTAATAAAATAAAACATAATACAATATTGCACTAATAATATAATGCAAGGTATGAAGGTTTATTTCACAAAAACCAATTTAAATATATGTTTTCTTATAATCTCTTAAAAGTATCTCAGAAAAGAGAAAATAATGGCAAATATATGGAAAAATAAATAAAGATATTCGAATAAGTTACACGTACAAGAAACTCAAGTTGCAGTTTTTATTTTTAATGGAATCCAGCTCATATGTGAAAAAGACCCCAAAATTTGTGACTTAGAACAAAATCATATCCCTCAGAAATCAAAATTTTTGAAAGAATTTTTCTTGATTTACTTTTTAATTGAGTTGGTAATTTGGCTCCTATAAATTAATTTTGTATCTATACTCAAAGAGTTTGAAACTTTTTTAACTAAATAAATTTTTAAAAATTTTTATAATAAGCCTTTTAACGAATTAAACTTAAAACTAAAATTTTGGCTCGTAAAAATTAATCAGTTCATATTTATTTACATAGTACTTTCTATCAATTGTGACTTTACTTCATAATCTGATAAAATATATCAAAAAAAAAAAAACCGAATATGTACAAAAATAAAAATTTAGAAATACCTATTTTTATAAATTTCCGTAAAATTTGAATATTTAAGGATTTGGAAAAAATCAAATTCACTGTTTTTTCTGTCATATTAAATACAAAAATCATTGTAGGGTGTCTACTATTTTCGTTCAACAAAATTCCCGTTTTTTTTTTCTCATAAAATTTGAATTTATTTGATTTCGAACATAAATAAATCTACAAATGTCTTCAAAAATTTTTATTAAAGTTTTTATGAATAATTAAATTCTTTTGACGAGTTTCTTTAAATTTTTTGAAAATAATATTTTTTTAATACCTAATTTTAATTAAAAATTTGGAAAATAATTGAATGTCTTCAAAAATTTTTATTACAATTTTTATGAATAATTAAATTCTTTTGACGAGTTTCTTTAAATTTTTTGAAAATACATAATGTTTTTAGAACCTAATTTTAATTAAAAATTTGGAAAATAATTAACTGTCTTCAAAAATTTGTATTGCAGTTTTTATGAATAATTCAATTCTTTTGACGAGTTTCTTTAAATTTTTTGAAAATAATATTTTTTTTAGTAATTTTAATTAAAAATTTGGAAAATAATTGAATTAAACAAAGAATTTTTTCAATTTTTTAAAATAATCTTGGCAGCTCATAATTATAATTGAAAATTTGATTAATTCAATTTTATTAAAATGTATTCATACCTAATTGAATTTCTGCAAAGAATTTTACTATTTATAAAAGTAATTGAATCCTACCAAAGAATTTTATTATTTATGAAAATAATTAAATGTTTGCGTAGAATTTTATTAAAATTTTTGAAAATAAATTAATTGTGCAGAAATAATTTAATTATTTATAATATTGAACTTTTGAGTAGAATTTTCAAAAAATTTTCAACATAATTGAATTTCTACGAAGAATTTTATTAATTTTGAAAATAATTGAATTGTTTTTTTTAGAATTTAATGAAAATTTATGAAAATAATTGGATTCTTGTGAAGAATTCTTTTTATTAATAATATTCAAAAGAATTTTGCATTTTATGGAAATAATTGAATTCTTTCGACGAATTTGAAGAAAAATTTTTAAGAATAATTACATTTTTCGAGGAATTTTATTAAAATTGTATTAAAAATAAATAAATAATTGAAATTCTGCAATGAGTTTTAAAATTTATGAAAATAATTGAATATATTGCGAAGAAATTTTTGAAAATAAAATTATAATTACGGTGACTAACTTCCCTTGATTATTTTCGAAAAATTTAAATAAAATTCTTTGAAAGAATTTAATTATAATTTTTAACAGAATATAAATAAATTTTAATTATTTCAAAAATTTTCAATTATTTGTTTATAAAAATTCATTTAAAAATTCAATTCTTGAAACAATAGAATTGAAAATTTTCAAAAATCTTATTTTTCAGAAGTTTCAAAAAAAAACTTTGCGAAAATTCAATTTTATTAAAAAATTTTAAAGTTCATCAAATTCATTATTTTTAACTAATTCAAATTTAGAAAACAGTATAAATATACATGAAAATTGAATTAAAAAGCGATTTTTCAAAACCAAATTAAAATAATAAAACTTTTTTTAATTTGGTGAAAAAATTTCTGGTTTATTCCCGGTTTTTCCGGTCAAATTAAAATTCCGGCTATTTCCTGGATTTCCGGGTTAGTAGACTCCCTGCATTGGTTTATAAATTATTGAAAATAATATTTAATGGCATGTTAATTAACTAAAATAAATAAAACTAAAATTTACACTTTTTAGAAAAGAAAATAATATAAGAATATACGTGAAATAGTTTAGCGGATTAAAAATTCTAAAGTACCTTTAACATAGTAAAAAAGAATTAAATAATTTTCCTACTTGAAAATTATATTTTACAAAGAAAAAGCTAGTTTAAAAAAATTGTATAATTATTTTGATACATTTTTCTTGGCCTTTTTTTTAACGCATTCGCTGATTCTTTATTTACAAAAAAAGACTCCAAATTGAGTTTGCTGGACATGCAGTGCGCATTTGTCCTGTGATATTAATTTTTCCATTAAAGAAATATCCAAGGTGTATAAGATCTGCTTAAATACAACACAATATAGTAAAAGTACATTTTTCACTGTCACCGTATAATTACGAGAAATATGTTTCTTCAAGCTTCAATTTTAAATACATACACGCGGCACAATTATTTATTTTGTGTCTTGCTTATTGGAATGACATCCTCTCGATGTTTCATTCTAATGAGTATTTCTTCAAAAAGACGAATTATAAATCATCAAATGACGAAACAATTTCAACATCAGGTTTTTGAGTTTTGAACATTTCAACGCCCTCTCGTGTCACTGATGTGCCGGTTACGTCGACATACTCCAAATTCGATTTACTTACAGATAAATGATGGAGACTTCGATCCGTCACTTGACGATAATTTCTGAAACAAAAGTTGTTTACAATTATATTAAAATTAACAAGGTTGCAAAACAAAAATTTAATTTTGTTACTCCACTGACTTTTCCCTAATTTTCAGATAAAAATTTTCACTTTTTCCCTGACTCAGAAAAATAATCAGACTCACTCTAAAAATGACGAGATACTCAAAAAAATATTCTATTACATTTATTTATGAATTTCTATAATTGTAAAATTATTCGAAAACATCAATAACTTCTTTTCTAAATAATTCATTTTTAAATCAATTTTTATTAGAAAATTCTACGAGAATTCAATTATTTAAATACAAAAATAAATTATTTATTGAGTAATTAAATGTTTTTTAAAAACTGAATTCTCAAAAGGAATTTCATTAACAAATTTTTAAATAGTTGAATTCTTTTGACAAATTGTAATAAAATTTCTGAGAATAATTACATTTTTCGAAGAATTTTATTAAAATTTATTGTATCAAAAATAATTGAAATTTTGCGATGAGTTTCATTATTTATGAAAATGATTTAATTCCAAAAACGACTTTTATTATTTATCAAAAGAATTAAATTATTGCGAAGAAATTTATAAAAAAAGCTATAAATAATTGAATTCCTGTGTAATTTTTATTATTTATGAAAAGCATTAAATGCTTGCATAAAATGTTATTAAAATTTTTTCAAAATCATTAAATTCAGGAAAATTTTGGCAAATAATTGGAATTTTCCAAGAATTTTATTAAAATTTTTGAAAATAATTGAATTTTGGCGAAAAACTTTTCTATTTATAAAGATGATAATTGAAATTTTAACAAAAATTTCTACCAAAATTTTGAAAATAATTGAATTTTGGCGAAAAATATTATTACTTTTAAAAATAATTGAATTCTTGTGATGAACATTGTTATGTATGAAAATACTTGAATTTTGCAAAAAATTTTATTAAAATTTCTAAAAATAATTGAATTTCTGGTAAGAATTTTATTTAAAAAATTTAATTAATTTCAACAGAATTGATATTAAAATTTTTCAAAAATATTAGTTTCACAGAATTATTAATTGAAAGTATGAAAAATATAGATTTTCTAAAGATTTGAATTTTAAAACCTTTCCAAAATTGAATTATTTCTAAAAATTGCTATTTGTAACTTCTCTAAAATTCAATTTCTTTTAGAGTTTTTAACTAAAATTCTTCTATAAATCAATTATTGATTTGTAATAATTAATTAAATATATATTAAAAAATTCAACTAATTTCAAAAGAATTTGAATTGTCAGAATTTAAAAAAACTAAATTTTTTTAAGATTTCTAATTAAATTCATTCAAAATTTAAATTTTCTAAAAGTCAAAATAATAGAAACTCTACAAAGAAATTTATCAAAATTTTTAAGAATAATTGAATTGTTTTCATAAAAAATAATATAATGTTCATCACAAGAATTCAATTATTTGCAAAAATTTTTATAAAATTCATTGCAAAAATATTGAATTCTATCAAAGAATTTAAAATAATTAAAATTTTTGCAAGAAATTTATAAAAAACATTTAAGAATAATTAAATTTTTGCGAAGAATTTCAAATAATTTAAATTCTACAAGTAAATTTATAAAAAATTTTAAGAACAATTAAATTCCTTCGAGAACTATTATTGAAAATAATTGAATTGTTTGGAAGAATTCAAAATAATTTAAATTCTGCAAGTAAAATTATGAAACATTTTAAAAATAATTGAATTCTTTTGAGAAGTTTTATTGAAATTAATTAATAGTCTGCCGAGAAATTTATCAAAAATTTTAAAAATAATAAAGTTTCTTGTTAAATTCATTCAAAATTGAAATGTTATAAAATTTAAAATTAAAAACTTTTAAAGTTCATCTAGGTATGAAAATTGTTGAAATTGATAGTAAAATTATTCATTAAATAATTCCTAAGTAATAATTTTCTGATATTTGTTCAAGAATGAAGTTATTTAAAAAGAAATTATTGTCAGAAATATAAAAAATTGAAGGTTTTGTATTAGAATTCGTGGTAATTTCATAGTTTATGAGGTAAACAAGAATAAAATCTCATATTTTTCCTGAAACACTGTTGAATTATAAATATTTCTTTCTGATTAGAAATAAAAAAATATGGAATCAGATTAACTTTGATCGCCTTGGAAAAAATAAATATATATAAAGAAAGAACCTCAACAAAAAGTGCTCGTTTATGCTATAAATGGTCACTTATGATGGCCCAATAATCCCTGCAAAATTTGAAGTTAAGCATATGCCCATATTATTATAAAAATAGGACAAGTGCAAGTTGAACTGGTACAAAAATCTAGGGTTCCGTACACGAAACGAACTTATTTAGTATAAAAAATTACATCTTTATACAAAGTTTTAGAAAAATTTGTTTGGGGAAAATGAATACAATATTTTTATAAAATTTTATAAAATTCTTAAAAATCTCCCTGATAATCAAAAATAATCATATTTTGCATGTTTTTTCTAGAGCGAAAAATGTAACTTTAGACAAAAAACGAGACTATTAGGGATCTGAAGTTAAATTTGAAAAATTCAAAATGTCGAATCCAATATGGCGGAAACATTTTTTTTAATTTACCAGATTCACTTGAAAATCGTCCCTCAAGGGTTGTTGGTCTAGCCCGATTTCAAAAATTCAAAATGGCGAACAACTTTTAAAAATATTTTATGGATTCATATAAAATTTGGTATCTAGGGATTTTTCAATTACGAATTTGAAGTCCGATAATGAAATTCTTCGCTGAAATTCAAAAATGTTCAAAATTTACATTTTTAATACAAGTTTTCAAAAGAATATTCTAATTATTTAAATAAAATGTAATAAAATTCGTTGCATAAATTTAATTATTTTTACAAGTAATAAAATTTTCCACTTGAATTCAATTATTTAAAAAAAAATTGATAAAATTCGTTGCAAGAATTCAATTATTTTCATAAATAATAAAATTCATCCCAGGATTTCAATTATTTTTAATACAATTTTAAATAAATTTCTCGAAAAATAAAATTATCTTGAAGAATTTTTTGCAAGAATTAAATTAGGTACATTTCACAAATAATGAAATTCTTTGCTGAAATTCAAAAATGTTCAAAATTTACATTTTTAATACAAGTTTTCAAAAGAATATTCTAATTATTTAAATAAAATGTAATAAAATTCGTTGCATAAATTTAATTATTTTTACAAGTAATAAAATTTTCCACATGAATTCAATTATTTTAAAAAAAATTGATAAAATTTGTTGTAAGAATTCAATTATTTTCATAAATAATAAAATTCATCCCAGGATTTCAATTATTTATAATACAATTTAAAGTAAATTCCTAGAAAAATGGAATTATTCTCTTCATTTTTTTGTAAGAATTTAATTACATTTCACGAATATAATGAAATTCTTCGTTGAAATTCAAATATTTTCACAATCTACTTTTTTAATAAAAGTTCTCAAAAGAATTCAATTATTTAAAAAAATGTAATAAAATTCGATGCAGAAATTCAATTATTTTCATAAATAATAAGATTCTTTACATTATTTCAATTATTTAAAAAAAATTTGAAAAATTCATTGCAAGAATTCAATTACTTTTATAAATTAATAAAATTCTTCACAGGATTTCAATTATTTTTAATAAAATTTTAAGTAAACTTTTCGAAAAATGTCACTATTTTCAAAAATTTTGTTAAAATTTTTCGAAAGAATTCAATTATGTATTTTTAAAAATTCATGCTATAATGCTTTCAATATTCAATATTATTATCTAAAATTTTAACTAATATTCATTTTCAAATCAATTTTTATTGGAAACTTCAACAAGAATTCAATTATTTAAATACAAAAATAAATAATTTATTGAATGAATGAATGTTTTTCGAAACTAAATTATCATAAAGAATTTTATCAACAAATTTGATTTTTTCGAGAAATTTTAATAAAATTTTCAAGAATAATTAAATTTTTCGAGGAATTCAATTAAAATCGTATTAAAAATAATTGAAATTCTATGATGAATTTTATTATTCATGAAAATAATTGAATTTTTGTAAAAATATTATTTATGAAAATAATTGAATTATTGCGAAGTTTGCTTAGAATTTTATAAAAAAAAATTTTTTTAAATAATTTAATTCTTTTAAAAAATTTTATTAAAACTGTAGATATTGAAAATCATATTAAATTAAGAAAAATTTTTTGAAAATAATTGAAATTTTGCAAAGAATTTTATTAAAATTTTTGAAAATAATTGAAATTTGGAGAAGAATTTTATTATTTTTAAAGATAATTGAATTTTTATGAGAATTTTTTTTAATTTTCGAACATAATTGAATTTTTGCGAAGAATTTTATTACTTTTGAAAATAATTGAATTTCTGGAATCATTTGTAACTTCTCCAAAATTCAATTTTTTCCGCCATTTGAGCCCTCTACCCTAATGAAAAAATAAAAATTAAAGAATAGAGAATTTTTTATTACCTTACTACCAATATTCTTAAATTAGGATTATTGCAAATTCGACTTTCTTCTTCAATGCGAAATATGCCTCCCCTGGCGTTGTCAACGATCCTGCGTTCACACACGTAATTACCTAAAGAGCAAACCGTTCTATCCGTGACTAAAAAACGTTCCATTTCATCCCAATTATAATTGTCTGCATGTACTACCTAAAAATTATAATTTCAAATATTTACTTAAAACTGAACCAAGTAAATATTATTTTTCAACCTGACGTTCAAATGAATTAAAATGAAAACCTACCTCAACTTGAGGCACCATTCGATTTTCATGAACGACTTGAATTAAAATACGTGATCTTCCCGTGGGTCTTTCGGCCTGTTCCTGAGGAGTACGTTCTCCATCTCGATCACTATTACTGCCTCTTTGTCGATTTCTTATATTAGTAGGACACTCTAAATATAGATGCGTTAAAGTTTCCGTGCAGTTGAAACAGGCAATTTCACTATCTCCAATCACCGTATTTCGTAAATCTAATATCTATTAAAAAACAGTAACGAAAAATTTGTAGACCCCACAGGAAAAATAAAAATATTTTCTTCAAGCAATCACTTACTTCTAAAGCTTTAAATCCATATCTCGCCGCAAGACTAGTGTAAGCAAAACATTCTCCAAGGCTGTAACATGAATCCAGTCTGAGTTCCTTGAGTTTTGGTAATTTACTAATGACCATTAGAGAATGAGGTGCAAACCATTCACAATTGCTCAATATTAAGCTCTGAAAAAATTAGATAAAACATTACCGATGGAAATTGTGAGAAAACTTATTTTTTTACTGTAAAGTTTGGTAAAGAGTGATGAGCTAAACTATTGTTCACTAAGAATATTCTACTTCTTCAAAATTATTTTCATCATTTCAATTCAATTATTATTTTTAAGAATTTTTAACTAACATTCTTCTTTAAATCGAATTATTTTTAATAATTTTCGAAAAGTTCTTTGACAATTTTCAAATCTATTTGTTAACAATTTATTCAATTTTACGAATTTCAATTATTCGTAAATTCTTCAATTAAACATACATTACAAAATAAAAACTTCAAATAATATAAAAAAAATTCAATTAAACTTCTTCAAAAAAATTAATATCCAAAATTAAATTATTTCTAAAAATTCACGCTTTATTGCTTTTCATATTCAATTATTATCTAAAATTTTAACTGAAATCCATTTTTATAAAATAAAAATCAATTTTTATTAGATGATTCTACTGGAATTCAATTATTCAAATAGAAAAATAAATAATTTATTGAATAATGGAATGTTTTTTAAAAATAAATTCTCATAAAGAATTTTATTCACATATTTTTAAATAATTAAATTCTTTCGACGAATTTTAATAGAATTTTTAATTACATTTTTCGAGAAATTCGATTAAAAATGTATTAAAAATAATTGAAATTCTGCGATGAGTTTCATTATTTCTGAAAATAATTAAATCCCTGTAAAAATGTTATTATTCATGAGAACAATTGAATTATTGCGAAGAAATTTATAAAAAAATGTAAATAATTGATATTCCTGTGAAATTTTTATTATTTTATGAAAATAATTAAATGTTTGCTAAGAATTTTATTAAAATTTTTGAAGATAATTGAATTTTGGAGAAGAATTTTATTATTTCTAAAAATAATTGAAATATTGACCAAAATTTTTGAGAAGTTACAAATAATTGCAAAAATTCAAATATTTTCAAAAGTAATGCAATTCTTTGCAAAAAATTCAATTTTTTTCATAAATAATAAACTAAAATAATAAAGGACATCGCACTAAATACACTAAAAATGGCTTTCGGTTAAAATTCTTAATATTTTCAAAATTTTTAGTTAAAGGTTTTCTGTTTAAAAAAATAATTAAGCGAAGGTCAAGAAACAAATAACCGAAAGCCATTTTCAGTGTGTTTAGTGCGGGGTCCTTTTCAATATTTTTGAAAATTTTGAATAAAATTCGTTGCAAGAATTCAATTATTTTTAAAAGTTTTTTTTATAAAAGTTTTTTTTATAAAATTCGTCGAATCAATTCAATTATTTAAAAAAAATTTAATAAAATTCTCGGCAAAAATATCAATTTTTTTTTCAAAAATTTTCCTCAATTGAATGATTTTCAATATTTTTGAAAATTTTAATAAAAATCGTTACAACAATTCAATTATTTTAAAAAATTTTTTAAAAATTCTTCGAAACAATTCAATTATTTTAATAAATTTAGACAAAATTATCGGCAAAAATTTCAATTATTTTCAAAAATTTTCAATATTTTTGAAAATTTTGAATAAAATTAGTGGCAAGAATTCAATTAATTTTTAAAATTTTGATGAAATTCTCAGCAAAATTTCAATTATTTTCAAAAATGTTCAATATTTTTGAAAATTTTGAATAAAATTCGTTGCAAGAATTCAATTATTTTTACAAATTTTGATAAATTTTTCGAATCAATTCAATTATTTTTAAAAATTTTGATAAAATTCTCGGCAAAAATTTCAATTATTTTCAAAAATTTTCCTCAATTCAATGATTTTCAATATCTACCTACTATTTTAATAAAATTTTCCAAAAGAATTCAATTATTTAAAAAGATTTTAATGAAATTCTGCGCAAACATTTAATTATATTTATGAAATATTTGTAATTTTACAAGGAATTCAATTATTTATATAATTTATTTAATATTTATTTAATAATTTTTTTTTTCAATTTTTTTTTTTTTTTTTTTAATAATTTTAATTATTTAAAAATAAATTTTAGTTAAAATTTTTGATAATAATTGAATATTAAAAGCTAATTAGAGCGTGAATTTTTAGAAATAATTTAATTCTGAAAAAGATTCAAATTAAAATCTTTGAAAATAAAAATGTTATTTATCAATTCTGTGAAATTAATTTTGTTCAAAAGGTTTAATTGAATTTTTTTTTGAAATTTTTTCAAGTTGTTATTTTCTAATCTATATTTAATTGAAGAATTTTTGAATAATTGAAATTTCGTAAAATTGAATTGAAAACAAATGGATTTGAAAAATTGTCAAAGAACTTTTTCGAAAATTATTATGTAAAAATAATTGTTATTATAAAACATGAAGAAAGCGATTACTCCGAGTCGAAGACTCGGAGTGATCGATGTCTTCATGTTTTATAGTTATTTAATTTTTTTTATATTTTTTAATTTTTGGTCCGTAAAGTCCGTATTATAATAAAAAAATATCAGAACTTTGGTAAAAATTGTGATTAAATTTAAATGACATTTTATAAAAGTGTTACTTACCGTTAGATGAGGCATATGTTCATGAACTCCAAAGAAGTAAGATTGTTTTAATTCCATTTGATACAAATCGCAACCTTTTAAGGACAGTTTCTCTAAACCTGATGGCAAATGTGGAATTTGTATCTAGAAGTAAAATAGATTTTTTTTAATAAAAATATTGATTTATTAATTAATTTAATTTAATTGATTAATTAAATTTAAATTTTTTTTTTTATTATTATTTTTTTTATTAATTGGGATATGTGTTATTGTAGAATGTTTCTTTAAAATATAAAAATTATACTATAAATTATATTCTTACTTCCGTTCCATTGATATAACAATCCTCAATTAACAGCTCCTTAAGTTGCGTGCAAGTTTTCAAGAGGGTCGTGAGAAAATGTTTGGTAAATTCCGAATAACGTTTTCCTTCCGTATTTCCGCGTATGGCAAAAGTTTTAACCGATGGTTGAAAAAATTTAATATATTTCTCTAAATCAGTGACAGTCATCGATTTTGCCCGATAATCCATAACAGACCACAAAGTCCTGTCTTGCGTAACTTGATCCAATCGATGACAACATCTAAAAAAAAAGTTATTCAATCAAACGAAATTTTTGAAATACGTGAAAAACATTTTTAAAAAATTGAAGAAAAAACAAAAATCAAAGTTAACCTACTTGCTTAAATTCAATATATCAAAAGGATCAAGAGATTTAATAATCATGAGTAAAACATCATCGGAAAGATGTAATAGACTGGGTTTGATTGAGCGCCCATTTTCTTCCTCATCCTCATCTCTTCTCGCACGTTTTGTATTTGTGCTGCTTGATGGTTCAGGTGATAAGGATTTGCACCGTTTTACTTTCATTGTATTGTTATTCCTAAATATAAATTAAACAATTAAGTCTTCTATAACATAATTTTTATTTTACACACGATTAATATGCTATAAACAACATAATTTTCAATTGTCATACTCATAATGTTGATTTGTCACAAATATATCATTCATATTTGTCAGAGTTTTTGAACAGAAGCTTTTTTCGTCGGTGACAAAGTGAAAATTATGCTATTTGAGCATAATTCCATGTCTTTCCATGTAAGACATAAAATTTATTGCGTTTATTTATTAAATTTCTGATTATTCTTTAAACATTATATATAAATATATGTTTGAAGAACAAGAAACAAAATGTTTCAAAAATGTATAGCATTTTAAAAAATCTTTTAACCCATTTAAATTAAGAAAATAGACTTCAAACATCTGCAGTTTAATTTCCAACAGAGTTAAAAGTTTAATTAAAATTCAAGAATCAAAAGGGACTTTCTGGTCAAGGATTTCATAAAAATCGATTTTTCTTTTTTTGCTTTAAAATATTCTTTAGGATCATAAAAATTACTGTCCCAAAACATTTTTAAAGAAATAGGCAAAAGAAAAAAAGTTATATAGCAATTTTTATGACCGTTTCTTAAGGGGTAACGCCACTCTACAAGTCTAGAAGCAGAAAAAGAAACCTATCATCAGGGTGTCTACTGAAAATATGACTTTAAATTCCAGGACATTTTCAGGACATTCCAGGACATTTATATGTGTAACAGGGTTGCCACAAGTCAAGGAAGTCAGGGAAGTCAAGGAAATCAGGGAAAAGTCAGGGATTTTTACTAAAAGCACTGGAAAAAATTAAATTGTTGGAATTTATAGGAAAATTCTGAATTTTTGTGTCTTTTTTGTTTGCCTTATAAACTATAAAATTTCCAAGAATTCTAATACAAACCCTTCAATTTTTTCTATTTTTGACAATAATTTCTTTTTAAATAACTTCGCATAAATTCAATTATGTTCAAAATTTTTTTTAAATTTTCGTCAAAATTTCAATTATCTTTATAAATAATAAAATTCTTCGCCAAAATTCAATTATTTTTAAAAAATCTAATAAAATTCTTGGCAAAATTTCAATTATTTTCAAAAATTTTCCTCATTTCAATTATTTCTTATATCTACTATTTTAATAAAATTTTCAAAAAAATTCTATTATTTAAACAAAATTTTAATAAAAATTTAACAGGAATTCAATTACTTACCAATTCCTTATATAAATTTCTTTACATCAATTCAATTATTTTAAATTTTTTAATGAAGTTTCTCAAAAGAATTCAAATATATAAAGAAAATTGAAAAAAATAGTCTGAAAAATTCAATTGCTTCGAAAAATTTAAATAAAATTCTTTTAATAATTCTATTACTTAAAAAAATGTTGACAAAATTCTTTGCAAAATTTAGTTCATTAAATTGCAATTTTAATAAAATTTTCCTATACAATTAAATTGTCTTCAATACATTTCTCCTTAAGAATTAAATTATTTTCACAAATAATACATTTTTTATGGGAATTCAATTATTTAAAAGAATTTGAATAAAATTCTTCGCTAGAAATCAATTACTTTCTTTCGAAAGAATTCAATTATTTTTAAAAATTTCGATAAAATGCTTTATAAATTTTAAAAATTATAATAAAATCGGTCATAAAATACAATTATTTTCGTAAAATATAAAATTTTTTCTAGAAATACAATTAAATTGTGAAAAATGTTTGTAAAACTCTTCGATGCAATTCAATTATTTTCGTAAAAAATAAAATTCTTCTAAGCAATTCAATTATTTAAGAAATTTTAATAAAATTCTTCCCACGAATTTAATTTTTTTTTCAAAAATAAACATTTTCACAGGAATTCAATTATTTAAAAAAGAATTTTTTTAAATTCTTTGTCAGATTTCACTTATTTTCAATTTTTTAATGAAATTTCTAAATGGAATTTAATTATTTTTAAAAAGTTTTTAAAAATTCTGAATTCTGAAAAATGCAATTATTTAAAAAAATTTGAATAAAATTCTTCACAAGAAATTAATTATTTTCATATATATATAATAATATTATTTTTCTCTGGAATTCAATTATTTTTACAAATAAAATTCTTTCACAGGAATTCAATTCTTTAAAAAAGATGTTTAATAAAATTCGTTGCAAGAATTCAATTATTTTCATAAATATATAACAAAACTTATCGCTGAATTTCAATTATTTTTATAAAATTTTAATTAAAATGATAGAAAATTGCATTTATTCTTACAATTTTTTTTTTAAATTCGCCGAAAGAATTCAATTAATATTAAAAATTTTTGATAAAATTCTTCATAGAAATTCAATTTTTAAAAAATATGCCACAATTACTGAATAAATTATTTATTTTTGTATTTAGACAATTGAATTCTCGGGAAATTTTCTAATAAAAATTGATTGAAAAATGAATTTCACTTAAAATTTTAAATTATAATTGAATATTAAAAACATTATAGCGTGAATTTTTAGAAATAATTGAATTTTGAAAAGGGTTAAAATTAAAATCTTTGAAAATTTGAATTTACAATATTCTTATGAAATAAAAAAATGATTTCTTCATGTTTTATTATAATATTCTCATAAGTTATTGAATTTGAGAATCTTAATTCCTATAGAAAAATAATAATGATTAAATATTTATTTAAAAAAGAAGTTATTAATGTTCTTTAGGATCAGGGAAAACGTGAGAATTTTGTCTGGAAATCAGGGAAAACAAAATTAAAATTTTGTGGCAACCCTGTGTAATATTATTTCATATTACGATTAACATAATTTAAATTAACCTACTTGAACAAAAATGTTTATTTTATTATAAAAAAAGTTAAAAATCAATATTGTAGATACCAATTTTTTTAATCAAATGACAAATTGAAATTATTTTTTGATAGATCAAAACAATTATTTTTTTAAATTTGAGTAAAATTTTTAAATTATTGAATATTGAAAAGCAAAATATGGAAAATTCAAGGACAAAAGTTCAAAATCCAGGACATTTCCAGGAATTCCAGGACTTCAAGGACCAGTAGACACCCTGCTATCTTTGATGATTTGTTTTGAGAAAATAACTTTAATAAAAACTAAAGGATCATGACTCCTTTGAAAAGAGACTATTAAACCAATTGTAAAAATGAAGTTAAACATAAAATCGGTAAAAGAAAACCGAATTATTAGTTAGGTGTGTGCTACTGTACCTAATTGTTCACAATCACTATATGTATTTATTACATCAAGAAATATATATATATATATATATATATACATCTCACTTACAAATGAACATATCACACTCTCACTCCGACAAATGACTATAAACATTAATTTTAATCTCGGACTAGAAATTATTACAATTAATCACACTAGTAGTTTAATACCAGGTAATGAAGATTTAAAGTATTTTTAGAAAGCACAAAATTATATCTTCCAACTATATGAACATTAAACAACATTGTAAGTATTAATGTAAGCAATATTTAATTCTGACTTGATAAAAAATAATTTTTATATTTTATTAAGAAATAAGAAATCGAAATGGTACAAAATTGAAAAAGATAAATAAGTACCTTTCAATTAAATGGTCCAGAGGATCAAGACGTATTAATATGTTATTTTTAGAACGTAGAGAATAAAAATTATAAAAATTTATATGTAAAGAATCATATCTTATATACAAATTCTTAGGTATTTAAAACTTAATTGTATTTTTAATTATTAGATCAAAGGCCACAATATTTTTACAACTTATTATGTATTTCATTTTACGTTACTTTACGTATAAGACACTGTTAAGCATACTTACACTGTTTAGTAACTTATACAAATTTCTATGTCTTTTTAATTACAAAAGAAATTTCTAAACAATTTCCCTTTCACTATTACTTCATGCAAAAAGTTTTAAAATCCCAACATAAACATCTTTGATGTAAAAAGTTCCACCGAGTAATATTTATAACTAAAATTTTAATATTGATTGATTTTATTAATATTTACTAATTACATTTCCGAATTGAGTCCATGTTTCACGTTTTTTTTAATTGTAACAATTATATGAAATTTAATTTCATGATTAACATAAGCAAAAAATGAAATCTAATTATTCGTCTTAATAAAAATTTTCTATTTAAGACAATTTTGAAATTTTAAAAGAAGATTTTTGCTAAAAAAAGAGCTTTCAAACTAGAAAATTAATCAACTATAATAATTTGAATGATTTTTCATTCTTTCATTCATTCACTTTGATTCACTTTTTCTGTCCCTCACACTCTGAAGTTGTCTTTTGTTTTAACTTTTGTTTTTTCTTATCTTTTAAATGGATTGTATATTATATTATTATGTTATTATTATAATTATTTTTATTTTATAATTAATTCAAAATTGTAATGACAAATAGAAATCATCAGAATTTTTTTCACTTCTCTTCATTAAAAGACTAAAATTTTGTTAAATAGGTATTATGTTTTGTCAAATTGAAATTATGCAGATTTTTGTTCTTTACTTCTAAGGAAAATTAGAAAATTGTTAAACAACTGTGATTAGGAAATAGAAAATTTATTTATTTTGCATTATTTTTCTTTATGAATCACAATTTTTTTAACAAAATTATTATTTTCTTTTAGAAAAAAAAGAAAAATATTTGCACAATTTCTATTTTTAATCTTATTTTTGGAACAGGATTTTCCACGGGAATTAAGACATTCAAAAATTTCAAATTCAAACATTTTTTTAAATTAAACAACTTATAAAATTATTGTTATAAAACATGAAGATGACCAAGAGATAAAATCATTATTTTATATTATAAGAAAATAATTACTGTAACTTCATTAAAATTATTTTCATCATTTTAATTCAATTATTATTTTCTAGAATTTTAAATTATTTTTTATGAAAATAATTGAATTCCTGTGAAATTTCAATTATTTATGAAAATAATTAAATGTTTGCATACATTTTCATTAAAATTTCTTTTAAATAATTGAATTCTTTTTGGGAAATTTTATTAAAATAGTAGATATTGAAAATCATTGAAATTATAGAAAAATGCATTTTATTTTTGAAAATAATTGAAATTAGGACAAGAATTTTTTTGACATTTATGAAAATAATTGAGCTTTGAAGAAGAATTTTGTTATTTATAAAGATAATTGGGATTTTTACGAGAATTTTTTTCAAATTTTGAATATAGTTGAATTTTATAAGAATTTTAATTTTTTTTTTAAATAATTTAATTTTTGCAATTATTTGTAATTTCTCCAAAATTGAATTTTTTTTAGTGTTTTCAACAAAAAATTAAATTAGAAAATTTTTAAATTCTATTATTTTTAAAATTGCTAATTTTACTTTAAAAAAAAGGTAGAAAGGAGTTAGTAGGAATTGTTGCTAGTTAATAATTAAGGAAAAGTTAATTAAGATAATGAAAAAAAGTAAAAAAAAGTTAACATTACGCGGTATTCCCAAGCGGTCACCCATCCAAGTACTAACCGCGCCCAACGTTGCTTAACTTAAGTGATCGGACGAGAACTTGTTTTTTCAACGTGGTATGAAAGTTAACGTAGATTGTCTTTTTATATTCTGTTCATATTGAAATTATTAGTAAACCTAGAAACGATTATAATTTTCTAATTTTTTATCTTATTTTTCTAGAAAGTTTGTTAAATATTTTAATCTAACTTAATATTTAAAAAAATCCCTAATTTCATCTTTTAATATTTGACTCTACTTCGTATACAATAATTTTACAGTTTAGTTTATTAATTAGTAAAATTAACCAAATATTAAAATTAAATTTATTAATTTCTAATTCTTATGGATATTTTAAATTCTGACTCCAAACTCTCTATTCCTCCGAATATTTGGATATTTCTTAGTTTATTATTTCTATTTTTCTATCATATCAATTGTATACCTATTTTATTATTTTTTCATTCTTAACTCATTCTAATTTTGATATTTTTATCTTAAATTTATTGGTTTTAATTGATTAATTAATTTCTTTATCTAGTTTTTTGTGAATTCTTATTGTTCAATGTATTTATTTCATAAAAATTTAACAATATGTAGATTGACCCCCCCCCCCACGAAACAATCTTGAGAAACAAAATTACAAATTGACAAAATTTAATATTTTCACAATATAAATTTAAATGCGAAATAAAAAACTAACAATAGCAAAATAGAAACAAAGTTGAATAGTTCAAAATTATTGTGAACTTTTATTTTTTAAAAATACACACATTTCATAAAAATTTTAAAAAGAATGAATATTCTTTCAATAAAATTATTAAAAATTTATTATTTGTAATTAGGTAAAAATTATTAAATAAATTCTTACTTACTTTTAAGTAAAACAGTGAAAGTAGAAAATTATTAAGAAGTAAACTTTTCACTAACTTTATGCACTCATACTTTATATTAACATTTTAAAAGAGATAATTTAAAATTTTCTAAATCAAAAAAAAGTCTATACTTGAAAAAGAAATCTCAAGAATAGTTTTTAGAGAAGAAAATTCTTGAGAACAAAATAACAATCAACAAAAGAAGTAAAGCAGTACTTGACATCTGTCAAAAACCATTATTTATCTCTATCATTCTGAAACATGGATTTTTTAATTTGAAAGATGGGAAACTGCAGATTATTCTTCTAAACAAGAATATGGATCAATATTTAAAGACAAGAAAAGTAACTTGACTGGCTTCATAAAGGTGGAAGCACATGTAAGAAAGCAATCGACGGCTTATTCTACATTTTACGAGAACGGAGTGACGGATACGGGAACAGGATATACAAAAGACACCCAAACTGTCTTGGTCAAAATTTTTATAATTTTCAAACCTAAAAAATTTTTAATTTATGAAGATTTACATCACATTTTACTGGTGTCAGCGGATCCTTATTTAAATATTTAATTTTCAGTTAAATAAATAAAAATTTAATTTAAAAAATAAAATTAAACATTTTTTAACTTTGCAAATTATCAAAATTGTGCGCTTCTACATTTATAATATTTAAACAACAAAACCAACTTTCATTTTTCTGGAAAAATATTTTTTTTCATTATTACATCGCTACTACGAACGGAAACAAAAACGAACAATTGAATCTAGTAATTATAAGAGACAAATATTGTTAATTAATTTTGTTTAAACAATAAAAATGTCATCTTACAGAAAAAGACGATAAAATGTATTTATAATAACTTTAGTTTATTAGTAAATAATGTGAAAAAAATGAACTGTTTAGCTTTCAAATTGATAATTTAACGCATTTGTTAATTAATATTGTTTAAACAATAAAAATGGCATCTTGCGGAAAATGATAATAAAATGAATTTATAAGAACTTTAGTTCATTAGTAAATAATGTGAATTAAAACGAACTTTTTAGCTTTTAAAATGACATTTTTACGCATTTGTTAATTAATTTTGTTTAAACAATAATAAAAATCGGTGCGCAATTTTATAGACTTTCATTTAAAAAACGGAAAAGCAGAATTCCGTTAGAATTATTGACACGAACTATAAAGAATATAGAAAGTGGGCAAAACGCGACAAATTAGTGACTTTCCCGAGGGAAGGCATTCCTGAGTACGACTGTACATTTATACGACTGTGGGTCGAAAAAAAATTTACCAAAAAATGTCAAAATCGGAGCATTTACACCTTCGGTAAAAATTGTCCAGAACAGAAAATCCACATTGGAGTAAGAGAGATAGATATACAGCCTGTCTCTATTACTCCAATATAGATTTTCCATTCTGAACAATTTTTTACTTTTTTTTTTGCAGTTGAATAGGATCTGAAGCATGAGTTAGAAGAGGACTGACTTTTACTTATGTCTTTTTCTATCTCATGCATTTCATTCAAAAACGAGTTTCGCTTTCACGTATTTATTGTGCATTGACCTTAAGCATGTAAACACGCTGCACGCATCCTAAGCCCTAACCTACACATAATACACGTGTTGTGACCAGAAGTTGTCATTATTTTCACTAAAAAATTAAATTATTTAATTTTAATTTGAAAGATAATCTATTCCTTAAGTACTGTTGTCTAAAAATTAGACAGTTTATTGCTTATAAAAGTATCTTAAATTAAAAAAAAGTTATTTGCAGGTAAGTGCTAAATTAATGTTTCATTTGAATCGTGAATTTCGAAAAGGGCTCAACTCTGAAGACCGTAAGAGTCATTTTCACTATACAATGTTATGTAAAAATGACTCTTATTGTTTTCAGAGTTAAGCCCTTTTCAAAATTCATGATTCATTTGTTTTTATAGTATTTTTAAAAAATGTATGTAATAAAAAATATATTTAATAAGGTAACTTTCATTTCAACTTTTATTTTTCTTTTAAATTTAATATCGAAATGAAAATCAAAGTTAAACTTATTATTAGGCCTCGAATATTATGACTTTTTCGACTATTTTCAAAAAAAGTGATTTTTTCGACTTTTGCGACTTTTACGACTTATTTTCAAAAATTGAGACTTTTTCAACTTTTTTTTCCAAATAAATTAAATATTGCAATAAAATACCACATTTTTATTCTAAAAAATGTAATTTATTTTGATTTTTATAGTATGAAAAATAATTATGTAGACAAATCTTTCAAAATTTATTTTTGAATTTTTCTAATTAAATTTTCGAAATGTACAATTTAATTAAAAAGATTTTGAATAATTGAAATTTTGTCAAATTTAATTACATAAAAATAATTGATTTTTTTCAAGTATTTCATAACAATTTTCGAAAAATTTTAATAGTCTTTTCAATATTTTTAATTACATATTTTCAACTATTCAAATACATACAAAAAAAACTTAAAATTATTTTAAAAATTTTTGAGAAAATAAACTTGTTCTTTTTTAATTAAAATTCTTGAAAAAATTAATTAGTTTTTTTTTTAAATTATACAAACATTCTTTTAAGAAATTCAATTATTTTCGAAAAATTACACTACAATATTTTTAAGAAACTAATTCTTAGAATTGATTTATCATAATTTTTTAAGATTCAATTATCTTCGAACAAAAAAAATTAGAATTATTGAAAATTTATTTTTTTAAACTTCTTAAAATTTTGATAAATTATGTTCATATTTATAACTACAATTCTTCAAAATTTTGATTACTTTTATAATATTTAAAAAAAAATTTTTTTTATTAAAATATTCAATTATTTTAAAAAGAAGTTATTTACAATTATTTAAAGTTAAGTTACAATTCTTTTTCAAAAATTTTACCAAATTTCAATTGTTGGGGAATTTTAAAATAATATAAAATTAAAAAACTATTAACTTTCAAAAATTAATTAAAAATATTTTTAGAAGAATAATTTTCTGAAAATATTATATCTTAATAACTTTAAAAAAACATGAACAGTTACAATTATTGTAAAAAGTTTAATTCTGGTATTTAAATAATTGAATTTTCGAAAAACTTTTGGAAAATCATAAAAAATAATTTATTTGAAGGTGAAGTTTAGTTAAAAATTGTAGAAAATAATTTAAGTTTTGAAGAATTATAGTTGTAATTTTGAGAAATTATTTTTCAGAAGGTTTCGAATCGAAATTTTTTAAATTTTATTTACAGAGAAAAAACAAATAAGAAGTATTTAAATATTTATTTAGCAAAATTATTCAAGTGTTCGAATAATTTAATTTAGAAATGAAATTGAAAATTGAAATGAAATTACACATTTGCTCTCTAGAAATTTAAATATTGTAATTGATTTATATTTATTGCTAATTTTTTTAGGCAGTGAAAAATGATTCGCTATAATCGTGATGTTGATGACGACGACGATAGAGATATGGACGATATTGAAATGTCTGATGATAGTTCATCAGAGAAAGTTGCATTCAACAGAAAACCAACTGAAACAGTAACAGAGGTACTCGCTTTCGGAAGCGATGATAATGACGACGACGACGATGACGATGTTGACGAAAATCAACAAGAATCAATGGATTATGATGAGGACATTCCAAATTCTCGAGCCTGGGGTAAAAAGAAGAAAGCTTATTATTTTTCGGAATATATCGACACCGACTATGCAACACTAACCGAAAAAGATGAGAAGCAAGCAAAAATTGAGGAAGAAGAGGCGAAAATTATTCAGAAACGAATAGCCAAAGAATTAGACGATGTTGATTTTTCTCTAACTCCAATTGCCGAAGAGAAAACTGAATCTAAACAGGATACAACGAACGTTATTAAAACAGACATTAGCAAATTGAGTAAACGACAAAAATTGGAACTATTGGAGAAGGAAAGTCCTGAATTTTTAGTATTACTCCAAGATATTAAAGGTAAAAAAAATCCTAAAAATGAAATAATATTAATTATTTATTGAGTTAATAAATTTTACTTTTATTTTTCAGATCAATTGACGGAAATAAAGTCCACCTTAACTCCTTATTTGAAAATGATGAAAACAGATAATTATTCAGATAATGCAGTCTTTCAGTTTATGCAGAAAAAGTATCAAACAGCTTTACACTATTCTATTAACATCATGTTTTACTTAACATTAAAGTCGAAACGATTATTTTTCAATTCTCATCCAGTGATCAAAAGATTAGCACAATATCGACAATTATTAAATCAAATGAATTCGATTCAAGAGCAAGTTTTGGAAAATTCAGAAAAATTGTTGGAACGATCTAAAAATGAAAAATCTAAAACCTTTGAAACTGAAGATAAATTTGTGACATTGAATGACAATTTGAATGATGACTTGTCGGAGAAAGAGAAAAGCGATACGGAAATTGCAGAAGCAGTTACAGAAAATAATTTTGAAAATAATAACGAAAGGAGAATGATAACTTACCAAATTGCGAAAAATAAAGGTCTTACTCCACATCGTAGTAAAGAACAGCGTAATCCAAGAGTGAAGCACAGAAATAAATATCGAAAAGCTATGATTCGTAGAAAAGGAGCCGTAAGTATTTTTTATAAATTCAGTAATACTTTTTTTGAGGGGAGACTTCGACTGCATTTTTAACTATATCAAGAAAATGATTTAAATCTTGCATAACATTGACAGGCTTCGCACTCATCTACTAAAACCTACTATTTTTCAAAAAATATTCGAAATTCAATTATTTTCAATATCTAATAAAATTTCTCAAAATAATTCAATTATTTAAAAAAAAATTGATAAAATTCATCCAAAGTTCAATTATTTTCGTATTTAAATAATAAAATTTCCACAGAAATTCAATTAATTTAGAATAACATTTTCAAAAAAATGTCGAAAAATCAATTATTTAACAAAATTTTTATACAATACTTCACAATAATTTAATTATTTTCATTAATAATAACATTTTTCATAGAGTTCAATTTTTAAAAAAAATTTTGATAAAATTCTAAGCAAGAATTCAATTATTTTCATAAACAATAAAACTTATCGAAGAATTTCAAATTCTTTTTAAACATTTCAATAAAATTTTTCGCAATAATTTAATTATTTTCATTAACAATAAAATTCTTCTCAGGAATTCAATTATTTTTGAAGATTTTAATAAAATTCTTAGCAACTATTCAATTAATTTTCAAAAATAATAAAATTCATCGCAGGATTTCAATTATTTTTAATACAATTTTACAGAAATTGCTCAAAAAATGTAATTATTCTTACAAATTTAATTTCAATTTCTCGAAAAAATCAATTATTTGAAATACAATTTTAATTCATTTTTTTTTTTTAAATAATTAAAAAAGAAGAAATATTGTGCTGAAATGTGCTCCATTTGTGCCAAAATTTATTTTTTTGGAAAAATTTGAAATTCTGGGCACAAAAAGCAAAGATCTTTTTTTTTAAATCTGATGAGTTAAAATTCTCAAAAAACAAATGTTATGAATATTTCGACTTTTTCAAAAAGGGTGGTACAAAACCAACCTTTTTTTTATTTTTTTATTATTTATTTATTTATTTTTTATTTTTATTTATTTATTATTTTTTTTTATTTTCATTTTTATTTTTTTTGTAGTGCTTGGCATGAAATCGATATGGGACCATCCTCCCCTAGATTTTAAAAATAATTGAAATTTTACCAAGAATTTTATTAAAATTTTTGAAAATAATTGAATTTATATAATCATTTGTAACTTCTCGCACAATTTAAGGTTTTTTTACTTGTTTTAACTAAAATTTGTCTATAAATCCATTAGTTTTAATGATTAAATATAATTATATTAAAAAAATTTAACTAATTTCAGAAGAAGTTGAATTATTCAAATTATTTAAAAATCTATTTTTAAAAATTTCTAATTAAACTGATTAAAAATTGAAATTTTATAAAATTTCAAATTAAAACCTTTTGAAGTTCATCTATTTATGAAAATTGTAAACGCAACTTTTTTAAAATTCAATTAATTTTGAAACATTTAAATTCTTCGCTGAAATTAAATTATTTAAAAAAAATCTAAAAAGAATTGTGTTCAACATTTTAATTATCTTTATAAATAAATACAAAAATTCTTCGACAAAATTCAATTATTTTGAGTAATTTTAATAAAATTCAATTATTTTCATAAATAATAATATTCATCACAAGAATTCAAATATTTTCAAAAATTTTAATAAAAATCATGGCAAAATTTCAATTATTTTCAAAAAATTTTCTTACTTCGATGGTTTTCAATATTCAATATTTTACTATTTTAATAAAATTTCCCGAAAGAATTTAATTATTAAACAAAAGATTTTATAACTTGGCATTCAATGGCAGTAATTCAATTATTTTCAAAAATTTTTCTTAATTCAATAATTTGTATATCAATTATTTTAATAGAAATCCCCAAAAAAATTCAATTATTTAAAAATAATTTTGAAATAATGTTTCTTAAATCGATGTTCCTTATATTTCTAATATTTTATCAATAAATTGTATTTAAAGTTATTTATGAATATTTTGGACCTTGAAAACCTTGAATTTTTTTTAAAGAATCGCTGGACGCCCTGATTAAATAATTTATAAGTGATAATTTTTCAAGAAGTAAGTCATTCAAAAAGGAATTATTTTCAAAATTTATAGCTGTTCGTTTGATCAATTTTCGTTCAATAAAAATAGTTGATAAATAAAAATGGCATTTAACTTTTTAGACAAGAAAGAAAGAAAGAAAAGTTAAAATTAGTTAAACTAATAACCTTTGAAAAATAGATATAAAATAATATAATATATTGCGTATAATAATTATTATTTTATATATTTCACACACAATTCATACACTTAATTACACTCATAAATTGGTACTTTCTAATAAACGACCTAATAAAATAATATTTATTGGTCTTTCATTGTTCAATTAATTTTACAGGTTCGAGAAGTTAGAAGAGAACTTAAACGATATGGAGGCGAAATGTCCGGCATCAAAACTGGTGTTAAAAAGAGTGTGTCATTAAAGTGAATGCTGATTTAAGAAAATTACAAAATTGAATTTGTGAATAACTTTCAACAGGCACAACATGCAGTTTAATTTAGTTTTAACTAAAATTCTTCTCACACTCTTAATTCTAACTATATTCTAATATTAATTTAATTTCTAAATTTTGCTTTCAATGTTTATTATATTTTGATTCTTCAATCGGATGTATAAAAAAAGAACATTAAAATTTAATTGTAATCGTGTATATAAAAAATAGCAGTTTCTTATATTGTAATATTAAAAATACTGTTGACAAAAAATATAGCATATTTATTAGACTCATTACTTGAAATAACCTTCAAAGAGGTTTTCAAACCTCTTCACTTGAAGGGATTGACTATAAATTGTCAACAAGACAAAGGTTTTAAATTATTTTGAATTAATAAACTTTTCAATGTGTCCCTTAAGAGTTTGCAATTGTCGTTTTGTCTCGGCATCGAGAGAGGGAATATTCGAAAGTCGCAGGCCGTCTTTTGGTAAAAGTGAAATAATATCGCCATTGTTGAGAGGAACATTGACATTGGCAGAGCGTTCTTGAACATCAGTCGACACTAACAAAGGACTGCCTTGCATGCTGAGTACCATTTCTCCCTCTCGAGGGCGTCGCAATATACTCATTGGAGTGTTGGGTTTCACTTTTGGCGTTACTGGTCCAAATTCATTGGCTGACAGTTTTAATGGGGCCGGTGTTTTGTATTTACTTGTGCTTACTTTAGATTGATTAATGTAATTCTTCGTTGGCTTTGTGACACTCTTTTGTACTGAATTCATTAATTTCGTTTTTCTAGATCGCGATGAGCTTCGCAAGCGTAATTTCGAATTGCCGGTGACTGTAGCTCGCGATTGTCTTGATGCTCCTTCCGTCACGTATCCATCATCCGATGCAACAGTCGTCCTTTTGTCTTGTTTCTTAAATTTCATGTTCGTTGGTGGTGGAGAGACAAATGATTTATCCACGTTATCAGACGATACATCCATATCCTTATCCTTATCATTATCCTTATCCTTAATATCAAGAGACAAAATTTCGCCTAATGTTAGCTTTTTAATATCTGATGGTAGACGTGACAAAGCAAAGGTTGTATTTGTTTCCAGTCCTTTTATCCTCATTTCCATTTCTCTTTCAATTTTGGTTCTTAATAAATTGCCTTGCCTCTCGAAATCTTTTATTAATACGTCTATCTGATCTGAGGAATCTTGAGATTGCTTCATTTTTCGAACTGGTCTTGTACGGGGCATTTTGCTCTATGTTGGAAAAAGCGAACCCAATGTGAAATTGTTCTCGTATTTTCAATCTGAAACAGATAAAGAACATTTTTTTAATTATTTAAAAATATATTTTATGCAGCTTGATTTCTTCGACTTTTCTTTAACATATTTTATTTTGGTTTATAAAATACAACTTATTACGATTTTCATAGTGTGAAAAATAGCTGTAGTCAAATTTTCTTCTTACTTTTTTTTGATATTTTTTATTTAAGATTGAACGGACTACAGATTTCTTACTTTTGGATTCTTTGATAGAAAATAGCTTTAATATTAAGACAATTCTTTATTATTTTTATCTCATAAATAGTAGCAAAAATTGAAATTCTTTTATTAATAAAATTTTCTAGAGAAATAAATATTAATTTTCAGGAAAAAAATTTGAAATATCTACAAAAATTTATCTGTTTATGCAATTTGCAAACATAATTTAAATTTTTTATTTCGATTCGAAATTTAAAAAATTCTATAGAAGCGATATGACATATGACTAAATTTTGAATCACTAGAAATTAAAAACTATTCTAAAAAATTATAATCAAATTCTTTAAAACGATTCATTCAATTATTTTCAGAAAATTTCGTAAAACAATTAAATCAATTATTTAACAACATTTTTATACAATTCTTCGAAATAATTCAATTACTTTCACCAATAATAACATTTTTCATAGAAATTCAATTTAAAAAAAAATTTTTTTTGATAAAATTCTAAGCAAGAATTCAATTATTTTCATAAAGAATAAAACTCAACGAAGAATTTCAATCATTTTTAATACTATCTTAAACTAATTAAAAGAAAAATTAAATTATTTAAAATAATATTTTCATAATATTTATTATATTTCGAAAAAATCAATTATTTAAAAAAATGTTTTTTTTAAATTTTTTGGAAGAATTCATTATTTACAAAAATATTAGAATTTTTCACAGGAATTCAATTATTTTCAAATACGAGTTGTTCAATTAATTAAATTTAAAGAAAAAATGTTTGAAAAATTATATTTTTTAAAAAATAAAGAATTTTTATTGAATTTCAAAAAGCAAATATCTTTTAAAGTAACAATTGCAACGAAAATTCCGTAGTTTTTCTACTTAGTTATAAATAATTAATTTATAGAAGAATAAATTTTAGTTAAAAACTCTAAAAGTAATTGAATCTTACAGATGATACAAATATAAATTTTTAGAAATAATTCAATTTTGAAAAGAGTTTTAAAATTCAAATTGGAAAATGGAGAATCTAACTCATCACTTGCAAAAGAATTTGGTGTTGGACATTCCACTATTTCCATGATTTTCAAGAATAAAAACAATGTTGAGAATTCATTTATACAGGGTTGCCACAAATATTTAATTTTATTTTCCCCTGACTTTTCCTTGATTTCCAAAAAAAAAATTCACTTTTTCCCTGACCCTAAAGAATATTCTGATTCACTCTAAAAATTATTAGATACAAAAAAAAAATTTTCTATTACATTTTTTTATTTACAAACTTCTTTAATTGTAAAATTATTTAAAAACATCAATAACTTCTTTCTTAAATAAATATTTAATCATTATTATTTTTCTGTAGGAATTAAAATTCTTCAAAATATTCAAATTTAAACCTTTTTGAAATTCAACAACTTATAAGTCTTCGACTCGGAGTGATCGTCTTCTTCATGTTTTGTAATAATTTAAATTGCCATAAAATTTTTTAAAATAAGTTAATTATTTACAAAAATCCTGAAAAAATCCTTCGCAAGAATTCAATTACTTTTACAAGAAGTACAATTTCACAAAAAAATTCAATTATTTAAAAAATGTAACAAAATTAGTTGCAATAATTCAATTATTTTTATAAATAATAATAAATCGATTATTCGTTTATTCATTTTTAAATCAACTTTTATTAGAAAATTCTAAAAAAATGCAATTATTTAAATTAAAAAATAAATAATTTATTGAATAATTGAATGTTTATTAAAATTGAATTCTCATAAAGAATTTTATGAATAAAATTTTAAATAATTGAATTCGTTTGACAAATTTTAATAAAATTTTTAAGAATAATTTCATTTATCGAGGAATTTGATTAAAATATTGTATAAAAAATAATTCATAAAAATAATAATTAAATAAATAATTAAAATTTTCATAAAATAATTGAATGTCGGAGAAAAATTTTATTATTTATATATAAATAATTGAATTCTTACAACGAATTTTATTCAAGTTTATAAAAATAATTGAATTTCGGTGAAGAATTTTATTATTTATAAAAATAATTGAATTCTTAAAAAGAACTATGTTAAATTTTTTTTAAATAATTAAATTCTTGCGACGAATTTTATAAAAATATTTTTAAATAATTGATAATTTTCGAAAAATTTTATGAATTTTTGTATTTTAACTAATTGAATTCCTGTGAAAATGTTATTACTTATGAAAATAATGAAATTATTTTGAATTGATTTATTAAAAATTGAATAATTTAATTCCTACGAAATTTTGACAAGAATTTTATTAAAATTCTTAAATATAATTGAATTTCGATGAATTTTATTATTTATAAAGATAATTGAAATTTTGATAATATTTATTTTTTAATTTTTGAACATAATTGAACTAAAATGTGTACTTATTGAGTGGCAACCTAGATTTTGAAACAAATTATGTTAACTTTAGTTTTAGGAGTACTCATGTACGAATGGGCTTGTCCCGTTATGTTCTCTAAATAAATAAAATAAATAAATAATTGAATTTCTGCGAAGAATTTTATTATTTTGAAAATAATGTAATTCTTCCAACGAATTTTATTCAAGTTTATAAAAGTAATTGAATTTCGGTGAAGAATTTTATTATTTATAAAAATAATTGAATTCATGAAAATATTTTATAAAAATCTTTTTATATAATTTATATTTTTCGAAAAATTTTATGAAATTTTGTATTTTAAATAATTAAATTCCTGTGAAAATTTTATTACTTATGAAAATAATTGAATTATTTCAAAGAAATTTATTAAATATTGAATAATTGAATTCCTGTAGAATTTTGACAAGAATTTTATTAAAATTTTTAAAAATAATTGAATTTCGATGAAGAATTTTATTATTTATAAAGATAATTGAAATTTTGACGAAAATTTTTTTTTAATTTTTGAACATAATTGAGGCCTTGGATCCAATAACTCGCCCGACGCTCGGAGGAACGCGCAACTGCCAGTCAGTGAGCAGTGAGCGCCTCTGGGCCACTCACTGCTACCCGACTGGCATTAGCGCGAGTCTCCGAGCGTCGGGCGAGTTATTGGATCCAAGGCCTCAATTGAAATTTTGCGAAGAATTTTTGTAACTTTTGAAAATAATTGAATTTCTGTAATCATTTGTAACTTTTCCAAAATCCAATTTTTTTAGTATTTTTAACTGAAATTCTTCTATCAATCTAGTATTTATGAAAATTGTAAAAATTATTTATAAAATAATTTGTAAGTCATAATTTTATGATATAGTTTTTGAAAAATTAAGTTATTTAAAAAGAAATGATTGTCAGAAATTGAAAAAATTGAAGGTTTTGTATTAAAATTCGAGGTAATTTCATAATTTACGAGGCAAAAAGGAAAAAAATTCAGAGTTTTCTCATGAATTTTAAAAATTCAATTTTTTCCAGTACTTTTAGTAAAAATCCCTGACTTTTCCCTGACTTCCCTGACCAATTTTACTTTCCCTGATTTCCCTGACCTGTGGCAACCCTGATTTTAATTCAAATCAATTCAAATGTTCTAAAATCGAAGCGAATTCGGAAATCAATTAGTGATTTTTTATAATAAGTTTTCATTATTTTATGAATGACAGGTGTGAATACATATTAAATTTGAAATGTCTTACGTGATTGTTTTACTATAGAATTTTATATTATCCGTTTATTGTGACTACCGCTTAGTATGGCGAAATTACTTTGCCCCTTCAATGTCATTATAAGCGGATTCTACTGTAATAATAATTCTGTGAAACAAATATTTTTGAAAAATTTTAATTTCAATTCTGTTGAAATTCATTGAATTTTTTCTAAATATATTTATATTATTAATTATTTCAATAATTCTAACGCATTTCTTCGAAAGAATTCAATTGTCTTGATAAATAACAAAATTCTTGCTAGAAATTCAATTATTTTTAGGAATTTTATTAAAATTTTTTGCAAAGTTCAATTATTTTCATACAAAACAATATTCATCACAAGAATTAAATTATTTTTAAAAGTACTAATATTTTTCGCCCAAATTCAATTATTTTTAAAATTTTTGTCAAAATTTTTGTCAAAATTTCAATTAACTTTTTAAATAGAAATGTTTTTTTGCTGAAATTCAATTAATTTAAAAATTTTAATCAAATTTTTAGGAAAATTTCAATTATTTCTAAAATTTTTTAAAATTTAATTTCAATTCTTCGAAAAAATTAATTATTATTATTTACAAAAATATTAAAATTTCTCACAGGAATTCAATTATTTTCAAATATTTTAATAAAATTCTTCGCAAGAATGAAATTATTTTTATAAATATTTAAATTCTTTCATGAATAATAAAATTCGTTGCAGGAATTCAATTTATTTATTATGAGGATAAGGAAAAAGTAAATATTTTTTTTTCAGGAAAATAAAAAATATTGAATGGAATTTTTGTCAGTTTTTGTGTCTGAAACAAGTTTTTTTGGTCGTCAAGTTTAATTTTTCGATAACTACTTTTTTAGTTTGGAAGCTACTTTTTTAAAATTAATTATCGAGTGCAAAATTTGTGTTAATAATAATATTCTAATTATTTAATTAAATTATTTAAATGTCTAAATTTTATGATTCCTCTTTGAAATATAAGTATTTGAGGCATTCCATTTCAAAACAATCCCCTTCGCAAACAATTGTCAAAGTAAGACAACTTTTAAAAGAATTTTTCTTCCTTTTAGTGGAACCAAATTATTTTTTATATTAACGATTTCTGAACTTTCTAATAAAAAAAAATTTTTTTTAAATTTAATTTAAATAGAAAAATGAGTTTAAAAGTTAAACTTTGAAAAATCTTAAAACACGTTACCGCCGATTTTAATAAAATTTATATCAAACGAAAGCTTGAATATTCTACTTTTTATTTATCAAACGATAATGGACATTTCAGTCGATTTAAATAATTTAATTAAATTTTACAGATATTTCGGAGGTTATATTATGTATAAACTGAAAAAACAGTTTTTCATGAATAGAAATATTTTAATTTGAAAGAAATTTCTTCTAAAACCTAAAATAGTGGATTTTATAATATTATTTTAGTAAAGAAAATATTTAACCTTAAAACTTAACTTTTCAAATTTGCTTTTGTATCTAATTTTTCAAGCAAAAATGAGTAATTCTAAAAATCATTGAATTGTGCCACCAAAATAATATAATTTAAACACATGAAATTTTGATAAATACTAAATAATATTATAAAATGCCTAACTTAAATGCTGAACTTTGGCTGTATGATTACCTCTTAAAAACTTGTTGTTAACTGTTAAATACTCTTTTTTATTAATATCAATTTCGACGATACTAGAAAAAAATGGATAATAATTTATATTAATAACTACAATGTTGATGAACTTAAACTTTTATAATTAATGAAAGTAAACTATTTTCACTATTTGACAAGCCACTAGAGAAACTGTCACTGTTTTGGAGGGATAATGGTTTATATGAAGTAATACTTACAAAACTGATGGAAAAAAAGAAAGTATAAGAACTGCCAATCAAACAAAATAATTCCCTTTTTACTCGTATGATTAAATGACGAAAAGTAAATATAAAAACTTTGTATATCTCGCTTAGGAAATCCTAAAAATTATAACGAATTTTTTATTTTGAAATACAGCCTGCTGAGCACCGGTACACTAAACACTAAAGCTGGGTTTACATGCTTTGTTGGTTGGTGATTTGCGAGTTGAATGTTTTCAGTTTAAGGGTGCATTCATAACTCTGTCGATTCGATAAGGTAGTCCAAGTTGGGTGGGGGAAATGCAATATGGCTGACATCAGCTGATTTACCGGAGGACAAACAATGCATTGAATTCAATGGGACAAATCAGTTTTTTAACCATAACTTTTTAAATATTCATTTTTGAACCATAGTGTAATGGAAAATTATTCTTTATTTATCGAAATCTATTTTTTAAAACAATAAAACCAAAAAATTTAATTTTATTGTTTTAAAAAATAGATTTCGATAAATAAAGAATAATTTTCCATTACACTATGGTTCAAAAATGAATATTTAAAAAGTTATGGTTAAAAAACTGATTTGTCCCATTGAATTCAATGCATTGTTTGTCCTCCGGTAAATCAGCTGATGTCAGCCATATTGAATTTCCCCCACCCAACTTGGACTACCTTATACAGAAAATATTTACCGAGAAATATTTAAGGGTTCGGTCACAAGACTTTTGAAAAAAACATTTTTGTCTTTCTCTTTCCTATGACACAGGCATAAGTTTGTCTTTGTTTTTTGAAAAAAGTAAAAAAATGTAGAATGAGACAAAGTTATGCCTCTGTCCTTCTCTAACTCATGCATTGCGTTCGTGAAGCAGTTGTGCTTAGCCCTTTAAATCAATCTGTAAAGGTGTTTTCACAACAGCTTACAAATGTATTTGTTTCGTCCGATTCAAAGTAAACTCATGTAAAGCGTAAAATCAAAAAAGTAGAGACAGATTAAGAGCCAGTCTCTCTTACTCCAATGAAAAATTTTCCGTCCTGGAATTTTTTACCGAAGTTGTAATTGCTTCCTAAACATGAGTTAGAAAAGGATAGAGACATATTTTTGGTCCAACGCTTTCGGGGAAATGGAAGAATGTAAAGGAGCATTTACACCTTCTGTAAAAAATTGTCCAAAATGGAAAATCTATATTGGAGTAAGAGAGACAAACTGTGTATCTGTCTCTCTTACTCCAATGTAAATTTCCCTTCTGGACAATTTTACCCAAGGTGTGAATGCTCCATAAAGATGTGTATACCACATGTGTTCTTCTTGTTGCAAATTGCTATATACATAAATTAAAGTTTTTTATTGTTATTTCCATATATAATGAATCTTATTATGTGTATTTTATATTAAAATTAAGTTACTCAAACGGAAAAATTATTTTGTTTTTTTGTTTTCAAGAAAAGGTCGTTGCAGTTTGGACTGTTGGAAACTGCTCATATCTAACTTTCTAACAATATATTTTTTTTTAATAATTACAACAAATAAAATATTCATCCTATGTATTTATGTTAAAAAATGACTTTCCCAAACTTATAGGTCATAATATCTTATATTTTCCAAGAAACGGTCGTTGCAGATTTTTAACCATTTTAGATCTGCATTGTCGATATGTGGGATCCTCCCAATCGTGAGAAAAAGAGAAGGATAAAGATATATCTCCGTTCTTTACTCACTCATTCTCACGATTGCTTTTCTGTTTTCGTTATTAATTAAGAATTTATTTTGCATTAGTCTTCAGACAGAAAATTGAATGTATATTTAATTAATATTATTATATTAATATATAATATTTCCACACATAATTGAATTCTTTCTGCAGTGAATTTCTATGTTCTATGTAGTGCATTGTCCACGGTCCTTTGAAGTTAGCTCCTTATGAACCGTCTGTCTTGCACACAGGCGTGACGTCATGGTAGTCCAGTTGGGTTAGGTTTTTTGTGCTAAAAAATTAACAAAAAAATTTTTTTTAGGATACTTAATTTAGCTAGTTATTTCATTGATATTAGAATTTGTGCTGTCGAGTTAGTGATAACTTATATTAATTTGAGGTCACTTTGATTAAAGACTTCCTTCACAAGACATTGTACATGACATTCTAAGGAAAAATGAGTCAACACGATGGTATGTATTTCTGTATTTACTTTAATGTCTGCTTGCATTCAAGTTAGGTCATGTCCAACTTGATTGTGAATATTTACATTTTTTCCAAAAATTACAATCAATTACTTTTATTCTAATGTGTGCAAAATTAGTTTCCACCTCTTTGTCACAAGTTGCGAAATTTCCTTCTCTATTTTAATTAGTTCAATTAAAAAGGAAATTGTTCATTTCATGGCTCCGTGAATTTTAATAAAAAATTAAATTTACTTAATTTTGACAATTTATCGTAATTATTCTTACGTATGTCAAAAGTGATATTTATACGTGTGACATTTACGATAGTTTCTATATATATTGAAAATACTACATGGAGACTATTATATAAACACATTTTCTTTAAATTTAAAAATCCATATTTTATCCATCAGAAGTGGTTAAGGTTATTTAATTTTGAATAGTCATTTCCGTTTTTTCTTTTGTGAAAATCAAGTACATTTTTATGTACTGCATTTTATTAAATGGAGCATGCGCTGAAGAACGTGAAAAACCTTGAAGTTTATTATGAAAACAATAAACTTGCTTAAATAATTTATTTAAGATTGAGGCTAGTAATGTCATAATAATTGTGACGTTAAAATTTAAAAAGGATCAACAATTGACACAAATTGACATTTTTCGCACCCTTTGAAAAAAAATTCGAAGTACCAAACTTAGGTACTTTATTTATGCTCCAAAATGAAACTATAGGTACTTTTTTTAAATTAGGTACTTATTGATAATTAAATTATTTTTTATAATTAAGATTCTGTTCTTAGCAACAAAAAAATATTGGTGTTGAATTAGGCATAAAAATAAATATTTATGTCATTCCATTTTAAAATTAAACGTTTTCGGAGCACCTTCACCAATTTAATGGGGCGCATGATTTCAACCAAATTTTAATATTTATAATTGTTATTTAACGGGATTTTAAACATTATAATCATTATTTACTCCAATGGTAGGTATCTATAATTTAATGTTAACATTATTACGATATTGAGAATAGATATTTATTATAATTTTTTTCTAATTAAATTTTATTTTTATAGATTTTCCAAGTATTATAAATATGAATTACAATAAATTTCACACTAAGAAATTGTGTGTAACATAAATTGTCTTATGAAGAATAATTATTTTTCATAATTTGTATGGAATCTAATTTATAAATTAGCATAATTTTTAACTTGCAAAATTGTAAGTAATATAATTTTAAAAAATAAAATTTATTTCGCATATTTTGATGAAATCTAATTATTATTTGAAATAGTTAACTAATGTTTTACATATTATTTAAAATAATTAACTGTTTTACATATTGTTTAAATAACCGAAATTTAAATTCCATAGAATTATTATTTTAAATATGTTATTTATACACAAATTTTTTTCGCAATCTTAAAGAAACCACAGCGAAGATTTGATTAGTGTTTGCCTCATTCAATTTTGTTTGGGCGCTCAAAAGATATTTAATTATTCTTTAATATACTTTTTGTTTATAAAAATGTTGTGTTAACATAATATAAACAATTTTTTGTTTTTTTATGCTGAATTTAAAAAAAAGAATGAATTGTTTTGGTTAAGATGGAAATAACGATTTCAAATGTTTCCACCAAATATTACGTCAAAATATTCAGTATAGTTTTTGAGAAGTAAAAATTTTTCAAAAAATTTTTAAATATACTGAATATTTTGACGTAATATTTGGTAAAAACATTTATTAAAAAAAATTTAAAAAAAAAATTTTTTTAAATATACTGAATATTTTGATGTAATATTTGGTGGAAACATTTCTTTTTATGCGTACATTAAAATTCCTAAATTTTCGCTTCCGTGTAGAAAATAATGGTAAGTAATAATTGGTAAGTGTGCCATTTTGTACCGCTCTATGAGTGCAAGTAGAGTGCGCGCTCACATGAAAACAATTGTTGACTGCACCAAACACTAATAAAAAAGCAAGAGTCACCAAGCACAAAAAATTCTTCAAAAAGTTGTACTTTCTAACATGTGCCCAGAAATTCCTAACAGTCTAATCGAAAAAAAATTTAAGAAATTAAACGTTACCATAAAATCAACCATCACAAATCTTCGTGCAAACTCTACGTCTACATCGTGACATGCTTCTTATTCAAAATAGAAGGCCACATTGCTAGAGACTGTCCTTTAACTAACGATCAAAAGAAGTATTCACAAGACACCAGCATTACCGAATATAGTCAAACTCAAAATAATTCAACAACTTATCAATGCAAGACAAGAAATAATTCTCTTCATTCCCATCTATTAAACAAACCGATTTCATTTCTTCCCCTTTTTTAAAAGTCAACAATCATACAACAAAGAGAGCATTAACTTCTACTTTATCAGATAGCGTCAATAATGAACAACAAAAAAGTAATCAAACTGATCTTAAAGCCTCTGAAACTTCACCTGACTGTGAATCCACTAGCAGTCAGAAATCACAACAAAACACTTCGGAATCAAAGATCGAACAAAAAAAATTTGAAATCAATACGCCAGATTCAACAACAACAGAAGAACTAGATTGGAGCTAAACAAAAAGCATTATCGAAAAATCTAACAACCAATACCTTGACATTCTACTGTTAAAAAGTTTATTCGATTCCACAAAAGGTTCAACTAACATCAACGAAACTTTTCTAAATCACACACCTGAACTTGAACAACTGATAAACATGTTACGAGATATAATTACCAAACTCTTTCCACCTCAAGACTAAAAAATCAATCACCTTAAGACAAGCATAATTAAGAAAACACGAGAAATTGTACGCAGTAAAAATTAAACAAACGAAGACAAAATTAAAAATACCAGCATGAAAGAAGACTTAGAGAATACACAAACAACTGACGATTAAAAAAATAAGAAAATAAATTAAACTAAATCATTTAATTGCTCATACTTATAATTTAATACCTAATAAAAATAAATGTTTCAAATACAGCAAATGGAGATTATTCAATGGAATCGAAACGTGGATTCTTTCCAAAGCAAATTAGATCGAATATAGTCAACTTATTGGCGATCAAATAAAAAATTTAATTAACCTGCATACAATCTCACAACAACATACAGTCAGGTCTAGCTAAGTGTCGTCACTGGGAATTTTTTGGGACTGTCGGTCTCAGTAAGTGTCAGTGGCCTAAGCCATGCTCCTTTAGTAAAAGTGGTCATTTCATTGGTTTATGTTGCAAACCGGTTTGGGGACGTCGATTTTTAGCATTGAAGAGGGTAAAAAAGTGGGGAAAGTGACACTTGTCGGGTCTCGAACGACGACACTTTGTGAGTCGTGACACTTACTGAAAACGACACTTGGCGAGACCTGACTGTATAATAAATATAAATACTATTATCTCAGATTTCAACAAAAGAATATTTGATTCAGCAGAAAAATCTATGCTTAAATCATCAAATCCAAGATCGATTATAAATGTAATGTCTATGGATCAGCTAACAACAACATCCTAAAAATACTTTATAGCGTATACCATCAAGCCCTCAGACTATAGCTTTAGGTGCATTCGGAACAAATCCAACATCCAGTCTGTTGGCTGAAACAAACGAAATCCCGTTCAACAACAGAAGAAAACACCTTTGTTTAAAATTTTCAAGCCATCTATTATCCCTATCCAAAAATGCATGCACATCATATTCTTCAAATCATCTAACAAATTTTTTCGACGATCACGAAAATGGACGAATTTTATGAAATACCAGGATAAACAATTATCTAGAAGAATTTCATCTACCCTCTCTTTTCTTTTACCTCTTTTTTCTCTTCTAACTTATTGTTAGGGAGCCCCTAACCATAAATATTAATCTTGAACTTGCCAAATATTACAAGACCGTAACCCCATCGTACACCATCCAGTCTTTATTTAAAAAAGAACAGGAAAAATATCCAGAATACATGAAATTTTACACAGATGGATCAATATTCGATGGAAATGCAGCTTGTGCCATTACTTCTGAAAGTGAAACCTTATTCTCCACTAAACTTTCTGGACATTTTACAATATTTTCCTGTAAAGCTTTTGCAGTTTATAAAATTGAGGGGCTGGATGCTATAAGGGGATACGCGCCATGTTTAGTTAATGGCGCGTATCCTCTTATAGCATCCAGCCCCTCGATTATAATATGCAAAGTACTTTGAATATAAAAATACTTGATTCTATGATTCCGATTGCTAAAATTCAGCAACATATTCAAATACTTTTTAGTGATTTTTATAAATGTGGTCATTGGATTTGTACTTATTAAAATGGAAAAGCCTTTAAATTTTTAGTCTTGATGAAAAAAATATCTAAATAAGCAATGAACGCAAGTATAACCGTCAGCCAATACACAAGCACACTTCAAATAGATTGCTCGGTCGCATCAATTGCAATATGATGCGTTGTGGGACCTTTACAGATGATGCTAAAGTCTGATTTTTAAAAAAAGTTCAACTTTTTTACACAAGTTATTATCAAAATAGTGCACTTCACATGACACTCTTCATAAGAGTCCATATAAAAACATGCAATTTCAACAATTAAATTCTCAAAAACAGGACAGTAAAAAATTCTAAAAAAAATTGTTCTGTAATTCGGACATTATTAACGAGTTTTTACAAATTTCAATAAATTCTTAACATTTTTATTTGAGTCACCATTCTCCTTAATAAAAAGAGGAAAAGATCTTACTCCTAAAACAGAGACCACCAATAATGCTGTTTACAAAATAAATTGCCTCGATTGTTCCGCCTCATACATAGGGCAAACAAAAAGGATGGTTGGTGTACGAATCACTTAACAAAAGATTAATTTCTGAAATGATAGACATAAATTTGCAACGCTACAGTTTAAATAAAAAAGATGATACTAATAACTTAAATTCCAGGTACAAACAGTTTTTTATTAAATAGATGATTTCCAACTATTACACGTGTTTTAATTTATTTTGGTTATGAATGTACTCGTGCCGCGCGTTTGAAATATTTTGACAAATGTCTGTTTGACATAAAATCTTATTAAACGGTAAAACTTTTATAACAAATTATGAATTCGTTAAATAATCTTTAACGTCCGAGAACTTTTATAAATTACGGCAAATAAAACGAAAACAGTCCGACAAATTAATAAAAAAATATATTTATTCCAACTTTTCGAAATCTAAATGATTTCCTCTTCAGGGAGTCTATCCAAAAAATATGTACAAAATTAAAATAATAATAAAAATTATATACAAAATTAAAATAATAATAAAAAATAATTTAACAATAAATAAAAATTAATGGCTTTAATTAATTATACATGGAATGATAAATATATATTTTTATTACATGAGAAATACAGACAATAGCAATGTTTGAAGTTTCAGAATTAGGAGATATTGCAAGTGAAAAATAAATAAAATAACGCTATGATCAATTGCTAAAATGTACAATTATGCATTACAGGTGTAAGTTGTGATTCTTGTATGAAAGCTAATTTTCGAGGACGCAGATATAAGTGCCTGGTCTGTTACGATTACGATCTGTGTGCAAGTTGTTATGAACGAGGTGCTAGTAGTACACGCCATCTCACAGATCATCCAATGCAGTGTATACTTACAAGAACAGATTTTGGTAATCTTAAAAATTTTCTATATTTTTTAAGATTACTTTTTCAAGTTATTAATTAATTATTCTAATTATCCTAATTATGAATTATTGATCAAACTTATTAATAATTAATAAATTTGTATAGATTTATATTATGGAGGAGAAGGTATAAGTGTTGAGCAGCCTCAATCATTAACTTGTCCATATTGTACAAAAATGGGATTCACAGAAGCAACATTACAAGAGCACGTAACTGCTGATCATCCTGATACATCTTTTGAAGTGGTATGTATGAATAAGTTTTTCTTTGTATCGTGCAAATACAAAAGTGTACCTAATTAAAAATCAAAATTCTAAAGTTTTTATTTCCGTCTTTCCTTGACTGGAATTTGGGATTTAACTCTCTGCTGATGCTAACGACCGTTATCGTCAAAAATCGTCATTCTGGACTCCTGGTGGGGACTATGGGTGTTATGTTCTTTGACGATAGTGTGGGGATCTTCATCAGCAGAGGGTTAAACAAATTGGAAATATAAATTTTAAAACATTGCATATAAAATTGTTTTATTTTGTGAAAGAAAGAAGGGAATAAAAACGACATATTTTTATTATTATTAGGTTTGTCCTGTTTGTGCATCTTTACCTGGTGGAGATCCAAACCATGTAACTGAAGACTTTGCTGGCCATTTAACTTTGGAACATCGTAGTGGGCCTAGAGATTTAATGTCGTTTTTGGATGAATCTGCATCTACAAGACCCAATGTGCGTCGGATGCCTCATCCTTCCAGAGGTGTAGGTGGACCTCGTACTCGAAGGTATTTACATATTTTGATAAAATGTTATAGTAGTGAAGAATAGTTCGGAGTGTTACATTATTCTTTTAATTTAATATTAAGAAATGTTATAGTACACGTAGTTCAATGAATGTACCTATATTTTCCCCAAAAAGATTGTGTGGTCCTGTGTTCTGAACCAGTTTATCTGTAGAGTTAAAACAGATTACATTGTTCGGACCTTTTTCAGAACTAACATGCACTTCAGTTCCTCTGGAGGGCTCAGTCCAAGTAACAGAGAAGGCATCGATCCCATCGCCGAATTATTATCTCAATTGTCAGGAGTACGCAGAACTGGTAGTAGTCAAAGTTCATCTGCCCCTTCGCAACTTCAACAGTTGCAAATGCAATTACAGTTGGAACGTCAACAAGTTCGCGTATGTGTATAAATTTCAGTTAAAAAATTCTAGTGTCTGAATACGTACATAAAATACTAAAATTTTAAAAATTTTAGGCTGCAAGACAACAATTAGAACGTTTACCAAGAAGACAAACTCAAGGAATTGGTTCTGTTAATAGCGGAGGAGGAAGTAGTGCCGGACACACTACAACAATGGCAGCTGTTTTAGCTAATAATACCGTCACTTCTAATAATGTCTCTAGTAACAGCAATTCAGTTTCATTCTGCACCACATCTTCTAATTTGCAAAATTTTACTTTCCTAATACCTAGGTAAGACATGTTGACATAAAAAGTTTGAACTCCTAACTTTTTAACTCTGCAGAGTGGTATAAAAATGTAAATGATAAAATTTGTCTTGCAGATGTATAACCACGACACTTTCGGATTCACAACTACATACCATTGAACGTGAAAGTGCAAATAGAAGTTTGTTCGCTCGGGAATTAGTAGTTAGCACGCTCACTCAAGCTCTATCGGATGTGATAGAGAATCAAGTATCACCTCAAAGAGGAACGTCGCCTAACTCAAATGTATTAACAAAAAGTAGTCGGGATACGTTAAGTGCGTGTCGAGACATTAAATCAAGAGAATCATTGAATTCGAATCAAGAGGTTAAAACAGGACAGTCAACCACGGTTAGCAACGAACAATTAGTGCATTCTTCTAGCCTTCAACACGAAACTGATAATAGCGAAACTGAAATGTCTTCAAATCTTAATGAAGTTGTGATACAGAATGCGTCCATCGTTCAGGCGTTAAGGCACAGCGTAACACCTCAAGGAATGGTAAATACTTTTGCTTTTCTTTTCTTACTTGTTCAATTTTGTCCTTAAGGCGGTGTCAAAGTCAATGCGATTTTCCCATTGAAGCTCAATGCAAAAATCCAATCGACTTTGACACCGCCTTAAGTTAATCATTTTTATAATTTATACTTAAATATCATTTAAGGGTACTTTCTAGTAAAAGATTTCAAGAAAATCGATTTTTTTAAAGGTCTCTATTATAAAATAAAACCTCCAATATTTCACTTTTCTACCCCCTGTGAATTTCTAAGAGGATAAATTGACCCTAAAACACATTTTTTCGATTGTTTTAGAAAAATATGTTTAAAAAATTGTAAACCATTTAAAAAATTTTTTTAGAAAAAGAAGTTTACTTTAGACTGCCGGAAAACCTATAGATTTGCCGGCAGTCTAAAGATAAAATTTCTTTTTCTAAAACAATTTTTAGGGAAATTAAGGAAAATTAAAAATGTCCTGGAAAACCGGGAAATGTCAGGGAATTTTTTCGAAAATTATGTCGATTCTTAAAACCTGGAAAAAAATTTTAGAAGGCCTAGAAAACCTGGAAATGTTCGGGAAATTTTTTTCAGATTAGTTGTAGACACCCTGCTTGATATCAGGAAACTAAAAAGTATTTCATTTCATATTACAAGCCTCGGATATTATAACATTTTCAACTTTTTTCGACTATTTTCAAAAAATGCGACTTTTTTCGACTTATTTTCAAAAATTACGACTTTTTCGACTTTTCTTCCGAATATTGCAATAATTTTTACTACTTATTTTCAAAATTTACAATTGAAAAGAGTTTCAATAAATATTGAAATTTAGTAAAATTTAATTGAAAATAATTGATTTCTTTTTAAGTGTTTTATACAAATTTTTGAAAATCAACATTTGAAGAATATTAATTGCAAATTTTGAAAATAATTCAATTTCAATTCCTCGGAAGAATTTAATTTTTAATATATTTCGAATAAATTCAATTATTTTCTAAAATCGTAATAAATCCTTCGAAACAATTCAATTATTTTTATAAATGAGTAAAATTCAAAGTTTTTGATAAACATTTTTGAAAATAAACTTTAAAAGAATTAGTAGATAGGCAGGGCCGGTTCTGGTCCAAGATTCCTGCACCGACATGTTACCGACATTTTTAGCCCAGACTCAAACCATTTGAGGGCGATATTCAGACTGTTATGCTGAGCCGGATATGACGTCACACTTCCTAGAATTTTCGGGGGGGGGGGGGGTATTGAGATCATGATGCAAGTGTGATTCTTGGAATTTTTCTGAGGAATTTTTCCCACATGTGTAATTTGATACCTATTTATTTCTTGAAATTATTTTTTCACTTAAACTATTGTTTATTTGATTATTATCTAAGGAATTTTTCCCATCTGTTGTTTATAATAATGTCTTTGATTTATTGCTTCCGGTCTTTTCCAGAATTAATTTAATTTTTATTGTTTTGACATAATAAGCATTTTTTCAAGTATTATTTGATATGTATTTAATTCTTGGAATTATAACTTAATATTATAGAATAATCCTAGAATTTTCCATAGTGGTTAAATGACTCAGAATTTTGCAATTTTTTATTGATGACTCATTATCATTGGTATTACCTGGTTTTATTTTTTACATGGTGCATTCTTTAACGATGACACATAATTTCTTTGTTTTTCGCAAAATGGGGTTGATGACTCAGAAGTTTACAAATTTTTTATTGATGGCTCATCATCATTGGTATTTCCTGTTTTTGTTTTTTTACTTATTTTATTCTTGGAATTATTATTTTCCTCTAAATATTGCAAATCACTGTTTATTAGATTCTTATCTAAGGAATTTTTACAAACATTTGCGGCATTTTTCATCAGAATGCTTTTGATCTTACCGCAATTCCAAGAAAACTATAATTAACTTGAAGGTCAAATAGGTTATATCTCGTGTATATAAAGAGGGCAATTTTTATAAACGAAATCATTCCTGCAGTTGAAGTTGGTTAATAAACATATTAGCAGAACAACGTCGTGAAATTCAAGTGCGCTTGAATAAATTAATTCAAGAAATCCATAAAGTTAAAAGTTTAATTGAAGCCAGGTCATAGTTAATTATCTTAGTTAAAAAAATTGGAAAATTTAAATTTAAGTGATAAAAATGAATTTCGATAAATTAAACAAAGCAAGCAAAGTCTTGGTCACCAAAACAACAAAGGAGTTAACCATCGATGCATTCTATAAAGTAACAGACATTCGAAAAATTGATACGAAATTTGGTCCGAAAATTGTTGCTGAAATAAATAATGAATTTAACATTTTCCTATCACCAAGAATGCTAAAAATATTTTAAGAGGATGCAAATCTTTTCAACAGTCTGAAAGCTGAAGCTGTCAGAGGTGGTGTATATTTAAGAAATCGTGGAGGACCTTACAATCAGATAGTTTGTTCCTGAGGGAGTTGACCAGTAGATAACAAAAAATGTCGTATTTACGATGTGGAGAAATGTTATTATCTAAAATTTACAACCTGAATCCATCATTTTCAAAGCAAGTTGTCGTTGGAGCAGAACTAGACATAAATGGAAATATAATACCAAAAATTCAACTAAGAAGCAGCCCTCCACGATACTTCAAAAAGTGATGGGAAGAACTAATGTTTTAAATTTAGAGACATTATTGATGGAACTTGTCCCATTTTACTGCAAACAAATATCAAATGAAGCTATTCATCAAATGTCAAATATTCAATGTATAAATGGTAAATTATTGTAAAAAGAGGAGAAATAAATACAAAAATGCATACAATTTATTTAAAAGCTCAATTGGTATTAAACGATGTGTAGCACTAAAACGTATTGTAAACGTTTCACAATCCAGCAATGTTGCATCACAATCTCCGTTGAAAAATCGCATGATATGTTTTACTGCATCACACAAAAGGCGCCATTCTTGAAGCTCCAAAGACAATGATACTCGTGGATGGTTGCTTCTTAGTTAAATCTTTTGGTATTATTTTCCCATTTATGTCTAGTTCTGCTCCAACGACAACTTGCTTTGTAAATGATGGATTCAAGTTGTAAATTTTAGATAATAACATTTCTCCACATCGTAAATACGACATTTTTTGTTATCTACTGGTCAACTCCCTCAGGAACAAACTATCTGATTGTAAGGTCCTCCACGATTTCTTAAATATGCACCACCTCTGACAGCTTCAGCTTTCAGACTGTTGAAAAGATTTGCATCCTCTTCAAATATTTTTAGCATTCTTGGTGATAGGAAAATGATAAATTTATTATTTATTTCAGCAACAATTTTCGGACCAAATTTCGTATCAATTTTTCGATTGTCTGTTACTTTATAGAATGCATCGATGGTTAACTCCTTTGTTGTTTTGGTGACCAAGACTTTGCTTGCTTTGTTTAATTTATCGAAATTCATTTTTATCACTTAAATTTAAATTTTCCAATTTTTTTAACTAAGATAATTAACTATGACCTGGCTTCAATTAAACTTTTAACTTTATGGATTTCTTGAATTAATTTATTCAAGCGCACTTGAATTTCACGACGTCGTTCTGCTAATATGTTCATTAACCAACTTCAACTGCAGGAATGATTTCGTTTATAAAAATTGCCCTCTTTATATACACGAGATATAACCTATTTGACCTTCAAGTTAATTGTGATTTGCAATATTTAGACGAAAATAATAATTCCAAGAATAAAATAAGTAAAAAAACAAAAACAGGAAATACCAATGATGATGAGCCATCAATAAAAATTGTAAAATTCTGAGTCATCAACCCCATTTTGCGAAAAACAAAGAAATTATGTGTCATCGTTAAAGAATGCACCCTGAAAAAAACAAAAACAGGAAATACCAATGATAATGAGTCATCAATAAAAAATTTCAAAATTATGAGTCATTCAACCACTATGGAAAATTCTAAGATTGTTCTATAATATTAAGTTATAATTCCAAGAATTAAATACATATCAAATAATACTTGAAAAAATGCTTATTATGTCAAAACAATAAAAATTAAATTAATTCTGGAAAAGACCGGAAGCAATAAATCAAAGACGTTATTATAAACAACAGATGGAAAAAATTCCTTAGATAATAATCAAATATACAATAGTTTAAGTGAAAAAATAATTCCAAGAAATAAATAGGTATCAAATTACACATGTGGGAAAAATTCCTCAGAAAAATTCCAAGTATCACAATTGCATCATGATCTCAATATCTCCCCCCCCCCCAAATTCTAGGGAGTGTGACGTCATATTCGGCTCAGCATAACAGTCTGAATACCCCCTCTCCTCCAATGGTTTGAGTCTGGGCTAAAAGTGTCGGTAACATGTCGGTGCAGGGATCTTGGTCCAGAAATGGCCCTGCCTATCTATACTAGAATTTTAATTGTAAATTTTGAAAATAATTGATTTCTCAAAAATTTTAATGAAAAATCTTCAAGTGTAAATTTAAAAATGCTAATTAATGAAAATTAGCTTCAAAAAAAATTCTATTAAAATATTTTTGAAAAAAATACTTCTTCTAATTTTTTAAAATTCAATTATTTTCAAATACAAATTTCCAAAAATTCAAATTACATAGAAAAAATAATAACATTACAATTTTTTACAATTAATTTTGACATTTTAACAACATATGACTTTTTAGATGTATTAAAATTTTGGAGAAATCGCGTTTATATTAATAATTAAAATTCTTTAAAAATTCAATTATTTTTTTAATAGAATTTACCAAATTTCAATTGTTTGGAAATTTTTCAATTCTATATAATTGAAAAACTATTATCTTTTAAAAATTATTTTAAAAATATTTTTGAGAAATTAATTTGAAGAATTTCTTTATTATAATTTTTTGAAAATTAATTAATAAGTTAAAAAACATGGGACAGTTAGAATCATTATAAAGAACTGAAAAATTAATTAATTAATTAATTAATTAACTGACAAAAATTAAGATCTTGAAAACATTCTAAGTTGTATTTAAATAATTGAATTCTCTAAGAACTTTCGGAAAATTATTAAAAATAATTGATTTCGAGAAGAAGTTTGATTTAAAATTGTAGAAAATAATTGAATTTTAAGAGAATTAAAGTTGTAATTTTTAAAAGTTATTAAATTTCAGAAGGTTTTAAATAGAAATTTTTTAAATTTTATTCCCGTATAAAAACAAACAAGAAGTATTTAAATATTTATTTAACGAAATTATTCAAGCTTTACATAATTAAATTTAGAAATTAGTGAAAGATCAGAAGAATAAAAAATAAAATTTTTGTTACAACACTGAATTAAATAAACGACTTTTTCGACTTTTTTCTATTTTAAATCGACTAAAGCGACTTTTTTGCAGCTTAAAGTCGATCCGAGGCCTGATATTAGTAAAAAAGAAAATTTTAAGTTTTACCAATGTTCTGAAAATATGTTTGTAAAATTGATGTAGGTTCTACAACAATCTGTGTCTCCACCGGTAAGAAATACGGGAACTGGAACTATCAGAGAGCAAATATCTGCGCCTGCAGCAGCCTACATAAGAGGTGGCGTGAGCTCTGTCGGCGTGACTGGAGGTTCCCGCAGGAAGCCTGTTAGATCCATAGATGGCAGAAATCAATCGACGGACCCACCACCACCGCATTAATTTTATTATAGCTGTAATGAAAAGAAAGAAAACATTTAAAAAGGAAGAGAAGAAGAAAAAACCCTTTAGCGCTAGTCCTAGTATCGTTCAAAAACACCTTACTGTTGTTATTATATTATTACTTATTGGCTATTTTCCCGTCAATTCGTACTGCTATATCTCCGTAATTCCGTGTTATTAATCCTAACAAGTTATTTCACGCCACACGTCGTATCGTGGGCAAACTACCATCAAATTATGTATATACAGCTCTTATTGTCAATGTTGTCTGAGAAAAAACACCCCTTCATTTGCAATTCAATCAACCTCTTTAATCACAAATATTTTCATAATCCTGGTTCATTTTTATCAATTCTCCTTGAGTTATAACTTTTAAGCTTAGACGACTATTAATTAACTAAACGATTGCCTGAAGAGCCAAGTATAATTAATAACATATAAAACAGAGATTTGTCTTGTGAATAAACACTCTTTCACAAATACTGATTTTTTTTAGTAGATATTACATGTATTTAAAAAAAAATTATATAATCTAATAATTTCAAGACTATTTCAATTTTTTTTTGATTATTGTTTTGAGTGACAATTTTATTTTTCTTTCGTCTTTTGAGATAATTTTTAATGACAAAATATGTATTCTTCTTAATTTGGGAACAAAAAAACACTCCTGCCTAAAACACGTCTGATACAGAAAAAAAAGTCGGATTATTTTTCGAATATAAGCAAATTTGTCTGGTGTGTCTTTAAATTATAAAATAGAAATGGAAAATTGACATTTTTAAATAGATTTAAAAATGTCCAGTGTTTAGAGTAACGAATTATTTTTAACTTTAAAATTACTGTTTTTTCATTTATATGTAACGGTAGTGCGTTACTATTTTGAAAAAAGTAACGGTGATTGATTACATTTTATGCGGATAATTTGTAACTAAAAATCATTAATTTCTAATTTGCATGTAATGTAAAAACGAAAAAACGTCAGATTTAATGGAACATTTAAAAAATTAAAAAATTCATAATGAATTCATAAGAGAATAAAGGAGATATTTAACCTTTGAAAATTCTTAAGCTCGTTTCTTTTTTTCAGATTTTTTAGAGTTTAGTGAAGGATTGGACTGACCTTCTATCCATTTTCACTTATTCCTTTACATCCTGCATTTAAGATGTTTTTTTTTCTTTTTTTTGTGTTTACATTCATTTATGAACATCGATACAACAAAAACTTTTAAAAATCATTTTTGAAACATAAATAAAATAAATAAAAAAATTTCAATTTTTAAACACAATGTCATTTTTAATCAATCAAATAAAGAAATTTTATTGTTTCTTATATATATATAGGGTTTTTTACTTTTAATCCGAATCTGACCTTCAAAAAATATCTAATTGGCTCTAATAGTTTTCAAACAAATTAACATGTTAGGTACCAAAAAACATGTTTTTGGCACTTTTTGAACAACTAAATTCCAGGCAATTCCGTCGCTTTATTGTTTTATAGGTATCGTGTTTGAAAAGCGTCAAAAACACGATTTTTAGAACTTAAAATATTAATTTGTTTAAAAACTAGAGCCAATTGAACATTTTCAAGGTCAGATTCGAATTCTTCGTCAAAAAAAGGTACGTTTTTTCCTACAGCGCTCAGACGTAAATATTTATATCTTTTGACTAAATGTAAAATACTAATTTTTTTCTTTATTACTTATGAGTGGGCATTAAATAATAATCGACTTTAAAAAATGAAAAAATAAATCATTGAATTCATTTTCACTTGTTTAAATAAATAATTGTTTATAATTTTAATAAATTACGTTACATATGAAAAATATAAATCAAAAGAAATTTAATTTTTAAATCATGCCAAAAATCATCAAAATCTGATGATTAGTTCATTAGAAAAATAAAAATTTCCTAAATTGATGCAAAAAAAAAATTGTTTAACAATAATTTCAACAAAAAAACGAATTTTACAAAATTGTTCAACTTGTATTTTTTTATTGTTTCAAATAGGAATGCAATAATTTCATGAAAAAAGCTTGACAGACTTCGCACTCGATAATTAATTTTAAAAAAGTAACTTTAAAACTAAAAAATAAAAATATGTCTGTGTGGCATTTTATTAATTTTTTTTTTTGAAAATAATTGAATTCTTTAAAAGCATTTTATTATAATTATGAAAATAATTTAATTCCTCTGGAATTCCTTTGTAAATAATTATTAAATTCTTCCAAAGAATTTAATAAAAACATTTTTTTAAATAATAATTTAATTCCTTTGACAAATTTTTTTAAGAATAGTTACATTTTTCGAGAAATTTGATTAAAATTTTGTGAAAAATAATAATTGAAATACTGCGATGAATTTTCTTATTCATGAAAATAATTGAATTGTTGCGAAAAATTTTAATAAAATGTTTGAAAAGAATTGGATTTCTGTGAAAAATTGTATTATTTATGAAAATAATTGAATTTTTGGGCAAAATTTTATTACTTATCGACATAATTGAATTCTTTCGAAGATTTATTTATGTAAATAATTGAATTCTTGAGCAGAATTTTTTTAAAATTTAAAAGAATAATTGAATTATTTCATTAAAAGTTTAATTAAAATTGGATTTCAAATAATTGATTTCTTTCGAACAATTTTATTAAAATATTTGAAAATAATTGAATTCCTGTAAAAAATTCTAATATTTTGGTAAATAATTAAATTCTTTTAAAGAATTTAAAAAAAACATTTTTTTAAATAATTAAGTTTTTTGAGGAATTGAAATTAAATTTTTAAGAATAATTACATTTCTTGAGCAATAATTCCTGTAAAATTGTATTAAAAATAATGGAAAATTGGAAATCCAGCAATGAATTTTATTATTTGAGAAAATAATTGAATAGTTGCTAAGAATTTTATTAACATTTTCAAAAATAATTGAATTCCTAAGAAGAATTTTATTATTTATGCGAAAATAATTGAATTATTGGAAAAAATTTTGTTAAAATGTTTCAAAAGAATTGAATTTCTATGAAAAATTTTGTTATTCTTGAAAATCATTGAATTCTTCATAAGAGAATTGTTTTAAATAATTAATTTTTTTGAAATATAATAAACATTATGAAAATTTTATTTTAAATAATTGAATTCTTGTAGAAAACTTTATTTGTGAAAATAATTGAATTTTTCGAATAATTAATTTAAAATAGTATTAAAAATAATTGAAATTCTTCGATGAGTTTTATTATTTATGAAAATAATTGGATTCTTGCTTGGAATTTTATCAAAATTTTTCTTTTAAATTAAATTTTCATGAAAAATTTTATTATTAGTAAAAGTATTTGAGTTTATTGTAAAGAATTGTATAAAAATTTTGTTAAATAATTGATTTTTTCGATTTTTCATTTTGTAAATGCTATTCTAAATTAATTGAATTCCTGTAGAAATTTTATTATTTATGAAAATAATTGAATTTTGGATGGATTTTATCAATTTTTTTTTTTTTAAATAATTGAATTGTTTTGCGAAATTTTATGAAAATTCTAGACATTGAAAATAATTGAGTTTCGAATATTTTTTGAAAATAATTGAATCATTTAAAAAAATTTGATTATAATTTTTGTAAATAGTTTTTTGATTTCTAGTATTAGCGAATTTAAAGTAGTGGAAATTCTCAAAAAGAAACAAATAGTAGCTTTTAGTGGCTGAAATCTAGGAAAAGTACCCAAATAGTGGCATAACTTAAAAAAAGTAGTAAATAGTAGGTTTTAGTAGATGAGTGCGAAGCCTGGCTTGACTATCGTAAAATTAATTGCCTACTTCACGAATTTGGCCCTTTATTTTTCTTTCTTTTTTACTATGTATATTGCAAATAGTTATGATAACTTCTGATAGTCTTTAATTCAAGATGGCTGCTGCCAGTGTTTTCACAGGATTATAACAGAGCACAGTTTTCGTCTTTGTATGGTTTTCTTGAATATTCGGGACTCACATATGAATATACACACCAAAGAAGCTCTTCCCTGTTGACTTCCTTGAAATATTGTGTTGTGATAGAGGCCTCCAAGGTTCCAATTGAATTATCTCTCTCATCAAGAAGTTGTACGAATAAGATTCATGAACTAATTTTGTTGAGATCAGACAGGTTTATTTTAATCTATTTACTTTACTTCAAAAAATTGCCAAATTTACAAAAGAAAATTCAATATTATGCGTGACAAATTGGTGCGCCACAGAATACTATTAGAAAACAATTATATAAAATTAAAATAAATACTTGTGAATGAATAACATAATCCATATAATTAAATGGATCAAAAATTAATGACAAAGGAGTAGAAAATGTAAGAAAAGTGATTAGGAGTATATATATATATATATATATATATATATATATATATATATATATATATATATATATATATATATATTAAATATAATAAAAGTAAAATAGGAAAAAGGATAAAAATATTGAGAATGAATATATAAATTGATAGAAATGATATGATATGAAATGGTTATAACTTTCAATTTTGGAATGGATTTAAATAAACAGATTTTCATGGATAAAAAAAGACTAAAGTAGCCAAGTATATACACTGCATATAAATTACATTTCTACATCATTATTCTACATAATTTTATACATAATATTTACAAACAAGACACATTGTATGTTACAAATTTTAACATTACGTTGAGATGATCACTAGCGTAATAAAACTTAAACTTAAAGCTCAAATAATTCCAGAGTTGCGTTTCTTAGTCCGGTCTATAAAGAGGAATTTTAGGAATAAATTCTATTAGAAGAACCTGAAATCAAAGATTATTTAACGTTAAAGTTTAATTTTCAAAATTAAGTTTCGAGGAGGAAAAAATAGTTCCATATTTCTCATGCGACTTACATATTCCATCATAGAAGAGCTATCGCACCTTTGCTTTGATAATCTCCAATGTAAACCTAATTTGTGATAAAGTCTGCTATTCTCCCATTCCAGCAATTTATTAATAGAATGCTGAGTCTGCTTGGAATATATAAAATATTAGTTTTTAAAAAAGTATGCTATACATTAAATAAGAGTTGCTGCGTTTAAAATTCAGTGACTTAGAGACTGTATCAGGGTTTTAAAAAACGTAGCAACCATTCTGTTAAAAAGTATGATTATTACTTTCTGAAAATATTATTAAATACCATTACCCTTTTACTAAGACATATGACAGGCCATAAAGAACATCCTAAAGTACAGCAGCAACAAACGCAACCACAAAATAGCCACTTGACATTAACAGGAAGAGTCTTTTTGAGGACATTATTTACTCTCATCACTGTTGCTTTAAACTCTTCAGGCGCGACACGTGATACCAACCCATTTGGAAATTCTGCCTCAAATCGATTGCTGAGGCCAAACCTGTACATAAATTAAATTTTAAAAAAAATTTATTTTTTTTAATTAAATTAAATTACTGTGTAATGTGCGTAATTTGCGAGGAATCCATCCTAATTTCGACCAAAGCACAAACCGAGTGCTTTTAGAAATATCACAATTTGCATGAGATCTTCTGATTAATCTGTAATTTAGTGAAATTGTTATATTTGATAAGAAAAATAAATGTACAAAAGGATTTTTCAAAATTGTGCAATAATTTACGCCGTATTGGATTTTTTGATCAAACTTTTTTTAAATGTTAATATTTCCATAACAATTTAATTGATTTTAATAAAATTTAAATGTCATGTCTTAAAATCATGTCTTTTCAGAATTTTGCAAATAAAAAAAAATTTATCCAAAAATCCAATATGGCGTAACTTCCACAATTTTGATTTTGATAATTTTGATTTTTCTCATCAAATATAACAATTTCACCAAATTACAGATTAATCCGAAGACCTCATGCAAATTGTGATATTTCTGAGACGGAGTCTTACCTATATATTTAATTAATTATTGACAATAATGGATTTATAAAAGAATTTTAGTTAAAAACACTAAAAAAAATTTAATTTTTAGAGAAGTTACAAATAATACTTTAATATTTCCTTTTCATATAAATATGTTTGGGTACCAAAGGATATTAATATTTTTTTCTATTTCTGATAATAATTTCTTTTCAAATATAACTGAATTCTTGAAGAACTATCATAAAATTATTACATTAAAAATTATTTAATGAATAATTTTACTTAAAAATTTCAATATTAATTGGATTTCAAAAGAGTTGCGTTTACAATCTTCATAAATAGATGAACTTCAAAGGTTTCAATTTGAAATTTTAAAAAATATCAATTTTTAATGAATTTAAATAGAAATTTTAAGAACAACTGCGATTACAGAAATTCAATTATTTTCAAAAGTGATGAACTTCTTCGCATAAATTCAATTATGTTCAAAAATTTTTTAAAACTCGTCAAAATTTCAATTATCTTTATAAATATAATAAATTTCTTCTCCGAAATTTAATTTTTTTCGAAAAATTTAATAAAATTCTTGACAAAATTTCAAAAATTTTCCTCATTTCAATTATTTTTAATATCTAAAATTTTAATAAATTTTTACAAAAAAATTCTATTACCTATCTAAACAAAATTTTAATAAAAATTTCACAGGAATTCAAATACATAATTATACTAATTTTTTTTTTATATATTTCTTCGTACCAATTCAATAATTTTTAATTTTTTAATGAACTTTCTTCAAAGAATTCAAATATATTCAGAGAATTAAAAAAAATAGTTATGAGAAATTCAATTATTTCGAAACATTTAAATAAAATTCTTTTCAAAATTCTATTATTTAAAAAAATTTTGACAAAATTTTGTTAATAAACTTGCAATTTTAATAAAATTTTCCTATACAATTCAATTATTTTCAGTGCAATTCTTCTTGAGAGGGGGGGGGTCAATTTTCCCAAAAAAAATTAGTCCCCAAAAATGTTTTTCCAATATTATATTTCCCAAAAAAAAATTTCCCTATAAGCAAATCATTTTTCCCAAAAAAATAATCCAACATTGTCCACCAATCTGTTCGAACTAGAATTTATTTAAAAAAATTTTCAAACTAGAATTTACTCAAACTATTATTTTTTCAAATTACAATTTATTCAAGTTATTATTTTTTCAAACCAAAATTTATTGTAACTATTATTTTTTCGAAATAGAATTTACTCAAACTATATTATTTTTCTTCAGAATAGAATTTACTCAAACAATAATTTTTCAAAGCACAATTTATTCAAACTATTGTTTTATCGAAATAAAATTTATTGTAACTATTATTAGTTCAAACTAGAATTTATTCAAATATTTTTTCAAACTAGAATTTACTCAAACTATTATTTTTTCAAACTTGTTACGTATTTACAATCACTTGGTCATTACGTTCGAATGTGATTATTTACTACTAATTTGGCAATAAATATACATTTTGGAAAAAATATAACATTGGGGAAATTTTTTGGGGAAATTATTTTTTGGAAAATCCAGCATTGGGAAAAAAATATTTTGGGATAAGGGAACGTTCATAAACTACGTAGCACTTCAAGGGGGAGGGGGGGTCAAGCAATTATCTACCATAAGAGGAAAAAATAGCGCTAATACATGTAATTGCGTAATTATTTATTTATTTATTCAAGAAGTTAACGGGTAAAACCCTTTCGTACAAAGTACTAAAATAACTAAAGATTGTACTTAAATTAATAACTAAAAGCTAACTGGCCGCATTATTATTTACATCCATTTTTATTTTATTTTATATTTTATTTTTCTAAATAATAACATTTTTCTTGAGAATTCAATTATTTCAACAAATAAAATTCTTTACAGGTATTCAATTCTTTAAAAAAAATTTTTAATAAAATTCTTTCCAAGAATTCAATTATTTTCATAAATAACAAAACTTATCGCAGAATTTCAATTTTTTTGCATTTATTCTTAATGCAATTTAATAAAAAAAAATAAAATAAAATTAATCACGCCCAAATTTAAAAGAAAATAATTTTTTTTATTAAAAATTTTTAAAAATAATTTTTTTTTACATTATTTAAAAGTTGAAGAAAAACCAAAATTTACTTCCTTTGACAACTTTTTTTTAAACTCAATACTTTCAAATTTACTATAAGCTATTGAAAATAGGTCTACTTTTAAATATACAAAATTTCGAAATTTCATAACTCGAAAATTTTGGCAAATATGGAAAAATAAAAATATACCTATTTAATATTTTTCTATAAAGAATGATAAAAAATATGTTTAACCGATTTTTAAATGTCATAGAAAAATCTCACGTGGAATTGCCCATATTTAAAATTAAAGAATTTTCGAATAATCGAAATTTCGTAAAATTTAATTGTAAACAAATGAATTTGAAAATTTCTCAAAAATTATTCAAAATAATCGATTTAAAGAAGAATTTTAGTTAATAATTGTAGAAAATAATAATTGAATTGAAATGATGAAAATAATTTTGAAGAAGTTACAGGAAATAAGGGAAAAGTCAAGGACAAACAAAATTAAATTTTTGTGTCAATCTTGAAAAAGGGGAATTTTTCGAAATAAAGGAAAAAAGGGAAATAGGGGAAACACTGTGAAGTCTGGTTACCAGCCTGTAATAAGAATCCAATAATATAAAGATAATTATGTTTTTATAAAATACATCAATTGGGCCTTTTTTATAAAAAAAAACGTAGAATAAATAAGACATTTTTTTTATTTTCTTTGTTTTTATATTGAATTTTGGTATTAGAAATTTTAAAAAAAGGTCATATTTTATAACTAATTCGATGAAATGATACAATTACATATAAAAATTCAGAATCTCAGAAGTAAATCATTTTATTTATGATTTAGCTGAATTCAATATTTGAGATTCAGGATTTAAAAAAGTAACAAAAAAAATTCCAACAATAACCATAATTTTCTAATTTATTGTTTTTAATCCAATCATCAATTAATTTTAAATGATCTTTACTGAAATTTAAATCGCCTAGACATTTTCTAATTAAAAATGAATGGAAATAAATAAAAAGTGTGAATGAACCACGTACCATTTTCGCCAGTCACTATATATAGAGAGAGGAGGGCACACAAAGCAGAGAAAATGTCTTTATGAAAGTTTAAAAATTCATTTGCCAATTATGGTTGAAAAAAATTAATTTTCGAGCTTACACTGTCATATTTCCTCCACCTCGAACAACAATGGGATCCGGTATCATAATATTGTAGTGCTCTTCAAGATTTTGCTCATTTACTTCCTCCTCTTCTTCGTAAATAGCATCAAAATCAGCCATAATCAAATATGATTCGAAAATTAAAACCAATGGAAAAGAACACTGACATCAATTAAAGCTTCATTTACGGTAGCATTTTCAGATCTTTAAACGAGATTAATTAAAACTGCAAATATTAATGAAAAGTTACAATAAACTGGGAAAAGTTTTGCACTGTTAACATTGCTTTCCTAGCCTCATCCATGGTCCTGTCATTCGTGTTGATTCATGTGTATGTACAGTAGACGTCAGGGATGTATTCGCATGTATTCGTGTTTGAGCAAATCATACTCAAATGTTTCCATGGGAACATAAGGGACTTTCTACAACATTTTTTTCATCGACACGAACAACAGAATCCACTATCAAGTTGTAAAAATAATTCCGCAAATGTTTATTGTACTTAATTGATTATAGTTTGTTTACTAATTAATAAAATATTGAAATTAATGCGCGCATATTGCAGTTGATAAGGTTATTCAAGTTGGGTGGGGGGAAATCCAAGATGGATGTTTACTGGTACAAAAACAATGCATTGAATTATTCAATGGGGCGAAATCAGTTTTTCAACCATAACTTTTTAAAAATTCACTTTTGAACCATAGTGTAATGGAAAATTATTCTTTAACTATCGAAAGCTATTTTTTTAAACAATAAAATCAAAACATTAATTTTTATTTTTTTAAAAAATAGATTTCGGTAAATAAATAATAATTTTCCATTAGATTATGGTTCAAAAATGGATTTTTAAAAAGTTATGGTTGAAAAACTGATTTTGTCTCATTGACTATAATGCATTGCTTGTAATTGTAATCCATCGATCCGCCATATTGGATTTCCCCCACTCAACACGAACTACATTTACACCTTTGGACGTTTGGTAAAAATTGTCCAGAACGGAAAATCCACATTGGAGTAAGAGAGACAGATACGTAGCCTGCCTCTCTTACTCCAATACAGATTTTCCATTTTGGACAATTTTTACCGAAAACATAAATGCTCCATTACAGTCGAACTTTTTTTCAATGTTTTGCAGATTTAATGGATTTTAAACACTTTCTATCTACATATTTGGAATTGAGACGAATTCTATAAAATAATTGTAGTGGAATTAACACTTTTCACTTCACAGGAACTTTAAAATATGCTAAAATGTATGTTTTTTGAGGTTAAGAACCTTTGTTTACAACTATATTTATAAACAAACGTTCATAACCTCAAAAACATACATTTTAGCATATTTTGAAGTTTCTGTGAAGTGAAAACTATTAACTCCACTATAATTATTTTATAGAATTCGTTTCAATTCCATTTATGAAGATTGATTCTTCACGTTCGCGAACGAGTTTCGCGATATTGGAGAAAGGCCTTTAAAGTTTAAAGACAGGCCACCCACTGCACATGCGCTCTAATTTGAAAATCTATTCCGTTCTGAGACCTGCTCACACCTGAATGAATGTAGATTCTGATAATAACATGCACACCACTCAATAGTTGAGATTACTACTTTGTGGTTGTCTCTTTAGTTGTTTTTCAATGTTCATGACAATCCAAAACCAGTTTAAAAGTCGCAAATGATATAGACTATCATACCAAAACACCGAAAATTTACATATATACACTTCTTTAAGGCTCCTTTTTTTGTAAAGAGAAGCAAAATTAAAAAGGTAGTACACTGTCTGTTTTAGCTTTTTTATGATAAAGAAAAATGCAAACATTTTTTAACAATTACACTTTTTGCTACATAAATTTAATATAAGACGTTTAATGATAGGCTGAAGTTCGCAAGAAACTTGTACGTGTTCATAGACACCGGCAAGAAGAGGTTAATTGATAAAAATTAAAATGTTCACAGATATCCCTTAAGTCTGAATTTTTTTAATTCCAAACTATTGTCATTTTTTAACTTTAATGCGTTTTTATTTCTTTTTAAAATCTTTACAAATGTCTCTCAATTCTGAATCATTTAAATTAATATATTTTTGAACTTTTGTTTTCAGACTTTAACAGCTAACTAATTTGAAGAAATTTATATTCTTTTTAATTTTGTACGCATTTTAATTCTAAATAGGGTGTTTGAATTTAAATCAATTTTATTATAATACTTAACACCTTAAAAGGTTAGTGACCAGTTGAAATCTATTTATGATGTAAATATTATAACACTAAATCATTTTAATAAAAAAAGAAAATAAAGTGCGTAAAATGACGGCAAATATGGGTAAAATTCACAATGCTTTTAATTTCAAACCAATGTCAATTTTTTAGTTTTTTGTAAACATTTTAATATATTTTTAATCTCTTCTCACCGGAAATTTCCTGAACCAGTTTCTCTTTACTTAAAACCAAATATTTTAAAAACTTTCAAGGTTGCGCAGTAGTTTTTTAAATCATTTTTTCTGATACGCAGTTGATTTTAAAGTTCAAGGGCAATAAGGCATAATAATTCTTTACAATTTAAAAAATTTTTTTTCATACATAACACAGTGCAACATTTTTAAGGTCATCGAATGTGCACTAAGTTTTGACTTTAGTTTCTGAAAGTACTTATCGAAACTAGCAAAAACCTATTTCAGTTTTGCTAGATTAGCTCGGATTTGAATTTTATCGACATTTGAATTTTTTTTTGAATTTTCACATTTTTCAGTTTTCTGATACGGGCGGATGGGAACACTGGCTATTAAAAGTTTATTAAAAAAATTCGCAATGGTCACAATTTGAAAAGCAATAATCCCTCTTTAATTACAGAGAAAGAAAAAAAAATTTGATCAAAAATTGTTCCAGTTACGAATTTTTTTTTGACTGTCTTACATTTTTCGATTTTCTAAAACGGGCGAGTGAGAAAGCTGGCTATTAACAGATTATAAAAAAAAAATTCGCAGTGGTCACCATTTGAAGAGCAATAATTCCTCTTTAATATCTGACATTGAAAAAAAAAATTTGGTCGAAAATTATTCGAGTTATGAATTTTTTTTTTGTAATTTTTCAAATTTTTCTGTTTTTCTAATACGAGCGGGTGGGATCGCTGTCTATTAAAAGTTTATTACACAAAATTCGCAATTGTCATAATTTGAAAAGCAATAATCCCTCTTTAAATTCTGATAAAGAAAAAAAATTTTTGTCAAAAATTGTTCGAGTTATGAATTTTTTTCGTACTTTTTCAAATTTTTCTTATTTTTGATTCGGGCGGGTGAGAACGCTGGTTATTAAATTTTTCTTTTTTAAAATCTTAATGGTCACATTTTGGAGAGCAATACTTTCTCTTTAATTTCTGACAAAGAAAAAAAAATTTGGTCAAAAATTGTTCCAGTTATGAATTTTTTTTTGACTTTTTCACATTTTTCAATTTTTTGTTCAGGCGGGTGGGAACGCAGGCTATTAAAATTTTTTTTAAAAATTTCGAATGATCACAATTTGAAGAGCATTAATCCGTCTTTAATTTTTCATTTTTTAATTTTTCATATTTTTTTCTCGTTTTTTAAAAAAAATATGATATACGCATTTTTTTTATTTTTATATAATTACCCAAATTTTCGAGTTATAAATTTTCAAAATGTTTGATTTGTAAAAGTACACTTATTTTGATTATAGCTATGTGTCATTTTCAATGAACTCGTATGTAAATTTAAAAAGCAGTCATCACAAAAGAATGTAATGTTTTTTAATTTTCTCCTTTTAAACAAGTTATTATAATTAGGTAATATATTCATTGGCCGAGCGTGACTACTTATAATAATGAATTTCAAATCAGCTTCTCTTAATATGAATGCATAATAATAAGTTACAATATAAATGATAAAAGGAGATTATAGTTAACAATTTAAAAGTGCTAAATAACTTGGTAATTCTGCTTACAAGTACAATAATACACTGTTAAAAATCGGACTCCAACTTTACACCGAACAAGGACGTAGCAGGGGGAGGGGGGTGTTTGTTGATACACCCCCCCCCCCGACATTTCTAATTTTATTCTTAGTACACCTCTTATCAAATTCCATAAACCCCCTCCCCCCGAAACTTATTTTTGGCTACGCCCCTGACACCGAAAGATTAAAAATGATATACTTTTAATCTCAAAAAGTGTGAATACTTTAATGTGATTCAATATTTTTGGTGTAAAGTTAGAGTCATATTTTTAACAGTGTATTGCAGAGGAATATCGATAATATTCAGTGTTGTAAATTTTTTTTAACAACTTTTAAAAAATTTCGTCCTGGCTCTAAGGTGACCATCAACGCGTTTTGAGAAAAATTAATTTTGAGCATTTTAAGGTGTAATATTTTTCAAAAATTATGACAGAACTGAAAATAAAATGTGTTAAGAACCGCGAATCATGGTACACTTATCCTCAATGTTACTTATAGGTAATTCAGATTGAATTGTTATTCTTCAGTACAACATTAACATATATAGTAGCTTAATGATTAAATTTATATTTTATTTTTAAGCAACACTTTTTCTGTGATTATGAGTTAAAAACAAAGAATTTTAAATAAAAGTACCTATATTATATTTTTCAACTGCTTTTTAAACTTTTTTAGTGAATTTTTGAATGGTTGACACCTTGGGGCCACTTTTTTGAAATTCAAAATTTGAGCTGTTTTTCGAAAATCGCCTAATTTTTTTTTTTTTTGCAATTACACTACCGTCCGCATAATTGAGTGTAATCATATCATTATAGTGTAAAAAGCGTTAAACGTAGAAAACATTTACTCTGAGAATTAAAGCATTTTAGTACATTTTGTAGCGAATTCAATATAGGTATGAACTACTCCATAAAATTTAATGAGAAATAGTCACTTCTGGTTTCACAAAACGTCAAAAATTTTGATGTTTGATCGTGATTTTATTTTTAGTATAGAGATTGATCTACTTGGGTTTCCATCATTCATATATTTATAGAATGGCGGCAAAACGGTTGGACATAGTTATATTTGGAGCAACAGGTTTTACTGGTCAAAATACAGTTAAAGAAGCCGCTCGTTTATCACGTTCATACAATTTCACATGGGGAATTGCAGGACGCAGGCAAGATGCATTGGAAGCCGTCCTTAAGAAATATGCTCCAAATTCTGGTATTATTTTATAACCAACTATAGAAAATAATAATTAATAATTCTGTAATATACTGTCCTCTAATATTAGCAAAACGAAGAACAAAAACACTACTATATTATTATTCTATAATCTTTTAGTAAACATTCCAGTAATGATAGCAGATTTAAGGGATCAAGAATCTTTAAAAAACATGGCCATTAGCACTAAAGTAATTGCAAATTGTTGTGGACCTTACAGATTTTATGGTGAGGCAGTTATTAAAGCTTGCTTGGCTGCCAAAACTCACCACGTTGATGTTAGTGGGGAGCCTCAGGTGATTAAATAAATTCAAGCCTTGATAGGACATAATTAATACTTTTTAAGGTATCTATAAAATTCAGTAAAAGAGAAAAATTTGTTTTCATTAGTTCATGGAGAGAATGCAGTTAGAGTACAATAAAGCTGCACAAGAAGCTGGTATCTACATTATAAGTGCATGTGGATTTGATAGTATTCCCTGTGATCTCGGTATTGTTTGTACTCAAAAGAATTTTGAAGGTGAAATAAATACTATAGAGACTTATTTAAATAGTTGGAATACTTCTAACGCTAATGGAGCTTCTCTTCATTATGGTACATGGGAATCTGCTATTTATGGTATGGCACATTCCAACGAATTGCGTCAGATTCGTTCAAAACTTTTTCCTGAAAAGTTACCAAAATTGGAACCTAGACTCTCAAATAGGTAATAAATTTAATGTGTAACGTACATTATGTGAATATTAATATCCATTTATAAACTAAATGATAATTGAAATTTATTTTTCAATCAGAGGCGCAATACACAAAAGTTCAATTTCTAATGGTTGGTCTTCAATTTTTCCTGGTTCTGATCGTTCTGTTGCAATACGTACACAGCGTTTCTTGTATGAAAAATATAAACAAAGACCAATTCAGGTCCAGACATACGTTACATTTCCGTAAGTTATTGCACTTGTAAAGAAGATAAAGCATTTAAAAATATTATTTTATTATTAGAACCACTTTGTTTAGATATTAGATGGTATTCACTTTAGAATTTCCGAGGAATTTCATTAACTATTGTGGAAAAAAGAGTAAACTTTTTAATTTCTCTACTTTTAGACTTGCAAATTGTTTTCTTATAAAAAATGTGGGGCTCATATTTGTTTATGACATCGTGCAAATACAAATAATACTCTTTACAGCTCACTGCTTCATCAAGTATTGATAGCCGTTTTTGGTGGAATATTTTTGCTCTTAACGAAATCAGAATTTGGAAGAAATTTATTACTGAAGGTAAATATTTTACTTAGTTTAGTAAAATAATTTCACGTAGAAAAAGAAATATTTACTTCCCTATTGAAAAAGCAGAAAGAGATCCTTAATATCTCTACATGTCGTACGTTCGAATACCTTGGGAAGGTTTTCCCTATACCATTTTTTACCTAAACTTTGTTACTTTAAATAGTTTAAATCTAATAAATATTTCGTGTCAAATTTTTTATAGCATGAAATGCCTTTGAATTCTTGAAAAAATTATTTGAAGAATAATTTTAAATTTGTAGTATCCAAAGTTCTTTTCTGGAGGTTTGGCTAGTCACGAAGGACCATCTGAGGAACAAATGGAAAATTCACACTTCTCAATAACTTTCAAAGCTACAGGCTGGAAAGAAAAATTAGCTGAAGTATCTGACAAACATGTCGATGCCCCGAACAAGGAAATGATTACAAAAGTGACTGGCAAGAACCCTGGTTATGGACTTACATGTACAACTTTGCTTCTAGCTGGCGTAACGATTTTGCGGGAATCTGAGAAAATGCCAGATGCGTAAGAAAACATGATTAAATTAAAAAATATAATGAAACCATCAGTGAAAAATATTTCAAAAATATAATTTTCATACCGAATTTATTATTAACTGTTCATAAAAGAACGTATTAATAAAAATCGAGGTAATGCAGAAGACGGGCTTATTTTCATGGGGGTTACAAAAATCAAAGAACTAAAATTTATTTAAAAATTTAAATCAAAAGTTAGGAGTAACTAAATATATTTTTCACTGTTATTTATACCTTAGGCTATAATATTTGAATTAATATATTAACCGCATCTTCTTTAGCGGAGGCGTTTTAACTCCGGGTGCTGCATTTGTAAATACATCATTAATGGAGGAACTAAAGAAAAATGGTATGACATTTGAAATTGTATCGTCATCTGAAAAATAAGGAAGTATTATCAGTTCCTGAACATAAAACAATTATATTACTTTAAATATGTATTTTAATATATTATGTATTTTAAATATTTAAATAAGTAATAGATGTAATATAATGTAAAAACTTTCTATCAATTTATATACATATATTTTTAGTATATTGTTATCATTCTTTTATATTTTACCCACAGCGTTTTTATTGTAACTAAGAAACAGCTAATATAATAAAACACTATGTGAAAGTAACGTTTTTTTATTCTAATTTCTCGATTACTTTTCCTAAAATTAATTCTATAGTCAACTCTTTTGGCTTTCTGGGGAATATATACGTTAGGTTGTTTTTTTTTAGTTTTAAAAATAAATAAATAAACAGATATTGTATTATTTTGCTTAAGAACATAATATTCTTGATTCAATACTTTTTGATACTTTGGATATATGTAAAATATTTGGTGGATTATATTTCCAACTGTTTTGTATATACGCAAAAATAAGTAATAAATAATAAAATAAATAATTTTTAAACAATTTGATGGGCTTTATGACATTAAAAGCTTGAAGTGTATTAATATAAGGTTTCTTTAAAAGTATTTCCTTATCAGAATGAAAATTTTAAAGAAAAATGCTAAGTATTCGTTAAATATATAGGTTTTGTTAGGAAATGACAAATTTTTAAAATAATTTGTAAACATTTTCAACAGAAGTTGAGATTTCCTAATTTTTCTTTAAAAATCCATTGTATTAGAAAAATCTTTAAATTCTATATGGAACAAATTTCAATTTTGTTTGGAAATAATAATAAAGATGTTTTGTTAGAATCATAAGTTTACTTTGCAGAAAAGAACAGAAGAGTTATCAAGTATTTTAAGAAAAGTTAAAAATAAAAAAATTTTGAAATTATTTTATTTCTTTGATAAATTATATTACTTTTATACGTATCTATTTATTTAATAAATAATTATGTTACACTTGAAGATAATTTTAAAATAAGTTGTGAAAAATTGAACATTTTTAAAATATTGAATTTTTAATTTAATGCTTTTTTTAAATTATTGAAAATTTGATTTTTGTACAATTTTATTTTAATTTCAAAATAGTGGATCCAATATGGTGGACGATATGTGTAAGATTAATATAATTTCTATGAAATTTGTTCCTCTGGTGTTTTTAAGAGTTGTCAATTACTTTTTCGCCATAGAAAAAATTATTTTTTTCATTTTCCCAAACTAAAGTCATCAAAAGTATAAAACTTAATATTAAAGTTTGTATAAGAATTGACAACAGAATTCGTAATTCTTGTTTAAAGTGACCTACAAAGATACATTATTATTATTAGATATTATAATTAATCAGTAGAAAGTTTTTAAGGGGTATGTTTAAAATAAGGTTTCCAATACTTTGTATATTGCGTATTATGTGAATCAATTGGATTGTAATGTGGAATCAAATTGTATTTTTTTCCCCAGTAAGATTATATTTGAGATGAAGTCAGTCGAGTCAGTTTTAAAAGTTTAGGGAAAAGTATGTACCTGGTCAACCTGAGGAACTGTGAAGCCTTAGCATTTACTATAGTAAACATGTATTTCGTATAGCTAACCAAACAACAAACATTGTAGCGATACTATGTGCATAAAGTGCAATACGTGACATTTTCTACAATTTTATTTTAGTAAGTAAATGTAGAAATAAGTTAAGTAACAAAAAATCTCTTTTCACGCTACTTTTAATGAGTCGTACTTTTTTAAAGCGATATTATGTTAAACAAAAGATAAATAATTGGTTCTTTTATTATAAATATGGAACTTTTTCAAAATGTCATAAAATTTAAATGATTTATGTATATTATTATAAACATTGAAATTCACTTTGTAAGATCACTTATATTCATTAGAATGTTGCAGTTTAGCATAATCGTAATAGTAAAAAATTAATATCATTTAAAAAAACTATTTTAAATTTACAAATTAATTTAAAATTATAAGTTTCAAATTTTTTATACGGATGACAAGTTAATAGAATGACATTTTACCAATGACTCTTATAATAATTTAATAAATATTAAAAAATTGCATAATTTTAATAAAATAAAAGAAATAAGTTAAAAAAAGTTATAATTTCAAACTTTTTAATTTTACATTTTATAAAAATATTATTATTAATTATAACAATTGTGACGTGCTTCCAAGAAAGGTACCTATAGGAAGAAAAAATTTGTAGGTTATGTTTATAATTTTTGGAGTAAAAATACAGAAAAAAAATTAATCACTATTACAATTTTTTAATGTTCAACTCTTCGTTACATCCAAAACATTTAATAAAAACTGATTTTAGTTTTATACATTTCAATTAAAAATTTTAATTATGAGAAAATAACACAAACATAACCTATAGTTTGCTTATGCTTCTTAGGTATCTTTTTTGGGAGCGCGTCAGAATTACATTTTTTTAATCGTGTTAATTATTTCTGTAAATAATTAATTAATTTCTTTACTTTTTGAAAAAAGTGTTCAAAAATTAAAATGCTATTATACCTATTTTAACAAAGTAATTGGATTTGAAAGTAATTAGGGATGTTAATTAATTAAATTAATAAAATATTTGAACTCGGTCTTGTTTTCTATTTTTGAAAAATGTTAAAAACTCTTAGAAAAAGTTAAATTTTTTAAAATTATTCTACTCTCTTATTTATTTATAAGAAAATATAAGTTTCGTTCTTGTAAAGGAATATATATCATATTCCTTTACATTTTTGATTTACATACATAAATAATTCATTATAATGCGAATACAAAGACATATTCTAATGATTCTTAAATCAATTTGTAGTAATGTAAAATTTATGTAAAATCTTGAAACACATTACGTTTGAAAATATTTTTTTTTCAAAAATAAAAAAATTATGACTTATTAGGGTCAGTTGAGGTAAATCGAAAAAGTAGTTATTTCAGTTAAATAAAAAATTTTTTAAATAAATACTGACCCTATTCTTTGAACATGTGATTTTTTTACCCAAAAGAAAATTGGTACGCAGGTTGAAACACCCATTCTCTAAAATTGAATTAGTTAAAAAGAACTTAAATTTACTTTTGGGCTGGTGTAAAAATAACTAAAATTTTTTGTAACTAATTCAATTAGAGAAATTTGACTATTTTTGTAGTTATTTATTTACTGATAATTAGTTCTTTTTCACTGATTGATAAAGCAAAATGTCAGCCACGATTTTACTAATAATTAGTTATTTTTAACTATGTAATTCAGATTTAGAGAGCACATAGTATAATATTAATTTTAGATTAAGAAAAATATGGGACTGTACCCTAACTCTTTTAATACTTAGGCTAAATAATGTCGATAACATTGTATTTCCGTCAAAAACTTCCATAAAACGACAATTTTTCCTCTCCGGGTAAAGACTTTATTATTTCCCAAAAATAAAATTGAAAAGCATTGTATTTTAGATTTTAAAAAATGCAAAGTAATACAACTGAAGATGAAAACAATGGAGATGACAAATTTCTCGGAAAATGGCCATATAGATGTAACTCTGCGTTCGCCTGCCTGGGATGTACCATTGGTGTGTTCAACATAAATAGATTTGCGATAAACTGCACTCAATATGGAGGTAAGAAAAAAATAATATGGGTTCCCAGTTGTGGAAATTGGAACAGTGGAAATGTACATGAAATCGTACAGAACTAGGCGCAAAATTTTTTATATTCAACATCATTTACTAGTTCATGTACATATCCATGTACCACTTCCTGTATAAAAAATTTATTTTTATAAAATTGATAAAATTGTAAACCAATATTATAATATCGTATTGTCCTTGAATTGTAAAAATCAACTGCATTGTAAAAGCTTAAGAAACTTACTTGGGCAGTCCTCAAAGTTTTAAAAAAAATGTTATTTTAGGTGAACAAAAATTGGTACAAGAAAATATACATGAACAAGTATAAGTTCTACAATGGAACCATTTTGTTTTAGGTGAAGAAAGACTGGTACAAGAAAATATTCAGGGTTGCCATGCTTTTGCTCATTTCAAATTCCCAGACTTTTCCAGGTTTTCCAGGTTAAAAAACGGAATTTTTCCAGGTTTTTAAAACTACATTTATATTTTACAAATTCCCTGACATTTCCAGATTTCCAGGTTGCGTGGCAACCCTGAAATATACATGAACATGTACAAAAAATCCACAGTAGACAAATATTCCATAAACGATCATGTACGATTTCTATTTCATTTTTTCAATTTCCGCATCTGGTCACGTACAAGATCATGTCTATTTTCAGTACTTGATAGTGTATATGAAAATGTACCTGATTTTGTACGTGATCATTGTACGATTCATACTTAATTCTATAAGTGTTAGATAAAAAGACAAACCTTCACATGTTAAGAGTTATACTATACCCTTACAAAAAAGTTATGCTCAACATAGTAAAAGCCCACCTAGAAAAAATTACAACATTGTAAGTTTTTCGCTTTTCTTTTTTCTCCAAAAATAATATAATTTAATAAAAAATTGTGTTTCAGTGAATTTTATAATACAGTTTCTAATAATGTCACTGATCTTTGGCATTCCTTTATTCATATTTCAAATATGTCTTGGCCAAAAATATAAAAGAGGAATATTACATTTATGGAAAATATCACCAATTTTCCAAGGTATAGGTGTCGCTTTACTTCTAGTACAAATTTATATAGGAATCTACAATATAGTTGGAGTATCTTGGTTGCTCGTCTATTTCAGGTAAATACCAATTCAATTTTTAATTATAGAGAGACTGACCTACAATGGGTACATTCCTATACAGTGGATAATTTCGCAAAGAAATACATTTTCTTATTTTATTTTACTTTACTCCTTTTCCACCTGGGATATTTTTTTCAGTGTTGTAAGACAGTCTCCCCAATATAAGTGTTTGACAAGATTTTTCGAACCAGATGTCTAATACTAATTTCTTATTTCCTCTCAAGAGTTTTTATCATAAAATGTTTACAGAGAATCATTCATATCGAATAATGAAACATATCGTTGGGCTGATGACTTCATATTGGACAGAAGTCATTTAAATGTAGGAAGGAACACTACAACAACAAAAATGACTGAACTACCACTTACATTTTTTAATCATGCATTTCTATCCCAAAAAGACATGAATCAACAAAATTTTTCGACAACATTGATAAGATTTCAGATTGCGTTTAACTTAGCTGTAATGTGGACTGTGGTATTTTTTTCACTATTTAAAGGTATTACTTCGCATTTTTTTAATACGTTCTTAAGATCTAAATTATTTTATAACATATGGGTTCTTTTTTTTTAACATAAATCGGTTAATATCTATCCAGATATCTTAACTTCTTGCACTAACTTGACACGAAATGCATAGAAAGCTTAGAAATATTATTCTATATTACAAGTTTTTAATATTTCTTCCACAGGTTTACGTTCGTACGGTAAAGTAATATCCTACTACGTATTAACTTTACTTGCTTGTAACTTACTTTTTGGAGTAAAAGTACTCAACTTAATACCACAAGATCCTTTCAATAAAATGTATTCTACACATGTTTGGAGTGAATTCTTTTTAAATGAAAAGTCCTGGGTTGCTGCAGCATCAGAAGCATTTTTTACTTGGGGTCTGTTGAGCGTAGCTGCTATGCAGGTATTATACTGATACAATATAGTATTTAAATTTACTTAAACAGTTGATGGTAAAAATACTTTAATTCTACGATAGTTACACTATATAATTAACATTTTCGGAATCTTATGAATCAAAATTGACACAAGCTTTCTAATCAAACAATTTTTTTACATAGGGATCGGAATCTGTTTATAAGAAGAAATCATAATGCGGTTTTATCTTCAAATCTTATAACTTAAAAAGCTTCGTTACTTAACAACTCTGATAGCAAAAGAATTAATCTTCCGATAGAAGATAAATTTGTGTTTAAAATACTTAATTTCCTAAAAGATCCCATAGAATTCTCATGTAGATTCATATGTGAATAAGTATATGGATTTTCAGTAAGATTGTAGGGAAGATTCGAACATAATTACTAACATTTATAAACTCTTGTATGTTATAAATTACTTAAATCACATCCTTTCTCTTTAAGATTCAATAAAAGAATATATATCTTCACCTACTTTTATAATTAATTTTATATCTTTTTATAGACTGCTGTTCATAACAAAGATAAAAATTTTGTGAAAAGAGATATTTTGTTCGTAGTAACATTTACAATGCTGCTGTTGTTTCTTAATGGATTTATAGCAAACACTTGTGTTAAGATCCTTAACGTGAATGGATATAATTTTATAAAAAATGAAAGTGGTAAGTTCCATGCAAGTGTATAATATAGGATTCATCAAAAGCTCTGAAAAATTTGGTGAAACTTAAAAATAATTTTACTTAATTTACAGAAAATGTACATATGCTTGTATATAATCCAAATTACGCATCAACTACTAATGTGAATAATATACCACACACTTCATTTCCTCATGAGAATATATTTATTACCAATGCGAAATCATATCAAATTATTAAAGAATACAACAATGATATTTTAAGATATTCAACGGAACTAGTACCTTTAGCAATAAGTTTACTAGGAAGTAAAGTTTTTACTGCCTTTTGGACAATTTTGTTCTACTTAGGACAAATACTCATAGGATTGGTTCAACAGGTAAGAAAATATATTATTTCACAATATTCTATCATGATAATTTTTATTTTAGTTATTTTAAAGTTTAGTTATATTTGCTATACAAAATGACAATTTTTATTTTACGATTATATCTCCATGTTTATATTTTCTTTTAAAGATAAATACATTTAGAAAAAATTGCTTCCTTTATAAACAATAATTAATTAAAACATTTAATTTCTAATAAAATTAAAATATTTTTATTTATATATTGGTGATTCTCCTGAACAGAACCCATTTTTGTTTCGAAAACAAAAAAACATTTTTAAATTTCCTAAGACTTATTTTTAAGTAAGTTAAAAGTTTAAGTTTTAAGTTCTAAAGGCCTTTAAAAATATAGGTTGCACAAAATATTTTTTCTAAAAGATTTAACAGTACCTACTTTTATTTATAGTTAGCAATTTGGAATTGTGTAATGCTGAATATTTCATCTATAAATGGTGAAACAAATAAAAGATCAAAAATCCGATTGGTATTTTTAAGCTGTCTCTGTGGATTTTGTCTAGGTGTTCCGATGACAACAAACGTAAGTATAATATTTGCAAATTTGTTTCTAATTGAAAATAGATCAAACAAATTATATTTTACATTAATTTGGACGTTAAAGATAATGAGAGGGAAAAAATTTAAAACAGTTGGTAGTATAGAAAGCTATCTTCTGAACAATTTTTAGTTTAAAATAATTCTTTTTATTGGCATACCATAAAATATATGTACTTTTATACCATATTTCAGCTGGGTGGCCACGTTATTTACTATTTGGAGAATATAATTGGTAAAAGTTGGTGGGTCATAATCTTATACTTAATACAGTTTGGAGTTGTTTTCTTAGTTAGAAGAGTACCATACAACGTCATACAGACAACAGAAACAATTTTATCACCAAGCAATTGTGTTCAGCAGTTCGTAGACCCAATGTTGTCATTTTTATGGAACATCCCTTTACCTACTGCACTGACGGTAAATACAAGAAAAATACCTTCCTCTTATGCAAAACAATAAAAAGCATGCTGGATTTATGGTTTATGTACTTTAACAAGCTTAAAAAACGTCATATCGCCAGACAGATTTATCTGCACTTAACAGCATTATGATACTAACATTATCGATGTTACATATTACATGTGCTTTACCCTTTGACATTGCCAACGGCAAATTCTTATTAATAACTGTTTTTTTACGATTACTATCTTTCGAAAAAAAATTACTATCTTTTACTTATATAAGTTTCAATTGTGACTTTTCAGGTATTAAGTATTATTATCTTTAAGATGAATGGTTTAGGAGAATATTATTTAAATCAGAAAATTGGCAAATCTTATTGGAATATTTGGACCAGCCAAATAGGAATAATTATTCAATTAGCACCATTATTAATCATTCCAATGGTAGCAGTTGTACAAGTCTGTCGTTACCTTTGTAGTGGTCCAACAAAAATTTCTAAAGTAAGTAAACTTAAATCTATTGTATAACGAACTACTTATTCACGCAAGATAAAGCTTCCATTAGTTCAACATCTACTTGTATGTGTTATTCACCCATTCATATTAATATTTATTTTCATATTTATTTAAGTAATAGTATATTTTATTCTATAAAGTTGAATCAACAGGGGAGACTGGGGCGAAAAGTTAAATTTTTTTGGTTTATTTCACGTTAACCGGCTTATTTTTTGACAGAGTACTTGCCCAATGTCAAATAAATAATGTTTAAACAAATAAACCCAAAAAAACGAAAAATAAAAAAAAAATTTTTAACAACGTAAAAATACATTTAACTTTTCGCCCCACCCATTATTTAACTTTTCGCCCCAGGGTGCGTTTTTGGCTTTAACAACAAATATAAAAAATCTGACTAAAGATATTTAGCAAATACCTTTAGGTATCTCTTCAGGGGACCCAAATAATGAAGTGAAAAACTCGCGGTGAGAATAAATGCAAAAAATATACTTAAAAGTTGATATTTTCTTTTACGAAAAAATTTCCAAAAGTAGGTTGAAAAAGACTTTCAATATCGACACCACAAAAATAAACAGAATTGCACACAACTCCGGACATTTATTTAGGGTGATAACACCCTTCAATAATTAAAATTGCAATGCTCTAACTATTTTCATTCGAAAGATAATGAATTTTAACGGTTTTGTCAGTTTAACTTTTCGCCCCAGTCTCCCCTACCTACAATTGACTTTTCTGTGGATACAAGATTATGAAATGAAATGTAATGATCAGAATTATAATTATTTTTTGTCACATTATAGAGAATCCAATTGCTGTGTAGACCGCCTTTGGAAGTTGACTGCACTCAGAATGTACAAGATTGTGACAGTGAAGAGATAACTGACATTAGAGAAAATATAGACCATCAAAGTATAACAGATTTAATAGTAGAAGATTCGCCACCAAAATATACTCCACCGCCAAGTTATTCAACGGCAACTGGAGAAAGGATGATGAGATTCTTAAGACGTAGTTTCAGAAAAAGTATTCGAAGTATAGGAAACATTTTAAAAGACGGTAATGAGTCGAATACTAAACCAACGTTAATTCCTTCAGAACTTGAAAATAAAATGTAATTAAAAAATATATTAAAAACGATAAATGGATATCTGTGTGTAACTTTAAATATCCTAACATGCTATCTGAATCCTAGAGTTCAAAGAACTCTAAAATATTATTATTATTGATATAGAATATAAACAATAATTATATTTGCCGTCTTCACGCTGACATGGCCCCCACAGCACCGAAACTTTCCTAAAAATTTATTAAATATTTACTTGCAATATTCGGCATATTTAACTGAAAAGTTTAGTGAAAATTGTGTTAAGATTTAAATGTCTCGATTAAATAAATGTTTAGCGCGAAACTTTCCTGAACATTTAAATTACATTTTCGCCTAATTATAATTATAACTTTCCTGAACCAGACTTTGACTACCACATCAAATTTCTCATTCGCATTTCTTTTATCAGTTATAAAGAGAAATGTACTGTCACAGTAAATACGCGCTGTTTCAGAAATGAATTTTTTTCGCTAGCTACTGAGCTACGGTGTACTTACACATATGTAGTTCGCGATAGCATGTATCACTGTATAGGTGAATGGCCTCGATGCTACTTTGTGGTTATCCTTCCCGATGTTTTTTGTATTGTTTAAGAGAATTCGAAACCAGTTCAGACGTCACAAGTGGTACAGATTATCATATTTAAGAAACCGTTGAAGATTTTATTTACACTTTATTAAGACATTTTCTTCTTTGTAAAAAGACGTGTATTTGATAAGGTAATATATAATTTTCTATTATACATTTCTTTTTGAGCCATCTTAAATAAAACAAAAATATTCGGACTTAGCTTACCAGAAATTAATAAGTCAAATAAACGAAGACATAACAATTCTTTACACCCTAATACTGGAGATCTCGGACATTAAAGATTAACTAACTAATTAACAGATCTTCTTTTTTGTAAAAAGACGCGTATTTGAGAAGGTAATTTATCACTTTTAGTCTTTGAAAAAAATTTAATTATTTTAAGAATTCTGAAATACAAGTTAGTGAGGAGGCTGAAATCCGTAACGTTTATTATAAAAACGAAAAGTTATAAGATTATATATAAATAATTATATTACATTAAATTTTTGCCCTCGCAAATATATTATATTGTATATATCATAACTTATAATTAATAATATATGAGCAAATCTAAAAAACAGTCAACTTTTATGTGATTTTCCTTTTTTCTGTACGAATGGCCTACAGCAAACCTAATTTCTTCTGGATAAAATTCATGTAGTACTCCTTAATGCATCACAAAAAGTTTGGAGTAGTTAATTGAATAATTTATGTGTTATGCGACTTAGAAGTCAGAAAATAATAGAAAAATTCAAAAATTTCTCTATGATTCTTAGACGATGGAAAATTATTGAACTGAAAATAACTTTTGAAGTAATTTATGAACATTAATTACCATAATATTTTCTGATTTGTTAAATGATTATGAGTAAAATGTTGTAAATAATGCATGAGTGCTCACAAATTAAAAAATTTTCCTCGTCTCGTTTGTTGTCAAGTCTCTTGTATATTTCTTTCGTATCAGCGTGTGAGGAGCTGTGGTTGTCGTGAAATCAGAATCTTAATGATTTTGCGCATAATTAATTGTCAGCGTACGTCACATAGTCAGCGACCCTTTCCAAGTTTCTTTCAGGTGCCGTTTCGTGGGGATAAGAAGAAGGGTTCTTCCGAAAATTGCGAAGGAAAAACAAGGAAACGATTTGATAATGAGGAAGCCTACTGGGGACAATCGGATGGTTTGAGTCTTACTTGCAGGCTTTCAAGAAGTCGTGACGCAGTTTTGACGAGTGTCATAATCGAGAGATAATTAAAAAGTTTGATTTATTATTTGTAGTTTTATTTCCAGTTTTATTTACAAATAGTTGTTTTTGTTAATTGTGTCGTTGGGTTTATCGGGGGAACGAAAGAGTAAAAAACCAAAAATTGTGGAAAAAATCATTTTTTCAACTTTTTTATTTAAAAACTTTTCATTAGCTATTTATATTATAACCATCTGTAGAGCATTTAAAAATAAATTAAGTGGCCTAATATTTAATAATTTAAACCTGTTACGAAGTTGGGAAATTTATTAAAGTAAAGGTCCCTGCTATTATGGAACGTTTTTAAGCTAACTACATTTCTATGATAAATTCCTTGGAATCAGAAGAATTGGTATTTTATTAATAGTATTTAGGCTCTAAAATGGTTATTTTTTATGATATAAAAATAATATTAATTAAATTTTGAAACTCTGGACTGCACCTATTATGGAACGATGATTTCGTGTATGTCCGGGTGTTCCAAATTGAATGTCCCTATTATGGAATACCTGGAACACTTATTTGATTCAATAAGTAATTAGAATTCTATTGACTTATCTGGATAATTTGAATATTATTTATAAAAAATTAAATACAATGAACAAATTCTAGTTTAATAGATAATTATAAAACCAATTTTACTGGTAGAAAATTAATGCGAAAATAATAATGTTCCAAAACATTTTAAAAACATGGATGTTCAAATTGTGTTTTCTAGAACATTATTTGGACGATATGAAACGTTTTTGGAACGAATATGGTTTTTTGTCTAGAGAGCGTTCATAAATGATGTCACGCAATTTTTTTTTGGGATTTTAGACCCCCCTCCTTAGAAAATCATTAATGGTCTAATAACTGGGAGCCAAATGTGCGTTAATATTTTTCATAGAATTTGTTCTGACAGTTGGCTTTTGTTCTGACAGTTGGCTGAGCCAGAAGTCATTTAAGAAGAAGAAGAATAAGAAGAAGAATTTTTCATAGAATGGCGACAAAACGGTTGGACATAGTTATACTTGGAGCAACGGGTTTCACTGGTCAATTTGCAGTTAGAGAAGCTGCTCGCTTATCACGTTCATACAATTTCACGTGGGGAATTGCTGGACGCAGGCAGGATGCATTGGAAGCTGTTCTTAAGAAATATGCTCCAAATTCTGGTATTATTTTATGACCAACTATAGAAAATAATCTATATTAATAAAATCAGACTTTTGTCTGTACATTGCACGAAATTAATTTTTTCTAGCATAATTTATTTATTTGAACAACGGAGAATCCAAAAATGGTAATAGAAAATTTCCTGTATGTGTGTATGTATGTATGTCCGCAAAATTTTGTTCGCGTATAACTTGAAAACGTCTTGACCGATTGAAGTAAAATTTGGCAATCTTTCAGGTATTGGTCTAACTTAAAATATTAGCTATATTTGATGAAAAAATATTGAGCTGAACAAAAGTTATGAATTTTTCAAAAAATTCAAAAAAAAATTTTTTTCAATTTTTGCAGATTGGCATAAATTTTTTAATTTATTAGTAATATAAATGATTTTAAAGATATATAAAAATAAATTGAATTAAAAAATAATATTAATATGAAAAAAAATTATGAATTTTCCAAAAAATTCAAATTTTTTTAAAAATTTTGACAGATTGCTGTAAATTAATCAGTTATGACTTTTGTAAGATATATATAAACAATAAATTTACAGATTTTAAACATATTAATTAGAACGGAAGGTATTCAATTTTTTCAAAAAATTAAAAAAATGGAAAATTTCCAAATTTTATATTTTTTAAACTTTCTGTAATTAAATATTACATGTTATTTAGTCATATTTTAGCACAATTTTTAAAAAAATACTGTTCTATAACTATAAGATGGAAGTCCTAAGTATAAAAATGTTTTTAATATCAAAAAATTGAAAAATTATAATTGACAGACCAATTACTATCAAGCTTAACTCAGTAGTATTTTTGAAGTCTCTGATAAATTTTTGACGTCAAAATAATGGAATTTAGAATTGTTTGTTTATCCAATTAATCAAAAATTTTTCAATTGCAAAAATTTCGAAAATATTAGAAATGGAGATTCTTATGATAAAATTGATACTGCAGGAATTCAAGAATATGTGATACGATACTTGCATTATGCTACTGGGAAAAAACTTAGATAGTAAAAAGTTTGGTTATTTTAATTCTAGATTTAACTTTTAGGGATGTTTTGAGCATTGTAAAGGCAAAAGTTAAACAGGGTGTCTATTATTATTTTTGTTTAACAAACTATCCGGTTTTTCCCAGCTTTGTCCAAATTTTTCCAGGTGTATCTTTTCTCATCAAATATAAATTTTCTTGATAAGAATTAACAATAAATAAAACTACAAATGGCTACAAAAATTCACTTATTTTATGAAAATACTCTTCGACGGGTTTTTGTTTTTACTAATACTTTTAACAGGGGTTCTACCAACTGGAAAAAACGGGAAATATGCAGGAATTTAATTTAATCGGAAAAACTGTGAATTCAGCCTGCAATATAGGTCTTATTTTAGATTTTAGCAGTTATGATACAATTAGTTCGAATTTTACTTTACTCTAAAAACTGGTGTAAATTTTGGATTAACTTATAATACAATAATTAAATTTCTACAAATAATTGACAAACATTGTTCTCTGCATTTTAATTAATTAAAAATAAATTATTTGATGATAAAAAGTCAATCACTGATTTAAAATAGTAATATTTTTCTAATGAAATAGTTAATGGTAGCTAAATATTATTTTTTCCGGTCAAATTAAATTCCCCGCTATTTCCCATTTTTCGAGACTGGTCGACACACTATTGAATGTATTTGTAGAAACTAAAACCCGTCGAAGACGGGTACGACAGCTAGTAATTAATAATTCTGTAATATACCTACTGTCCTCTAATATTAGCAAAAGAAGAACAAAAAGACTACTATATTATTATTCAATATTCTTTTAGTAAACATTCCAATAATGATAGCGGATTTAAGAGATCAAGAATCTTTAAAAAACATGGCCATTAGCACTAAAGTAATTGCAAATTGTTGTGGACCTTATAGATTTTATGGTGAGGTAGTTATTAAAGCTTGCTTGGCTGCCAAAACTCACCACGTTGATGTTAGTGGGGAGCCTCAGGTGATTAAATAATTTCAATTCAAGCCTTGATAGGACATAATTAATACTTTTTAATGTATCTATAAAGTTCAGTAAAAGAGAAAAATTTGTTTTCATTAGTTCATGGAGAGAATGCAGTTAGAATACAATAAAGCTGCACAAGAAGCTGGTATCTACATTATAAGTGCATGTGGATTTGATAGTATTCCCTGTGATCTCGGTATTGTTTGTACTCAAAAGAATTTTGAAGGTGAAATAAATACTATAGAGACTTATTTAAATAGTTGGAATACTTCTAACGCTAATGGAGCTTCTCTTCATTATGGTACATGGGAATCTGCTATTTATGGTATGGCACATTCCAACGAATTGCGTCAAATTCGTACAAAACTTCTTCATAAAAATTTGCCAACATTGGAACCTAGACTCTCCGATAGGTAATGAAGTTAAAGTATAACGCATAAGATTGATATCCATTTATAAATGATAATAATTGAAATTTATTTTCAAATCAGAGGCATAATACATAAAAGCGAAATTTCTAATGGTTGGTCTGTAATTTTTCCTGGCACTGATCGTTCGATTGCGAAACGCACACAACGTTTTATGTATGAAAAATATAAACAAAGACCAATGCAGATCCAAACATACATTACATTTCCGTAAGTTGTATAATTATTTAAAGAAGGTAAATCGATTGGTGGGCACTGGAACACATGAGATATTTTTAAGAGCAGCACCAAAAGTTTCCTGAAAAACTGAAAGATAAAATTGACCTTATTCGAAAATCTTTAGTTTTTATGAAGCTTATAAAACTTGAAAGAATTATTTAAATGTTCAATGTTTTTCAATGTTAAATGCGAAAATTTGACAAAACATCACGTGAAGATTTCTAATTTCTTAACTTTCATGCAGGGTTCAGTCCAACTTTTACAAACACTTTAACAAACATTAGTAAAAATTTTAAAAATCACATGAATAGTGTCATGAGCTTTGCAACTTAAGATTTCGAAGGTTGCAGTCAAGTTAATTTCAACTTTTAGGAAACTTAATGCTTTGTGTGTCATTCCAAAATTTTATTAGCTTTAAGGAAATAAAGTAGTAAAATTTATTTCTTTTCGCTTTTTCCTTTAAAGTTGTTTACTCATCAAAAGATGGAAAAATTATAATTATTTCTTATAAATTTATTCACTGAAAAATAATGGTCTTTCAGGTCATTGTTTCATGTGGTATTAATAGCCGCTTTTTATGGAATATTTTTGATTTTGTTGAAATCAGAATTTGGAAGAAATTTATTACTAAAGGTAAATATTTTAATGTCTCCTTACATAATTTTACATATACTAAAAATTACGAAAAACAGTATTTACTCTACACTTTATAAAATTCATCTTTTTTAAATTTCTATTTTTACAAAAAAATTGAATTATTAAATAAATTTTTCTTCATAATAACTATGTTGCCAAAAAGGATTATTAAGGGATTTTGGCAAAAAACGACTTTTTTATAGAACGATTGGACTAATATTTCATGTTGCCTTAGAATTGTATAAAAAATCATTTTCATTTTTTAAAATTCAGATTTATTTTTATAGTATCCAGAAATCTTTTCCGGAGGTTGTGCTAGTCACGAAGGACCATCTGAAGAACGAATGGAAGATACACACTTCTCGATAACTTTTAAAGCCACAGGATGGAAGGAAAAATTAACTGAATTATCTGACAAACATGTCGATGCCCCTAACAAAGAATTAATTACAAAAGTGACTGGCAAAAATGCTGGTTATGGACTTACATGCACATGTTTACTTCTAGCAGGACTAACAATTTTACGGGAATCTGATAAAATGCCTGATGCGTAAGAAAAAATTTAAATTATTTTGCTCTATATTTAAGTTTGATGTTAGTTAAATATTACATTTCCTTGTTTCATTTTATCATTTACATATTATAATTATTTTCTTTAGCGGAGGAGTTTTAACTTCAGGTGCTGCATTTCTAAATACTTCTTTAATGGAGGAACTAAAGAAAAATGGAATGACATTTGAAATTATATCGTCATCGGAAAAGTGAAGAAGAAAAAAAGTGAAAAAAGTGAAAGAGTGAAAAGGAAAAGTGAAGAGTTATTAGTTTCTTAGAAAAGCACAAATATTTTTATAATTTTTATACAAATAAGTAAGGAATATATTATAATATAAAATCTTTATAACATTATTTATACGGGCATTGAGATTATTCTTTTATGTCATCAAAAGGGTTTTCATTGTAACCAAAAAACAGCTAATCTGTATCAATAAAATGAGACTCTTGTCTGTACATTGTCTTGAAAATATTCTGAGTTTATAAAAATTAAATATAATGTTGAAATAAATAAAAATTATTTTTTAACATTAAAAAAGGTAATGGTTTTTCGATTTTATACCTAAGTCATAAAAGGCGTGACGACCTTTACAGTCATAATTAATATCCTTGGCAGTCATAAAAGTTGTGATGATTCTTGACAGTATTTTGAAGGGTTCTATTTCCTTTTAAGGTTTTTGAGTTGCAATTGTAAGAAATACTGCTCAAAAACACGAGAAATTCTGATTATTTTTCTGATGTTTTCTCCTTATACTCCTTCATGGTAGGGATACATGTTGCAAAGCAATAATCTGACAAAATAAGGAAAAATTAAATCATAAATTTTTCAATTATCATTTTTAATAGACGCAATTATTATTGCTTATAACTTTCTCTTTAAATTTCTACATTGGTCTACATTGTCCTGAAAAAAACAAACAAAATATTCAAAACAGATTCTAAATTATTTTAGTGTTATATTCCTTGAAAGCACAATATTTCACAGGGAGTTCCCAATGTGACGTCCAACTATAAGAAGTGCAGTATGAGTTGTAAACAAAAGTATAAGTTAAACAAGGACGGATATGTATTTGTAGGTTAGGGATGTTTGTTTACTAACTTGAAATCTTTTACTGCTGCTGTAATTTCTACTTGAAATACACTTTCTACATGTTTCTCAATATAAAAATGCTGTTAAATACTGTTAAATACTGTTTAATAATATACTGTCAAAATGTAAAATTATAGTTTTATCAGTTTTATCATATGTTAGAAATTCAGAGAATCTTCCAATACAATTGAAACAAATATATAATACACTTAACCATCAACACATATTTTATATTTATTTTATGTGAGCAACCGTTTCTTATGTTTAAAATGTGAATACAATAATTAATACAAGTGGTTACAAACGTTACAAATTTTACTCTTCAGAATGTCAAAGTGTGTCATCTGTTTGTTGGCCCATTCAGATATGACGTTACATCTCGAACTCGCAAATATCGATGAACTGAAACACACCCTAAGGGTACATTCACACCTCTGTTAATAAAAAAAAATTAAAATGCCTTTTGCTACTGACGATCGTATGAATGCACCTTAAAACGGATGCATCTAAACACGGCCTTAATGATACTTCAATTTTTCATGCAACACAATTTCATCATATTTAATTACTTTCCCCCGTCCCAAAAAAAAATAAAAAAAACAATTTATTTTTCACAAACAGAAACATTAGCGTAAGTCAATGATATTAGTGCCCATACTTTTGAAAAATATTCGAAAGTGACTAATGCCAAACGTTGTGAACGCACTCTAAAGATGATGTAATTGCACAGTGCCACGTTCGCAATCTGTCTAATTGTTACTTTAAAAAGCTTGACACAAAAATAGTGTCAAAAATTAATTGTTATTTTTTTTGTCTAGTATGACAGGCGTCGAGGATTAAATTCACTGTTAATTACTATGACTTTTAATGAAAAAATATAAAATCAAAAGTAAAACTTGAGAAGCATGTCTCTATTGAATCTGGTAATATTTTTAATTATAGAGATTTTTTCCTATTCGAACGAAGGCGTTTTGTTCCTATAGGTGTGTGGGACACGAGCACGAGCAAAAAGTCGCTCTCGCTCATTGTAATTTTTTTGATTGCAGGTGTTAACCGTCTGCCCACTACTTACGTTCACAATTAATGGATTAGTTTTGTTTTTTGATAATTGAACATTTTTGAAGTGCATGGAGGTTTGAGTTTTTGAAATTTACAGTGCGTGCCGTGATTATGAATGTGTAAATAAAGCAAGGTTCAATGATGACTTCTGCATCTTCGGATATGAGCCTAATGGATCTCCTTATTGAGAGAGATAACTCTCTTTTAAAGGGTGAAGTTAAGGACGAATCGTACAACGACGATAATATTGTGGTAAGTTTTTTGTGTTGATTAAATTTTTTCAGTGACATATGTCACACCATCGACGACTCTAACCTGTACGAGTAAAAGCATGTCGCCCGAGTGGCATTCCGGAGTCCGTTATTTTCCTCAATGCATTTCGGTGTCAATCGGTTGTTTTTCAAATCGCATGAAGACGAACTGATTTCATCGAATGTCAATGTTGATTGAACGGACTCTCGCATGTGAACTTGTTCATTTCCTTGTACCATATGGGTCGTTCCAAACAATCGTCAATCAGTGGTTCCTAATTGAAAACTTTTGGCTCGTGAGAGCAAATAGATAACACGCTAATCATGAAAAACAGTTAGAATACGATGCTTAGTAAATTTCCAAGTTTTTAGAATAATATAAACAATTTTTTTTTAAGTTTATTTTTTAGGTATTAATCTATTTATGAATCTTTGAACTTTAATAGCATTTTTTTATTTTCACAGCTTGAAATTAGGTCTCTTTACTTTCATATAATAATGCTGACGGAAAATATTATGAATTATTACTCTATTAATTAACTTAATAAAACTCATTGAAGAATTTCAATTATTTTTAATACAATTTTAATCGAATTCCTCGAAAAATATAATTATTCTTAAAAATGTTATTAAAATTCTACGAGAATTCAATCATTTAAAAATATTTTTTTTTGTTGATTTTTGAAAGAGGTTTAAAATTAAAATCTTTGAATTTTTTATACTTTAAACTAAGAATTCTGTAGAATTATTTTTTTTAAAAGTAAAAATGGTTGATTTTGACATTTATTTTGACAAATCTTTTTATCGAATTAACTTCTGATTTATAAATTTTTTTTAATAAAAAAATATTAAAATTGGTGCAAATTTACCGGCCCTCTAAAGGTTAAGATTCCGAAAGAAAACCTTGTAACGAGAATGTCTTCATATAATATTTTTAATATACGAAGTAAATTTTAGTTAAAAAAAATTAGTAAAATGAACTTGAGTCTTGGAAGAATTTTCTTCAAAAATAGTACCTAAAATTTAATATTAAAAATTTTTATTTACATATAATTACTTTTACTATTTTAAAAACAATTTTTTTTATAAAAATTAGAAAAATTTACTTTAAAAATATCTAAACTTTACTTAAAAAATAATTTTTATTAGATAATTTATAGTTTATTAATTCGATTAATATAATTTTATTTTAATATTGCAATGAACCTATTGTCTAAAATTTCATAAAATTTTAGTTTCTGAAGAGGACAGGTTTGCTGTTGAAAACGTTAAAGGAATTGTTTTAATTTTTCAATTGGCTTGACCCTGAGTGATCGTTGACTTCAATACTTAATTAATTTGAAAACCGAGTGATAGAATCATTACTATTAATTTTGTGTTATGTATCTTACAAAATAATAATTAAATATACATATTATTAATCAAATTATTTAATGTGCGCGCGAAGATTATTTTTTGTAAGTGGATTTTATTCTGTAAAAAAGGAATTATTAATAAATTATAAACTAATTCGAAAAAGAATGAAATGAACTTTCCATTTATTTTTTTTATTTTTCAAAATTTCTCTTAATTTTGTTGAGAAATTCCTGATTGAAATGTAAAACTCATAATATCTCAAAAACACCCCCCTTCAATTTTATTCAAACTTATATGAATGAAAAGCTTACTTTATAGTTTTCAATCTTATTTTTTTTATTATGGACATTTTAGAGGAATTGCACATAAAAATGAAAATAAAATGTGTGTTTTTGGAAAATCTGACATAAAGTATAAAGTCAAGTTCTGTGACACATCTGATGTTCACTTTTTTCTAATAGTTTAAATTTTTACAAAAAAAAGCATTTTATTTTTATTTTTATGTGTATTTTCACTAAAGTGTCCAAACAGGAATTTCTCTACGAAATTGAAAAATAAAAAGATAAATAGAAAGTTTATTTAATTATATTTCGGATTAGTGTATACAATATTACCAATAATATTTAATTTTTATACAATAAAATAATTTGCTTAAAAAGTAAGTCGTTAAATGTGAATGATACTGAAAAAATGACAATCGTTTCGTATTAAGGTATCACCATAATTTTGATATTTTAAAATATTTACTATGTCATAATAACGTATATAATAACATAATCATAACTTAAGTAACATAACTTAAATGGCACTAAAATTAAAATTAAAATTCTTTTGACGAATTTCAATAAAATTTTTAAGAACAATTTCATTTTTCGAGAAATTAGATTAAAAATGTATTAAAAATAATTGAATCTCTGTAAAAAAATTTCATTGAATTGAGAAAAGTTTTTGAAAATAATTGAAATTTTGTCAAGAATTTTATTAAAATTTTTGAAAATAATTAAATTTTAGAGAAAAATTTTGCTATTTATAAAAATAATTGAAATTTCGACTATAACTTTTATTAAACTTTTGACCATAATTGAATTTCTGCTAAGAATTTTATTACATTTGAAAATAATTGAATTCTTGAGAAGAATTTTCTAATATTTCTTTTGAAATACCTAATTATTTTTAATACAAAAATAAATAATTTATTGAATAATTGAATGTTTCTCAAAATTGAATTCTCATAAAGAATTTTATTAACAAATTTTTAAATAATTGAATTCTTTTGACGAATTTTAATAAAATTTTAAGGGGGTATTCTGGTCTAGAGGCCTCAATTTTAGGCGTTTTTTCGAGTGGGATAAAAAAGAAACTTTAACATTTTTAGTATTTACTTTTTTTGCAAATTGTTTATTAATGTTTAGAGAATACAGAAAAAAATTAGGAAAAAAAATAATCTAAAATTTTAAAAGTTATAAACTGATGAAGTGGGGACTGAAAAAAATCAAGTGCGAACTGGTTGACAGTGTGGAGAGTTTTGTAATGCTCCAAAACAAAAAATCTAAAGAAATTCTTGATTATTAAAGGCTTCGCTATGGTCGGTACCTCGGAGAAAAGAAAAAAAATTTTTTTAGCAAAATGGCGACGATTTTTAAAAAAGTTGTGTTTTTTGACACTGTTTTTTAACACTTTTGAATTTTTTTAAAATAGTGAACAAAAATATTTTTTAAAATCTGAGGTTGCGACCATAAAGGGATATACAAAGAACATTTTTGCAATATTTGAAGTAAATCGGTTGAGTAGATTCTGAGTTATCGTGTCAACCAGAATTTTTTTCAGTTCCCACTTCAAAAGTTTATAACTTTTAAGATTTTTTATTATTCTTTTTCTAATTTTTTTTCTGTATTCTTTAAACATTAGTAAACAATTTGCAAAAAAAGTAAATATTAAAAATGTTAAACTTTCTTTTTTATCCTATTCGGAAAAACGCCTTAAAATTGAGGCCTCTAGACCAGAATACCCCCTTAAGTAAAATTACATAATTCGAAGAATTCGATTGAAATTGTATAAAAAATAATTGAATTTCTGCAATGAGTTTTATTATCTATGTAAATAATAATTATATCCCTGTAAAAAATTGTATTAAATATATTTATAAAAATAATTGAATCTCTGTAAACATAAATTGAAAATTTTTGAAAATAATAGAATTATTGCGAAGAAATTTATAAAAAAATTTTTTAAATAATTCATTTCTTTTGGGAAAATTTTATTAAAATAGTAGATATTGAAAATCATTGACTGAAGGAGAATTTTTGAAAAAAAATTGAATTTGTTAAAAAGAATTTCATTAAAATTTTTGAAAATAATTTAATTTTGGAGAAAAATTTATTTTAATATTTATAAAGATAATTGAAATTTTGTCGATAAATTTTTCAAACTTTTGACCATAATTGAATTTTTGCGAAGAATTTTATTACTTTTGAAAATAATTGAATTTCTTTGATGAATTTTAAAAAAATTTTTAAGAATAATTATATATTTTTCGGGAAATTCCATTAAAAAATTGTATTAAAAATAATTGAAATTTTGCCATGAGTTTTATTATTTATGAAAATAATTGTAAATCTATAAATTTTTTTATTATTTATGAAAATAATTGAATTATTGCGAAGAAAAATTGTAAAGGCAACTCTTTTAAAATTGAATTAAGAAAATTGATTTAAAGAAAAATTAAATTTCAAGAATAAGCACAATAACTTTAGAAAACAATATTTTTCCAGGATTCCAATCAAAATTCCCTGACTTTTCCAGGTTTTTTCAAGGTTTATAAAAATTCCCTGACATTTCTAGGTTTTTCAGGTTTCCAGGTTGCGTGGCAACCCTGATTATTAAAGAACCCTAATGACGACATAAAAGTTTAAATAGCCTTTTATTATTTATCCTACTATTGCAGCAAGTAGCGCCAGGTTAACGGTTAGTTAGCACCAACCTTCCTGTTAGAAAAGATAGAAAGCAGTAAATTTTCTACTTCAGGTCGTAATTAGCCCTAATTGGGCCCTAATTTATGGCATAGTATAAATATTTTAAAATATCAAAGTTGTGGTGTCAGCTTAGCAGACCTTTAATTTTGGCGTCTTTTAAATTTTATACTTCCACCCAAATAGTGCTTTTGTGTATCTACTAATTTATTTTCTGCAATATTTTCAATTGTTATTTAGCCAATTTCCCTTAAAATTGATCTAAGAATAATTGATCTAATAATAATAATAATTGATCTAATTGATCTTATAATTGATTTTTATAAATTTTTATCGACAACCACGACAATAAAATTTTTATTCAAATCCACGTGCAATAAAATGTTAACTCAGAAATTTGTGCTACATAATTGTTTTCAAAAATTCCATGTCAGTTATTTGTTTGCGCAATATAATGTTAACCCAAGTTGCATTCGATGAAATCTCAATTATACTTTTAAACGATATTTATGTTAAAAAGAATTCAAGAGAATTTTTTAACTTTTGGATTAACTTCAACAACTAACAGATTCTTGGAAAAATATTATCACAATAATGTCAGTAAGATATTTTTATTGTATGTTAAATTTATTAATATTTCTGTGTTCAATATTGTGGAAAAAATTTTTAAAAACTTTAAATAAACGGAACTTTCTATTAAAACTAATTTAATTGGTGATCTGAGGCAGTTAGGTTTAGATTTTTATTACTTAATTTGTATTTAATGACCTGTGCTTCTTAATAATCAATTTTTAAAATCATAAACTTTCCAGAAAAGTACGAAAGTAATTTAAAAAATAATTTCTGTTCTGATATTTAAATATGTTAGGGCTTTAACTAACAAATTTTTTAAATAATAAACTGATAACGAAATGAGAGAATATTTTAATAATTAAATATTTGATAATAGACACCTGTTGATAATAACGCAATAATCTCTCTGACATTCATTGTCACTTTTCATTTTTTAAATAAAATTTTATGATACATAAAAGGGTCTCTTTTATTATGCTTTGGAAAATACCGATAATTTCATCTTTTTAACAAATTTTGTATTGGAAAATTGGGTCCACGATATTATTTCAACTATACAACAGTGTGCAGATGCAAAAAATAATGCGTTATTGTCCAAAAGAATAGAACCCTTAAACAACTTTCTAAACTTAAATACTTGGGAATTTTTAAACTTTTTGTCAACTTTTTGCAAATTTGATATTTTTCTGCTTAAGGAGTATTTTAAAAATTTATTTATTTATAAGAATACAGAGAAGTACTATATACAAATTATAACGTAAATGTGAAAATTGTTTTCAGTTGATTGAGATTATAACTAGATAACAATGTTATTATTGTGATCGTAGATAAAGATACGCAATCTTCTTAACATACGAACTAAGAAATATATATATATATATATATATACGGAAAAGAAGATTTCAATAAAACATGGTACATACTTCGAGATTTTTTAAGGTCGCTAATTACGAATCTAAAGTCAGATTTAATAAATTAAAAATGTCAAATTTAGTATTGAAGACATACAAATTTTAAATTCAGTAAATTTTTACGTTCGCCATATTAGATGTATTTGATCATTTTGGCATATAGGGCTCATTTGAAAGGTCATGATGCAATCTTTAATCTCTGATATCAGCAAAGTTTGTAACACATCAAGGTCTCTGAGCTGAATCAAATAATTTCAAAAAAATTCAATTAAACTTTTTTAAAAGCATTAACTTTATAGAATTGTTAGTTAAAAGTATGAAAAATTCAAATTTTTAAAGATTTTAATTTCAAACCTTTTCAGGATTCAATTATTTGTAAAAATTCATGCTATAATGCTTTTAGTTTTAATATTTAATTATCTAAAATTTTAACTGAAATTCATTTTTAAATCAATTTTTATTAAAAAATTTTACGAGAATTTAATAATTTAAAAATACAAAAATAAATTATCTTTTTTTAAATAATTGAATGCTTCTTCAAATTGAATTTTCATAAAGAATTTTATCAATAAATTTTTAAATAATTGAATTCTTTCGACGAATTTTAATACAATTTTTAAGAACAATTACATTTCTCGAGAAATTCGATTAAAATTTTATTAAAAATAATTTAAATTCTGCGGTGAGTTTTATTATTTATGAAAATAATTGAATTTCTAAAAACAATTTTATTATTTATGTAAGTAATTGAATCCTTGTAAAAATTTTATTATTTATGAAAATAATTTTAAATTCGTATTTCACCAATAATTCGACATGTTTTTGAGGTTAGGAAAAATTCCTAACTTAATGGAGTAAAACGAACTACGGATTCGTATTCAGGACACGTATTTCGGTTGAAAGTACGTGAAACTTTTTTTTTGGGCTGCTTAATTTACTTCTTGGGTACCTTTCTTTCGAGCGCGTCACAAATTATTTTGATATAGGCATCATAAAACAAAATTCAAAATATTTTAGATTTTTTCTTGAATGGATAATAAAGAATAGGAAAACTGTGTTCATGGAATTTTAGGAAATCTAATTCAAAATTAGGGAGTTATTTTAAAAATTAATAAAAATTAAAGTATATTTTTAAAAGTTTCGTCCAAGTACTTTAATGAGTAAGCACATTTTGGGTCAATCAAATGATAATAAATAAAATATTTTTTTATTTCAATTTGACACAATGATGTTTCAAAAATAAATCTTAGAAAACTTTTTGTAAATTTATTATATTTAAAGTCAAGAAGTTCTTACGGTTCTCACCAAAAATATAAATTAGAATATTATCATAAAAAAATTGAGAACTTTAAAATTTATTCTTTTTGTACCTAAATTCATATTTTTAAATTTATTATATTTAAAGTCAAGAAGTTCTTACGGTTCTCACCAAACATATAAATTAGAATATTATCATTGAAAAAAAAATTGAGATATCTTTAAAATTTATTCTTTTTATTCTAAATTATATCCGCTTTACTGAATTAAAATCTTAATGTTTTTTTAAGATAATTTTTTTTATTTCTGACAATAATTTATTTTAACTAACTTGATTCTATTGAAGAACTGCCATAAAATTATTACTTATAAATTTTCAAAAATTTTTTAAATAATTCTCGTCAACATTTCAATTATCTTTATAAACAGCAAACTTCTTCGTCAAAATTCAGTTATTTTCAGAAATTTTAATAAAATTCATTTCAAAATTCAATTCTTTTCATAAATAACATTATTCATCACAAGAATTCAATTATTTTCAAAATTAATAAAATTCTCCTGAGAAATTTAATTATTTTCAAAAAATCTAAAAAAATGTCTACATTTTAATTATCTTTATAAATGAATAGCAAAATTCTTCGCCAAAATTCAATTATTTTCATAAATAGTAGTATTCATCATAAGAATTCAATTATTTAAAAAAAAATGTTGATAAAATTCTACACAAACATTCAATTATTTTCAAAAAAATAAAACTTTCACTGGAATTCAATTTATTTAAAATAGAATTTGCATAAATTATTTTCGAAAAAATCAAATGTTTTATAATTTGGCATTAAATTCTTCACAGTAATTGAATTATTTTCATAAATTTTAAAATTCCTTTCAGGGATTTCATTATTTTCATAAATAATAAAATCATTCGGAGGAAGTTAATTATTTTCATAAATAACAATATTCATCACAAGAATTTAATTATTTTCAAAAACAATAAAATTCAATTATTTTCAAAAATTTTAATAAAATTTCCAAAAGGGATTCAATTAATTTAAAAAAAATTTTGACAAAATTCTATATTGACAATAAACTCTAATATATTCAATTATTTTCATTTTCATAAATAATATGAAACACACCGCAGAATTTAAATTTTAATCAAATTCCTCGAAAAATGTAATTATTCTTAAAAATTTTATTAAAATTCGTCGAAAGAATTCAATTATTTAAAAATTTATTGATAAAATTCTTTATGAAAATTCAATTTCAAGAAAAATTAAATTATTTATTTTAGTAGGATTTAAATAATTGCATTCTCTTCGAATTTTCTAATAAGAATTGATTTAAAAATAAATTTCAGTTAAACAGGGTTGCCACGCAACCTGGAAACCTGGAAAACCTGGAAATGTCAGGGAATTTTTATAAACCTTGAAAAAACCTGGAAAAGTCAGGGAATTTTGATTGGAATCCTGGAAAATTATTGTTTTCTAAAGTTATTGTGCTTATTCTTGAAATTTAATTTTTCTTTATTTTATATTTCAATTTTCTTAATTCAATTTTAAAAGAGTTTCCTTTACAATTTTTCTTCGCAATAATTCAATTATTTTCATAAATAATAAAACTCATCGAAAATTTCGATTATTTTTAATACAATTTTAATGGAATTTCTCGAAAAATGTTTAAAAAAAAATTATCGTCAAAATTTCAATTATCTTTATAAATATTAAAATTTTTCTCCAAAATTCAATTATTTTACAAAGAATTTTCATGAAATTCTTTTTAACAAATTCAATTTTTTTTTCAAAAATTCTCTTCCAGTCAATGATTTTCAATATCTACTATTTTTAAAAAAATTTTCCAAAAGAAATAAATTTTTTTATAAATTTCTTCGCAATCATTCTATTATTTTCAAAAATATACAATTTATGTTTACAGAGATTCAATTATTTTTATAAATATGTAGTAATACAATTTTTTACAGGGATTCAATTATTATTTTCATTGATAATAAAACTCATTGCAGAATTTCAATTATTTTTGATACAATTTTAATCGAATTCCTCGAAAAATGTAATTATTCTTAAAATTTTATTAAAATTCGTCAAAAGAATTCAATTATTTAAAAATTTGGTCATAAAATTCTTTATGAGAATTCAATTTTGAGAAACATTCAATTATTCAATAAATTATTTATTTTTGTATCAAAAATAATTAGGTATTTAAAAAGAAATATTATTAAAAAATTCGTCTCAAGAATTCAGTTATTTTCAAAAGTAATAAAATTCTTCGCAGAAATTCAATTATGGTCAAAAGTTTAATAAAAGTTATAGTCAAAATTTCAGTTATTTTTATAAATATTAAAATTTTTCTCTAAAATTCAATTATTTTCAAAAATTTTAATAAAATTCTTAGCAATATTTCAATTATTTAAAAAAATTTTAATAATAAAAAAAACATAACCTATAAAGTCTCCTTTTACTATGTTTATAGAACGAGGAATGGATTGCCACAACTGGCTACCAGGACGATTTCTTGAATTCATTTCTAAATGATGATCAATTCAATTTTATGGACAATGACACAATCAGCGGTGACTTGGAGGCTGTACCTTCATCATCTTCCGACAGCGGTTTATCAAGTGCATTTAGTCTCTCCTGTGAGCAACAATTAAGTCCACATTTACCAATGGAAGAAGATCAAACAGGAATGATAAACTCATGTCTCAACAGTCCACAAAATACCGCGGAATTTGATTATTTAGACAGTCCCAATGAATCTGTCGACGATAGTGTCGGTAGTCCTGATAGATCTGTCGTCAGTTCTAATTTCGGCTCTCCCATTCCTCAAATCACTGAAGAAATGGATTGTCAACAAACATTTGTTACTCTCGTCAATCCAGAAGCTATGGAGGAAACAAGTTCCGAAACGATTGTTGAACAAACTCCAGTTATAAACTTTGGTAAGTTTATTTGTTTTCTCTTCAAAATCTTTGGAATTCTAATTCCAATGCTAAATTATAAATGTTTTTGAAATGTTTTTTTTTTTATGTTTTTAAATCAAAATAAAATAGAATTAAAATTTTAAAATTGAATTAAAATTCTGTTTTAGATTCAAATGTAAAACATATTACGACAAACGATAATACTGTCAGCTTACGCAACATTTCTTGCAATGGAAAACGAAACATCAAACAATTAATACGTGTCACACCGATTGGATCACGTAACTCAAGATCTTTACTTTTGCCATTGAATTCAAGCGACATTAAGGAAGTTCGAACAATAAAAATTATCAATGCTGTTCAAGCGAGAAATCTCAAAGGTTTCAAAATCAATCAAGGAAACGTTCTCACAAAGAATTTGCAAGTCAGTACAACTTTTAAATATTTTATTCTAAATTATTAACTAGAGTAATGTTAATAGTTAATAATAATTCTAAAGAAAACTAAAATCATTTATTTATGCTCCTCAAGTTAAACATAAAAATTTCTTTCTTATAGATAAACTTCAAAAAAGAAGATTTAAGCAACAAGACAGTCTCAGTTAACAATGAAATTACCGAAAGTGTTTCGCAATATCAGCCATTGAAATTAAACGCCGAAGAGAAGCGTTTACTGCAAAAGGAAGGCATCACCTTGCCAACTCATCATCCTCTGACAAAAACCGAGGAACGTGAACTAAAGAGAATCAGACGTAAGATTCGTAATAAGATTTCTGCTCAGGATTCACGTAAAAGAAAAAAGGAGTACGTTGATGGATTAGAAGATCGCGTGAAACAGTGCACCGAAGAAAATTTAACACTCATAAAGCGCATTAAAGTTCTTCAATCACAAAATCAGAGTCTAGCGGGACAATTAAAAAGACTACAAACCCTCATTCAGAAGGGAAACAAAAGTGCACAACCTGCAACTTGTCTTATGGTATTTTTGCTCTCTCTAGCACTTGTTGCCGTTCCAAATTTGCGACCACATTCTAATGCTAACAGCAATGAACTTGCCCAAGAGCAAAAACAACAAGAGAAAATCACACCGCTAGCAGGTAAACTATTTACTTTTCTTTCTTCATCTTTTCAATTTATTTTCCCTATATTTTTGTTCTTCGCACTCGAGAATTAATTTTAAAAAAGTAGCAAAAAGTAGTTTTCAAACTAAAAAAAGTAGTCAAAAAGTTGTTATCGAAAAATTAAACTCGACGACCAAAGAAACTCGTTTTAGACACTTGACAAAACTGACAAAAATTACATTCTATATTTTATTTTCCTAACTTTCCTAATTTTTATCAAAAATATTTACTTCTTTCTTGTCCTGATAATAAATTGAATTCCTGCAATGAATTTTATTATTTATGAAAGAATTTAAATGCATAGAAAAATAATCTAATTCTTGCGAAGAATTTTAGGAAAATTTTTAAATAATTGATTTCTTTCGACTACTTTTATGCAAATTCTAATTTAAATAATTGAATTCCTGAAAAATTTTTATTATTCATGAAAAGAATTGAATTCTTACGAAGATTTTTACAACAAATTTAATTGAATAATTGAATTCTGTTTGGAAATTTTATGAAAATAGTAGATATGGAAAATCATTGAATTGCGGAAAGTTTTTAAAAATAATTAAATTCTACAAAGAAATATATTAAAATTTTTGAGAATAATTGAATGTCTGTGTGGTATTTAATTAAATTTTTTTTGAAAATAATTGAATTCCTAACAAACATTTTATTATTTATGAAAATATTTCAATTCTTGCGAACGATTTTATTACAATTTTTTTAAATAATTGAATTTACAAGAAGATATTTATTACTCTAAAAAATAATTGGATTCTTTCGAAGAATTATTTATGTAGTAAATAATTGAATTCTTTCGAAGAATTATTTATGTAGTAAATAATTGAATTCTTAAGAAGAATTTAATTAAAATCTAAACGAATAATTGAATTATTAAAAAAAACTTAATTAAAATTGTATTTAAAATAATTGAATAATTGCTAAGAATTTTATTAAAATTTTAAAAGTAATTGAATTCTTGACAAGAATTTTATTATTTATGAAAATAATTAATTTCTTGCAAACGATTAGATTAGAATTTTTTTAAATAATTGAATTTCCAAGTAAAAATTTATTACTTTTAAAAATAATTGAATTCTTGTAATGAATATTGTTATTTTTCTTTAATAATTGAATTTTGCAAAAGATTTTATTAAAATGCCTCAAAATAATTGAATTTAAACTTATTAGAATAATTACATTTTTTGAGCAATTCCATTAAAATTGTATTAAAAATAATTAAAATCATGCGATGAATTATATTATTTATGAAAATAATTGAATAGTTGCTAAGAATTTTATTAAAATTTTCAAAAATAATTGAATTCTTGAGAAACATTTTATTATTTATGAAAATATTTCAATTCTTGCGAACGATTTTATTACAATTTTTTTTAAATAATTGAATTCTTTCGAAGAATTATTTATGTAGTAAATAATTGAATTCTTGGAAAGAATTTGATTAAAATCTAAAAGAATAATTTAATTATTTGAAAAAAATTGAATTAAAACTGTATTTAAAGTAATTGAATTTCGGTGAATAATTCTAATATTTTAAAATAATTGAATTCCTGTGAAAAACTCTAATATTTTTATAAATAATTGAATTCTTCCAAAGCATTTAAAAAAAACATTTTCTTAAATAATTAATTTTTTAGAGGAATTGAAATTAAATTTTTGAGAATAATTACATTTTTTGAGCAATTCCTGTAAAATTGAATCATTGAATTGCGAAAAGTTTTTAAAAATAATTAAATTTTAAAAAGAAATCAATCAAAATTTTTAACAATAATTGAAATCTTGCGAACTACTTTAATAAGATTTTTAAAAATAAATGAATTTCCAATAAGAAATTTATTACTTACAAAATAATTGAATTCTTGTGATGAATATTGTTATTTATGAAAATAATGGAATTTTGCAAAGAATTTTATTAAAATGCCTCAAAATAATTGAATTTTCGTGAATAATTTTGTTATTTATCTGTAATAATTGAATTCTTTCAAAAAATTATTTATGTAAATAATTGGATTCTGGGGAAAAATTTAATTAAAATCTAGAAGAATAATAATTGAATTATTTCAAAAAAATTTAATTAAAATTGTTTTTCAAATAAATGATTTCTTTCGAACAATTTTATTAAAATATTTGAAAATAATAGAATTCCTGTGAAAAATTCTAATATTTCTGTAAATAATTAAATTCTTCTGAAGAATTTAAAAAAAACACTTTTTAAATAATTAATTTTTTCGAGGAATTGAAATTAAATTTTTAAGAATAATAACATTTTTTGAGCAATTCTAATAATAATTTAATACAATTGTAAAATTGCATTAAAAATAATTGAAATCCTGTTTTAAAATTCAAATCTTTGGAAAATCTGATTTTTTCATACTTTTATTTAATAATTCTGTGGAACTAATATTTTTGAAAAATTTTAATTTCAATTCTGTTAAAATTAATTGAAATTTTTTAAATATATTTATATTATTATTATTTCAAAAATTCTAACGCAATTCTTTGAAAGAATTCAATTATCTTGATAAATGTTAAAATTCTTCCTAGGAATTCAATTATTTTCAGGAATTTTAATAAAATTTTTTGCAAAATTCAATTATTTTCAATTTTTCATACATAACAATATTCATCACAAGAATTCAATTATTTTTAAAAGTAATAACATTTTTCGCTAAAATTCAATTGTTTTCAACATTTTGGTAGAAATTTTTGTCAAGATTTCAATTAACTTTATAAATAGCCAAGTTCTTCGCCGAAAATTAATTATTTTCAATAATTTTAATCAAATTTTCAGCAAAATTTTAATTATTTTAAAAATTCTAAAAAAAATTTATTGAAATTCGTCGAAAGAATTTAATTATTAAAAAATTTGATGATAAAATTCTTAATATAAAAATTAAATTTTAAGAAACATCCAATTATTCAATAAATTATTTATTTGCATTTTATTTGTATTTAAATAATTGAATTCTCGTCGAATTTTCTAATAAAAATTTATTTAAAAATTAATTTTAGTTAAACTTTTAGATAATAATAATTGAATAGTAATAGCATTAAAGCTTAATTTTTTTTAGAAATAATTGAATTTTGAAAAGGTTTCAAATTAAAATCTTTGAAAATTTGAATTTTTTAAATATTTTTAATTAACAATTTTGTAGAATTAATTTTTTGAAAAAGTTTAATTGAATTTTTTGTTAAATTATTTGAAGCTTTTATTTTCTAATATATATTTAATTGAAGAATTTCCGAAAATTGAATTGTAAACAAATGGATTTGAAAATTCCCAAAGAACTTTCTCAAAAATCATTAAAAATAGTTGATTTAAGGAAGATCTGAAAAAACCTGGAAAAATCATGGAATTTTGAAATTTTAAACTCATGGCAAGCCTGAATAAGAATTATATGAACAGAATATAATTTCTAATCAAACCTCTTTCATTGTTTCAGGTCGTTCGAGAAATTTACTGTACACAAAACAAATCATGGAGAAAGAACTTCAGCAATATGGAGAAGAGCTACTCCAAGAATTCGAGGGTCTAATGGACCATGATTACAGCAATATTCAAGTGCCAATGTACAGGAAAGAGCATTACGACAATAAACTGTCACAGAAAAATATATTATCGGAGGCGATCGACGAAACATTTGGTCCTGGGAACGATATAAATTCGAATCCAACTTTAAAATACATAGAACCACCATTGGACGATTATAGGCCACCTCCCAAGCCAGGAGGATTATCGGAGGCAAAAATAGCTAATAAGCTGGAAGCACTTACAAATGAGCTGAAAATTAACATTTCAGACACTGAAGGTATACGAAGTGTATTCGTAAATGGACCACAGGTGTAGAAATCGAAATTGAAATTGAAATTTCATTAAAAAATCAGGTCCAAAATTAAAAACGGACACTATTGTCAAAATTAAATGTAATTGCTTTCTCAGGGTTATTTTTTTAAAAATTGTTTTACATAATGTTGAAGAATATGGTTTTTATTCAAAGTATATAATATAAATATAAATAACCATGTGAAAATGCAAATGACTGAATACACTGGTAGACAATTTTTTAAAACATTTGATAATTATCATTTTATGTTGTTCTTTTTGATTTTTTAAATTTGACTTTAGATTCGTAATTGATGGTTCGAAAAATCAATTGATGAGCGAATCTGATATTTTTGAAAAATTTATATAATTATTATGTTTTAGACGATTTTTATTAGAAATAGTAAGAGATTTAAAAAGTTTTACCCAGGAAAATCATTTAATGATTCTGGACTCGACGCGGTACTCTGGTAAAATTATCAATATAGCATTCTTAAAAAAATATTGAAAATTTATTTTTTAATTCCGCAATTGACTGAAAATACTAGTGAAATCAACCATTTGGTTTTTTTTATGGAATGATATGCATACTGTAATGAAATCTATAAACTCGCATTTTATTGTCTTTTAACAATACAATATCAATGCGACTTTCTTAGTTTTCACTATGCAATATTAGAAACCCTGAAAAAGGAAATTGTACAAAAATTTAATGTAGTTAATAGTTTTATAATCACGCTAATGATTGCCTGTATATGACTAATTTTTGGCATTCAAGCACTGATTACTAAATTACGGAAATTTAATTAGTCGATAGTTAATTAATTTAATTAATTAAAAATTCGTATCTTTACACATAAGTATAAATCAATCTTATACGACTTTTTACTAATTAGCCGTAACTATATGTATATATATGTGTGGTTCAAAATTCTCCAAGAAGTAACATTCTTTTAAAGGTTAAATTTTACGAAAAGAAATATTTTTTCTTTTTGCATAAAGATTCTGCAGTCAAATAAGTTGTTTAAAAAATAAGTACTTTTTTTGATTTGCAACCTTGCTTTTCTTTTAAACAAAATATTTTTTCTAACGCCTTAAAACTAATGTAGAAAAACTCACTGGTATGTTTTATAAATAAATGTACTTTAAACACAAAAAAAGTGACTTAGAGAATTTTGAACCATATGCTTCCCAGTTGTTTAATATCTAAGAATTTTGATTGATGATTTTTTGATCTCTGAAAAAATGTATTTCTAAAAGAAATAATCGAAATATTTTAAATAGAAGCATATAAACAGGATAAAAACGTTTTTTTAAAAAAATTGTGATTGATATGAAGAAAAACTGCATGGTTTTACAAATTATGTGAATTTCATTTTTCTTAAGGTGATTGCTTTTTTATTTAATTAAAACTATATAAACATTTTTAGTTGATCATATACATCACGACAAAGCGACGCACTCTTTTTTTGCATTATATAAGTGAATAAATATTAAATGTAAAAAAATTTTCTAATATTTTGAAAATATTTTTTTAAGGAGTGGAGTTAAAAGACACGGGTCGGGAATCGAAACTAAGATTCAAACATTGTCCGCAAAATTTATTTACTTATAGGTACAGTTTTAAATAAGAAATTTACACAGTTACTTGAGGAGTTTATGTTTAGTTGTTTAAATTTTTGATAAAGAAATAGAGTTATTAAAATATTTATTTGAACTGCAGTGATAATTAGAGTGTGTCGTTTTGATTTGGTCACATAAAAATATATACTTAAATACAAATATATATTTTTTTGCGTACAAACCACTTTCAGCATTTCATATTTACCCTTCCATTGCATATATAATAAATTTCAAAAATAATATTTTATGTGTTTTCGTAAAGTTATTTTTATCTCAATTATTTACACTACTTCAAAATATTGTTAAATGTTTTAATTTTGTGGTTTAGGATTCTTCTTTCAAGTACAGTTAATTATTTTCCTTCAAAAACACCCTTCTATTATTTAAACAATTTAAGTAATTTTTTTTGGTTAAAGGACAAAAGTTCCAGAGAAAAAAAGTGACAATAATTCTTTGTTCCAAACGCCAAAAGTTCCAATAATTCTTTGTTCCAAAAATCAAAAAGGTACAATAATTCTTATTTCCAAATGGCAAAAGGTCCAACAGTTTCTTTCAATTTCAAATTCAGAAACTTTTTTTGTGCTGTATTCCGTCACTTCCAAGAATTACAAGAAACAAAATGGCGACGGATAAATAAAACAGCTGATCCACTTGAAATTTTACAATTCGTCTTTTGAAATTAAACGGAATAAAATGACGATATTTTTTTATAACAATTTTTCCCTTTGGCAAGAATGTGATCCACGTGTAAATAATATCATTAAATGTAATTCATTTAAATAACTTAATTAATAAAGTTAAATGATTTAATAGGATTATATTTATTAAAAATTTTAATTTGTTTGCCTCTTAGGTACCTTTCTTAGAGCGCGACACAGATGATTTATAAAAGAATCCTTAATCACAAAAATTGAACATTTATACTACTTTTTATTCTAATTTTACCCCAGTGAGAAATGGGACATCATACGAATTGATATTTATTTTACATTAAAGCTCTGATTCAAATATGAGATTTATAAGCTTCATATTATAAATTTCTGTTAGACACTAAGCAAAACTGCGGTCAGGCGGTTGATACTAATTCCACGTGAAATGTAAAAAGAAAGTTTTACTTATTTAGTATCTTTTATTAAAGTGAAACAGTTTATTTAGATGCAAGTAACAATAAATGGTTAATTTAATAAATTTTTATTTAAAATAGTCAACGATACACGTAATTAAAATTAGAGAACATCTTGAGAAACATAATATATATTATTATTACTTATTTGCATCTTGCACTCAACGCATATTTACGTTAGTATTTACTGGTATTTGTAACTTAATATATACTGAATTCAAATATATATTTTGTGAATTGTTATTTAGGAAGTAAAATTATACAATAATTAGTATTTATCCAATGTTATCCATAATTTTAATATACATAATAAATTTATTCTTTTCTTGTTGTATTTGTAATTGTTGAAAAAAAAGTGTGCATGCGTTGTTGAGTAACAGGCCCTGGCTGATTTCCAAACCAAAGTTTTTAATTTTTCCCAGTTTCTATTCGTTTCCAAAGTGTCATTTTCTTCTCTTATTTTTTCCCTCCATTTTTCTCTAAAGTCTTGTGTTTTTTCGCTTTTCCATATTATTTTTTCTATTTTAACTTTTTCCTCTTCTACAACTGTTTTTGATTTGCTAATAAAACTCGTATTATTGACTCTAATATGGAAGGTTACGAGTTGGTGGTCGGATTCTATTTTCTCGGCACAATTTCTAATTTTTTTATGATTTCTAAATTTTCACGATTTACCATAAAAACTAAGCGTCGATGACTGAACCCATGAATTTCCCCTAATGTATGTGATTTTGCCATTTTTATCTCCATTTATACGTGCACTATACCCTGTTACTCAATTTGTTGTTCAAAATTGACACAGCACTAGCGGCTGTCCGTGTCAAGAGTTATTATATAATAACAATTAATTGTTTATTAATTTGTTATACTTTGTTTCATACAACAGAAAAACTCCAATATTATTTTAATAGGTTTTTTAATTAATTTTCTAAAAATCAATAAAACTATATAAAAAATATATTTTTACAATTTTTTTTAATACTTATTGATATTAAAAAAATGTTTAGAAACAAAAATTTTAAACTCGGGTTCGAGAGATCGATAAAAAATTTAATTACGATAGAAAATAAGAAAAATTTTTTGTCAAAAATGTGTCTGTAGAATGATTTTAAACGAAAAAATACATTATTTGACACTGTGGGTAGCACCTTCAGGATCCCAAGAATTGCGTAGGTTGCTATGGCAACCAATGATTGGTTGCCAGATTTTTAGCACGACAAACCGCGGATAGAAGGCACTGACGTAGCCCAAAAACCGCGGGACTTTTTAAATATAATTATATATATATATAAAAACTTATACAAAAATATATATTATACATATAATAAAATTTTATATATTTATATATATTTAAAAAATTCATATATGCTTAATTAATACTAAAACTTTTTATTTTGTTATTTAAATAATTATATTTTTGTCATTATACATGAAATAACTTTAATATATTATTTAAAATAATTTTCAATTTAATAACTTTAATATTTAAGATTTTTAAATAAATAAGGTTCAGGACATTTAAAAAAACGTAGCAACAGATCTACACTGGTCAAAGTGATTTTTAAATAGATCGCAATTAAATTTCTGTATTCTTCTTCCGGTAAATCAGTCTCTGTGTTCTCCGTCTCATTTGTATCGTGAGTCTCGTTTTCATTCTGAACCTCATAGGCACTATAAATTTTATAGTGTTATATAATTATAATAATTAGTATTCTTTGTGTCCACTAAAAGGCGCCAATTGAAAGTTCTCATTATATTAATGTTTTTGTATTCGATTTTCATGTGCTTAAAAAAAATGTTCTAACAGTAAAAAAAGCGCAATTTCATAAAAGAAATATAGCCCAATTCGCTACCTGTAGCGAAAATAAAATTTACACCGCGAAACTATGACAAAAGATAGCCCAAATCGCACTTTGTAACCCAATCTGGCAACCCTGAACCAATCTTAAATTCAACGCAACATGTTTGCGAAATTTTTAGATCCTATTGGACTCTGCTTAACACCTGTGACGTAAGCAAGTACACATCACAATGGGTGTTTTCGACGTTGACACTCTGAGCGCTCTGAAAGTACGAAACGTGGTTGGTTGGGCTAGGGGAATTCTGAATGTTGATTGGCTGAACTTCAAAATTCATAGTTTTATGCTCTGGTTTCCACACTCTGTATCGCTCGGACCTTTGATACCGAGCGATTATAGGGTTGTGAAGTTTCATGAAACTTTGGAAAATGAAATGTTTCATGAAAGTTTCATTGCTTCATGAAACATTTCAAAGTTTCAAGTTTTAAGCGGGAAATTTCAAATTCAATGCAAGAAAGTATAATAATTAACGCATATTTTGTTGTCAAAAACATGAAGTATTATTACTTACTTTAATATCTTTCTTTAATTTTTATAAATAAAATAAATAATTAAAAAATATATTAATAATTTAATTTTAAGTCACTCGTTAGAGGTAATATTTCAGGTAATTTTTAGTTAATATTAACATAACTACTCTCGTGTTTTCGGATGTAAACAAAAAATTTTCATTAAATTGTTTCGAACTAACCTAAAATTTCTAGAGATTATCTAACCTAAACTGACAACTGCGCATGTGCAAATAAAGCTTAATTATTGGTTCTTCAATGTTTCATGAAATTAATGAAACTTTCGCTTATGAAACATTGAAACTTTCAAATGAAAGTTTCATTGTTTCAATGAAACGTTTCATCACTCACAACCCTAAGCGATACAGAGTGTGGAAACCAGAGCATAAAACTATGAATTTTGAAGTTCAGCCAATCAACATTCAGAATTCCCCTAGCCCAACCAACCACGTTTCGTACTTTCAGAGCGCTCAGAGTGTCAACGTCGAAAACACCCAATATAGAGTTTCTATTGTTCATACACTAGAGGTACTTCCCCTATTTATAAAAGTAAAATGCTTGTGTTAAGTTAAATAAATATGGAGACCGAAGCATTATGTTTGTGAAAAAGTTTCCGGAGTGACCTCTTATCTGTTCTAATTCTATTTTTATAATCGAAGTATTTTTAATATAGTTGAGAATATATTAACATAATATAATAAAACCAAGTTATAGCAGATCAAACGATACAAGCTGAGAGGAGAAGGAAGAGAGTTGAAGTCACAGAAGCAGTAAGATAATTTATTCTGTTAATATTGAAATGTAATAGTGCACAGTAACCGACACATGCTATTAAAAACGACCATAAGTATATTATAATAATACACTATTAAAATGTATTTCAAGTTATTAACATTAGAAAATGCAATATTTGGAATTTATTTTAAAGTAGAAGCAACACTTAATTTGTTTATATTTTCCACAACATTTTACTTTGTATGAAGATAACCTAAAAATATGTAAAATGTTGCGATAAATATAAACAAATTAACTACATTACTGAGGCATTTCACGTCAGAAATATCACGATTTGCAAAGGGTATATACCGATTTTCGCAAAACTTCGTGGGATTATAGTTCTATATAAGACTTCTTTCCCCCAAATTTTTTCAAAGAAAAATTAAAAATTGTTGAAGATACGCCATTTTGAATTTTAATATTAATTTTATAAAATTTTGAATATCTCGGAATATTGTTTATGGATTTTTATGAAATTTACACATTTTTCAGGTAAAAGTATGTACTTTAAAATGCAGATAAATTTAATAAAAAAAAATTAATTTTTAAATAAAAAAATTAAAAAAATTTTTTTGTTTATTTACTCCTCTGTGAGAAAAATGTTATTAACATATTTAGATTCCTTATGAATTCACCTTTAATTTCATAAAAAAAAATTGATCTATGCACGACTGCGGTAACGTACTACGCGACTTGTGCAGTATGGTGCTATGGCGCGGCGACGCTTTTTTTTACAAAAAATTCAATATCTCCGGAACCAGTTGAGTCTTCATCAATTTTTTTTTATGAAATTAAAGGTAAATTCATAAGGAATCCAAATATGTTAATAATATTTTTCTCAGAGAGGAGTAAATAAATAAAAAATTGTTTAAACAAATTTTTTTAAATTTTTTTATTTAAAAATTAATTTTTTTTATTAACTTTATTTGCATTTTAAAGTACATACTTTTACCTGAAAAATGTGTAAATTTCATAAAAATCCATAAACAATATTCCGAGATATTCAAAATTTTATAAAATTAATATTAAAATTCAAAATGGCGTATCTTCAACAATTTTGAATTTTTTTGAAAAAATTTGGGGGAAAGAAGTCTTTTATATAGAACTATAATCCCACGAAGTTTTGCGACAATCGGCATACCCTTTGCAAATCGTGATATTTCTGACGTGAAATGCCTCTACTGCTACTTTTATATAACTTCCAAACATTACATTTTATGATATTAATTTCTTAAAATATATTTTAATAACGTTTTATTTTATATATTTACTGTCATTTTTAACAGAGGGTGTATTAACCCGGAGTTAACTCGGGGCGAGTGCCGAAAACAGCCGTAGGCGGGAGACCGAGGTGAGTTGTAACAAAGCCGATTTCTCGAATTCTATGACGTTTTAAAAATTCTGAAAAGCGTGAATTTATTACATTTTTGATTCACTATTTGATGCAAATTTAGTTGACCACCTGAGAAAAGTTTTTGAGATGTATTTAATATGTGTGCAAAAAAATTGCTAAAAGTAAGTTTTCGGCTGAAATTTTGATACTTTATTATTCGGACACATATTATATTTTTGTTATTCTAATATGTACCTTAATAACTATTGAATATCCTAGTTTCATGAAATGGTTTTGCTTTTTTGTGTCAGTCTCGAAATTTAAGATGAAAAATAATTATTCAAACTGATACACAGTTTTTCGCACCGAGGCGAGTTGTAACAAACTGCGTTTCAACTCACCTAGGTTTACGCAAAATTGTGCTCGATCGAATAGAGGCTGTTTAGACTTTTGCTAAAGTATATTTTTTTAAATTTTCGTTTAAATCACTTTCATATTTTCGAAAGTAAAAAAATATTTTTCAAGTTGCTCTTTCATACACAAAAGTCAAAAATAATTTCTACTTATAGGTTTTTTTTTGTTATTAATGAGCTTGTTGCTCATTTTTAATTTAGTTTTCGGTTTCATTAAAATGAACTCTCCTTGGTACTAGGTGAGTTGTAACTCAGGGAACTGTTTTGGATTTTGCAAGTTTTGCGTAAACCCTTACAACTTTTTACATTTTCATTTTATATTCACATACTACACAAAAAAATCATTAATTTATGAGTTAACTTCATCTTGCACTTTTTTTGAGATAAATTTGTACTGAACTGACCTGAAATAACATTATCCTCGTCAGGAGGCGTCGATATGGTCAAAATAGAGAACAATTATAAAAAAAAGAATTTTATTTCCCAAGCAAAACGTAATATTGACTATATTTTTAACTATATTAAGAAAATGATTTAAATCTTCCATAAAATTATTTTCATAATAGAGAGGAATTTCATGCATAAACTTTTTTTTACATTTGGCCAGGTTTTTGCGATATTGTCCCTCTGTGAGCTTGTCCCTATATTTCTTATGTTCATGTTAATTATTTTTTTCAGGGCTATGTCTTAATCAGGACGTTAAAAAAGTTAATCACAGTGTATGTATTTTAAACTTTTTAAAATTAAAAAAAACAAAATTCACCTGTCTCAAAAATCATAAATAAGAAGGCAGGTTACCTACCTTAAATAAAACTCTCAGAATGAGTAAAGTGTGTGAATTTTGCCAGTTGTCATTTTTGAAAGGCAGTGAATTTGAGCATTTTAACGATTGGAAACATTTAAAGATGATTGGAGTTCTGAGGTTCCATTGTGTAATTTGTGAATTATCTATTATTGATTATGAAAATTTTAGAAATCATGTATTAGGAAACAGACATAAAAAGAACGTTAGACTGAAAGAAATATATTGTCGAGATTGTGGTGAGTATTTCTCTGATGCTTATGCACTAAGAGGACATATGCCGGTGCATTCAAATACAATGGACAAATTAACTTGTAATATTTGTCCGTGCACATCCTTCGAATATAATTTAAGAAACACTGCATTGGAGAAGTACATTTAATAAATGCTGAAATTAAAAAATTATATTGCGAAATTTGCCAGATTGCGTTCACTTATTCTGCATTTGCAGACCATTTATTAGAGAAAGAACATTTAATGAAAATTGCAGCTCTGAAAATAAAAGATATTAAATTTGATGATATAAAAATTATTTTGGACAAAAATAATACTTTCAGCGATAACTTGGAATTATTTCTAAAATCAGTTACGCCAAGTACTGATGAAGTTAATAGTTATGAAAACATTACATTACACCTGGATGAGTTATTTGGTAGATTTACAGAGAGTTTGATGGAACAATTTAGTTCAAGAGCTACAGGATTAGGCTTGAAGACAGATCCCTTGAAACTGTTCGTGAATATAGGTAGGTGCATAAAAGTCGGTAATTTATAAATGATTATTATTATTTAGAATTATTTTATAAATATATGAGTAGCGCAAATTTTCAAAACTTGATAAATTCATATTTTGTTTTGTGAAATTAAAAAAATAGGTAACTTCACTCAATCACTATATATGAGTTAAATTTAAAATAAATTTGTAATATTTAGTTCTATGACAATATTTTTGTATTCAAGCCGTTCTGTTTTTAATAAAATTTAATCTTAAAATAAATATTTAAAAATATTGAATTTATGTTTATCTCAATTTTTTGGAAAATCAAGAGTTAGGGGAACATAGTCTAGGTCGGCCACCTTTTTGACTTTTGTTTATAACTTTTTTTTAAAAATGAATTTGGACAATTGAAGTATATGGTTGGAAAGTCCTGTTTAATAGGAACATCTTTTCTGTACAAAGTAAATTGATTGGTTTTAAAATGAAAAAGTTATAAAGAAGTAAAAAAAAAAAAATTTGTAGTCGAGGTTGGCCATTACAGTCAAGGTCGGCCATGTTTAAAATTCAAAGGGCATTAATCGTTAAAAAATAAAATAACATGTTTGGAGTTACGGAAAATTGATTCTTTATTGTTTACAGTTTGTAACTTAATGAAATAACAAAATAATAAAAATAAACAATATAAAAAAATAAATATAAATAAAAAAAAATTTTTCACAAAACTATTAATAAAATTAAATAAAAATATTAATAAGATGATTAATTATATTATGAGTTATACAGAATTGCAGTTTTTGCAAATGAAGTAGCTCGTCCTCATCTTTGCGCATTTTAAACACATAGTGGCCGACCTTGACAGTAAGTAACATTACCGAATTGTTGTAACCATAAAGAAATACGTTTCGGGATTCGATTTTTTACTTTGTTTTTCTTTCAACCATGAGTCCCACAAATTTTCTGCATACTTGCCTTAACGATTCAATTTGTTTTTTATCTATTATTAATGGTTTTTCACATTATGCACAAAACTTTTTTTCAGCTTTTTTTGTACCGACGTCACAGAAAACACAATTTTCGATCCTCCGAAAATGTAATTGAACAAAAAGTTAGGTTTTACTAAGACAAGCTTCGACAAGCATGCGCGTAGGTGGCGCTAGTGAACTTGTCCAAAAAATCGCGATGGCCTACCTAGACAGTAGACCAACCTTGACTACATTCCCCTACTTAAAAAATCATTGTGCATCAATTGACCCACGCTTCAAGCCTTCTATGACAATCATAAAATATTGGGCAAAACTTAACGAATTGTCTACACAATTTTCTGTTATTGAAGAATCAACAGATTTATACATATCAAACTATGCCTTGGAAATGTTATTCTTATTTTATCTACAACAGCCTAATGTATATTTGATACCTCCCATAACGACATTAAAGATGAATTGTCGTCACCCTGAATTTGTTAATGGTTGGCAAATAAACATTGACGAAACCATTCAACATCCTTCAGCCGACAATAAAATTTTGATTCCTGAATTGCTTTGGGGATTTTTTAAATTTTATGCTGAATTTGATTTTGAACAATTCGTTATTTGCCCACTTGATGGTTGTGCACACTCGAGGGAAGCATTCCAAAATATAAACGAACTGCCAGAAAGCATGAACAGGTATTTACATGTTTTTTAAATTAAAATTTTCATTTTGAATACAAGATCTAATAAAAGGAAAGATAACTCATTTACAATAATTCTTCGGTTGGGTTCAGAAAGGTGCCAATTCAGACTAGTTGTGAAAAATGTGCCGTTTCAAAAAACATTTGAGCTGAGATTTGGAAAACATGACAACTCAGAATTGACGTTCATTTTCTTATTTTAGGTGCAAGAAAGAAGTTGTTAATCAAATAATAAATAATCAACAAATTATTTTTTAAAGAAATTAGTAAAAATATTCCTTTTTCAAACAATAAAAATAACAATTATGCAAAATGCAACTGAGGCATTCCATTTTAAAACGACCCCCTTCATAAACAATTGCCAATGTAAGACAATTTTTAAATGAATATTTCTTCCATTCTGTAGAACTAAATTACTTTTTATATTAGTGATTTCGAAAGTAGAATTTCTGAACTTTCTGATAAGAAAAAAATATATTTTTTCAATAATTTAATTTAAATAGAAAATTGAGTTTAAAAGTTATACTTTGAAAAATCTCAAAACACGTTACCTCCGATTTTAATAAAATTCATATCAAACGAAAGCTTAAATATTCTTCTTTTTATTTATCAAACGATAATAATGGACATTTCAGTGGATTTTGAGAAAATAATTAAATTTTACAGACATTTAGAAGGTTATTATGCATAAATTGGGAAAAACAAATGCCGCCCTATACTTAATAAATGGTTTTCTCAATATAACCTTTGAAATTTTTGTAAAATTTAATTATTTTCTCAAAATTCATTGAAATGTCCATTATTATCGTTTGATAAATAAAAAGAAGAATATTCAAGCTTTCGTTTGATATGAATTTTATTAAAATCGGAGGTAACGTGTTTTGAGATATTTCAAAGTTTAACTTTTAAACTCAATTTTCTATTTAAATTAAATTATTAAAAAAATATATTTTTTTATTATCAGAAAGTTCAGAAATTCTACTATCGAAATCACTAATATAAAAAGTAATTTGGTTCTACAGAATGAAAGAAATATTCATTTAAAAATTGTCTTACATTGGCAACTGTTTACGAAGGGGGTCGTTTTGAAATGGAATGCCTCAACTACAAAAATAATTTTTGTACAACTTTATAACCATTGTTTCAAATTTTTCTGTACTGCCAAGTGTCAACTTAAAATATGGAAAAAATGAACGTCAATTCTAAGTTGGCATGTTTTCCAAAACTCAGTAATTGAAATGGCAAGTTTCTCAAAAGTTTTTTGGAACGGCACGTTTTTCACGACTAGTCTGAATTGGCACCTTTCTGCACTCAACCGACGAATTTTAAGGCTGCTTCTACAACAACTTTTTTTTCATCGACACTAACAAGATGCACTGTTAAAACCATGCAAAATAGTTGCGCGCGCATCGTTTTCACGCTCATGTCGATGAAAAAAAAGTTGTAGAAGCGCTCGAACACTCCACGGTGAGTCAAAATAAGAAACTTAGAAATACCGTCAAGTGATAAATTCAATAATCCTATTTAATAATTTGCAGTTATAAGGAGTACATTCAAAACACTAGAATCGCCTTTCTCTTTGATGCTACGAAACCATTATGCATTCAGGATCCCATTGTTCTCAATGAAAATTGTTGCAAGAGAGTTTCCAGTAATTTCGTTACATCTTTTAAAGAGCACGCTGATAGAGCAGCATCTATTTGCGAAATTGCTTGTATTAATGAAGATCATTCAAATTTGCTACAAAACTTATTCGAGACGTCATACAAAAACAACGATCTTGATTAGATGAGGTACGTAAACCCATAATTAATGTTGTAAATTCTGTATTATAATTAAAATTAAAATTTTTTAGTTTCAGCATATCAAATTTGTCACTTACAACAATATAATATGTATGGGCCATTCCACGGATCACTCGCAGACCCGAAATTCAGCGCAAAAGAATTAAATGTTCAAGGGATCAAAATGCTTGTGCAACCCCTTTGTTTTTGAGGTCGCCAAATTTGAAATTGGAGTCAGATTTTAAAAATACAATATAACGGTTTCAATATGGTGGAGAAATTTTCAAAAAGATGTCATATTTTAACTCTTTGTGGCATACATTACAACACTAATTTAAAAAACTAAAATGCTTAAAGGGGTATTTGGGGTCGCTGATTACGAATCTGATATCTTTTTTCCAAAACTAAAAATCGAAATCGCTTAAAAGAGTGTCGATGAGTATAATAAACTAAAAGAGGAAATTTTAAAATCATCTGCAGATTACCTTTGTTTAGAGTTTGATTTTAGCCAATACCGACCATTGCCTGCTGTCTCTTCTCAATGTTATTTGAGATTAATTTGGTTGCATATGGAGCGTTTATAAACTACGTAGACCTATTTTTGTCACTTTTTGACCCCCTCCCCCTGCGTATACTAACGTAGAATATTGCTGACCCTCCCCCGTGTGTAACATAGTTTTTTCCAATCTGCATTTTTACTGCATATTTAACTATATCCCGCATTACAAGTAAGTCAATTAGTAACAGTCAAATATTCTGAATAAAATATTTTATTCTTTTCTAAGCAGCCATTTTTAAAACGCGATCACTGTCTGCAATTGTACAACACCGTTAAAAATTGTAAATTTTTCAGAAATTTTCGGTAAACAGTGAAACTAAAAAATCACGCAAATCTTTTATTATGGCGCACTCACACCTTTGGTTGCTGCCTGCCTATCTACAAGTGGTCATGAACCTGATGAGAGAGTCACACAATTCAAATTATATGTTTTCTCTCCCTTACTCTAGTTGCTCCACCAAAGCTGTGAGTGCGCCTTTACAGTCAATTAGTATTAGTGCGAAATTTCAAAAGACGCAAAATTAATTTTAGTTTCTATGTATTAACTGCTTAGTTAGAGTCAACCTCCCCCCACGTAGACTAATGTAGACTTTCGAAGAACCCTCCCCCTTAGCATGCTACGTAGTTTATGAACGCTCCCATAGAAGTGACAGAAGTTACAAATGTTTCCTTTTATGGAAGGATATGTAAAAAAAAGGTCGGAAATACTGTCTGCAACTTGGTTCTTCATACAATTTTAGAAGAATAGAAGTTGAATTGATACAATAAAATTGTTCTTTTTTTCTACACATGTGGAGGTCAAAATGAAAACTACACAGTAATGCTCTTTCTGTCGCTGCTGGCTCAAAAATTACAAATCGAAATTCAGCACATTTACCTTGTACGTGGGCATTCATACAGTCAGTGCGATATAAATTTTGGCCTTTACAGAAAAAAAATGATGGAAACGAACGAGACTGTTAAGGAATACCTTAAAACTATTAAAGAAGCGAGAAACCGAAATGAAAAACCTACTTCCTTATTTATCTAGAGAAGGAAAGCAATTTGTTAATGATTATTTAAAAGAAATTCACATCATTACGAATCGTCATTGTTCCGAAATGTCATTTTTTCGAATTGTCATTTTTACAAAATGTCACTTTTGTGAATGGACATTTTTACGAAATGTCATTTTTTCGAAATATCATTTTTACGAATTGTCATTTTTGCGAAAATTGCTATAGTAAATCTATATATGCATACAAGTTTACTATAGCCTATAGCAATTTTCGCAAAAATGTCGATTCACAAAAATGTGACAATTCTAAAAAACGACATTTCGAAACAAGAACGATTCGTAAAAATATTTCGCAAAAGTGGCAATTCGTAAAAATGTCGATTCGCAAAAGTGATATTTCGTTGTAAAGATTACTTGATTGTTATCAACTAAATGTTTATTTGAATCACAAATAATCTGTATTTAAATAAAAAATTTCATGTAAACCAATAATTTCCGTACTGAAAGCAAATGATATTTGATTGCCTTAAATAAAAATAATTTCATGAAAATAAATAATTATTTGATAAAAGATAAGTAATCGTTTATTTATATCAAAAAATGTTTTCTCATTGTATTTTTAGACCAATTTTTTGAAGGAATATAGTAATTTACTAATACTCTTTATAATTAAACATATCTATGAGAGAATATTTATTATGTTTATGCAAAGTCGTCGCATTTTATATATATAATAATTATTTTCCTTGCATCTTCGTTGAGCAGAAAGCATCTAATATAGTTTTAACGTTGTTAATAAAATATGTTACATTTTATTAGAAAACACCTGGGAATATTCATTACAAAAAACAATAATAATCTTATATTTGTAAGGAAAAATTTTTTCTAAACTAAAAGAGTTAGGCAGCATACAAAATTATGTTTCGCAAAAAAAACATATACATATTTTTTTGTCGTGTATTGTCTGAAGTAGTACAAAAACTGAAATTTTAATTTATGTAAATTGTTACATTTTAAAAATAATATTATTACTTTTAAAAACATTTTTTTTAGACAAGTAACACCACCGCAATTAATATTAATTGTAAAAGCGAAAAATGTTCACTCATTTCCTCTAGAATTGCAATTCCGATAGTTACTAGATTATAGTTAAAATTAAAAATTTAATTAATCTATAGTTTGATAAATATGGAAAATAATTTTTATTCACCGGAAACTATCTAATAAATCTTCATTATTTAAAGAATAAAAAAATTATTTTATTATATCTAGATACGAATCCGAATTTCTAAGACTATTTTTGTCCAAAAAATTTTGATCTAGTTTTTATAAATTATAATTGTCTAGTTTAGAAGTTTATCTCTGAAGTGCATATTATAAATTAAATTTAAAATGAATGAAAATTGATAATTAATAAAATGACGAAAAATTGTTTTGTTCTTGTGCAGTGAGTAGTGAGTTACATGACTTCTATCAATGAAACATTCTACAAATTATAAATTCAAATTCATTCATTCACACTATTATTAAGACCAGGGCATATTCGTATATACAAATACATCTATTTAAAAAAAATTTCATTTATACAATCTTATTTAATTTTCAATCATGTGGTCATTATCCAATGAATCTTATTCACAAAATTAAAGCCCTAATAGGTACTTAACTTTCACAAAGTTATTTCAATCATACAACTCAATTAAATCTAATTTTAATGCTTTTGCTAGTCTTTTTTATTTATGCGGTTTTATTCAATCCGCAAATATTTAACTTATAGATTTTTTATTTACATATTAAGCCGAACAGATCATTAGAACAAAATCATTAAAATCAGTGTCCATTTATACCAGAATTTTAAATTCCTATATGGATAAATCTGATTCATTCAAGTTACCTATATATTTTGTCTCAGTTGTTCCATTAATTTTGTTTCATTCAACTACTCATTTCATAATTTAAAAATTTTATATCTAAACAAATACTATTCTTTAAATTCATCATTTCATTTTCACAACAATTATAATTACTATACTATGTACAAGTGAGGAAAATGATAAAATAAAAGCGGCCTAGAAAATATCTCAAATATTTGCAATGTGTAAAAATAGAGAACATGTAAACTACTTAAGTCCAATCTATGCCTAGTTTAATTTAAACTTTTAATCTAGCATAAATACTCTTGAAAATAATTTTTAAAAATAATATAGAAGTTTAAAAAAGATTCAAAAATTGTTATAATAGAAGCGCAAGGTTATTAAAAACAATTTATAAAAAACTCATTTTAGTGGCGTTACTTACCTACGACATGTTTCTAAAAGAATAAAAATAAATAGTAGTAGTAAAACATTTATATATTATATCGATTGTTTGGTAAAATAATTATATTAAAAATATAATTCACAAATTGTTGCTGTAAAATTGTTTCGTTGAATTTTTTTTTGTAACTTTAACTAAAATAAATGAGATGAATAAAAAAAATTTTTTAAAGTACATTTTTTTAAAATTTTAATATTTTTTAAAATATTGAGAAAGTATTTCTTTTGAAAAACAAACTTCTTTTTTTGGTACATTTGTTTTATCAGACTTTTAAAAATAGACTTTATAACTTTTATACATTTAATTGTTTGAAGTAATGCCTACAGAAGAGAGTCATTAAGGAAGGTGCAGCATCTACATGTCTCAATAGCTTCTCATCATTTTCTGATAACCTTTCTAAAGAGAGACTATATTCACGATCAAATGCTCCTGTAAAAAAGTTAAATTTACTTTGGATTTGTCATTCAAAACTTTTCTTTCAGTATCCAGTGTGTGTTCTAGTGTTTCTTTTCAGTGTAAAGTTTCTGATACAATTCAATTCAACTTTTTAAAATCGATTGTATTCAGTTCTTTTTTCAAAAATAAATCTTATTTTCTAATTTTTACAAAAAATTTAATGTTTTAGGATTTTAGTACTTTTACGTAGAACAATAAATTGTTCTAAGCCAGAGTTCTAAACCCTTCCCAAAAAATTAAAATTTTTACTTTATTGTTTCACGTGGAATTGGTCATTATTAAAAAGTGTTATTATAACTTATACACTGTCGAATTAACATTTGCATTCAATTATATAACCATAAAAATGATCAACAACTATTGTATTTTGAGATATTTTAAAAAATTTTTAAAAGGTGCAGAACATTACAAAAATAAATTGTTTATAAAAAATGTATTAAATAATTATTAAAAAATAAACATTTTAGAAATTTTCTAATTCTAAACGAAAGTATATGTTATCCCCTTTATATTCCCGCTTGGTTCATTTAAATCGGTTCATTCATTTAGGAGAAATAAATTTTTGTTTAAAAAGTTGCAAAAAAATTCATTTTGCAATAACTTTTATAAAAAAAAAAATTTTTCTGTTCTTTGGTAGACACATTCCTAAGGTCAAATAGAAATGTTTTTTCAACATTTGGTTTTAAAAAAAATATTATTTATTTTTCGGGAAAATTTCACGAATTTTGACCCATTTTCTAAAAAATATGATATTTTCGTTTTTGGCTTGTAACTTGAACAACAACAAAATAAAATGAATCACGCAAAAAGATAAGTGTTCTGAAAAAAATTTCGAATAAAATGAATCATAAATAAAAGGTGTGCCTGAAACTTGAAAATATTCATCTTTATAAGTGAAAATCGACCCATATATTAATATATATTTTATTATATATTATGATTCAAAAGACTAAGTATTTTATGATGAAAAAGATCTAAGTGCGGTTTCTTTGGTTTCATGTTTTGTATATTTACCAACTAAATTCGAACTGCTTTACAGTTTCTTATCAAGATTATAATAATGTTTGTACATGGCAACAAAATATATAAAAAGATCTTAGAAAGAAATTGATTTGAAAAACCTACATAGGTTTTTCAAATCAATTTCTTTCTGATAATTTATTATGATAGAATTTTGACATTTCTAAAGGTTATGTTTATATAAATTTTATTTTATTTAAAATTAGATAGTATGAGATGGTTTCTTTATTTTATATTGGCCTCTATATTGTAAAAGTAGTAAAAAAATTTTAATTAATTTTAACAATGTGTGAGAAATCTTTTTATGCATTTTGTTATCATGCACAAACATCATCATAACCTGAAAAAGAAAAGGTAAGAGAGTTCGAAATTAGTTAAAAAAATATACAAAATTTCAAATGAAAATAAACCAAATTAGGCCTTTTTATATAAAAGAAAATAATTAAAAAACGGGATTAACAAAAAGCTTTCTGCAAATAGCAAAATGTCCTTTTAACTGTACTGCATGTAAGCTTGTCGTAAGCTTACTGTAAACTTAAGTACCTGGAATTATTGTAAACAGCAAATATCAAAAAATTTTGTTATTTCGAAAGGTTGCAAATTGCTCATTTGCTTGAGTTATTTACAGGCTAATTGGGAATATGGTAATTTTCACCGCGCTTACTTTATAAACTTAAGTAAAAAGATATAAAATTTGTTCTTACCCTGATCAATATTACCTCTACCAAGAACAGTAAAGGCTAAGAAAAGTATATCCCTATAAATAGAAAAAGATGTTTGATCTTCAGATATTTTACTTCTCTCTAGTGCAAGCCTTCTTATAGGCTCTACTAAATCGTTATGTCGAACATTGGCAATAATTGTCTGCATTGACCTATTTCAAAGTACAAATGAAAAAATAAATATTATAAAACTTCCTATAAATGAAAAATACACATTCTAACAAATTACAAAATTTTTACGAATCATAGAATCAAGAACTTGACTGTACTTTTCTGATGGTTTTTAACTAGATAAATTCGAATCTGACCTCAATTAATTGCATCAATACGTTAGGTTTTTGAGAAATTCCAACCTAAAAGTGCAGTAACGTAACGGCCCCCATGGGGGCCATTAGAAGTGGATGCCCGAGTCTTTCTATAAGGGTTTTTAAGGCCACGAAACCCTAAAAACGATTCTTTTACACTTTAGGTGATAATGTCTCAAAAACTTAACGTACTGGAGTGATTTCGAAGTCAGATTCGGATTCAACACTTTAAAAACCTGAGGAAAAGTAATGTCCTCAGGCTTCACAGTACCCCTAAAAAGTATTTTAGGGGAAATAGGGGACTGAGAATTAAAAAATAGGGGACTTTTAGGGGACCATAAAAATTGGTTAAATAAAGATAAAAATATAATTTTTTATTTATACAGGGTTGCTACAAAAATTTAACTTTATTCTTCCCTGATTTCCCTGATTTCCAATTTGATTCACTCTTAAAATTATTAGATACTCAAAAAAATGTTCTATTAAAATTTACAAATTTCTTCAAAAAAAAAAATTATTCGAAAGCATCAATAGTTTTATTTAAAATAAATATTTAATCATTTTTTTTTCATTGGAATTAAGATGTTCAAAAATTTCAAATTTAAACCTTTTTAAATTGAACTCTTTTCAAATTAAACAAATTATTTTCATAAATTTCCATAAAATTCTAAAAAACAATTCAACTATCTTCAAAAGTAATAAAATTCTTCTTATAGGTAGATTCAATTATTTTCTTCATAATTATTTGTATCATTTCAATTCATTTAACATTTTCTAGAATTTTTAACTAAAATTCTACTTTAAATCAATAACATCAATTATTATTCAATTAAACTTTTTCAAAAAAAATTAATTCTACAGAATTGTTAGTTAAAAGTACAAAAAATAATAATTTAATTCTACAAGAAATCAATTATTTCAATACAAAAATAAATAATATTGAATGTTTCTTAAAATTTAATTTTTACGAAGAATTGTATTAACAGCTTTTGAAAAGATTTAATTTCTTTTAAGTAATTTAATTAAAATTTTAATGAAATTTATTATAGGTATTAAAGAATTTTCTAACAATTTTTGAAAATAATTGGAAACAATTTGAAGAATTTTATTAAATTTTTTTAAAATAATTTAATTCTTGACGAGAATTTTTTAAAAATTTTGAAAATAATTTAATTTCTGCAAAGTATTTTATTACTTTTTAAAAGAATTGAATTCTTGCGATGAAAATAATTTTATTAAAATTCGAATTCTAAGGATCCTTCGAATAATTAAAAAACTTTTAAACTATCTTATTAACAGAAAAAATAATTTTTAAAATATAAACATATGTTTTAATTAATTAAGTTTATATAAAGGTTTTATTTTGTAGCAAATGACTAGAAGTGGGCGCGTAACGCGCGCCCTTTTAGTTCTAGTTTTTAATAATAATTGCATTTTTCAAGAAATTTATTTAAAATTGTATATTAAAAATATTTGAAATTCTGCGATGAAAATAATTGAATTCGTAAATGAAATTTTATTATTTATGAAAATAATTGAATCTCTTCGTAGAATTGTATCAAAAAGTTTTTTCTATAATTAAATATGTTGATAAATTTTATGAAAATAGTAAATATTGAAAATTATTGAATTGCAAAAATCTTTTGAAAGTAATTGAACTTTTGCAAAGATTTTTATAAATTTTTGAAAATAATTGAATTTTTGGCGAAAAATTTTGCTATTTGTAAAGACAATTGAATTCTTGACGAGATATTCGTGAAAATTTTTAAAAATAATTGAATTTCTTCGAAGAATTTTATTAATTTGGAAAATAATTGAATTCTTGGGATGAATATTGTAATTTATGAAAATAATTGAATTTTACAAAGAATTCTATATACTAAAATTCTTAAAAATAATTCAAAAAATTTGTTATTCATCAAGATAATTGCGTTAAAACTTTTATAATAATGAAATAATATTAAAAAAACAACCAACTTCTAAACATAATTGAGACTTGACTTCACCAAAATACTAATCTTACAAATTTTATAAATTTCATGAAAAATTTCATCGATCATAAATTTGAAGATTTGAAACTTTCAAATCAAAAGTTTCCAATTGAAAGTTTCAACAGCACTTTGCTAAGTGTGAATTCATCATTAAGAGATAAAAGAAAAAATAGGGGAAATTTTCAAAATAGGGTACGTTTAGGGGACAAAATTGAAAAAAGGGGACTTTTAGGAAAATAGGGGACAGACTGTGAAGCCTTTGTCCTGTTCTTGGTTCTATGATTGGTCAAAATTTTATCTGCCTGTAATTATTTTTTTTTATGAAAAATTTTATTTTCATTTAAAGTGTATTATGCGTATTTGTTTTACTTACGTTCTGTCTGTACTCGACTTCCACTGCAGATACATCGGCAATCGACATAGATGAAGACATTCATTATCCCACATTGTTCGGACACCGATTAATGCAGAAGATGGCTGCAATTCATTTTCCTCCTCGCTATTCAGCCATATTTCCGGCAAGTGACTGGAAAGGTTAATTCTTTCGAAATACCAAATAAGATTCCAATAAACAATTGGATGTTCGAGAATGAATTTATTCTTCGTTAAACACGAATCTCCTTCTTGATCTAAAACATTCTCTAATTCTTTCCTCAAAACAAGGGGATTGAGGTACGGCACTGTTATTGGAGTCGTCAATTCTCGTGGCTTCTGCATTAATTCGACTAAAGCATCTGATAGTGGATCATTATTTTTCTCCGCTTCTTCACATCTACAATTGGAAACAAGTACCACTTGATAATTATAAAAACATTAAAACCATTCATGATAATTGTGAAACAATTCATTGGACACCTTGACGAGTCACTTAGTTATCAAGGTGTTCAGTGATCAGGGAAAACTCAGAAAAATGAAAGAGACAAAAATCTTCATAAAATATGGAAAAATTCCATTCAAATTCGGATAAAAGAGTAAAACAATAGAAGGCTTTGGGCTTTTTAGGCGAAATTCGTAGAATTTCGTAGAAAGTTCTCTACATCGAAAATATTGTCGAGGCGTGGAGACTACCGAAGGGTGGGGGGTTTACAGCGGTACGATTAATAAAAGTGTCAACAGCACGCGATTTGTCTTCACTTATCACAATCCAGTAGACTGATTGTTTCGCTTCGCCACGTCTAGTCTTTGAGTGTCGCCGACAGTCCAGAGGTAGAAATTTCAATCTCATTATTATTTTTTGAAATGTCTTTTCATTGTAATGTTAAAGGAGTGTTCTCAATCAGGGTTGCCACAAATATTTAATTTTATTTTTCCCTGACTTTTCCCTGATTTCCAGAAAAAAATTTCACTTTTTCCCTGACCCTAAAGAATATTCTGATTCACTCTAAAAATTATTAGATACTCAAAAAAAATATTCTATTACATTTATTTACGAATTTCTATCATTGTAAAATTATTCGAAAACATCCATAACTTCTTTCTTAAATAAATATTTAATCATTATTATTTTTCTGTAGGAATTAAAATTCTTCAAAATATTCAAATTTAAACCATTTTGAAATTCAACAACTTATAAGAATATTATTATATAAAACATGAAGAAGACGATCACTCCGGAGTGATCGTCTTCTTCATGTTTTGTAATAATTTAAATTGACATAAAATTTTTTAAAATAAGTTAATTATTTACAAAAATCCTAAAAAAATCCTTCGCAAGAATTCAATTATTTTTACAAGAAGTACAATTTCACAAAAAAATTCAATTTTTAAAAAAAAATGTAATAAAATTCGTTGCAATAATTCAATTATTTTTATAAATAATAATAAATCGATGATTCGTTTAATCATTTTTAAATCAACTTTTATTAGAAAATTCTAAAAAAATTCAATTATTTAAATTAAAAAATAAATAATTTATTCAATAATTAAATGTTTGTTAAAATTGAATTCTCATAAAGAATTTTATCAATAAAATTTTGAATAATTGAATTCGTTTGATAAATTTTAATAAAATTTTTAAGAATAATTACATTTATCGAGGAATTTGATTAAAATATTGTATAAAAAATAATTCATAAAAATAATAATTAAATAAATAATTAAAATTTTCATAAAATAATTGAATGTCGGAGAAAAATTTTATTATTTATATAAATAATTGAATTCTTACAACGAATTTTATTCAAGTTTATAAAAATAATTGAATTTCGGTGAAGAATTTTATTATTTATAAAAATAATTAAATTCTTAAAAAGAACTAGGGTAAATGCACTAGTAGTCGGACACTTAAGGATACGATCTTATATTATGCTTTTTTTCTTGAAATAGCAAATATCTACTGTGTTTATAAGCACATTATCAATTAAATGAGTTCTTCAGGATTAAAAATCATGTAAATTTGTTACAAATACTTGAGTATTTAATAAAATATAAACATTTTAATGAAAAATTACGAATGCTTTAGTAGTCGGACACTTTTTTTCCTTGTTTCTATAGTCGGACATCTGTCAGATATTTTGGATTTATAAAGTAAAACAGATCATTTTTTAATTGCTATCGGCTGGAAAATGGAATTAAACCATACTAGAAGTTATTAATATAATATTTAAATCGTATAAGTTTTAAAATTTATGATTAATTATCAGCAAAACTTTGTGCTACTCATTGCGCTACTCGAAAATGGTTGTATCTATAGTCGGACACCACGATTTTTAAAATATTAAATAAAATATTTATTGTTTAATTATTTTGTAAAATAACACTAATTTCATAAAATATAGACTTTACACATTCGTCCAGTATATTTTTTTAAGTAAATATCACAATGCATTATTATTTATTTGCCAAAAAACATGAAAGTGTCCGACTACTAGTACTGTCCGACTATACCCGCACTTACCCTATGTTAAATTTTTTTTAAATAATTAAATTCTTGCGACGAATTTTATAAAAATATTTTTAAATAATTGATAATTTTCGAAAAATTTTATAAATTTTTGTATTTTAACTAATTGAATTCCTGTGAAAATTTTATTACTTATGAAAATAATGGAATTATTTTAAAATGATTTATTAAAAATTGAATAATTGAATTCCTACGAAATTTTGACAATATTTCTTTGTTAATTTTTGAACATAATTGAATTTCTGCGAAGAATTTTATTATTTTAAAAATAATTTAATTCTTCCAACGAATTTTATTCAAGTTTATATAAATAATTGAATTCTTACAACGAATTTTATTCAAGTTTATAAAAGTAATTGAATTTCGGTGAAGAATTTTATTATTTATAAAAATAATTTAATTCATGAAAATATTTTATAAAAATCTTTTTATATAATTGATATTTTTCGAAAAATTTTATGAAATTTTGTATTTTAAATAATTTAATTCCTGTGGAATTTTGACAAGAATTTTATTAAATTTAACTGAAATTCTTCTATCAATCTAGTATTTATGAAAATTGTAGAAATTATTTATAAAATAATTTGTAAGTCATAATTTTATGATGGTTTTTGAAAAATTAAGTTATTTAAAAAGAAATTATTGTCAGAAATTGAAAAAATTGAAGGTTTTGTATTAAAATTCGAGGTAATTTCATAATTTACGAGGCAAAAAGGAAAAAAATTCAGAGTTTTCTCATGAATTTTAAAAATTCAATTTTTTCCAGTACTTTTAGTAAAAATCCCTGACTTTTCCCTGACCTGTGGCAACCCTGTCAATATTGCTGTAATATTACGTGCTACTAGGGTAGAAACAAGTTTAAACAGAACTTATTGAAAATTCATTTTTTCATCCACCGAAAACTTATCTTGCTTTTATTCTATTAATTTTCTATAATCTATTTTTGCTTGCAGCATATAATTTTTTCTATTTTTCCATTAAGCCAATTATTTATTTTACTCTAGCTCTAATTGTTTTTTATAACCCTTTTTTTTACTATTTGCGCCTCATATAATTTAGAGTGGCGATCTTTTATAATCATTGGCGAGGACGAAAGGACAGCGCGTGTGGGAATTTAGAAGAGGAAAATAGCGTCAAATAATTGACAGTCCTTAGCATCCGAAATCCGACACGTCCCGAGTTACTATGATCCTTCAGTCTCCAGACGATAAGTTTTTGTTTTATTACATAACGTTTTTATTTTACTATATTTTCTTTTTTGTAACCCTGATTCCTCATATCTATCACACCTCTTTTATTCTCCTCCTTCCCATTATTGCTAATTATTTTTTATGCAGTTCCCTTCTAACTTTTGATCCTTATCCCTTGTTACCGATTCTCTTCACATCTTGTCTTACTGATTATGTCACCTTATCAATTTCTTGATATATTTGTATCTAATTTTGTAATTTTTTTGAGTGATTAATATATCTATTTATCAGTATATAAATTGTGTGACTTATTCGATTTCTACATAAACCATTTGTGTCCCACTAGTCATCCATTTTTAAAGGTTTCTTGTATAATTACGTAAATTAATCTTTTAAAACAGTTAAATATTGTTGTCTTGGAGTAAAATTATTAGTTTGTATTAACAGATTCAGACAAATTGTTTTTAATAATTATTCCTGTTAAGGTTTGTGCCATGTTTTGAAAATTTGTAATTTTTAACAAGTTCATAATTTTTTTTAAACAATAGCAAATTTTAGATACTAGATCTAGATATTTTTAAAGCCCTTTATTTTCTGAAGAAAACGCATCAAATTTGAGTGAAAAATATTAATTTTGTTCATAGATATTGAGCTTTTTGTAAGTGGGACACTCGGTGGGACATATATGTCCCAGGGGCGTTAAAAGGTTAAAAAAAATCGAAAACGGTTCTGTAAATTCTTCCTTAATTAATATTAAATACCTGGAAACATTACCTGTAATCCAGTACAGTCACTGTGAGCAGCGGTACAGTTGCTTTATCGCAAAATTGACAAATAGTATTCAAATTCGAATCTTCTGGTTGCCAGCCAGCCATGATTTCTTCATCGTAAAGAATGGACGAGCAATTATGACATCTACTTGCACTGGAAAGAATAAGTTCAACTGCAAAACGATCTTCAGTGTCTTTTGGCAGTTTTGGATATAAACATTCTGCCAACTCGTAAAGAGAGTTCAATTCAACACTTGCGTCACCTGTGTAAAAACAAAGGATGAAAATACGTTAACTTCAATGAATCTTAATTCATTGAATGAATTTTAATTCATGAATTAATTAATAATTAATTCATTGAAGTATTCATACAATTATTACAATTTTACTCACCAGACATTCTTGTAAATAATTCATTTCGATCTTGCTGAGAACCATCTGTAAGTGAGTCTAGAGATTCATGTGACACTTCGAAACCCATTCTTTGGTCACGCTCTTTTAGCTTCACTGGAGTGCTATTAGCCGAAATAGCTTCTTTTATTTCATCAAACTTTTTCACCACAGTTGTGGCGGCTGATTTTAGACTATTCAAGCCACCTTGAATTATTTCATTCGATTTCTTTCCAGTTAAACTTGAGGAACTGTAATACAAACAAATTACACTGACAACTAATATAAGTATGTAGGAGATAAACTCCGTTTTTAGGATTTCGTGAATTCCAGTGTAAGTTGATTTTTCGGTGAAAGGAATTAAAAACATTTAAAAAACTTACCCAAAACTGAGTTTCAAACTTGAACCTATACTGGACAGACTAGATGTTACACTGTCTTTATTTTGAATCCAAAGATTTCCGAGTTCTGCCCTCTCCTTTTCTCTCTCTTGATCCCCTTGCAAAGTAACAGAATGAGGCATCGTTTCACTTCTCTGTAAATGACCACCAATTGTTAAGTCATCTTCTGCAGCCTGATGGAAAGTAGCACTTCGTGGCAGGATATGACTAAAAGAATATTACATCGCAAAGTTACTGGTAGGAAAAAATCCAGCCTTATCGTCGGTGTTCCAATTTTGAATCTTACTCTCGACAGATTAAATTTTAATAAAGTCATTTTTCGTAATCATACAGAATAAGTAATATATTTGTTTGAAAATGGGAAACTTTACCTTCTGAATAAAACGGGACCACCTGGTCGGTCTTCGATTGTACTATTTAAAACCGTCAATGTGCTTGAAGAACAGTTGGAGTCATTTTCATCACAAGGTGATACAATCGGAGTATCGTCGTTTATTAATGCCCCCAATGGATCGTTTTCCGTGACGGGTGTTCGAATAGGACTTTTCAAAGGTGATTCTACATTACGTTTAATTCTGCAAAAAATAATAATGTGTAATAACCTTTCTTCACTGGAGAAAAGGTTGAATATTTGGTCATCGAAAAGTCTACTCGTAATTAAAAAATTTGTCAATAGTTTTATTAAAGTCTTAGATTCTCGTATGCCCTATAATAATGCTTGACTGTTTCTTTTTTTTTGAAGCGTCTTCTTTTTCTTATTTTATACTGCGCAACTCCCTTGTAATCACATTGATATGTGTTGTAAACAAGTGAAATAAATTAATAATTTTACAGACTATTTCTGTATAAACTTACCTGCAATTATTAGAACTATGATCGAACATCTCGCTTTGCATAGCACTTATCATTGAATCTTTTACAATACTACTTTGACGAGGGAGCTTCGTTTTCATTTCGTTTAGACTGAAACCGGAAAGGTCTGGTACTGAACTACCCTTCAGTGCTGTTATTAAAAAGAAAAACATCAATTGACATTAATAATAATTGAGCGAAAATACTTAAATATTCGTAAATATTAATTATTGGCAATAGCTTTCAATTGAAAATGAAAGTAAGAGTTTAAATATTTTTATATATGATTTTATATCTGAGGATAAGTTTATTAAAAGTACTTACAAATACCATGTATTCCTTCAGTGTCTTGCGAGTGAGTACTGTCAAGACTGGACCTTGAAATAGCATGTGCCATACTTAGAGATTTATCATCGGACGAAATAATATCGCTACTAGAACATAGCCTTTTCCTGGCACTTCTGATTCCCGCTTTCTTAAATAATGCAGCGCCGACTATCACATTGCGTAATTTATTCCACATTAACTGACTCGAATTCGTCATATCAGAAGGCCAAGTAGCTTCTAACACAGCCTGAAAAACATTTTTTTATGTTATAATATTTATACTTTTGTAATGCAGAATATTCAAATTAAAATAATTAAAGCCATACCTTGTTATAAAATCCGTATGTTAATGCATTTGGTTGAACTCCACTTCGCTTCATATGAAATAATAATTTTACTGCTAACACTGGTTGGCCGTATAAACCGCATAATTGCATCATCACTCGATAGCAAACCTGCAATTCAAAATAACAGAATGAAAATATAAAGAATTAAAGACTAAAACAAATTGTAACTTTATAGTTTAAAGATATACAATAAGCATAATATTACCTCTTCCATTGGATCCAAGCGCAGTTTTTGCATTTTAACAAGTAATTCGTATCCCTGATGCAAAACAGCTGCAGGTTGACTTGAAGTTAGCAACATAGCTGGTAAGTGTAAAAACCACAAACTATAACAGGTGCCAAGTAAGCATTTGCTCCATCGATCTGGTAGAGCCGCCTAAAAAAATTATTTCCAATACCACTTTATTAGTAGGAATTAAAAAACCTACATTTTTTTATTATTAATTTCTCTATTAACAGGGTGTCTACTGAAAATATGACTTAAAATTCCAGGACATTCCAGGACAGATTTCTTATTTTTCCAGGACATTTATATGTGTAACAGGGTTGCCACAAGTCAAGGAAGTCAAGGAATTCAGGAAAAAGTCAGGGATTTTTACTAAAAGTACTGGAAAAAATTTAATTTTTAGAATTTATAGGAAAATTCTGAATTTTGTTGTCTTTTTTGTTTGCCATATAAACTATGAAATTGCAAAAAATTTTAATAAAAACCCTTCAATTTTTTCTATTTTTGACAATAATTTCTTTTTAAATAACTTTTAAATAACTTCGCATAAATTCAATTATGTTCAAAAAATTTTTTTAATTCTCGACAAAATTTCAATTATCTTTATAAATAATAAAATTCTTCTCAAAAATTCAATTATTTTCAAAAAATTTAATAAAATTCTTGGCAAAATTTCAATTATTTTTAAAAAATTTTCCTCATTTCAATTATTTTTGATATCTACTACTTTAATAAAATTTTCCAAAAGAATTCTATTATTTAAACAAAATTTTAATAAAAATTTAACAGATATTCACTTACTTATCAAACTCTTTGCATCAATTCAATTATTTAAAATTTTTTAATGAAGTTTCTCGAAAGAATTCAAATATATAATGAAAATTGAAAAAAATAGTCTAAAAAATTCAATTATTTCAAAAAATTTAAATAAAATTCTTTTAATAATTCTATTAATTAAAAAAATGTTGACAAAATTCTTTGCAAGATTTAGTTAATTAAATTGCAATTTTAATAAAATTTTCCTATACAATTCAATTGTTTTCAATACATTTCTCCTTAAAGAATTAAATTATCTTCACAAATAATACATTTTTTATGGGAATTCAATTATTTTAAAGAATTTGAATAAAATTCTTCGCTAGAAATCAATTATTTTCTTTCTTGAGAATTTAATTATTTTTAAAAATTTTGATAAAATGCTTTATAAATTTGAAAAATTATAATAAAATCGGTCATAGAATACAATTATTTTCGTAAAAAACATCATTTTTTCTAGAAATACAATTATTGTCAAAATTTTTTGTAAAACTCTTCGAAACAATTCAATTATTATCGTAAAAAATAAAATTCTTCTAAGCAATTCAATTTATTTAAGAAATTTTAATAAAATTCTTCCCAAGAATTTAATTTTTTTTCAAAAATAAACATTTTCACAGGAATTTAATTATTAAAAAAATTTTTTTTTAAATTCTTTGTCAGATTTCCATTATTTTAAATTTTTTTAATGAAATTTCTAGATGGAATTTAATTATTTTTAAAAAGTTTTTAAAAATTCTGAAAAATTCAATTATTTAAAAAAATTTGAATAAAATTCTTCACAAGAAATTAATTATTTTCATAAATAATAATATTTTTCTCTGGAATTCAATTATTTTCATAGATAATAATATTTTTCTCTGGAATTCAATTATTTTTACAAATATTAAATTCTTCACAGAAATTCAATTCTTTAAAAAGATTTTTAATAAAATTTGTTGCAAGAATTCAATTATTTTCATAAAAATAACAAAACTTATCGCAGAATTTCAATTATTTTTATAAAATTTTTAATAAAATGATAGAAAATTGCATTTATTCTCACAATTTTTTTTTAAATTCGCCGAAAGAATTCAATTATTATTAAAACTTTTGATAAAATTCTTCATAAAAATTCAATTTTAAAAAATATGCAATTACTAAATAAATTATTTATTTTTATATTTAAATAATTGAATTCTCGGGAAATTTTCTAATAAAAATTGATTAAAAAATTAATTTTAGTTAAACTTTTAGATAATAATAATTGAATAGTAATAGCATTAAAGCTTAATTTTTTTTAGAAATAATTGAATTTTGAAAAGGGTTAAAATTTAAATCTTTGAAAATTGGAATTTATAGTTACAATATTCTTATGAAATAAAATAATGATTTTATTACTTTGTCATCTTAAATTTATAATAAAACATGAGGAAATCGATCACTTTGAGTCTTTGATTTCCTCATGTTTTATTGTAATATTCTCATAAGTTATTGAATTTGAGAATCTTAATTCCTATAGAAAAATAATAATGATTAAATATTTATTTAAAAAAGAAGTTATTAATGTTCTTCAGGATCAGGGAAAAAGTGAACATTTTGTCTCGAAATCAGGGAAAAACAAAATTAAAATTTTGTGGCAAACCTGTGTAATATGGATGGATCATTATTTTTTAAAATTTGAGTAAAATTTTAAAATTATTGAATATAGAAAAGCAAAATATGGAAAATTCAAGGACAAAAGTTAAAAATCCAGGACATTTCCAGGAATTCCAGGACTTCAAGGACCAGTAGACACCTTAATAATTTATTAAGGTTGTAAGATTCTAAGAATTAATGAAAGTGAAAGTTAAATAATAATTGTCCGATTTTAAAAATTCAATATGGCGGAAAACTTTTTGTAATATTTTATGGATTAAGTACCAAAAGTATGATTTTTTTAAATCAATTTCTAAAACAGTTTTACAATTAAAAATCTACTTGACACCTGTCTAAAAAATTAAATATTTGTCTGGAAATTAATAAACACTAAAAAGAAAAATTTTGCATGAAACATTACCTGCTTTCTGGCCATCTTTTGGGCAATTTTAATTTCATGTTTTGTTCTGCGAGCCATCGGACTGCCAGGCACAATTGTAAAATCACTGAAAACTGGATTTTTCAAATTGACATGTTTTTGGGGTTTCATTAAATCAGGATTTAATTTAAATGTATCATAAATTATCTGCTGTACATTTGTTGCAGCTTCTGGAGGTGGAATAAAAACAGTGCGTTCACTGTGTTGAGATTCATCTAATTCCAAAAGCATCACTGAAATTAAAAAGAAAACATTTGAACTAACAAATAAATTCTATATAAATTCTATCTCACGTGAAAAAAAAGCAGTCAAATTTTTTGTTATCCTACCGTTCTCCTCGTCAACGCGTTCAGTGCACTCATCAAAAAACGCTAAACCAGCCATATCCATGTCAGAAACAAAACTCCTTTCTTCAATGAATCTGCATTAAATGAATAATAATGATTAAAAATTTGAGTACTGTGACAAATTGGTAAAAAATAGAAGATTCTTATTACCTGATAAACATTTGGGTTCTTACGAGCATACTGTAAAACTTGGCATGAGCTTTGTCTCGACTTCTTAAGAAAGCTTGCATGTTAAATAAACTCGTAGGATCTGTGGACCCAACAGTTGGTGCTTTCGTAATTGGTAACAAAAATGAACGATAACCCTTTAATATCATTGCCATGAATCTTAAAAAAGCGTCTTGTATCTCAAGTTCTAGAACTTGTTCCTTTCGTTTTTGTTGGAACTCTTTATCCACACTGAAATCTTCATCGCCTTTATCTAATAGAATTAATATTTGGGATTATTTAAATATCACAATAAATCACTTTAATTCTTGGAGCTCAGTTCAAAAAACGCTCTCATAATTACTCTCTTTTTGGAATATTAAAATACTTATTGTAAAAGTATATTCTCGGTGAATCGACTAAATTATTTGTTTTTAATATAAAATTGGTAGTTTCTTGACGAAATTGTTAACTATAATAATCTAATAATTCTGTCTTTCATTCATTTATTCTATCTGCAATTGGAAATTAGTTTATGTGTATGCTTGTTTTTTTTTCTTTAAAAAATATTGTTTGACAAAATATGAAATATTTTCCCGTTTCTTAATATTTTTGTATTTTGCATCATTTCAATTTCTCAGTTACAATTGTTTTAATAAAATTCAAAGTTTTTAAAAATAAAGAAAAAAATTTTACTCAACAAAATATTCTATTACATTTATTTACAAATTTACAAATTTCTATGTAATTGTAAAATTATTCGAAAAAACATCTTTTTTAAATAAATATATTTAATTCTTATTATTTTACGTAGGAATTAGGATTTTAAAAAATTTTAAATTCAAACCTTTTTTAAACTAAACAACTTATAATAATTTAAGATGACCGAGTGATAAAATTATTATTTCATATTATAAAAATATTGTTACTGTAACTTTATCAAAATCATTTTCATCATTTCCAATTCAATTATTATTTTCTAAAATTTTTAACTAAAATTCTTCTCTAAATCAATTATTTTTATTAATTTTTGAAAAAGTTCTTTGAAAATTTTAAAATCGATTTTTTTACAATCCAATTTCTCGAAATTTTCATTATTCGTAAATTCTTCAATTAAATATAGATACATTAGAAAATAAAAACTTTAGATAATTAAAAGAAAAAGTTAAATTATACTTTTTCAAAATAATTAATTGTACAGAATTGTTAGTTACAAGTATGAAAAAATCATATTTTCTAAGATTTTAATTTAAAATCTTTTCAAAATTCAATTATTTTAAAAAATTCAGGCATTTTAAAAAATTCAAGCTTTAATTCTTTTAAAATCCAATTATTATCCAAAATTTTATCTAAAATTAATTTTTAAATAAATTTTTATTAGAAAATTCTACAAGAATTATATTATTTAAGTACAAAAATAAATAATTTATTGAATAATTGAATGTTTCTTAAAATTTAATTCTTATACAGAATTTTGTCAGCAAATTTTTAACTAATTTAATTCTCTTGACAAATTTTAATAAAATTTTTAAGAATTTTTAAGAATAATTACATTTTTGAGGAATTCGATAAAAATTGTTTAAAAAGTAATTGAATTCATAAAAAGAATGTTATTATTTATGAAAGTAATTGAATCCCTGTAAAAAAATTTATTACTTTTGAAAATAATTGAATTATTGCGAAAAAATTTGTAAACAATTGAATTATTGCTAAGAAATTTATAAAAAATTTATAAATAATTGAATTCTTGCAGAATTTTGAGTATTTATGAAAATAATCAAATGCTTGCATAGAATTTTAACAACATTTTTTTGAAATAATTCAATTCTTTTGGAAAATTTTATTAAAATAGTAGATATTGAAAATTATTGAATTTAGGAAAAATTTTGAAAATAATTGAATTTTGTGATAAGAATTTTATTACTTTTGAAAATAATTGAATTTCTGCAATCATTTGTAAATTCTTCAAAATTCGATTTTTTTAGCGTTTTTAATTAAAATTCTTCTATAAATACATTATTATTTTTAATAATTAATTAAATATATATTAAAAACTTGAACTAATTTCAAAAGAATTTCAATTATTAAAATTTGTCAAAAATCTAAGTTCTTTAAAATTTCGAATAAAGTTTATTAAAAATTGGAATTTTTATTAAATTTAAAATTAAAACCTTTTAAAGTTCTTCTATTTAGGAAAATTGTAAAGGCAACTCTTTTAAAATTCAATTAATTTTAAAATATTTAAGAAAAATTTATTCATTAAATAATTTCTAAGTAATGATTTTATGATTGTTCTTCAAGAATTAAGTTATTTGAAAAGAAATAACTGTCAGAAATATAAAAATTTGAAGCTTTTGAATTAGAATTCGTGGTAATTCCACAGTTCATGAGGCAAACAAAAAAGAGACCAAAATTAAGAATTTTCTTATGAATTCTAAAAATTTTATTTTTTTTCAATACTTTTAATGAAAATTCATAAATGTTCCCTGAATTCCCTGTCTTCGAATATATGATTATTATAGTTATAATAATATTAAAACACACAAATTTTTAAATTCTGTTAATTTTAAAATTGGTCATTACTACGAAAAAACGGACATTTTTGTTCGTGCGTCATGTCATTAAAAATATTATATCTTTGATACATTATGCTGTAAAATTGAAATTGGACATTTTCTTATATTTCTTAATGCATCATAATTAAAAAGAAATTTACTTCAATAATAATTAGAAAAAAGATACAGCCTATTTAATCATAGTTTGTTTTGAACATAGCTTCAAAAATGAAAATTAAAGGTAAATTAAATACACTTCTACCTTAAATTTACTTACCTCTATGTGAATAGTTTTTCCCAAGAGAAATCAGCTTTGAATACAAAAGTTCCAATAGGCTTCTAAGCATTCTTGCTCCTTTTTTAGGTAACAGTTTAATACTTAAATATTTTTTGTCATCACAAACAGCTATATTATTGGTGTCCAAATTAACACAGTTGACATCATTGGGCGGATCGTATAAATCAAAAAATCGAGAATCTACACCAATGAGGAATGGCAATGGAGCATGTAAAACCTGTACAAAAATGACATCATTAATTTAACATCATGGGCAAAAAAGGCAAATAAAAGGCAAATAAATAAAATGATGCTACTTACTTCAGCTAAACCTAAAGGGCACAGCGGTATATATGGACATTGCCACTTGAATGGAAATAATATCATGGCAATTGCTTCACTCACAGATGTAAGTACATCTGGTCTCAATGAATGAACTAGAATTTTTTGTTCTGTCAATATTAAAAGTAAAATCAGCATGCAATTGTCAGGACCTAAATTCATTAACAATTGTCTAAAACTTGCACCAGACCTTGGCAAAGCTAAGTCCTCTGGTTGGGTTAAAATTAAACGATCCTGACTACTTAACTGTACAAGTATTCTTGGCCTCTGAGCACTGGGAAAAGGTATGTCACACAAAAAGTATGATATGTACTTTTCTATATGAATATTCTGTGGTTTGCCATCAACCATACTATGTAAAAAAACTAAAAACTTCTCAAAAGTATCAAAAAATGGCCAATGAGATAAAATACAAATGGATTTACTCAAATTTAACGACTGTGTATCAGGATCAACATATTGCAATTTTTCCATTTGACTTGCGTTCAATTTCTTAAGAATACCAAATTTCTTAATAACTTTCAATTGACTTTGTGATTTATTTGATACATCTAAAGTTTCATCTGCGAAAAAGTATAACAATTACACATTAACTGACAATAATAATAATAATAACAGACTTCGCACTCGATAATTAATTTTAAAAAGTAGCTTTCAAACTAAAAAAAAGTAGTAAAAACGTAGCTATCGAAAATTAAACTCAATGACAAAAAAAAAAACTCATTTTAGACACTTCACAAAACTGACAAAAATTTCATTCTATATTTTATTTTCCTGACTTTTTTCTAATTTTCATCAAAAATATTTACTTCCTTCTTATCCTGCTAATAAATTCAATTCCTGCGACGAATTTTATTATTCATGAAAGAATTTAAATATTTATAATAATAATAATTTAATTCTTGCGAAGAATTTTATAAAAATTTTTAAATAATTGATTTTTTTCGATTTATTTTTAAACAAAAATTTAAATAATTAAATTCCTGGGAAATTTTTATTATTCATGAAAACAATTGACTTCTTACGAAGATTGTTACAAATTTTTTTTTAAATAATTGAATTTCTAAAAAGCATTTTATTATTTATTAAAATAATTGAATTCTTGCGAAAGATTTTATTAGAATTTTCGAAAATAATTGTATTCTTGTGATGAATACTGTTATTTATGGTCATAATTGAATTATTTGAAAAATTATTTAAATAAATAATTCAATTCTTGAGAAGAATTATATTAAAATCTAAAAGAATTTCTTTCGAACAATTTTAATAAAATATTTGAAAATAATTGAATTCCTGTAAAAAATTCTTTTTTTTTTTAGGAATTCCATTAAAATTGATATCATGAAATTAAAATTATATCAAAAATAATTAAATTTCTCAGAAAAGTTTCATTACTTTTAAAAATAATTGAATTTCTAAAAATAATTTTATTATTTATGAAAATAATTGAATTCTTAACAAGAATTTTATTAACATTTTTTTAAATAATTGAATTCTTTTGGAATTTGGAAAAATTTTTTGCAAAAAAAACAATCAATTGAGGAAAACTTCTTGAAAATAATTTAAATTTTGCGAAGAACTTTAATAAAAAAAATAAAAATTGAAAATTTCTAAAGATAATTGGAATTTCTACTAGATGTTTTAAAAATTTTCAAAAATAATTCAATTTCTAAGAAGAATTTTGAAATGCTTCCAAAGAATTTAAAAAAAAACATTTCTTTAAATAATTGATTTTTTGAGGAATTGAAATTAAATTTTTTAGAATAATTACTTTTTCGTATCAATTCCTGTAAAATTGTATTAAGAATAATTGAAATTCTGCGGTGAATTTTATTATTTATGAAAATAATTGAATAGTTGCTAAGAATTTTATTAAAATTTTCAAAAATAATTGAATTCCTGAGAATAAATTTTTCACGTTTAAAAATAATTGAATTCTTGTGATGAATATTGTTATCTATGAAAATAATTGAATTTTACATAATTGACTTCTTTCAAAGAATTATTTGTGTAAATAATTGAATTCTGGGTTTTTTTAAAATCCAAAAGAATAATTGAATTATTTCAAAAACATTTAAGTAATATTGTATTTAAAATAATTGATTTCTTTCGAACAATTTTATTAAAATATTTGAAAATAAATGAATTCCTGTGAAAAATTCTAAAATTTTTGTAAATAATTTAATTCTTCTAAAGAATTAAAAAAAAACCTTTTTTTTAATAATTGATTTCTTTCGACTTATTTTTAATCAAATTCTAATTTAAATAATTGAATTAATAGGAAATTTTTATTATTCATGAAAAGAATTGAATTATTGCGTACGATTTTGTTAGAATTTTTTAAAATAATGGAATTTCCAAAAAAAAATTTATTACTTTTAAAAGTAATAGAATTTTTATAAATAATTGAATTTCTGAGAAGAATTTTATTATTTATGAAAATAATTGAATTATTGCGAGAAATTTTATTAAAATATTAATAAGAATTGAATTTCTTTAAAAAACTTTTGGTATTTTTATAAATAATTGAATTCTTTATAAAAGTTGTATAAACATTGTTTTAAATAATTAATTGTTTCGAAATATAATAAATATTATGGAATTTTTATTTTGAATAATTGAATTCTTCTGGAAAACTTTATTTATGAAAATAATTGAATTTTTCGATTAATTAATTAAAAATAGTATTAAAAATAATTGAAATTCTTTTATGAGTTTTATTATTTATGAAAGTAATTGAATTCTTGCTTAGAATTGTATAAAAATTTTGTTTAATAATTGATTTTTTCGAAATTTTTTTGAAAATGCTATTCGAAATTAATTGAATTCCTGTGGAAATTTTTTTATTTGTGAAAATAATTGAATTTTGGATGAATTTTATCAATTTTTCTTTTGCGAAATTTTATGAAAATACTAGATATTGGAAATAATTGAATTTTGAATATTTTTTGAAAATAATTGAATCGTTTTAAAGAATTTGATTATAATTTTTGAGAGTAGTTTTTTGATTTCTAGTTGTTGAAATGCAACAATAATATATATACTAACACAAATACACCACACGGAGCTCGGATCTACCTGAGTGTTTATTGCACTCCCTGACGTCACCAAAATCTGAGGACCCGGAAGGAACCGAAGGATGCACGGTCTGTTAGTCTGTTGCAAAGCCTTTTACAGTAAAGACATTGATACACTTTCACAAACAAATCATTACACAGTTAAAGTTAAATAAAGAATATTGTTACTTTTCTTTCATACACTAGCCACAAACAATTGTATTATCAATGGAACATTAAAATTGAATTCTTTCATTAAAACTTGTTTCTTAATGAAGTGTTGATTCCCAACAGGTTATGGGCCCAGAGCCTAGTGTACAAAGTGAAAAGTAAAAAACAGTAAAACAGAAACTTGTGAGTTTAGGAATTGGAATAGCTTACATGTGTATGTGATCTGTTAACAGCGTACAGTGCAACCCTACAGTGCAACCCCCCTTTTATTAAAGTGCTGAAGAAAATGGATTTCCTTCGATCAAGTGTACAAAAGTTGGACGGAGAAAATTACTCTATATGGAGCCAAAAATTAGAGTTGTTATTGATAAGAGAAGAACTGTGGGAAGTAATTAAGGATACAGCCCCAAATCCTGTGACCTTAACGTGGACAAAAAAGGACGACAAAGCACGTGCGACAATTGGTCTTCTCATTGAAGACAATCAACTATTGCACATCAAAGGTACGAAGACTGCACGAGAGGCATGGGACATGCTAAAAGAACACCACCAAAAGGCAACGTTATCTAATACAATTTTTCTATACAAAAGGATTTTTAGACATCAGCTTGCAGAAGGTGGAGATGTAGAGACACACGTATCGGAAATGTTGATATTGGTAGATAAACTAGCAGCTCTAGGTGAAGAATTAAAGGATAAGTTAAAAGCTTCACTTTTGCTGAACAGTTTACCAGACTCATTCAGTAATTTAACCACTAGTTTAGAATGTAGGAACGAGACTGATTTTACTTTTGAATTCGTAAAAGGAAGAGTAATTGACGAATACAGAAGGCGTAAAGAAAGCCAAGGAGCAGAAGTTACAGATTCTGATTCTGCAATGAAAGCTAACTTCAAAAATCAGTCCAGAAAGGAATGTTATTTTTGCGAAAAACCGGGACATTTCAAAAAGGAGTGTTTTCAATATAAAAGATGGAAAGCAGGAAAGGAAGCACAAGGTAAAGCCAACACAGTGACTGCGAAACAGGAAATAGAAGATGAATTTCTATTCATAGCTAAAATAGAGGAAACATCATTTAAAGAATCATGTTTAGGTGTCAATGAAAAAAGTAAGCATGTTTTTTGGTATGTGGACTCAGGAGCAACAAGTCATATGTGCAGTTCTAAGGAATTTTTTACAGAATTTAACTCGGAAGCTAAAGGATTTGTACAGTTGGCGGACAGCAGTAAAAAAAGTGAAGTAAAAGGTATAGGCTCAGGAATGTTAAACTGCATCGTTGACAATAAGGTTATTAAAGTGAAAGTGCGGGACGTGCTCTATGTTCCATCGTTTGGATCAAATTTACTTTCAGTGAAAAAACTGAACAAAGAAGGTTTTGAAGTGAATTTCAAGGACAGTGACTGTAAAATTGTAAAAAGTGGAAAAGTGATTGCTTGTGCGCGTTTAGGAAAAAGCAAGGAAGATTTATATTCGTTGGAAACGGTTGTTGAGAAGGCCCATACAGTAATAAACGCGGTACATGGAGACAATTGTCAACATGCCTGGCACAGACGTTTTGGGCATAGGGATCCAAGTGCAATTATGGACCTCGCAGTAAAGGGATTAGCCACAGGAATAACCATAAACAACTGTGGAAGGAAAGAAATCTGTGAATGCTGCATAAAAGGAAAAATGGCCAGACAACCTTTTCAAAAGGAAAACATAATTAAGACGAAAGAAATTCTCGAACTCATTCACACAGATGTTTGCGGACCAATGCAAACATTAACCCCATCTAATAAAAGATATGTAATGACAATTATAGACGACTACTCAAGGTTTAGTTTTGTATATTTCTTAAAAACTAAGGATGAGGTAACAACTTGTATTAAACAATTTCTTGAACTGGTGAAAACACAAAACAACAGAATTCCTAAGTGCATAAGGTCGGATCGAGGAAAGGAATATGTGAACGCAGACCTACAAAACTATTTGACAAATCAAGGAATAAAAATACAGTATACTGTCCCATATACTCCACAGCAGAACGGAGTTGCCGAACGAAAAAACCGTTCACTAATGGAAATGGCAAGATGTATGTTACTGGACAGCAATTTAGAGAAAAAGTATTGGGCCGAAGCTGTAAGCACAGCAAATTTTTTACAGAATCGCCTCCCCACAAGAGCAACAGAGAAAACTCCGTATGAATTATGGTACTCCCAGAAACCTAATGTAAAAAATTTGCATGTTTTCGGTTGCGATGCATACATCCAAGTGCCCAAAGAACAAAGAAGAAAGTTGGATGATAAAGCAGAAAAATTAACCTTTATCGGATATTCAGAAGAGTCAAAAGGTTTTAGATTTCTACAAAAAGGAACTAATCGAGTAAAAATAAGTCGCGATGTGATTTTTCTTGACAAGATAGATGCAATAAAAGGCACACACCCAACGGAAATTGTATTACCATCAAGCATTAATGAAATCAACGAGGAAACAGAAGAAATGTGGGAAACATCAACAGAAACCAGCAATGAAGAATTAGAAGAAGATAAAAACAATCAAGAAAAATCCGATGAAATCAAAACGAGACAATCGGGAAGGATAAATAAAGGTGTACCACCAAATTGGTATACGGCTACGTCAAAACTCACTATTTTAAAAGAAGATCCTAAAACATTGAAGGAAGCATTGACAAGTGACGATAAAGAAGAATGGAAAGGGGCAATGGACGAGGAAATAAACGCGTTAAAAAGAAACGATACCTGGGACATCGTACCTGCGCCGAAAGATGCAAATATTGTTTCCTGCAAGTGGGTTTTTAAAACTAAACAAAGTGCGGAGGGAAAAATTGAACGATACAAAGCAAGACTCGTTGCTCGAGGTTTTTCCCAAAAATTCGGAACTGACTACGATGAAGTTTTTGCTCCTGTAGTAAGACAAACAACCCTAAAAATACTGCTAGCCCTAGCAGGTAAGAAAAATTTAACAGTAAAGCATTTTGACGCAAAAACAGCTTTCCTGAATGGAAATTTAAATGAAGTTATCTACATGCAGCAACCAGAAGGATATGAAAAAACAGGACAGCAAAATTTGGTTTGCAAACTAAAAAAGGGACTTTACGGTTTGAAACAATCAGCAAAGATATGGAACGAAAAATTAAATAGCACTTTGAATACTTGCAATTTTTCACAAGGCAAAGCGGATCCATGCTTATATACAAAAATTATTGAAAATGAAATCATTTACATTGTTGTACACGTAGATGATTTTCTAATTGTTTCAAAAAACATAAATAAAATAGATGAAACAGCAAATTTTTTAAAAACCAATTTTGAATTAATCGATCTAGGTCTTTTAAAAAAATACCTGGGAATTGAAATAAGAAAGAACAGTGAGGGATTTTTCTGCATGAAACAAACAAACTACATTGACAACATTATAAGAAGATTTGGACTAGAGGATGCAAAACCATCAGGTATACCTTTGGATACAGGGTATTTAAAAGCTAGAGAAAATCAACCTTCAATGGATACAAGTGAAAAATACCAGCAACTCATCGGAGCATTATTGTACGTGGCAATAAACACAAGACCCGACATTGCTGCAAGTGTGACAATTCTCAGTCAATACAACAAGGAACCTTTATCATCGGATTGGACGGAACTAAAGAGGGTTGTTCGCTACCTGAAAGGAACAAAGAACTACGAATTAATATTGGGTGGACTTGACGGAGAAAGAAAGATCACTGGTTACGCCGATGCAGATTGGGCGGAAAATCCCAGTGACAGAAAATCTAACAGCGGTTACATTTTTGAATTTTTTAATGCTACAATCAGCTGGGGATGTCGGAAACAAACATGTGTCGCGCTGTCCTCAACTGAGGCCGAATACATCGCTTTAACAGAAGCATGTCAGGAAGCACTTTGGATCAAAAAATTAGTGCAAGATTTTTTGTTAACAAAACCTACACTACTAATTTACGAAGACAATCAAAGTTGTTTAAAGATGATTCAAGACAAGAAGTTCAGTAACAGAACGAAACATATTGATACAAAATTCCATTTCATCAAGGATTTGAGAAGCAAGGAGGAGATTCTTTTTGAATACTGCTGCACAGAAGAGATGAAAGCCGATATGCTTACAAAACCACTAAACAGAATTCGACTACAACTATTATCACAGAAGTGCGGTTTAAAATCTCAATAATTTGTATACATATTATCGTTGAGGAAAGGTGTTGAAATGCAACAATAATATATATACTAACACAAATACACCACACGGAGCTCGGATCTACCTGAGTGTTTATTGCACTCCCTGACGTCACCAAAATCTGAGGACCCGGAAGGAACCGAAGGATGCACGGTCTGTTAGTCTGTTGCAAAGCCTTTTACAGTAAAGACATTGATACACTTTCACAAACAAATCATTACACAGTTAAAGTTAAATAAAGAATATTGTTACTTTTCTTTCATACACTAGCCACAAACAATTGTATTATCAATGGAACATTAAAATTGAATTCTTTCATTAAAACTTGTTTCTTAATGAAGTGTTGATTCCCAACACTAGTATTAGCGAATTTAAAGTAGTGGAAATTCTAAAAAAACTGAAGTAGTAGCTTTTAGTGGCTGAAATCTAAAAAGTACCCAAATAGTAGCATAACGTAAAAAAGTAGTAAATAGTAGGTTTTAGTAGATGAGTGCGAAGCCTGCAATAATAATCATGAAATAAATTTAAAATCATGAAATACCAATATTGTGGTTATCATTCGATGTTTCCCAATTTTCCGGCTGAACATTCTCCTTTGGAATGTACAAATCGGGCACAATTTCTTCATAGAATGTAATGGCGGAGCCATATATTTTTTGGGCAGCATCGGCTACTGTTAATACAAATGTAGAAAAAACTGGTTTTGGTTTACAGGCAATTTTCGGCCAGCATTCAATAGTAGCACCCATTGGTAGGCAAAACATTGCGACAGAGTTTGGAAATACGAAATTATTGTAATCCAATATTGGATACTTATAGAGTATTGTTGGTTTTAGAGATATCAAATTTTCACGATTCATTGACTTTTTGTAACACAAGAAAACATCGCTGCCCAACATGCCTTTATTTAAATTTTTATTAATTATGCAAAAGGCGTGCGGCGGCGTCTCTCCTTTATTGGCCAAAATCATACATATGTCCGTAACGACCAATGAATTACAAGGCATTCTACGGCTGGCTCGTCTGTAAGTGACAAAAATTCTCGACGTTGAATTATTAACATTTGCCACATGTCCCGTTGGCGTCTCCTTTACAATTTCAGCGTCTTTCATTATTCGCTCTTTTCCATCGTATATTACACCTGAACAAAATTCATTGAAACAAACTTAGACACTTTGAATTACAAATTAAAAAATGTAAACTTTTTTTTTGAATGAAATTAAGGCTCTGGATCTTAAAAGGGCACTTGTAGCATTGATTTAAATGGTGAATGTGTCCTTTTAAGATCCGGAGCTTCAATTATGATTTTAAGGCCCTGAGTTGAATTTTTGCTTAAAATTATAAAAAGAAGAGTGTTAATTAAAATATTTTACCTATATCGACCAATGGTGGTTTATCTCTCCCCCTTCTGTAGCATAAGTAACATTCGTTAGCTCGCAAGCTTCCATGGTTTAAGTCTGCGGGAAATCCAGTGACTGTATTATTAAGTAAGCAGTAGCCTTCAGGACAGCTTTCACCGAGGGTTGGAAATATAACAGCCAAATCTGTTATAGGTGGCGGAACATGAATGTCCTTTAGATGTGTACCTTCCTGGCACCAATCTTCCAGATTGTTTGAAACATCGTTTTCTTCATAAATATCATTATCTTGATCAGGTAAGCCAGCAACTACAAAGTAGTCTGCCACTCTTCTCTCCTCCATCGTAAATTTTGGTATGTCATAAGTATGAAACACAATTCATTTGTAAGCTTTCGACTGAAAGAGCCTGCAAAAATTTTAATTTAAACTTGAGAAAATCATTATTTTATATTATAAGAATATTAGCTGTCGTACCCGTCTTCGACGGGTTTTAGTTTCTACCAATACATTTAACAGTGTTTCTACCAATATGGAAAATCAGAAAATAGCCGGGAGTTGAATTTGACCGGAAAATTAATAATTAGTTACCATTAGCTGTTCGGTAGTATAATATTACTATTTGAATAGTCTCCACCCTTTAGGAAAAAAACAAAAATTATCAAAAATTCCAAAAACCGAATTTCTTAAAATTCAACATTTTTTTTTTCTCTTTTAGGCATTTAGCTTAATTATTTTTGGGCTCTTCAAAAATACTTTATTTACAACAAAATGTACGAACCGTTTTCTAAATCCCACGTATTTAATATTAATCTACATCAGCAATTTCATAGACTAATTTTTAAAAACTATTTGTCCGAATTTTTTCGTTTTATTCTCCTTCACTATAATTAAACTTTTAAATCACTTTTTTCAACAATTTCTATTTCGAAATCTATGATAGTTACACTAACGGTCAAAATTGAGAGACCACTCATTTTCAGGTGAATGAAAAACATTTTAAAACATAAAATTTATGGAAACTAAAATTTCTTTCTTTCTATTTTTCAAAAGATGATAAAATTTTTAAAAAGAACAAGATATTTCAGAAGTCATTTGACCAATATTTTATTTAGATATTTTTTTTAAAAATCCTCATTTTCAATGTTTTACAAAAATTTAAATAACTTCTAAAATAATGAACGCTTTTTAATGATCTTAAGCTTATTTTAAAGGTCATTTTCTACAGAATGAGAATTACTTATAAGCATTAATGTGTAATTTTTTTCTGAGAATATGCAGGTCGTCAAACATGGACCAAAAAAATTTAAAACAATCTTACAAATAGAAAAATAATTTTTTGTAAAATTCTAACATTTTTTTTTTAAATTCTCTTGACAAATCTACACCACATCATGTTTTATATATTTTCTTGTATATTTTTTAGTACATAAAAATTATTAAATTTCGGAAAATAATTAGAAATTTTCCAAGAATTTAATATAAAAATAACTGAACTACTGTGAAGAATTTTATCTTTTTTTTAAATAATATTGAATTCCTGTGACAAATTTTATAAAAAACTTTTTAAATAATTAATGTTTTTCGAAAAATTTTATATTTTAAATAATTGAATTCCTGTGAAAATTTTATTATTTATGAAAATAATTGAATTATTTCGAAGAAATTTATTTAAAATTTTTATAAATAATTGAATTCCTGTAAAATTTTGCAAAGAATTTTATTAAAAATTTTAAAAAATATAATTGAAATTTTGACGAGAATTTTTTTCAATTTTTGAACATTATTGAAATTCTGCGAAGAATTTTTATAACTTTTGAAAATAATTGAATTTCTGGAATCATTAATTTGTTACCTTTTTAAAATTTAATTTTTTTAGTATCTTTAACTAGAATTCTTCTACCAATCTAGTATAATTTATGAAAATTGTAAAAATTATTCACTACTAAATAATTTATAAGTCATAATTTTGTTCTTGAATAATTAAGTTATTTAAAAAGAAATTATTGTCAGAAATAGAAAAAATTGAAGATTTTGTATTAAAATTCGTTGTAATTTCATAGTTTACGAGGCAAAAAAAACATCAAAATTCAGAGTTTTCTCATGAATTTTAAAAATTTAATTTTTTCTAGTATTTTTACTAAAAAAATTCTTGACTTTTGCTTGCATTCCCTGAATTCCCTGACCTGTGGCAACCCTGGTAAGATACGTTTATTTTTTCTTTTTTACTTTTGTTTTTCTTTTATATTCATTTCAATTTTAATATTGTATTAATAGTTAATTGTTTCCATATTTTGTTTTATCCTCAGTTTACATTATTTCTGTATTTTTATTAATTACTTATTATTTGATGTTTTTCAATTATTATTTAAAGTCTTCGTATATTCTCATTATTGTTTTCTGTATATTATTACTATTTAATACGACTGAGTGATAGAATATATCCATTATTCTTTATTATTTTAATTATTATTTAATGTTTATAAATTAATATTAAACGACTTCCTGTTTTGTTATTTTTTATTTTTGTTTTCTGTATTATTTTATAAACTCCCTGAACAGAAAATCGTATTGATTTCGTTAAAGTAATTTTTGTATTAAAAACCACTTGTCCGAATGTATTCGTGTAATTTTTTACCTTTTTTTTATTTTTATAAAATCAATGAATGTGACGCGTCGCGAAGAAAACCACCTTAGAAACATATCGAAAATTTTACAGGTGGAGGAAAAAAGGAAAGAGAAAATCAACTCTTAGCATGAATTTCTGTTTTGTAAATCATTATTACGAAAGTATTTCAGATAAGTATTTGATAAAAATTAATTTTGAGTTCAGATAGTTAAAAAGTAATCTTTAATTTATCTGAAGCAATCATAATCCAAAAATCGGTTTTTTGCTTCTTAGGTGCTTTTCTTCGCGACGCGTCACAAATAAAACAGGAAATTATTGTGTTAACTTTAATAAAACAAGGCAAACTCAAGATTTTTTTTTGTTTCTTGAAAATTAATAAACTGTTTTTGTTTGGTAAAATTTTTGGAATTTTCCTGACAAAAAAATTTTTTCCTGACATTTCCCTGACTTAATAGAAAAAAAATGTTTTTCCTGAAACTTCCCAGAATTTATTGACACGTGACAACCGTAAATTAATTTGTGCAACAAGGCTCCATTAGTAAGACAAGGACAACATGTCTCAATTATGAAGCCTTGTTGGAGAAATTTAATTTTCTGTCAAATAAACATTCGTAAGTTTGCAATGTCGGTAAAGTGGAAAATCGCCTATATAAAAATTCGAACACAAAAATTCTGTCAAATAAAATTATGAACATTCTGGAAAATAAAAATTTTATTAAATAAAAATTCTGTCCATTTAAATTCTGATTAAGTGAAATTTTTATAATATAGAAAGTCACTCAAATAATATTTCCGAAAAATAAAAATTCGCCAAAAAAAGAATTCTTTATAACATTTTTTCTATCTATTAAAAATTCGTCTGAATGATCCAAAGTAAATTCTGCCAAATAAAATTTTAATTATGAAAAAATGTTGTAACTATGGAAATTCGTTTACATGAAAAATGTAATATATAAAAATTCGCAGAAGTGAAAGTACGGTTAAAGAAAATTCTATTTTTCAAAAATTGTAGATAATTATCTTTATGGAATATTAATGCGTTCCCATTATTTGTAATACTTCCAAAATAACCTATTTTATGCACTTTTATAAAAAATGATTATATTATATTTTTCTCTTTCCACCACAAATCGGTAAATATGATAAAACTTAAATATTAAAAGAAAATTAATTTTACGGAATTTCCAAGCAAATTTTCTATTTCAAAATAATGTATTTCCAAACGAAAGAATGTGAAATAAAAAAAATTAATTGAAAAACCAAAGTTCAAAAGTATGTCTTTCAGAAGAATCGTTCGTCTGCAACATTCTAGAGCAATTTTGTTCTGCGAATTCGTAAGTAGCGTAGAAGCCCTATTAGAAATGATGAAATAATAAGGGAGTTGAAACAAAGTTCATTTCTCGTCAGACATTTATTGAAACTGACTTTTTTTGAAACTATGCCAATAAGAATGAAATAATTTTCATTTCAATATAGTTGATATTGTCATTTAAAAAAAACGTAGTAAAAAATACAATTTTCAGTGTGCCAGAAAAAAATAGTCACATTAAATTGTAAATTAAAAACAACATTCAATAGTTACAACGTCATTTTGATTATTTACTATTTTCAGACTTTCAGTGAAACGATTATTATTTTCCTAATGAAGGCAGTAGATCTAGGCAATTAGAAATTAAAAATGAAAATATTGTTTTATTCTATTATCGAAACATGATAAAAATTCATTACCTTTTTCCTCGAAGTACGAATTAGAAATTTTAGGTTAGTTCCCGTGTAGTGCACACTTAATCGTCAATAAATTCATATCACAATAACATAGTAGCTTAACTTATAAATAAGAGATAGATAAATATATCAAATATTCACTCGTTACACATAAATGTTAAATCACTTTCTTCTAATCAAAATAGATAAACTTTAAAATGTCATGAATTCTTGTTAAAAGAATAGACATGTCACAAGTAGAAAAAAAATTAATTGAAATTAATTTTCATAAACGATTATGGTATCAATATTCTCTAAGTGAAAAAAATAGTTCAATGTTGATGACTTTTCGAACAATACACACAATAGTCATTAATTTCAACACATTTTCAATACTAACAAAAATAAATTTTGTGGGTGTTAATTTTAATCCACAAAGTATGCAATACTTAGTCGGACTTTATCAAGTGGGAAGTTACGGTCAGTTCACATGTTAAATTCAATTGTCCTAAGGGTGCAGTTCCACCGAAATCTCGAGAATTTATGTTGAGCAAATTCTCTCGAGAATATGCAACCGCGTTTCTGCATGGATTAAAAAAAATATTTTGAATTTAAGTAATTAAGAAGATTTGTGTCAATGGTTCGCATTCAGATTTTGCAAAAAGTGCTTGTGTGCAGAAAAAAACTAGTTGGAAAATGATTGTTTACCAATTTTACGTCATTTAAACCAGGCAGTACCGTTTTGTAGGGCGACAAGTGTAGGTCGCACATAACCTACAAATTTCAGAGACCATCGAACGCTCTTAAGGAGAATTTTTAAGAATTTAAAAAATTCAAAGTTCAGTCATCTTAAAGGTGCCGTCCCATGTCGGCGTAAAAACGTCAAAGCGTCGGCGTCAAAACGTAAATGCATGAGAGTGAAAGAAACAACCTTATATCTCTATCTCGTTCACTCTCATACTTTAACGCCGACGCTTCGACGCTTTGACGTTTTTACGCCGACATGGGACGGCACCTTAATTCCTTACTAAATACAAATAATTTGATTTTATTGTTTGTATTTATTCATTTGTTCATTTTGTTTAATAATAAACTTTCATGAACAGTAAAAATTATATTATTTTGACAAATTATTTACAATTGAGGCCTTGGATCCAATAACTCGCCCGACGCTCGGAGACACGCGTTAATGCCAGTCGGGTAGCAGTCAGTCGGGGTTATTGGATCCAAGGCCTCAATTGAACATAAAATATTATTGTATAGTCATATGTATTTTTTAAAGCCTAAATAATAAAAATAATAAATAAAGGCTGAAAATAATTCTGCGGTATAAACTTTTAAAATATCCTATTGAATTAGGGATTTAGTAGTATTTTTTAATTTTAACTATAATTTTACTAAATTTTCACTAGAGTTACCTATAATGACACTAAATTGTTACTGGAGCGCAGATATGTGGTAAGATGAGAATAGATTCTTGATCAGAAGCGTAATCGTGAACATGAGTAGAAGAAAGACAAACCTATGTTGATGTCCTTCTCTCACTCATTTTTAGGGTTATTGAAATTCGTTTTACATTAAACAATAAAAATACAATTTAAAATTAGGTAGCATTCACTTTTTGGAAAATAACAAATAGAATCTACACTAAATTGAACAGTTTGAAATTATGTCAGTCATTAATTTTTGAAAATATAAATAATGTCAAATAATAATTTTAAGAAAAAAAAATCACTTCAACTGTTATTATTACAATTGAAAAATATATTTCCTTAAAATTTGTTTAAAATATTTTTATTGTAAACACTCATTCTATAAACATATACTTATTTCCCACTGCCCATCGATTAAATTTCTTTCACAAAATTTAAACAACCAAATCTCAAAAAGTAGGGGAGAGTCTCCAGTTGTGAGACGGGTTTCATTTTTGACCCGTAAATTGTAAACGGGCAAACGAAATTGTAAATAAAATATACCGTTCGAAAGGTAACAGAAATACACAACTTTTATTAAAAGAAAGTATAGTGTTTCGATGAACTCAAAAAATTTTACGATACATTTTCCGAGCACATCGCTTTTTAAAAAAAAAAAAATGTCTCCAGTTGTGAGACACTCATTAAAAATTGCTAAAATTTAATAAGTTTGACATAAAACGTTATGTTTAGTAGAAATAATTAAATATATTAATAATATATATTATTATATACTAAATAATAATATTTATTCGCCAAAATATGACTATCAAATAAACACAATTTAATAGCTTCAACAAGAGCATTAAAATTGATTTCTTCTGAATCAATTGACTTTTTTCCACTTGACATGCCCAAAAATACTAGAAAAAAGAATCAAAACAACATTTAAATAGTGCGCCTGCAAAGTCGTATTTTTTATGCTGCCCAGATGGGTGTTGACACCGTCTCACAACTGGTGATATGCTGTGTCTCACACCCAGAAATTGGCGCTATTTTGAAAAAGGAAAATTAAATTATTTTCAACCGTAGATTGGAACAATGCAATGTTGCATCACAAAATATAAGGAAAACACTAAAAGAAAATGCATTACATTTACCTTTTCCAATTAATTAACTTGGAAAAAAAGTACTTTGCATTTATTGAAAAAACGCTTTTTAGTCGATTATCACACACAGTGTTGGTATTTAACAAAAACAGTTTATATATCCGCTTCGGCGTACACGAAAAAGTTGGCTCATATAAAAAGAAATGTTTTTATATAAACCAATCGGCTTTTTAATATTGCATGTTAAAAAAAATTGACTGTCTCACAACTGGAGGTGTCTCACAACTGGAGACTCTCCCCTATATTACTCTCTAAATCTGAATCAGCGAAATTTCACTGATTCTCAGCGATAAGTATGCCACTATTTTAAAACAGCGTATATGCGCTAATTAATCAGTGAAGTTTCACTGATTATTTAGTGAAATTCTTTACCGTCTGTACTAGCATTTCAAAAACATTAGGCTTTTTACACTTCTTTGGAAAATTAAAACATTTTGAATTAAAATTTGATAACTTTTAAAATAAAACATGTTTTTTAACATAAATTTCAAAAAAATTTCTATGATAAAATCATTTTTTTAAATAAATTTTCAAGTAAAAACCTTTTCAACATTTACTTATTCAAAAATACCCGCCATGAAAGTACATTTTCCGACCGTGAAAATTCATCGAGCCGATTGCTTGACCAATCCACCAGAGGTATAGAAGCACCTTTAAGGCGCTTGCACACTTCCAAAATTTTGGGCGAGCAGCGAATTTTCATGGCCTTGAAACTCATATTACTAAATATGATTGGCTCTACAAAAAGCTGCGTGAAAATGTACTTTGTCAGAGCCAATCATATTTAGTAATGTGCATTTCAAGGCCGTGAAAATTCGCTGCTCGCCTAAAAATTTGGAAGTGTGCAAGCGCCTTTAGGGTAGTTTGGGCGATTTTTTGGACATACTGCCCAACCCCTAAATGGAAATAAAAGTCGCCATGCAGCATCAAAAACTTGACTTTCTTACGAAAATTTTGAGTATACTATATTTTTATAGTCCCATGCTGAGCAGAAAACAGAATGCAAAGCAGAATTTCGTGAGTGCAAAAGAGATAGTCAGATATCACTATCCTTTCCACTCTCACGAAATTCTGCTTTGCATTATAAAGGTACCGTCCCATGACGGCGTAAAAGCGTCAGCGTAAAGCAGAAATCGTGTGATAGAAAGAGATGAACAGATATCACGTTCTCACTCTCTCACATAGTTTACGTTTTACGCCGACGCTTTCACGCCATCATGGGACGGTACCTTAACGTAATATTCGTAATCGTATGTAAATGCTTTGTAAACTCCAGTAGTGGGAATGACGCATGGATTGAATAAATGAGATTTCTTTAAATAGCATAAATGATTCGGCGCTGCGATCGAAAAGCTGTTTATGAAGTAAGCAAAGCTTAAAATGTGTTTTATTCAAGTTTAATTAATTATGCTAACAAAAAGAATTTTGAATGAGATATTTACTTTATTTTGAATATATCATAGGTTACAGCAATATTTAATAAAAAGTAATCAAAATTTTTAAAAATTCAGTAAATTATATTATCAAAACAAAAACGAAAATATTAAACATCAGTAAAAAAGAGTTAAAAATTAATTAAAATAATTATTCTGAAATTATTAAATTATATCTAACTAGCAACAATTCGCGCGCAGTTAACTTATTATTTACTATTTTATATAAAATTAACAAAAAATATTTCAAATTTTTTTTGTAAAAATAAAATGTAAATTGGAATTTAATTTTATATTTATAATTGTATAATTAAGAAATTTTAATTTCTATAAATTAAATTCTTTCTTAAAGTCCTTATTTATTAAAAATTATTTTAGATAATTTAATTAATTCAAATGATTATAAATTTTATGACTTTAAACAAACAATTTTGACATCTATAAATACAGCAAAAATTGAAAATAATCTTACTTTTACAGTTTAACGTTCCCGAGTCGAAATTTAAGCCCTACTTTCACCTTGAATTTTCAGGGTTTGTTGAGTGTTAGGAGTAGAAAAAGTAGGGTCTAATTCTTATACGATTAGACCCTACTTTGACTCCCAAAACAGGCGGAAATTTGCCAATCTTCCATTTGGAGCAGCAAAGGAGGGTCTACTTCTAAGAAACCTATACCGCACTTTTAAACCTCGTAGACCCTACTTTCATACTCCTAGACCCTACAATTAGAAAAAAAAATTTGAAGATTTGCTCAGATTCAATTGAAGCACTTGGGATGAGTAAAAGTGGAATTTTATGTGTTTTATGAATTTGGAGTACTTTTTGCATTTGCAGTGTTTCAAGTAATGCATTAAAAAATAATTAAAAATTTTCTTTTAGAATGTAGGGTCTAGGAGTATAAAAGTAGGGTCTACGAGGTTTAAAAGTACGGTATAGGTTTCTTAGAAGTAGACCCTCCTTTGCTTCTCCAAATGGAAGATTGGCAAATTTCCGCCTATTTTGGGAGTCAAAGTAGGGTCTAATTGTATTAGAATTAGACCCTACTTTACTACTCCTAACACTCAACAGCCCCTGAAAATTCAGGGTGAAATTTCGACTCGGGGAGGGTCTAGTTTTTAAAAATTGTATTTGAAATCAGACCCTACTTTACGACTGCCAAACCTGAATAAAGCCCTACATTTTCAGAGGCTAAGTAGGGTCTAAATTTCGACTCGGGTTATTATAATTAAAATTTTTAATCAATTAATTATTTTCATAGTTGTCAATAATTTAGTTCTTGAATATTATTTTTCATAAAGTTGGTCTTAGTATATATAAAATAGTTAATTTAAATAATATCCCTATTAAAAAATTCTACGTTAATGTAGAAAAATAATTTAAAATTTCGAAAGTTTTTGGCCTTTTTTTAAAAAAGAAGCAGAAAATTTTCTACAAAAATTGTGATTATTTATTTATTTCTAAAGAAATCAGAATTTTGTTAAAAATTGTGATTGAAAAATAGAAATTTTGCATGCTTTTTTAAAAAAATACTTGTGATTTTGTTAAAAAATTGTGATTAATCGGAATTGAAAAATATATAAATTTTTTCATTGTTGAAAAAAATCAGAATTTTGTATATTTAAAAGTTGTGATTAAAAAAAAGGAAATATGCAAATATTTTTCTTCATTTTCTAAAGCAAACATAATTTTATGAACCAAATTATAATTGATATACAGAAAACAGAAAAATTTCTTATTTTTTTTTCTTAAATAAATATGAAGTACACTGACAGAATTGATTTATTTACATTGATTTACATTTATAAAAATGCCATCTGTGTTAAGTGAATGTGTATAAATTTGTCTATTTAGTATCAATGAAAGTGGTTTTTTGGTTAAAATAAAATTTGTATTTAAATTAAATAAAGTTTATTTGAATCAAAAAAACAAATTAGTAGTCATTGAGACAGAAATATATTGTTTTTTCTAGGTGCAGTTTATATCTGTCATAAAATTTAGAAATTTTTTGTTCATTAAACACAAAACTAAACTTTTCTCACATTATAACTTATAAGTTGTGGAATTTTTTATTTAAAATAAATGAAGTGATAAATGTAAATATTTTCACACATAACTGAATTTTATAGGCAAATGGATAAAAAATGTTTAGAAAAGAAATATTTTTAGTTTATCATTCTTAAAATATTGAAACCAATTTATTTAATAAAAAAATAAAAAAAGAACGCTATTAAAATGAGTATATTAAATGAACTGTGTACTTTTTCATCCCTACTTTTTTGATTGTATATTATTTTCAAGTAGTACCGTGTGCAATCATGAATGGTAAAAACGAGTGGAGTGCAATTATTTCTTACTCAGGATTGTAGTATGTGATAAAATCGCCCGCAGTCTACAATAATAATGAAAATAAATTATTTTTATTTAATTTTATAACTGAATGTTTCTTAAACATATAATATTTACTCAGTAGTTAACTTAAATAAATAATTATTTTGGTTTTATTTTGATATCGCTTTTAAATAATTTGTGTATTTTAATCTTTTGTTATGTATTATATATTATTTATAAATTTAATATATATTGTAATACAAATATTATAAATAAAAATATTTATACTGAATTTTAATTTTGGAAAGAAATGTACTATAAAGGAGCAGCCGGGAGCACGACGCAAACGGCAAAAATTATATAGGTATATATATACCTTATTAATAATTATAATAAAAAATATAAACAAATATTTTTCATTCTATATAAAAACTATTCGCGCTATAGACTGTCCACCGTTTTGAAAAATGTCATTTTGCGAAAAACGCGTTTAAACTTTTGAAGGTAGGGGACACTTTTCCCAATCCGCTTTTCCCAACGACTTTTTTCCCAGTGGACATTTTTCTAAAAAAAAAGTATTAGCATTAGGTCAAAAGTTATTAATATTTTTGTGACCGCGCGCACTGCGCTATTGACGCACCACACAGTGGGAATTTCTTACATTTTACTGTTCAAAAATGTCTACCGCCTACATTTTTTGAACGACTTGAGTGTTCTTTGTTTTAAATTAAAGGGGAATAAATTCTTAACACATCCCTCGAGGCCGATTTTTGAGATTTTAATTGTTTGTAATTTTTTAATTTAATCAAAGTTAACAAATTAATACAATTTTCAAAAAAGGATGTTTTTTTTCTTATTCCGTTACTGTACATGATCTAAATCAGTCATTTATTTTAAGTTAACAGCCTATTTAAAATAAGTACTTATACTTACATTCTTATATTTTTTAAATGAACCTAAATAAAAAAGTAAAGGTGAAAAAAATTTTTGTTTGGTGAAGTTATCTATTTGTTAATTAATAATGTTTATAACAATTTAAATAAGTTATTTTTTAAACAAGGAGAGGGCATTATATTCTTTAAATGAACCTAAATAAAAAACTACACGTGAAAAAAGAATTTTTTGGTGGAGAGGAACTAAAATTAACTATTTGTTTATTAATGTTTATAACAATTTAAATAAGTTATTTTTTAAACATAAAGGAAATATATTCTTCAAATGAACCTAAATATAAAAAAGTAAACGCGAAAAAAAATTTTTTTAGTGAAGAGGAGTCAAAGTTATCTATTTGAAATCTTTTTTTGAAAATTGTATTAATTTGTTAACTTTGATTAAATTAAAAAATTATAAACAATTAAAATCTCAAAAATCGGCCTCGAGGGATGTCTTAAGAATATTGTCTGGAGAATTTTTGTTTTTTGAATCAAATCGTTCTATTCATTTGGTTTGAAATTTTTTTTTACGCTTAAAACAATGGCGGTGTTCTTGATCCAAGAATATATTTCTCTTCAAATGGTTTAATTATGAAACTTGAATAGGAGTTTTTGAAAACTGTTCATTGGGGCTAGGATGGCATTCATAGTGCATGGTAGCGTGACGGCTCTGGTGCCAAGAAAATATTTTCTTGATTTGATATATAAATGATCTTGACTTTAATGTATTGTTCATTTCTTACATTCTATGACAGAATATCATTTTCTTGATACAAAACCATAATGGACTAATTGTTCCTATTCAATTCCACGGTATACTTCAAGCAAGTAAACTTTTCTTGATTCAATTACATTTTTTTCGGTGTTGTATATCAAGTCTTCCTCAAACTTCTTCAATTTTGGAAAATAAATTTTTTTTCTTCTTTACGAGGAAGCAGATTTTTTTGCTGATCGCAAAAAGGAAGCAAAATGTTCATGTTATGAACATAATGTATTTATAATAAACAATTCCCTATCTTATTATTATAATTGAAAACTTTGTTAAATTAAGAACTCTGAAAAATTTCTTTAATTAAATAATAATTTATTATATTTAAAAAAAGTTTCATATTAACGTACGTTACTGAGTTTCTACATACACATATAGATTTGTTATTACATGCATGCGTAATAGATTATTATTTACACCTTTGAAAATGTGGTCAGTGTGCATTATTGTGTTGTTGCACTCGGTACGTTCATTATGTATACACTCATCTATACAGAAGAGACTTGAATAAATATTGACATCCGATGAACGATTGTCATCAGTCTCGATTTTGAATCTTTATTGTAATCAGTAAAAAGTTACCTAAGACAAAAACATCAACATGTCTAAATCTTGTTGTGAAAGAAGCCACAGCAGTAAGTATATCAAATAAATTTCTTTTAAAATCCTAATATAATAATGATGAGAATAAGAATTATATTGATTATAATTTAAAAAATGCTATAATATAAAATACAAATAAAATTGTAATCGTAATTACTAATTAAGAATCAAATACAAATAATACTGATATAATTTAAAGACAAAAAATCTAATATAATTTTGATATTCTTTAAGGAAAGGAAGAGGTTTGCTGCACTGGGACCGGAGAATGTTGTTCCCTCGTTTGGGGAGGTAATGTTATATATAAATAGTAATAATAACAATAAAATAAAACAGTTAAAGTAATTAACTAAATCTCGCTTGTTAGGCATGGCCCAGGATTTTGATGAAAAAGGTGCGACTTGCGTAATTAATTGTAAAAGTGAGTGTCACAATTTTTAATTTAACGAATTTTTATTTTTATTTATGAATAACAGTATTATTTACACTACCGGTCAAAATTTAGAGATCACCCATTTTCAGGCGAATGAAAAACCTTTTTGAAACATAAAATGTATGGAAACTCAAATTTTTTTCTTTTTATGTTGTGAATGATGATAAAATTTTGAAAAGAACTTTTCAAAAAAACTGACTTTTAGAAGTCATTTGGCCAATATTTTATTTAAATATTTTCAAAAAATCGTCATTTTCAATGTTTTACAAAAATTTAAATAACTTTCTAAAATAATGAAAGTTTTTTAATGATCTTAGGCTTATTTTAAAGGTCATTTGCTATACTATAAGAATTACTTATAGGCATTATAACGTATAATTTTTTTCTTAAAAAATGCAGGTCGTCAAACTTGGACCAAAAAAATTCAAAAAATTTGTAACAATCTTATTAACAGAAAAATAATTTTTAAAATTCAAACGTATTTTTTTATTAAATTTTCTTGAAAAATCTACACCATATGATGTTTTATATATTTTCTAGAATAGTTTTTAGTACAGAAAAATTGTTCTGACTTTTTTGAATTTTTTTGGTTTCAAAAATTTGTTTCATTCGCCTGAAAATAGGTGGTCTCTCACTTTTGACCGGTAGTGTATTATAATAATATTATATGTTAATAATTTTAACTTCTTTGTAATCATTAATTTTTGTTCATGTTTTTAAGATGGAGCTAACTGTTGTACCAAAAGTACAGGATGTGTGATAAAATGCAAAGGTAACTAACAATACATAATAATTATTTTAACAATTAATAATTTAATAAAATATAATTTTTTTATTATATAAATTTTCTTAGAATACTGTTCATTTTAGAAATATTTGAGTAAATTTTTTTATAGGAGAAAATGGCACAAAGTGTGAAATAAATTGTGGATGCTGCTCAATTACTGTTGAAAAATCTGTAGACGATATCGGCAATTATTGCAAAGTTACATATTGTGAAGGTATACATTAAAATATTTTTTTATCAATATCTCTAGATTAATTAATAAAATTAGAATTTTTAAATATATTGAAACATTATTTGCAGATGATAAATCCGAAAAAAAGAAGAGTATTCTTACTTGTTGCTTGAGAGGTATTTATATTTATATATTACAAATAAGTATAAATAAATAAATTTTCATGTACTCTTTGAATTTATTGTTTATTGTATCAAATTTGAGATAATATTTTAGTAATTAAGTTAAAAAGAAATGAATGATAATTAACGTAGAAAATTAATTATTTATGTAACAATTGAGTATGAAACTGAATCAAGTAATTATGTACATATCTAAGAATTTACTAACTCTAATAATTTACTTTGTACCAATTAGAACCTTGCACCCAGGGAAAATATTGTGTAGTGAAATGCGGAGGTGAGAAAAATTTTAATAAATGTATTAATACCTAATATATTAATAATTTGAAGATAAAAAATGTAAGGGGAAACTAGGAAACTAATTTAAACAATTTTAACAAAATAAAATAATGCACATTTATTACTGTATATTGAAAGTGTATAGTTTTAAAAATAATGAAATTCTTTGATCAATTATGGGAGAAAAAAGCTATAAGATATAAAAAGAAATAATGAAATTAAAATAGTCAGTTCCACCAAAAAATTAAGCAATCGTGTTTTTTAGGATATATTATAGGTGGGAAAGAACTATTTTTATTTAATATGTGTTCAGAAATTAAACACTAAATTTATTTTATAAGAATTTTATATTTTTATTAACGTGTTTATATTTTTAAATATTATGTGTTTTTTACAGGCGAAATATGCTGTGTTATCAAAGGTTGAAAATGTATATTGTCAAGAAGTGGAACAATTGAATTCAATAAATTAATAAATCAATACGACCGATACATTTATCTTCTCAAATGCTCTATATGCAGTATTCACTTATGTGGTGGTGTTATTTCGGAGTTAATTTATATTTTTATTCACTTAAATAATAAACAATAAAAAATTTGACAAATGTTCAATTTATTTTCGATTATTTACTCAGCAACATTATTATTGCGAATTTTAAAAATTTTCGACTTTCGAAAAATATATATTTACATTTCTTTACTTAACAATTATTATTATTATAAATATCATTATTTTATATTATTTATAAGTAAATAGTTTAATATTAAACTTTCGATTTGATTCTATAAAAAATAAAATAAATTATTAATACAAAAAAAATGAAAATTCCTATTTTCATGAACAAAATAAACCATATTTTTTATTATATAAATAAATTAGGGAATTTTTTTAATAATTGTTCAATTAAAGAAAAAATAATTATATATTAAAAAGTAATAAGAAAGTACCTAATAAGAAATTTAAGAGACTTAAAATATGTAAAAATTAAAAAGAGTGATCTAATTAAAATTATGATTATTGGATATAACCATTATTTTTCTAATGTTAAACAAAAATGTTTTACTTTTCTATTAAAATTTTTCTTATATACGTTCTGTACTGAAATAAATATATATTTATAGCGAGAAGAAGATTATTTTTATTATTTTCAAACATTGAGAAAAATACACTTAGTCTTCAAATTATGTACATAGAATAATTAAAAATGAATAGTTTTTTATACATTTAAATTGTTGAGAGTTAAAAAGGAGTAAAAGAAAAGTTTTATGTTTCACATATAAATTCAAAATAAAAACAAATAAAGTACCTACTTAACTATATTGAAGAAGAAATTATCTATGATTTTTATTGGGTTTAGTATCAAAATTTGTGTTGAATAATCAGAGAAAAAATGGAAATATGAAATTTATTATAGTGATAATTGCAGCCTTATATTCTTAACTAGGGATTGTAAATTTACCGACTTTTTCAATTACCAGTAATACGGTAAAAGTCTTATACAATACCGGTTTAAAGGTAAATTACCTTTATTGCAAATTATTATAATTATAATATTATTATATTATATATTTATTTTTATTAAATTAAATAAATTTTTGTTCAAAAAATTTTTTATAAATAATAAGTGTGATGCAAAATTAATTTAAAAAATATTTTTATTTGTCGTAATTAAAAAATACATGTGTATATAAAAAAACATTTTAAATATAACGAAAAATTACTATTTTAATGTTGTTTTCATATAAATAATTTATACATAAATATTTCTTTTTGAAAACGTGAACACATACGCATTAAGGTTATGTTATTCAGTGGTCACGTGCCCCATGTACTTTACTATGGAAAAACGTTACACTGAATAACATGCCCTTAAATATATAAATTTCATTTAATATATAAACGAGATCTCATACAAACTGCTGTTTGTTATCAAGGCTTATAATTAAAACATTTTTTACATAAATCTTTTCGTAGTTTTAACATGTTTTAAAATATAGTAATATTATAAAATTTCGTTATTTTAACCGATTACAGCACGTTTTTTATCACAGTATGATTTAATAAATTTCTCCTATAAATCGTGACATCTTTTTAAAATCTTTATCTATTAAATTACCTTCAGGACACGACTTTCTTTTTTTGATTAAACTTAAAGCGCGTCTTATAAACCGAGCTTCCCAATGGCATTTTATCGTTCAAATTGTATTTTTAGAGTACACTCGCCTAAATTATATAGAGTAAACGTTTTAAAAGTCTTACCAGTTATTGTTATATTTCGAACTTTACTACAAGCAAGTTCAACTTGTGACACCATATTTTCTCCATTCAGCGTTGAGGCTGGCGTTTTCGAAATATTTAACTGCTCACTGGTGCAGTCACTTTGATTTCCCTCAGTTTGAGTGCCAATAGTAGTAGCAATATTGACAATTTCTGTCTCGCTGCTTACCTTGCTACCTGTAATATCAATTGTTTAAATTTATATTAAGGGGGGAAACCACATTAGAACGCTGTTTTTTAGCCGCTTTTCGCGAATTTTTTTTTAAAGTAAGAACTTTTTGAATGAAATAAAACATTTCCACTATGTTGTTCATATATATTTAAATGTAACTCATATTTTTTTCAAGGGTTTATATAAAAAATCTTCCAAATTGGGAGCTATTGCATATATAGAGCTGCTCCGCCGGAGTTCATGACTGCCGTGCAGTCCTGAGCCCACAAATTTTGTCCGAAAGCAAAAAATCAAGTTTATTCACATTTTATAAATATTTTATTATTAAGTGAACTAACTTTCAAGTGAAAATATTGAAAATTGAAAAATTGACACTATACTTTGAAAAAAATATTCGATTTTTTGCCTACTTTTTTGCTACTTCTTTATTTAAAAAAAGGTACTAAAAATTTTTTTCTTCTTTTCAAGTTTAGTTCACTTAATAATAAATTTAATAACAAACAATTTCCAATTTTTCATTTTAAAATCGGTAAATAACCTTTTGAGCTACACTGCACGGCAATTTCAAAAATCCTGTTTTAAGAAAAACGCATTTGAAAAAAAAATATCAAAAATTGATATTTATACAAAAAAATTTTTTTAAAGTGATTACACTTTAATCGGCTAATAATTCCTCTTTTCGTGACTTTCTGCTCTCCTTAGTCTCAAAAGTTATATGCTTATTCTACTAATCTACGGTAACCTGGAGCGCGCTCCGTTCATCGCTAGTACAGCGAGGACTTCGAATTTTGCTCTAAAAACTTTTTTAGCCTATTTTTGAATACCTTAACTAACAATTTATGCAAAAAAGAAAAAATCGATTTTTTCAGACGTCTAATGTGGTTTCCCCCTTAATGTGATTTTAAAAATATAAATTATGTACATATTATTAATTATTATTACGTAAAAAATACTTACTTCGCCCTGCAGTGCACTTCTTTCCCTTGTGCAAAGTTGGAATTGCATCTGGCTTCAATAAGGGCCTGGGTTGAAATGTTTTGAAACATTTTTTGTCGAAATGTTCCGCACAGATTCGAAACTTTGTAGTTTCTTTAACCCCAGCGAATTTGAGCCATATTCTTCGACTGCGAAATGTTATAATTTTTTATTTTTAATTTAAGGATAAAAAATTGCATTTTCATGACAAAAATAATATAAATAATATAATAAATATTTCCAACAACTTTTTAATATCAAAATTTAGAATTCTGTGTATACTTGATAATATGACAGTACTTCAAAAGTTTATATTTCATCGTGTAAAAAAAGTGAGGTTATGTTTACTAAAAATCAAATATATACTTACGTTGAATTAGATTTTGGTAACCTAAACGATGAAAATCCTTGGCACATTTTCGTATATGTCCCATTTTTGCAATTTTCTACACTACAATATAACATTCTTGCATAAAATTTGTAAATCACGCTTCTTCAATTGTTTGCAAACAAGCACAAATACATACAGAACATTCAAAACATTATACATATATATTTTAAAAAGGGAACTTCTACAAATGCGCTTCTAGTAGCGTGTACGTTTTTTTATTTTGTCGACGTGAAAAAATTGGAATTGCAGAATCGCCTTTTGGTCACAAGATGTTACCATAGCAACAGCCTAACAGCGCCAATCTTGGATTTTGCGGTCATTCTGGTAACAATCTACACTTGTCTCTGCTTGCCTCGTTCACTTTCTCTTGGACTTCCTCAGCGATAAAGTGTCTACTTGAATTTTTAGTGCGAAAAAATTTATTTTCAAAAAATGTGCATTTTATTGTCGTCTAATCGATAGTTTTTTATAATGATTTACTTACTTTTTTTAAAATAAAATTTACTTATCTATTTAAGTAGAAAATAATTCGTGAAATTCATAAAAAATGACTGATTTCTCAGAACCTCATTCCGACCACGTGGCGAAATGTCTAACGTCTCTGGAAATTGAGAAACTTGATGCACAAAATTCACGAATGATTTCTGAATTTCGTGCCAATCAATTAGAAAAAGATGCTAAAAAATATTGGGATTTATTTTATAAAAGAAATGAAACGAGATTCTTTAAAGATCGACATTGGACTACAAGAGAGTTCCAAGAATTATTAAGTTTAGACGACTCTAAAAAGCAAATTCTTTTGGAAGTTGGGTGCGGTGTGGGAAATTTTATTTATCCTTTAATTGAGGATGGAATTATGTTCCGAAAAGTATTCGCTTGTGATTTATCTCCGAGGGCAGTTGAATTTGTCAAGGTGAGTTTTAAATGTGTGCATACTAAATTATTGCTCGAAGTTTTCCCTTACTTGTTTCAATTTTGTTAGAAGTATTTAATTACAACTTTTTTTTAAACTTAAATTTACTTAATGATAAAATGAAGGTCAAATTCTTAATAGATTAAACAATAAAATTCACAAATGAAAAGAGCATATAAGTATGATATTGCGTTAACCCGACGATTTTTAGAAATTTTCACTTAAAATTTTTGTTTGATTAAAACAATTTTTTCTTGGACTGTTGGAACATTTTTTTCTCTGTTATAGCAAAAGATAAAATAATATAATGTATGCAAAAAATTTGTTTTTTCTTGAATATATTTCAAATATGTAGTAAAAAAAATAACGTTAATAAACAGAAAATATTAAATAAATTAAAATTCGGTCTAAAATGTGACTTCTCAAAACCGAGGTAATCGATTTTCGATTTTTTCTTTCATCACTTTCACTGATAAATAAAGAAATTTTTCCTACTTATGCCAAAGTGGTCTTCTTTAGGGATAAAATGATATTTAAAATTATGTTGGTCGTTGCTTCTGCTTCTAATATATATTTTTAATTGAAGTATTTCTGAATAATCGAAATTTCGTAAAATTGAATTGTAAGCAAATAAATTTGAAAATTCTCAAAGAAATTTTTCAAAAATTATTAAAAATAATTGATTTAAAGACGAATTTTAGTTAAAAATTCTAGAAAATAATAATTGAATTGAAATGATGGAAATAATTTTGAAGAAATTACAATAACAATATTGTTATTATATAAAGTAATGATTTTCTTTCAAAATATTTAAATCTTCACTTCTTTTAAAATAATTATCGATATCTTCATGTTTTATAATATAAATATTCTTATAAGTTATTAAAATTCAACAAGTTTAAACTTCAAATTTTTGAAAAGCTTAATTCCTATGGAAAAATAATAATGAATAAATATTTATTTTAAATAAAATTATTGTATTTCCTGCCGTTTTCTGTGAAGAGCGAAACTTAATAGAGAAAACTTATAAAATAAATACGAAATTAATTATATAAAATAAGTCATATGGAATAATGTTACAAGAATGCAAATACTGAGATTAAAATTTTATTTTTAGATGCACAATCTCTATGATCCAGAAAAGATCGAAGCTTTTCAAGCTGACGTTACATTAGAAGAGTGTTTCTCAAATATCGATATTCCAATAGATATTGCAACTCTTATATTCGTTTTGTCAGCAATACATCCGGATAAATTTAAACGGTAAATAAATTATTCAATTGTCAATTTTTTACAAGACGCATAAATATAAGCACTTTTTCATCTATTATAATGATTAGAATCTCTTAAGGTGTTTCTCCGGCCGCTACTTTTGAAAACATCGATTTTCGATCAATTTTCTTCAAATTTTGAGGATATGTTTCTTTTTTATACACTTTAAATGTGCGGTAAGAATTTCAGACTCTTTTGCCATGTCAAAAAACGATTTAGCATCGCAAAGGGTTTTGAAATTTTTTTCACATTTAAAGTGTACTCGAAAAAACATTTACTCAAAATTTGAAGAAAATTGATGAAAAATCGATTTTTTCATGAGTAGTAGCCGCTGAACCTTCTTAAGAGGATGTCAAAGTTACAAGGGATTTATTTATGCACCTCATTTCATTTTGCTGATAGAACAATTGACTAATTGCTGAAATTTGTATTACAGAGTTGCAAAAAATTTGTTCAATAAATTAAACAGCGGAGGCATGATATTATTCCGAGATTACGGATTATACGACATGGCTCAACTGAGATTTAAGGCAGGGCATAAGATTGCAGAAAATTTTTACATGCGACAAGATGGTACAAGGTTAGTACATGAAATACGAATAGCAAACTTTTGTTTAATTATTTTTATTTATTTATTTAATTTTAATAATTTTTATTTTTTAAATGTATTTTTATGATGATTTCATAGTTCACCTGAATTATATTGAAGACATACTATTTTTAATGTCTTTCGCTCCTATCTGACTTTCCTTTTTAAGTAATGAACTTTTTCTATTTGTAGAAATTCAATCTTTAATAAAAAGAAATTTTATTTTCAGGAGCTACTACTTTTCAATTGAAGAGGTCAAAAGTCTTTTCGAGTCTTGCGGCTTTGAAACTGTGTCCTGTTCCTACATTCAAAGACGTACCGTCAATGTAAAAGAAAACATTGATGTGCCTAGAATTTTTGTCCAAGCAAAATTTAAGAAACCTTGAAAATGAGGTAAGATTAAAAAAAATTTCTTTGAGTTTTCAAACTTTAAACAAAAATTACATGATAAATGGTTTCTGAAAATAATTTTTTACTAAGTGATGATTTCATAGTTCAACCGAATTATATTGAGGAATGTACTATTTAAATGTCTTTCGCTCCTATCTGACATCACCATTTTAAAAAATGATTTTTTTTTATGTGTTTGTGCAAAACTATATTATTGTTTCTTTTTCAGTGTTGCATTAAATTTTTGAAGAATTGAAACTGAGATTTTTCTTTGAAGCTTTTGCAAGATCCGAATCAGGTATTTAACTTTTGACTAATATTATCATTATTACTCTTATTAAACATTTATATTAATTTTACAACACTTAGAACAAAAAAAAAAAAAATTATTTAAAAATTTAATAATTTGCACAACATTATCAAATTGAATAACAAATTTTTAAATTGAATTCTTTCTATGATTTTTAAGAATAATTACATTTTCCGAGAAATTCGATTAAAATTTTATTCAAAATAATTGAATTTATGAATAATAATTTATGAAAATAATTGAATTATTACGAAGAAATTTATAAAAAATTTGTAAATAATTGAATTCATATGAACTTTTTATTAATTTATGAAAATAATTAAATGTTTGCGTAGAATTTTATTAAAATTTTTTTAAATAATTGAATTCTTATGGAAAATTTTATTAAAACAGTAGATATTGTAAATCATTGAATTGATGAAAATTTTTGAAATTTTGCCAAGAATTGAAGCAAATTTACGGACCTTTACGGGATTTTCGGACGTAGTTCGAGCCCTGAAATTTATTGTCAAACACTTACTGTTGCCACAATATTTCCATCCAGGTCTTTAAATATTTTTTCGCAAATAATGTCCTCATGTTTAAAATGCTTAATACAAACAGAATCGCCCGCCTTTAATTTTATATCATCGCGGTATATAGCTATTTGCCATTTTTTGATTTCTTTTGGATCTTTTGGTACTTATTTTATCTTTTTTTTATCATTTTCACGATTACTGTCATAACCGGATTTACATTCAAAAGCCACACACTTCCGACCCATTGCATTCAAAACTTAATATGAAAAATTAAATATAAAATATAATATTTCCTAATAATGAAAAGAAAACTTTTAATTACAAAGCAGAAATTAGGCGTTTCACTACATCAAGTTCGAGTATGACGTCAGATAGCTGGAGGGAAAAACAGCAGATTTTTCTTTGAAGCTTTTGCAAGATCTGAATCAGGTATTTAATTTTTGTCTAATATTATAATTATTACTCTTACTAAACATTTATATTAATTTTACAATACTTAGAACTAAAAAAAAGATTTCTAAATAATAAACTTTCCAAGTTATAGTATCTTAAATATTTTTAAATATAAATTTATTTATATGATGATTTCATAGTTCAACCGAATTATATTGTGGAATGTACTATTTAAATGTCTTTCGCTCCTATCTGATAATAATATTTTAAAAATTAATTTTTTGTTTGCTATTTGTATAATACTAAATTATGTTTTTTCTTTTCTTTTTTAGTGTCGCATTCAATCGATTGCATTAAGTTTTTGAGCAATTGAAACTGAGATGTCTGCAACTTCTAAATCAGGTACATATTGATTGATAATATTTTTAATGTTATTAAAGGTTTATATATGACTATCTTATTCGGAAGTAATTTTAAATTAATTAACCAAAACAAATTTATAAAAATAATTTTTATAATAAAAAAATTTATTTAGTGAATTTAAAAATGTTTGTAAAATTTGAATTTTTCATTTACATGATGATTTCATAGTTCAACCGAATTATATTGAGGAATGTACTATTAAAATGTCTTTCGCTCCTATCTGATATTTAGATTTCTTGAAAAATACTTTTTCTTTTTAAATAATCCGATTTCTTAATGGTACCTATTTCCTTGCAGATATTCCTTCCTGTACTTGAAAAGATGTCTGGAATCAAAACAAAAAATTGTTTTCAAACTTCAGAGCAGGTCTTCTCTATAAAATTTGCTGCCTGAAGCTAAAGCGGTAAGATTTTTTTTTAATTATTTAACGACGATAAGGAACTATTGTAAACTATTCAGTTGTTCAAAAATTTTGTTTAAATTCGATTGTTAACGATTTACATGATGAGGCTTGTGTTTGAAATCATTTTTGTGATGCCACACTATATTCGTCACTACCACTGATTTTTCTTTAAAAAATTAAAATCATATTCCAAAACAATAAAACAGGAAAATTAAACAGTTGTTAATTATTACAGAAATCGAGATGATCGAGAATGAGGAATGGAAATGGAAAATAGGTAAATATACATTTTAAAATCAAGACAGTTTTAAAAGATAAACTAAAAGTTTTAACTTTAAATTAAAATATAATGAACTTTATGATGATTTTCTTTAGCTACTGAATCTTTCATGAATGTAATTTTATTAGCTCTATCTGACAAAGTTCTAATTTTCTTCTATCTTTGTTGAAATACATTAACTATTATAATCATGAATAACTAGAATTAAATATTTTCTTTACAGGTGTTCGTAGTCCTCAATTTTTTAATCGACCATCAGAGTATTTTTATATACTTTTCATTAATAAAAAATTATTTCGAAAGCTCTCACGTACTTGTATCTCAAAATAAAGTTAAAGTTTTAATAAATTATTTTTAAAAAATAGAAATTTGTCTTATTTCTATATTGTACCCTCAATGTTTCTAAGTCAAAAAGTACATTTTTAATATTTAACAAGTTTGTTAATAATAACGAAAGGCAAGTTCATGGAAAATGAGTAATATTTATGAATTTTAATAATTTCTAAAAATACAATTATATCCCTTCCTGAATTTAATCATTTTCTGCAATTTACATCTAAACTTCTTCTCTACATCAATTATTTTAAATAATTTTCCGAAAGTTCTTTTAGAATTCAATTATTTAAATGCAAATCCTCAATTTTTTATAATAATTGTAACTGTCCATGTTTTTTTCTAAAGTTATTAAGGTATAATATCTTCAAAAAATTATAATAAAGAAATTGTTACAATTAATTGTTAAAAAATTTTGTTTTAATTTTTGAAAGATTGTAGTTTTTTAATTATATACAATTTAAAATTCCCAAACAATTTAAATTTTGTAAAATCTATATAATATAATTATTTATATTTTAAAAATATAAATAAAAATAATCAAATTTTTAAAGAATTTTAATAATGAATTCCTCCGCAATTTTAATATGTAAGTCTAAAAAAGTAAATTTTTATAAGACTTCTAAGAATTAGTTTTTAAAAATATTTTAATATAATTTTTCGAAAATAATTGAATTTCTTTAAAGAAATTTTATATAATTTAAAAAAACTAATAAATTTTTTGATGAATTTTAATTAAAAATTTTGAACATGATTTTTTTTTCTAAAATGTTAAAAATAATTCTAAAATGTAATGATTTTTTATATGTATTTGAATTTTCAGAAATACATAATTAAAAATACTATGAAAATATTGAATTTCAATAAATTAGAAGCTAATTTATTCATTAATTTTCATTTTTAAATTTACATTTAAAGATTTGTCATTAAAATTCTTGATAATTCAATTATTTTGAGAATTTTGAATTAAAACTCTTAAAAAGTTTTTTTCAATTTTCAAAAATTGTAACAAAATACTTGAAAAAAATTATTTTCAATTAAATTTTACAAAATTTCAATTATATGTAGTTTCTTTAATTATTTAATTTCGAATATAGCTATCGAATTATCACAAATTAAAGATTTATCATTAGAAGGCTAAAATCACAGAAACATCAGCAGTGTTTGAATTCATTACATATCTTATTTTTAGCAAAATTGTAAAACTAAAAAAAAAGCAATTTTTCAAGACGATTCTATAAGATTTTATTTGACATTGGGGGGATTTTAAGAAAACCATTATTTTTCAAATTAATGTGACAATCATTTAATTTCGGACGTAATCTGGTTGTGTAGTTTGTCTATTTCGTATAGAATTTTTAAATGATCCCAATCAATAGGGTTTTCATCTGGATGAATCTAATTAACCCTTTAACACCCGAGAAAAACATAGAAAAGATATAAACTAATGAGATGCCATTCCTAAGGTTTTCGGGGGCGCTGATTACGAATTTGATGTCAAATTGACAATTTTACAGTTGACAGCTGTCAAACGAACTGTCAACTTTTACATTACTGATTTATTTTTTATAAAAAGACTCCGTAAAGGGTTTTCGGGGTCGCTAATTACGAATTCGATGTCAAATTGACATTTTGACCGTTGTCAGCTGTCAAAACAACTGTCAACTTTTGTCAAACTGATTTATTTTTTTTAAGAAGACTCCATAAAGGGTTTTCGGGGTCGCTGATTACGAATTTGATGTCAAATTGACAGTTGACAGCTGTCAAACCAACTGTCAACTTTTGTAAAACTGGTTTACTTGTTATAAAAAAGACTCCAAAATAGTTTTCAAGGTCGTTGATTACGAATTTGACAGTTGGAAGCTGTCAAACCAAGTGTCAATTTTTAAAAGAAGTAATTTTGTTTATGCAAAAGTGTCTATAAAATCAGCAAAATATGCGAGTTATAATTATTACAAGAGTTGTGTTAAAATAGGGCTACAGGCGAAGATTCACCAAAAAAATCTAACGCGCATCCTTATCGGAACCTCGAAGGTGATGTCAGGGTGGCCACATGTCAGTAAAGTCAGGGAAATGTCAGGGAAAAAATATTTTGTCAGTAAAGTCAGGGAAATGTCAGAAAAAATTTTTTTGTCAGGGCAATTAAAGAAATTAAGACTGTCATGCAATACATTTTGTGCTCTAAACAAAAAAATTTTTGTCAGGGAAATTCGTTGTTATGTCAGTAAAATGTCATGGAAATTGATAAAGTCAATCTTGCGGCCACCCTGGATGGGGAATACTGTTCACAAACGAAATTATTATTTTCTTCTTTGTTATTATGCCAGTAATGTCTGCGTATTGTCAATTGGATATCAAACTCGTAATCAGCAATGTAAAAACCCTTTTATGGACATTTTTAAATAAACCAAATTACTTCTTATAAAATTGACAATTACATCAAATGTCAACTGTTAAATCATTAATTTGAGTTCAAATTCGAAATCTGCGACCCTAAAAACCTTTTTCCGTCACTTTTATTAAAGAGAAATCAGTCTTATAAAAGCTGACAGTTGGTTTAACAGCTGTCAACTGTCAAAATGTAAATCTTTTATCAAATTCGTAATCAGCGACCCCGAAAACTCTTTTGAAGTCTTTTTTATAAAAAAATAAATCAGTAATGTAAAAGTTGATTGTTCTTCTGACAGCTGTCAACTGTCAAAATGTCAATTTGACATCAAATTCGTAATCAGCGACCCCGAAAACTCTTTTGAAGTCTTTTTTTTATACAAAATAAATCTGTTTTTTAAAAGTTGACAGTTGTTTTGACAGCTGTCAATTGTCAAAATGTAAATTTGACATCAAATTCGTAATCAGCGACCCCGAAAACCTTAAGGAACTTTTTCTTTCTTTTTATTAATTTTTTAATGTTCGGATAATGTAAGACAATATTTTGCTTCGAAGTGTGCGCCATCTTGAATACGCCACACTCTAAAAAAATTCGTTGCATTCAGATTATTTTTTAATACGTACTAGCAGCTTGTAAACTTACTACGTTGGACGTGAAGCAAATTATTTCCAACGTCCGACGTTGTAAATTAACAACGAAATTTTTTAGAGTGCATTTTTAAATTTTTGCGAATTTTTTAAAATGGCGACGATGTTTGTATTCAGTGGTTCAAAACACTTTACATAGTGAGCTTCAAAACATTTTTTTGACTTCAGCGTCTGTACATGAGCTAACTGACTTTTTTAAACAATTTTTCCGATTTGCATAAACATTTTATTATTTTTTTCTATTAAAAAAAATTTTTTGTTTACTTTAATTTTTTTGGATACCTGGACCGATTCTGAGAAAATCAAGTCCAACCCGGTTAAAAAATATTAATATTTAAAAAAGTTACAGTGGTTTTTGTACTACGGGACATATATGTCCCGTAGGCGTTAAAGGGTTAATAAATTTAAAATAAAATAAATATTTGAGGCATTCTCTTTCAAAACGTTTCACCGAAAAAAAACAATCGTAAGGAGAGCGATTTTCTAATAAATTTTATTATATAAAAATTTAATTATTTATAGTATATTATATACAATGTATTATACAATTATATATAATTTCGTAGATAAATTTCTGCGTTTGAAATGTTAAACTCTTACTCAAAACACCCTCTGTCAATTTTTATCAAAATTATATTAAAAAAAAAAAAAAAAAAAAAAAATCATTAATGGTTTTGTTAATTGTTCTGACCTTTTAGGTCTTTTTAATTTTTATATACCTTCACGCTTACCAAGAAATGCTCCATTATTTAAATTAAAATTAGCCAGAACCAATTATGTAGATAATTCGGTAGTTCATAAATTAAGTCGCGAGGCGAATAACTTCTGTCACGATTTAGATTTCTATGGCGTTCAACTAAGTTCCTTTCTTACACAGTTGCGCAGAAAATTGTATTATCACAATAATAGTAACGATAATGTTGGCAATGCGGCTATTTAATGTATTTTCTTTTGTAACACTCTTAGTACTTTGTACGACTGGGCTCTGCTAAAAACTTTGCCCGTTTATGAATAAATAAATAAATAAATAAGATAAAGCTTCACTTTTCTAGTTTCTATTCCCATATGATATATTATAGACATTTAATGGGATCAATAGAAAAAAATTGTTTTTGAAAAATTTAACAAATGGTACGAAGTTGAATAGGTTTCATGTTTAATCGTTACTTAACTAGTTACACTGACTTCTTTCTTGGTCCTTTTTTAAAATTAACAGTCTTTTTGCGCACAACATCCATAAAATCTCTATAAGCAATATAGTATTTAGATCACTGGCATCGCTTTTATTTATTTTAATATCAGGACAATGTCATATTCAAAGATCATGAATAACTTGAATTATTGCTTCTAATTCTTCTGTTGAATGAATTTCTTCGTTTTCAATATTAAGGTCAGTATGATTCAACACTTTACCATGGATTTTTATTAAAAGTGTCATTTCTTCATCAATGGTTACTTCCTTTGTGGAGACCGAGTCAATACGGCCGTTTTCACCTTTTATTCCAATGCGATCAAGAAATACAATTCCTCGTTGACTACGCCAAACAATATTTATTTTATTCCACGACTTAGGCAAATTAATGCAACTTTCGTTTCTGTCAATTTTATCAAATAAATCTTTTGAACAAGTTTTTGCATCATTCAAATCTGGATGCACTGAAAAAAAAAGTTCATTGAATCAAGTAAATGAATTTTCTTGACCTGATTTATTTGAAACAAACCCATATTTTCTTATTGGAAGAAATTTATTTTCTTGTGTCAAGTAATTTTGAGCATTGATCAAAGTTATTGAAATAAGAAAATATGGGTTTGACATAAGTAAATATCTTACTGTTTCAAACGAACTGTTTTACATGCGCCAAGTCTCGAAAAAGTATTGAATCAAGAATATCATGTTCTCACGCCAAGTAATTTACCTTGAGTCATTTGGTATCTTGAGTCAAATCATTTTTTTACTTCCTTTAAAGCAACTATTTATTTCATCCAACACCCATAGTCTTGAGCCAAGAAAATGGGAAGATTAATACAAGTTAATAATTGTTTCAACTCAATTAAGAATTATTTTGTTTCAAAGAAATATTAATTAATCTAAGAATTTCTTTTACTTGAAGCATTTCTATATTCTCATGTTTCAAAAACATTAATTTCTTGCGAGAATGTTATATTTTCTGGAATGAAATATTTTATTTATTCAATTCAATTAAGTGTAAGATCTCGAATTAAATCATTCTTTTGTTTCCTTTAAAAAAGTTTTTACTTAATTCAACGCTCATATAATCCTGATTCAAGAAAATACGAAGGTTAATATAAGTAAATATTTGTTTCAAGTTGATTAAAAATTATATTCAATTAATCCCATATTTATTTGAAGAAAGAAATTCATTTTCTTGTGTCAAGTAATTATTAGCATTGAACAGAATTCTTGAACTAACAATTTAGTATTTGGCGGAACTCAATATGTAATTATTTCAACCAAATATTTTACTTTTCCGAAGTACCAAAAAGTATTGAATCTAGAATATCATGTTCTTAAGCGAAATAATAAAGTATTGTGTGGAGAATTCATGTTTCTTGAATCTAATCATTTTATTTATTTGCTTTGAAACTTTTTTTTACTTAACACAATGCCGGTATTCTTGATCCAAGAAAATATTTTTCTTCAAATGTATATGCAACTTAAATATCAGTTTTTGAAAACTGTCCATTGAGGCTAGGATGGCATAGTGGTAGCGTGACGGCTTCTGGTGCGTGCAACCCGAGTTCAATTCCTCCGACCGTGGGAAATTTTCTTTCAAGGTATATTTGTTGTATTTGTGTTAAGTAATAATTAAATGTAAATATATATGTAAAATAACAATTATTTAATTATTTAAATAAAAAATATAAAGGTTAGTTAATTAAATAATAAAAATGTTTGACCTAAGTATTAAAAAAGATGGGATGGGGGTAAGGGGGGGGGGGGGGTAATTTAAGTAAATAATTTACTTGTATTGAGAAAGTATTTTTTTGATTGAAATCTATAAATTTTCTCAAATCAAGAAAATATTTTCTTGGACAGAGAACATACTTTCTTGATTTGATACATAAATGATTTTGAATTAATATATTCTGCATTTCTTACATGCTACTTAATTTCTTGATCGAATTCCATATTTTCTTGGATCAAGAATATCTGCGTTCTCTCACAAAATAAATGTTTTCTTCATTTAAATCTTGAATTACTTGAACGAATGTTACAAAAAATTGAATGAATCAAATAAAATAATTCAATTATCTATATATATTCTTAGAACAAGAAAATATTTTATTCATTTAATACATTTCATATTTCGTATAAGAAGATTAACTTCTTGGTCGAATTCCATATTTTCTTGGATCAAGAATATATGTTCTTCTCCCAAATATCCTATGTCAAGAAAATCGTTTTCTTGAATCAATAGCCCACATAGCACAATAGTATGAGGTAAGGTTATGTTGAATACTAATCGTAAGGCACATAAGGTTACACGATATTGCTGTGGTAGACCTAAGGTGAACTAAAAACTTCCGCCATGGAGGTGAGGTTACATGTTAGGGTGTGGTGACTATATATGATAAGGCCATGGTAACCTTACACGTTAAGGTTGAGGTAACGTTACATGTTAAGGTTGAGGTAAGGTTACATGTTAAGGTTGAGGTAACGTTACATGTTAAGGTTGAGGTAAGGTTACATGTCAAGGCTGAGGTAAGGTAATTATTAAGTTGTAAGGTTGAGGTAAGGTTGTGATAAGTTTACCAGTTAAAGAAAATATTGAAAAAATAATTAATAAATAAATATTCAATTAAAATGTTAAGTTTGTTGCTCTTCTCTATTTTGGAAACCTGACATGAAGCAGAAAATTTTGAAAACAAATTTAGGGGGACTGGGATTCGAACCCGAGATCGACGCGCATAAACCTATCATTCTAACTAACTGAGCTAAGTAGAGAACTGGCAGAAGGAAAATTAATGTTGCCTTTAAGGTGAACCAAGAAGATGATTAACTCCTTAAAGGCAACATTAATTTTCCTTCTGCCAGTTCTCTACTTAGCTCAGTTAGTTAGAATGATAGGTTTATGCGCGCCGATCCCGGGTTCGAATCCCAGTCCCCCCAAATTTGTTTTCAAAATTTTCTGCTTCATGTCAGGTTTCCAAAATAGAGAAGAGCAACAAACTTAACATTTTAATTGAATATTTATTTATTAATTATTTTTTCAATGTTTTCTATAACTGGTAAACTTATCACAACCTTACCTCAACCTTACAACTTAATAATTACCTTACCTCAGCCTTGACATGTAACCTTACCTCAACCTTAACATGTAACGTTACCTCAACCTTAACATGTAACCTTACCTCAACCTTAACATGTAACGTTACCTCAACCTTAACGTGTAAGGTTACCATGGCCTTATCATATATAGTCACCACACCCTAACATGTAACCTTACCTCCATGGCGGAAGTTTTTAGTTCACCTCAGATCTACCACAGCAATATCGTGTAACCTTATGAGCCTTGCGATTAGTACTCAACATAACCTTACCTCATACTATTGTGCTATGTGGGAGTTTAATAGTCTTGGCCGTATTCAATCCCACGATTTGCTTCAACCAAGAAAAATTTTCTTGGTTCAATACTTTTTTTTTCAGTGTGAGAATCAATATCAGTAGCAGAAGAATTATTAGAATCTTTGGTAGTATTTTCAACTTTCAATTTTTTCATAGGGTTCACTGTTTGCTCCTGAAGATTTTCATGCACTTCTTTTCTTTTCAAGACTACACTTCGAGATTTCGGTGTAACTTTCTCAGGTCGACCTAAATTCAGAGATGGTACTGCACCCACACGCATCCGAGGTTTCATATAGGGAGCCTAAAAAATGATTAAAATAATTTTAAAAATCTGTATAAAAGTATAAAATCTTTTAAACAAAATATCGTAAATTCCAAAAAATTTAGTAAATAAACGCAATTAAATTGCAGGGCTCGAACCAGTGCCAGTGAAAGTATTTAAAAATACGGACTTTACGGACTAAAAAAGCAAAATTACGGACTTCTTCAAAATAATTTTCATCATCTCAATATTCAATTAATATTTTTCAAGAATTTTTAACTAAAATTCTTCTTTAAATAATTTAATTTTCGAAAAAAGTTCTCATCATTTTCAAATCGAATTTCAATTCTTCGTAAATTCTTCAATTTAATATATAATTGAAAATAAAAACTTAAAATAATATTAAAAAAATTAAATTAAACTTTTTCAAAAAACTTAATTTCAAAATTTAATTATTTCTAAAAATTCTAAAATCTGTGATATTAATAATCGTTTTATTCCGGTAATTTATTTGCAGTTTGAAGTTAATTGCTTTTTTGTTTCCTGAATTCTTGCAAAGAATCTTATCAAAAAATTTCAAGAGAATAATTGAATTCATTCGAAGAATTTTTTTATTTATGAAAATAATTGAATTCTCGTGATGAATTTTATTAAAAGCTTTAAAAATCTTAATTAAATTATTTTGAGGAATTTCTTTGAATTTTTTTAAAACAATAGTTTCTTTAATAATTTTAATTTTATTATTTATCAAAATAATTTAATTCTTGCGAAGAATTTTACTATTATTTATAAAAATAATCGAATTGATCGAAGAATTTATTAAAATTTAAAAAAAAATTAAATTGTTTTGAAGAATTTTATAGAAATATTTGAAAATAATTTAATTATTTTCAGAAAATTTTTAATTCTTATTGAAATTGAATTTTACTATTTATAACAATAATTGAATTCTTTCGTAAAGTTTTATTAAAATTTTGTTAAAAATAATTGAATTTTTGCAAAAAATTTTACTTAATAAGTGAATTTTTAAAATTTTGATTATAAAATTATTTTGAAATTTATATTTGAAAATAAAAAATTTTGTAATTTGCATATTTTTTCAAAATATGTATGCTAAAAATCAAAATGTATGTTTTTGAGGTTAAGAACGTTCGTTTACAACTTTATTTGTATGTAATGGTGTTTCTACAATAGTTCGTGAACGCAAAGCATGAGATAGAAAAGGATGCAAATATCTGTCTTTGTCTAACTCATGCATTTCAGAAAAGCAGTTGCGCTTACACCTTTAGATTCTTCTTCGAGTAATTTCGAGACTCGACCTTGTTCGATATTTTTTCTCAATGAATGATGATGATATGATTTAAAGGGAAAAAAGTATTTGAAAATTTGTTTACTAAGAAAAATGTTAGAATGCATTATTTAAGAAATGACGATGTCACTTGTATGCATTACTTATTACGAATTTTAATCCATAAAAAACCATCGTTATCATTAATTTTGTGCTTTGTTAATTATGTGACATTAAGAGTAATAAGATTATCGCGTTTCAAAATAAAGTTAAACTTTATACAAGAAGATGAATTTCAACGTGCAATTCTTAAATATTGTAAAGATAGAAATTTTTATGCAGACAGTAATTCTTGTGCTTTTGGCAATGTTGCTCAAAGTAAAGAATTTGCATCTTGGTGCTACTTGTGTTCATTTGTGTCTCCCAAGAGGTACAAAATACTTATTATTAATTTAGAAAATATTCCAAAGGATAATATTTACATATCAGATGTAATGAAATTTAATATTGACAATGCTTTAATGACAGATAGTAAAATGTCATCGTACTGTGCCTGTAAGTAATTTCCTTTTTTTATGGGTAGGTTAAGTCCTTTACTTTAGGTCGAAGATTACTAATTTAAGCAACTTTTCAAAGAATTATTTCTTGTATTTAATAAAACCAAACTATATTTATTATTATCAGTTTTTAAAGAAAAATTTCCTAACTTTACGATGATAAAAAGAATTTTATTAAATATATAATTTATATATTAAGTTAAAACCTAGTAATAATTGTATTTTCCTTAAGGTCAAAGTTCACTTAGGTTATAAACAAATCACGGTCTTACGGAAACAAGTACTTCAAACGTTAAAATTAACTATAATATTAAATTTAAAAAAATTTATGATTAACAAATAAAAAATATACCCATTTCGTTTATTTATATGCTTTCTTATTATTTTTATAAGAAATTTTCAATTTTCATAAAGTAATAATCCGCTTCATTACTATTTCTTAATTACAATTATTTTAATAAAAATTCAAAGTTTTTTAAAAATAAATATATAAAAATGTTTATAAATTCTATTTGTCAATTATAAATTTCAATTGAAAATTTTTGAATTTTTAATAAGATAAAGGAAAAAATTCTATTCAAAAAAAGTTCTGTTACATTTATGTATTTACCTACGATTCGATTTCTTCATGTTTTATAATAATTAAAGATGACCGAGTAATAAAATCATTATTTTATATTACATATAAAACTATTGTTACTTCTTCAAAATTATTTTTATCATTTCAATTGGATTATTGTTTTCAAGAATTTTTAACTAAAATTCTTCTTTAAATCAAAAATTTCTAATAATTTTTGAAAAAGTTCTTCGAGAATTTTCAAATCCACTTGTTTTCGGAAACTCTTCAATTAAATAAATATTAGAAAATAAAAACTTTAAATAATTTTTAAAAATTTCAATTAAGATTTTTGAAAAAAATTATTTTTATAGAATTTTTAATTAAAAGAACAAAAAATTTAAATTTTCAAAGATTTTAATTTGAACCCCTTACAAAATTCAATTATTTCTAAAAATTGCAATTATTAGTAACTTCTAGAAAATTCAATTATTATCTACAACATTAAAATAAAATTTATTTTTGAATCAATTTTTATTAGAAAATTCTACGATAATTCAATTATACATAATTTTATCAACAATTTTTTAAATAATTGAATTCTTTCGACGAATTTTAATAAAATTTTTAAGAATAATTACATTTTTCGAAGAATTCGATTAATATTGTATTAAAAATAATTAAAATTCTACAATGAGTTTTATTATTTATAAAAATAATTTAATTGGTCGAAGAATTTATTAAAATTTTTAGAAAAATTTAATTCGTTTCAAGAATTTTATAGAAATATTTGAAAATAATTAAATTCTTTCAACAAATTCAATTAAAGTTGTTTCGAAAATAATTGAATTCTTTCAAATTTTTGACGAATATATTCATATTTAAAATTTTTTTGAAAATAATTGAATTATTTTCAGAAAATTTTAAATTCTTGTTGAAATTGAATTTTATTATTTATAACAATAATTGAATTCTTTTGTGAAATTTTATTAAAATTTTGTTAAAAATAATTGAATTTTTGCAAAAAATTTTACTACATATTTATAAAAATAATTGAATTCTTCCAAAGAATGTTATTATTTATATAAAAATAATTGAATTCTCCCAAAGAATGTTATTATTTATATATAAATAATTGAATTCTTGCGAAGAATTATATTAAAATTTCCAAAAATATAAACAATAATACCTAATTAATTTTGTACTTGATAAGTGAATTTTTAAAATTTTGATTATAAAATTATTTTAAAATTTATATTTGAAAATAGAAAATTTTGTAATTTGCATAACATTATCAAATTGAATAACATGTTCCGCGCGTATCATTTGCTGGTTCTAAATATTGCTTTTAATATTCAATTATTATTATCTAAAATTTTAACTGAAATTCATTTTTAAATCAATTTTTATTAGAAAATTATACGACAATTCAATTATTTAAAAAATACAAAAATTAATAAATTTTCGAATAATTTATAATTCAATGTTTTTCAAAATTGAATTCTCATTAAGAATTTTATCATCAAATTTTTAAATACTTGAATTCTTTTGACGAATTTTAATAAAAGTTTTACGAATAATCACATTTTTCGAGAATTTAGATTAAAAATATTTAAAAATAATTGAAATTCTGCGAAGAGTTTTATTGTTTATATTATTTGTCAAAATTTTTTTTAAATTATTGAATTCTTTTGGGAAATTTTATTAAAATAGTAGATATTGAAAATCATTGAATTGAAAAAAACTTTTGAAAATAATTGAATTTCAGAGAAGAGTTTTATTATTTATAAAGATAATTTAAATCTTGACGAGAATTTTTTTTATAATTTTTTATCATAATTGAACTTCAGCAAAGAATTTTATTACTTTTGAAAATAATTAAATTTCTGCAATAATTTGTAACTTTTCCAAAATTCAATATTTTTTAGTGTTTTTACCTAAAATTCTTCTATAAATTCATTATTTTAAATAATTAATTAAATATAATTATTAAAAAATTTAGCTGATTTTAGAATTTGAATTTTTTTAAATTTTTCAAAAATCTAAGTTTTTTAGAATTTTTAATTAAATTAATTGAAAATTGAAATTTTCTAAAATTTCATATTGAAACCTCTTGAAGTTGATCTATTTATGAAAATTGTAAACACAAATCTTTTAAAATGCAATTAATTCTGAAATATTTAAGTAAAATTATTCATTGAATAATTTATAATTAATAATTTTTTTATAGTTCTTCAAGAATTAAGTCATTTGAAAAAAAAATTATTGTCAGAAATAGAAAAATTTGAAGGTTTTGTATTAGAATTTGTGGTAATTTCATAATTTATAAGGCAAACAAAAAAAAACACCGAAATTGAGAATTTTGTTATCAATTCTAAAAATTTAATTTTTTTCAATACTTTTAATTAAAAATTCCTGACTTTTCCCTGAATTCCCTGTGTCAGAATATATGATTATTATAGTTATAATACTATTAAAAGTATAGTCCAATTCATATTTTATTTTTATGAAAAAAAATTTGTATTCAAGATTTTTCCATTCTATTATTTTTAAAATTGCTAATTTTATTTTAAAAGAACTCAGTAAGTTAGCGCCATCATTGACGCACAAATTGTTTCTAGTAATAATAATAATTGAAAATTATAGTAACAAATAAATGTAAACAAAATTAAAAATTAAATTAGAGAGAATTTATTTTAGTTAAAATAGGTATCTAAAAAATAATTGAATTGAAATATTGAAAATAATTTTTGAGACTTTTTCTTTACGATCGGGAATTTTTTTTATGAAAGAAGCAGTCCCCTTGTATTTTTTCTCTTTGCAGAAGATATCTTGACTGAACTTTATATAAAAAATGAACTAATTACATACCTGTGATATTTGAGCATGATTTTCACTGACAACATTATTTTCATCAAATTTTTGAACTTGTGTTTCACCCCTATCATACGGAAGCGCCTATACGCCACTGTAACCGAATCCCGTATGTGTGCATAAAGTAAGGTACAAATACAAGAATTGCGTGCGAGGGACCCCCTTAGGCTAGCTGAAATTCCCTAGAATAGAATTAATTGCGAGCGAGCCTACCCCTTAGGCTAGCTGAAATTCGTTAAAATTAAACGACTGTGTGAAAAGGAGGTTATGTTTTCTTTCCTGAAACATTAATTAAAATTAATTTTTTTAAACATTTCTTTTTCACAAATTGAAAAAAAGAAATCTTGTGAGGTAATAAGTTAAATTTATTTGGAAAAAAAGTAAAATAATTTTGAAGTTAAATTGATAATGTGTCTACAATTATTCTGATCCATTTTACAAAAAGAAAATTAGTTGTGTTATTTATGGGAAATTTTAAACATGAAATATTTATATTTTTTTAATATATACATACAAATATGTAAGTTAAAACAAAATCGAATTTTAAAAAACAGACCATTGTAGAAACTATTTAATAAGAGTTGAAAAATTATTAATAAATTAATTAAACATAACTTTTTTACAGAGCTAACAATTATCAATTTAACCTCAAAATTATTTTACTTTTTTCCAAATAAATTTAACTTATTACCTCACAAGATTTCTTTTTTTCAATTTGTGAAAAAGAAATGTTTAAAAAAATTAATTTTAATTAATGTTTCAGGAAAGAAAACATAACCTCCTTTTCACACAGTCGTTTAATTTTAACGAATTTTAGCTAGCCTAAGGGGTAGGCTCGCTCGCAATTAATTCTATTCTAGGGAATTTCAGCTAGCCTAAGGGGGTCCCTCGCACGCAATTCTTGTATTTGTACCTTACTTTATGCACACATACGCGATTCGGTTACAGTGGCGTATAGGCGCTTCCGTACTCATGCGCAAACCCTAGCAAGTGTGCTTGCCTACCGCTCTGAGCATCTCGAAGCAGCTCGGCATGTGTGCATATAGGCACACCTGCACGTGTGCTTTGAATGTTTTGATTCTCATCATTTTTCATAAATTAATAAAAACTAAGTGCCTTATTTAATTAAACTGTTAACAATAATTATAAATATTGCTTAAAGTAATAAATAAAATATATTTTATTGAAAAGCGCTTAATTTAATTTATTTCACTGATTTTTTTTCAAAAAAATTTACATAACCTCAATATAATTTAACATCTACTTTATGTTAAAAGCAAGAACTTTATTTTGTTTTAAGATAATTCTATAACATTATTGTTCAAAGTATATAATATAGTTATAATGAAATTTAAAAAATTTAATTTTATTTGTTATGAAAATATTTATTATCAAAAAAAAATTATAATACTATAACATGCGACACAATTTTAGATGGAGTTTGCGAAGGAAAAAATAAAAATAGAATACAAAGAGGAAAAGCAATGCATTTTTGTAATTGACAATAAAGTGAAAAAAGCTATGATGAATGGATAATAAATAAATAAAATAAATATTAATAAATAATAAAATAAAATAATAAAAAAAAAATAAATAAAATAAATAAATATTTTCATAACAAATAAAATTAAATTTTTTAAATTTTATTATAATTATATATTATATACTTTCAACAAAAATGTTATAGAATTATCTTAAAACAAAATAAAGTTCTTGCTTTTAACATAAAGTAAATATTAAATTATATTGAGGTTATGTAAATTTTTTTGAAAAAAAATCAGTGAAATAAATTAAATTAAGCGCTTTTCAATAAAATATATTTTATTTATTACTTTAAGCAATATTTATAATTATTGTTAACAGTTTAATTAAATAAGGCACTTAGTTTTTATTAATTTATGAAAAATGATGAGAATCAAAACATTCAAAGCACACGTGCAGGTGTGCCTATATGCACACATGCCGAGCTGCTTCGAGATGCTCAGAGCGGTAGGCAAGCACACTTGCTAGGGTTTGCGCATGAGCGCTTCCGTAAATGAGTTCTACAAGGATTGCAAAGTAAATCTTGAGCCTTTACTAAAGGGTACCATGTACGTATCTGTTTACTAATAGGGAATAATTTTCCTTTCTTCCATGCCGAATGCTTCAAAAACAGATTACAACAATGATATCCTGATTTATTTTTTTTTTCCATGACTGCTAAAAACTTTAAAAAGATTGAAATGCGTTGTTTTGATTAAACATAACCTCAATTTTTCCACGCTTGTCAAATATGTCAAATATATATTATATGCGGTTTACGCGCATCATTCTGGGACAGACGGACGTGACGTAGCGAATCATTGTTTAAATTATAAGTGATTGAAAAACTCCAACAACTTTTCTTCTTCGTAGTATAAAAGTGTGCAAAACAAGGAATTTTTTGGTTCCTAAGTCATTTAATTTTGAATTACGGCTCAAAAGTTAATTTTATTTATTTAAATAACTTTTTTAATTAACAAAATAAGAAAAAAATGTTGATAACATTTTTGAAGCGTCTCGTCTTATTTATGAATTTTTAGGAAAAAAGTAAACTCAATTATCTTGAACCGTTTAAAAGATATGGGCATTTAAACAATTTTGAGCAATTGTTATAACTTTTAAATAAACAATTTGCAGGGTTGTCACGCAACCTGGAAAACCTGGAAATGTCCATGGAATTTTTATAAACCTTAAAAAAACCTGGAAAAGTCAGGGAATTTTGATTGGAATCATGGAAAATTATTGTTTTCTAAAGTTATTGTGCTTATTCTTGAAATTTAATTTTTCTTTAAATCAATTTTCTTAATTCAATTTTAAAAGAGTTGCCTTTACAATTTTTCTTCGCAATAATTCAATGATTTTTATAAATAATAAAAATTTATAGATTTACAATTATTTTCATAAATAATAAAACTCATGGCAAAATTTCAATTATTTTTAATACAATTTTAATGGAATTTCCCGAAAAATATATAATTATTCTTAAAAATTTTATTAAAATTCATCAAAGAAATTCAATTATTTTCAAAAGTAATAAAATTCTTCGCAAAAATTCAATTATGGTCAAAAGTTTAAAAAATTTATCGCCAAAATTTCAATTACCTTTATAAATATTAAAATTTTTCTCCAAAATTCAATTATTTTCAAAAATTTTAATGAAATCCTTTTTAACAAATTCAATTTTTTTCAAAAATTCTCCTTCAGTAAATGATTTTCAATATCTAATATTTTAATAAAATTTTCCCAAAAGAAATGAATTATTTAAAAAAATTTTTTATAAATTTCTTCGCAATAATTCTATTATTTTCAAAAATATTCAATTTATGTTTACAGAGATTCAATTATTTTTATAAATATATTTAATACAATTTTTTACAGGGATATAATTATTATTTACATAGATAATAAAACTCATTGCAGAATTTCAATTATTTTTGATACAATTTCAATCGAATTCCTCGAAAAATGTAATTATACTTAAAAATTTTATTAAAATTCGTCAAAAGAATTCAATTATTTGAAAATTTGTTAATAAAATTTTTTATGAGAATACAATTTTGAGAAACATTCAATTATTCAATAAATTATTTATTTTTGTATTAAAAATAATTAGGTATTTAAAAAGAAATATTATTAAAAAATTCTTCTCAAGAATTCAATTATTTTCAAAAGTAATAAAATTCTTAGCAGAAATTCAATTATGGTCAAAAGTTTAATAAAATTTATAGTCAAATTTCAATTATTTTTATAAATATTAAAATTTTTCTCTAAAGTTCAATTATTTTCAAAAATTTTAATAAAATTCTTGGCAATATTTCAATTATTTTCAAAAATTTTAATAAAATTCTTGACAAAATTTCAATTATTTTCAAAAACTTTTCTCAATTCAATAAATTTTTTTTTACAGAGATTCAATTATTTTTAATACATTTTTAATCTAATTTTTCGAAAAATGAAATTGTTCTTCAAAATTTTATTGAAATTCGTCAAAAGAATTTTAATTACCTATTTAAAAATTTGTTGATAAAATTCTTTGAAGGAGAGTTGAATTTTAAAAAACATTCAATTCTTCAATAAATTATTTTTTTTTGTATTTAAATAATTGAATTTTTGTAGAATTTTCTAATAATAATTGATTGAAATATGAATTTCAGTTAAAACTTTGGATAATAATGATTGAGTTTTGAAAAGCAGGTCTCAAATCCGAATACCTGAATAATTGATGTAATTTCGTAAAATTGAATTGTAAACAAAAGGATTTGAAAATGTTGAAAGAAATTTTTCAGAAATTATTAATAATAATTAATTTACACTTTATAAAGAAGAATTTTAGTTAAAAATTGTGGAAAACAATAATTGAATTAAAATAATGAAAGTAATTTTGAATAAGTTGCAGTAACAATATTCTTATAATAGGTATAAAATGATGATTTTATCAGTCGGTAATTTTTAATTATTATAAAACATGAAGATATCGTTTGCTCCGAGTCGAAGACTCGGAGTGATCGATATTTTCATGTTTTATAACAATTTTATGTTTAATTTCAAAAAGGTTAGAATTAACAATTTTGTAAAATATAAATGTAGTTTTAAAAACCTGGAAAAATTCCGTTTTTTAACCTGGAAAACCTGGAAAAGTCAGGGAATTTGAAACGAGCAAAAGAGTGGCAACCCTGACAATTGATTTTACTTAAAAAATTGATTTTCTGAAACTTTAGACCAACAAATGTAATGCTACCAAGTCTTAAAGAAATCGGTGAGGGTGCTCCGAAAAGTAGTAAATTTCTCCTGGAATGCCACAAATGATAAATTGAGTGGACAAGGGTCTAAATAACTAAAAAAAATATTTACCATCGTTAAGTTGAGAAATTTTTCCATCAAAACTGCTAATAAGAAGTATAATTTGGCTAATTTATTTATTTATCTAAATAATAATAAAATATTTTAAGGCTGCTGCATACTTTATAAATATTTTCAGATTCTACTGTTGAAAAAAATTTGATATTTGCAACAGAAGTGATAATATCTCAAATTGCGAATGCTTATGAGTGTCCTATTGATTGTATTGACTCCTTATTAAAAAACTACTTTTCTACACCTCGATATTTACGTTCTCAAGACATATTTAGTGTACAGATAAAGGAATACTGTGCTGACTGTTATTATTCAACGACTCTGTCTAGTGATACAAAAATTTACTTTAAAGTCAGAGATATAAAGAGTCAAAATTTAAAGGAAAGTTTTCATGGTTTTTATGTGATGCGAGAAAAAACAACACTTATTTTAGAAAATGCCATTCAACACTATTTGCCAACGATGAATTTTAACTTTCAACAGTTCAATGTAAATAATTGGAAATTAGACAATATGTACTCAGAATGTCCGCCATGTCTTGAAGAATCTCTGCGTCATTTGAAAACTTCGATTTTTCCTTTTTTACAAAAAGGTAAGAGCATAAAGTAAAAAATTAATTCTCATTTTTTTACTAGTTTTGTAATTAGTGTTTTATTTTTCATGAAATGTTCATATTTTTTGTTATACTCAAAATTAACAAATTAGAATATTTTTGAAAAAAAGTCATGTTTATTTTTTTATTTTTCCATTACACATGATCGAAGCCAACTAAAATTAGTCTAGTATGACCACCAGACAAATAATAAATACAATGCAATTTATTTAAAATATTATTAACAATGTTAATGAACAAATAGATAATTTTATAATTTACAGACTTAGCACTCGATAATTATACTTTTAAAAAATTATCAAAAAATAGCTTTCAAACTAAAAAAAGTAGTAAAATGTAGCTATCGAAAAAATAAATTTAACGACTAAAAATCTCGTTTCAGTCGATTCACAAAAATTTTATTCAGTATTTCCCAGAATTTTTCTCGATTTCCATAAAAAATATTTATTTTCTTTTCTTATTCTGATAATAACTTCAAATTCTCAGTTTTTTTAACTTAAATTATTTTCCAAATTTTAATTTTGAATTCTTCAAAAAGAAAATATTAGGTTTAAAAATAATTTTTAAAAGTCAAAAAATAAATTTCTTTACAATATAAAATTTACTTCAATTAAATTTGACAAAATGTTCAATTAATTGCACATTTTTTTCGAAGAATTTTTTATTAAGAATTTAGAAAATAATCAAATTTTTTTGAGGAAAATAATTATAATTGTATTGAAAATGAATTAATTTTTATAAACAAATTTTATCAAAATTTATTTAATTATTATATTTTTTAAATAATTGAATTCCTATGAAAAATTTCATTATTTGTGAAAATACTTGAATGCTTGCGAAGAATTTAATTAACATTTTTTTAAATAATAGAATTTAAAAAAAAATTTAATTAAGAATATTGAAAATAATTGAATTATTTTTAGGAAAATAGTTACAATTCTATTGAAAATAAATTTATTCTTCTAAACAAATTTTATAAAAATTATTAAAAATAATAAATTGCTTTCTTGTAAAATTTTTATTATTTATGTAAATAATTCTATTAGTTTTTGCAAAGAATTTTATTAAAATACAGGACTTGCACTCATCTACTAAAACCTACTAATTACTACTTTTTTTTTACGATTTGCTACTATTTGGATACTTTTTTGTATTTATAACACTAAAAGCTACTTTTTTCCATGTTTGAGAATTTACACTACTTTAAATTTGTTAACCGTTGAAATAAAAAACTATTTTAAAAAATTTTAATAGTTATTCAAAAAAATGCACAAAATTTCAATAAAATTCTTTAAAACAATTCAATTATTTTCACAAATTTTTCGTAATTCAATGATTTTTAATATCTACTAGGTATTTTAATAAAAAATTTTACAAAAGAATTGAATAATTTAAAAAAAACGTTTATAAAATTCTTCGCAAACATTCAATTACTTTTATAAATAAACAAATTTTCACAGGAATTCAATTATTTAAAACTGAATTTTCCTAATAATTTTCGAACAAAATTAATTCTTCACAAAATTTTTCTCTCAGAAATTCAATTATTTTTAAAAATTTTAATAAAATTTTTTAAAAGAATTCAATTATTTTTATAAATAATATACAATTTTCAAAGAAATACAATTATTTGAAACACAATTTTCATAAAATTTTTTGGAAAAAATCATTTTTTTAAAAAGATTTTTTTTAAATTCTTCTCAAGAATGCAAATATTTTAAAAACTTTATTATAAAGTTCAGTGACAAATATTCAATTATTTTCATAAAAAGTAAAACAAATCGCAGGATTTCAATTATTTGTAATATAATTTAAAATTAATTCCTCTAAAAACGCAATTATTCTTAAAAATTTGAATAAAATTCTTCGAAAAAATTCAATTATTTAAAAAAATTTGATATAATTTGTTTCTTAGAGTGTAATAATTATTTTCAATTTATTTTCAATTTGAATGAATTTAATTATTATCAAACATTTTAATGCAATTTTTCGTCAAAATTCAGTTATTCAAAAAAATGTTGATCAAGCTCTTTATAATAATTCAAAATTTAAGAAATATTCAATTATTCAATAATTTATTTTTGTATTTAAATAATTGAATTCTTGGAGAACTTTCTAATAAGAATTGATTTAGAATTTAATAAAATAAAATGATTAAAGTTTTAAATAATTTAATTTATAAATAAAATTTCAACAAAAGAAATGATTGAATTTTGAAAGAATTAATTTTGTAATTTTTAGAAATAGTTAAATTTCAAAAATCCATTGCATTGAAATGATTTGAAGTATTTTAAGTCCTGTTGACAAAATAAATAGGTATTTAAATATTTATTTTAAAAAATTATTCTATTTATGTAATTAAGAAATTATAAAAAAATTTAGTCTTCAAGTTTAATTTTTCGATAGCTACCTTTTTTGTTTTTAAGCTACTTTTTAATACTTTTTAAAAATTAATTATCGAGTAGGAAGCCTGAAAATATTTTTTAAATAATTAAATTCTTTTGTGAAATTTTATTAAAATTCTTCTTCTCTCTTATTACAGTTTTTGTTGAAAAATTTACACAGCAATTTGAAATGATTAATTTTATTCCGGAATTGAATTTTTCCTTTGTAAATAAATAAATAAATATTTCCTTTTCGAAATATTAATTATTCTTTGTTAAAACATCGATTGAGTAGATGAAGAAGAATAGTTTTGGTTTGACAATTTTCAAACGATAAAAATTTGAATTTATTTAATTTGATTTTTTGAAATTGAACTCTCAATTTTTTTTTCTTCATAGAAAACATGAATTGTGAGAAAATATTTTTTCGTTTAATTCTCCTCACTGGTACTCTTCTTTTGAACAGGACCTTTTCATTTTTTTTCCAATAATAAACAATAATTTCGACAACAAAAGCAATGAGTGAAGTGATATAACCTCCTATTAGAATAATTATCAGAAGATCCATTAATTTAACGAATGATTCAACTTGCTGATCAATTAATTCCGTCGGATAGAGATTGAATTTTGAGCGAATATTCCATTTTTCAATTAATCCATTTTCAAGTAATCGTAGAAGAATATTGTTGAATCGTTTTGCAAACATTGAACCGGGCTCAAGGAAGAATATCTCCAAACTTGGCATCCAACGTTCGGGTACAATTTTCGCATCAACGCGCGATGAATTTTTTGAAAAATTCCTCTCGAATAATCGCGGATTTCGAAGTTCAGCGAAGCACGAGATATTTTTGAATTCAATCATATAGGGGAAACATTGTTCAACTGTAAATTCATCCGAATAAGGTTCTGCTCTCTCCATAAATTCAATGAATAGAGAATTATTTTGTAAAGCCTGTTTCGCCAATCCCCTCATTCCCTTCTCAATCATTGGCGTTAATTTTGATTTAACAAGATCTTCCAATGAATTAATTTCCACTTCGTACTCCTTTTGAATGCAGACATTTGTCAATGCTGAATGTAAATAATTCGAATAAACAACGGACGTTAATAATAGACAGCCGAAAACAATTTTCTCACGGAAACGTTGCGGTTGACTTGGCGTAAACATTGACAAGATAACTAAGAAAATGTTAAATATATTCCAAGTGTTCTTATCGAATTTCAAGACAAAAGCAAGAATCATTATTCCAATGAGGGTGCAAATATTGGCAATAAATATGTAAAATAAATGTTGCATATCGATGATTTTCTCGCCAATTCGATTCCTCGGTACAGTGACAGTGATCCATTCGACAGATATAATTTGACTGATTAAAAATGGTTCACGATCGCAACCTCTGCCTGCCTTAAGCATATAATTCGAAATCATTTGAATCTCATTATTCACCAGATCCTTTAATGCCGTAAAATAATAATTTTCCTTCTCACAACCTCTGTAAGATAAAAAATCCGTCTTTTGCGTAAAGTTAATTTTGAAATTCATCACTTTTGAGAGAGCTTTAATTAACACTAAATCGCCCATTATTTCCAGAAGAGTCGAGTCCGATGAATTAAAGTCAACATGATTAAGATATACACCGGAAATATTCATTGGATGTTGATGCAAATTATCCATTTTATCTGGAAACCAATTTATTTTTCCCTCCATCAACTCTTTTCTATAACCCGAGTGAAACATATTGTAATTATGTAATTGACCGTGTTCTGATATTCGCCAAGAATTCAAATTATCCGTTGCATTTGGCGAAATAACCGGAGTCAATAAAGTGAAGTCGGCGAATTGTTGTGTCCAAAAATAGTACAATAATTCTTCATAATAATTATTATTATTATTATTTTTATTATCATTATTTGTCGACAAATGAATTAGAAGACATTTTGGACGCATTTGCGGATTTGTGAGATCAACTAAAAATTTACTAATTGACTCATAATCGATAATCTCAGAAGCAAATATAAATATAAAGAAGGACGTATCAGCTGGATTTCGTAATAATTCATTGTCAGGAGATAATTTTTCTTCGATACTCTCTAAAGTGAGCATAAGAGATGGACTCAGTGAATTTGGAAGTATTGAACTTAAATCAAAATCACGTAAAATTGTCTCATTTTCGACAATAAATATTATTTGGTATTTCTCCAAGTCCTTCGACAAATAGTCTTTCAGTAAATCTCGCCAATCCTTCAATGTTGAACATATCACTTGTTTAAAGTTTACTATTATTAAAAAAATTAATAATACTTTAGTTGGGTTCATCATTTTTGATTTAGGAATTTCATCAGCCAAAAACTGGAAAAAAAAGAAAAAAAGGTTTAATTATAATGTTTCTTCAGAAATGCCACAAAAAGTTTATTTTTTTCCCCTGATTTTCAGACAAAATTTTCACTTTTTCCCTGAGCCTAAAGAATGCCTATTCTGATGCACTCTAAAAATGATTAGATACTCAAAAAATTTTTTTAATTTATAATGAAAAAAATTCTAAGAATTACTTTTTAAAAAAAAATTCAATATAGGGTAAGTGCGGGTATAGTCGG